AAGAAGAGAAATGTAAGAAGAAGAGAAATGTAAGAAGAAGAAGAACAAGAAGAAGAGGAAGAAGACGAAGTAACGATATTGAGGGAAAAGTGACGAGTGGGAGCGAAGAGGAGGAAATCAAGAACTGATATATCCACTGCTCCCACCACCAATGGGCTCGCCCGCTGTAGCAGCAGAGCTCCTGTTGGTACCGCCGGCGACGCTGAGACTCTTGCTCCGATCCCTGGCGTCGGTCCCGGCAGCCAGGCGCGAGACGCCGTGCTGCTGCTGCTGCTGCTGCTGCTGCTGCTGCTGATGCACACGGAGCGAGGCATTGCCGCTACCACCCCGGCCACCACGGCCACCACGGCCGATGATCCGGGGACTCGGGTCCTCGTCGTCGTACATGCCGTTCGTCTCCGGCTCGTCGTCGGGGTCCTCGCCATCCTCGTCGCCGCTGGTCAGGTCCACGTTGTCGGGGTAACCGTCTGAGTGGGTGATGTTGGCGCGGCGGCTCGTCACCTCGACCGATCCCTCAAACTCGTCGTCGCCCTCGGAGTCGAACATGTCGCTGTCGTCCGAAGAGGACTCGCTGAACGGGGGGAAGAGGACGGCCGGTGGGGGCAGGCGCACGGGTACGAGGCGCTTGATGCGTCCAGAGACGTACTCGATCTCGCCGCCGGGGAGGTTGGGTGACGTGGGCGGTGCAGGAGAGGATGTCGTCATGGATTCAAGTCGCGAGAGGATGGAGTCGGCCGTCGCGTCACTGTCGCGGAGGGTCTTGAGGCCGCTCCCGCCGCCGATGACGTTTACCGGGTCTTGCTTGGGTCGCCGGGTCGTCACGACAACAACAAAGTGGTCCTCTGGCATGACGCCGCCGAGACCAGACGGCTCCAGCGACAAGACGCCGATGTACTGCCGCTCGTCGCTCCAGAGAAGATCGATGTCGAGGGTGTCAGAGCTGTCGTCGTCGTCGCCCGAGTCCGTCGTCAGACCGGGTATGCCATCAGGGTCCGCGCCCATCATCTCGAGCGGTTCCGGATGCGGTGCCTTGTCCACGAGGGGGCGCAAGTTGAGGCTCGAGCCCGAATCCGAATGAGCGAGTCGCGGGCGGAACGTCGTGGGCTTGTCGCCGAGGGGCTCGACCGAGGACGACCCGGCGGGCTCCTGCTGATCCCGCCCGCTCGACATCATATACGTCATGGGGGACGTGTCGCCAGGGTCACCCGACAGGTCAGTGCAGAAGGGCGCGCCAGAATAGTAGATGACGGCGCCGTCGCGGTGTCTCTTGTGGCGGTTGGCCGTGGCGCCAGAACCACTGTGGTCCCAGCGCGAGTCGCCGACGTTGCTATCCTCGACGGGGCCGAATGACGACAGGGTCTCGTCCATCGACGTCTGCTCGCGCGACGAGTCCCGCCGGGCAAACAGAGGCTTGTAGTGGAAGCTCTCCGACGACGCCGACACCTGCGGTGCAAACTTGGAGCCGCTCTTGGAACCGGTCTTGTCCCTCGAGCTGCCGGCCGTCCCAGACTGGAATTCGTCGCTGGTCGAGTGCGCCGTCTTCTGACGCTTTCTCGACTCGTCCTTGTTGGAGCTGTCAGTGTCGTCGATGTCGGAGCCGGTGCGCGCATTGTCGCCCGAGCTGTCACTGCTGAACTTGGTGCCTTCGGTGCCTCCGCGCCAGCGGATCTTGCGGCCGTCGGGCGACAGCTGGAACTTGGCGCTATAGTCGGAAACGGCCACGCGCACGAAGTCGGGCGTCACGCTGATAATGTGCAGCTGAGCCAGGTTGCAGAGGAGGTTGAGGTACACCCAGCCGTCAGTGTCCGGGTGCACGCTGGGCTCGTCGATGAGTTCGGACGGTACGAGGCCTAGGTGCTTGATGTACTCCATGTTCTCCGACGGGACCTGGGCACGATCAGGATCGAGGTCCTTGGGCCTGGTCGGCCTCTGCTCGGGAAGCGGGGGGTTGGGAGGTGACGTGTTGGTCCCGTTACCGCCGGACTCGGTCTGGTCGCCGCCAGAGTTGGACGCAGAGCCGTTGTCCCGCGACGAACTCTTCTTGGCGAGACCCGAGGCCTGATCTGCTGGAAGGATTCTTGCTTCACGCGACGGCTCGGGAACGGACCCGGTGCCGGGAGCACCGCCGCCGAGAGTGAGGGGCTGATGGACTAGAGGACGCTGCGGATTCTGCTGGCTGTCGGCCGCGAGCGGCGTGAGATGTGAGGGGGCGGCAATCTGTTCGGCAGCGGATACAGGACGTTGCTGCTGCTGCTGCTGCTGCTGCTGCTGATGGTGGTGGTGTTTGCGATGACGACCGCCAATCTTTCCGGTAAACAAGTGTTCGAGACGGCGAACGACAACCTTCTTCTTCTCCTTGTCCGTCATGAGGACATTGCGGGGGTACAGACCCTCGGGGATATCCCTCAGGTAGCTCTCGACCTTCTGCTCCGACGACTTGGCGCGTGAGCTCGCAGATTGACGGCCAGCGAGGGACACGCCGCCCGAGTTGTTGCCGACAGACATGGACGCATAGGCCGAGTCGACAGGGCGGTTGTAGGATCCCGACGAGGACGAGGCATGCTTGGATCTGGACCTGGAGCCGGAGCCGCCAGCAGAGCCAGGTTCGTAGATGGCGTTTCGGGGGGACGTCTTCTTGCGTCTCGACGAGTGCGTGTCGGGGGAGTGCGTGTCGGTGGAGCCGCTGAGGTTGGCAGCAAAGTCGCGCAGTGTAGACTCGAGCTCCCTCTTCTTCCTTCCGGGAAGGCCGTGGAACTTGATCTCAAAGAGCTGATCCTTGCGCAGCGTGTCGGGGCCCTTTTGCTTGAAGCGCTTCAGCTCGTCCTTGAGCTTCTGGATCTCGATGGTCAGGTCATCGATGACGCTGCGGTACTCGTCGGCGCTGCTGCTCTGGGCGGTGGTGAGCTTGGCAGGGGCCACCGGGTGCTGTTGGTATGACTTGCCCTCGTTGGAGGATTCGGATGCCATCTGGAAGAAGGGGGGGTCAACTACGCTTCGTTAGCATCTGCTCATCCTCGTTCCTCCCGGTCTTTTCTGTCCCGCTCGCTACCTGAAGCTTCTCCCTTCGACTACGTACCATCCATGGCATGACTGTCAAAAGTGGCTGTAGGGTTCTTATTCGACTGGTCGAACCACGCCGTAGGATCACTCTGGCCGGTGTCGTGGCTCTCGCCTGAAGAGTTCCGACACAGCGACCCGGTATCGTTGTTTATGTTGCCATTGCTATCCTGGGCATTGCTTTCTGGAGTCGCTTCTGCTATTGTCGGCGGCACAGGGCCGCCTTTCGCTCTCCGGGAAACATCGCGGGTAACACGATGATGGCGCAGAGCGACCGAGTTTGTAGGTGAGGTTCGGCGTGGCAGCGGGTGTTGGCATGTAGACTGTGATTGTTGACCCAGTGGAGTATGTGTATCCTCATCCATGGTGTGGAGAGCACATGCGGATGGGGAATATCTGTCTCGTCGTCGATGATTCGAAAACGCGTGATGTCTTGACGTTCCGTGGACAGTGCGTCGTTCTCCTCGTCGTTGTCGTTGTTGTTGTCTCTATCGTCGTTGCTTGTCGAAGGAGAGAGAGATGTTTCGAAAAAGATGGTCCGTCTCGGGAGAAGGCGATGGAAAAATGCCTGATGGGGCGGAACCCGAGGTTGGTTTAGTTCGTGGGGCGGGAAGGGGAGGGACCCTTGGCTAGAAGTGACGTATGTGGTGAGGATTTTGGCGGGCCTGATGTGTCCCGAGAATTGCATAAAGCCTGTTAACAGAATAACGGGTAAGCCATGGGTCCCACAGTATGACTAATATGCATAAATATGCACCAAAACAGAAGTACCGGATATTCAGTGTGCGGGTTCCGCATATACAGAAGGGCCAGGCTCCTGATTGGCCGTAGACGGCACGATGATCGATCGATCGGCCGTCATCGCCCAACGCTGAAGGAGGGAGGGGAGAAGACGAGGGAGGACGAGGTGGTGCTTACTCGAAACTTTGAATAAAAATATAGATGATGGGGCTCTTTTCTCGATGGTCGCCGCCGGAAAGTTACCCGCTGAAGCAGAGAAGTCGACCCCGAGTGTGTTTGTTAAGAGTGGTTCAGGCACACAGACACAGGCACACGGTAGAGGGACGGCGTTCTCCTTTCTTCTTCTTCTTCTTCTTGTTTCCTGTAGTGCGTTCGATCTGTCGATGAATCGAATCTGCCAATAACCTTTATTTAACAATTGTCGAAAGAGAACAGGAGCCTTGGAGCCTTGTCTCTTCCAGTGCTGAAGCTCTGGAATCGATCGATCCGTGTGGCGTGCTCACGTCTCTGTGCGCGATGGAACTCCCGATGCTTTTCTTCTTGTTTTCAAGATCGGAGGATGATGAAGAAAGGGAGACGGGAAACAAGATCGAATAATGGAACACACAATGATGGCCTCGATTATCTGGTGGTATCGCACTTCTCTTCTATCCTCTCAAGTCGCAGTTCGGGGGCGCGTCTTCGTTCTGGCGAAACGGAAATAATCCCCCCACACAATGACGCCAAAAATTGTTCGATTGTTGATTGGAGAAGCTGCTGCTTGCTGCTCCCTTTCTCTCTATTCACCTGGAAGCACCCGTGTACTGCGCAGACCAGACGGCAAAGAAGAAGGCGGTTATGGATATTTCGCGGTCGCTGAAAACGTGTCTGTAATTAAACAGACGAAGGTGGGAAGGGAAAGACGGGCAGAGGACTATTAAAAGAGGAAAATAAGAGAGGTAGGTCGGATGGGGAGGAGGGAAGAGCCGGGGTTGGGGGGAAAAAAAGAAGACAGCCGTTCCAAAGTAGTTGGGTATTGCTGACAGAATACAACTTTGGAGAAGAGGAGTAGTACCAGGAATGAAACCGGATACTTTTATCTGTGCGGTTTTTTTTTTTTGGTTGAACGATTGATTCACTCCTTCTCCTTCTCTATTTCTATTCTATATCTGAAAATTTCCTTCTCTTTATTCCAGTAAGTATTTATGACGATTCAATCTTTGTACTCGAATGGCGGATTCCAATGTAGCTTCCAATAACGATACTCTCTTCACCTTGAACCCTCAACCCTCTACAAGGATATATATAATAATAATAATATATATATATGTGGGTTTGGGCCACACAACTTGACAACTAGTAATAACACAACGGCAGCTCCCAACTGCAACGTCTCAGCTTCCCTGCGTTGTTCATCAAGGCTAGTTTCTTTGAGAGTGGCAATCTTGATGATGGTACGGAGTCGTGCCAGCCTTTTGTTCTCTGCGCGTATGATGGGTACATTGGCAGGGTTAACGCTCCAGAGAAGCTCACGTCGTGCCAATGTTTTGGGGGATCGCTCATCCTTCTTCCACTCTTCTCTCTTGTACACTCTGCGAGTTTCTCGTAGAGCGAAGGACGACCCGGCTGCGCAGATATACAAGCGTCTATCTCACACAAAACGCCAAGAATATCAGAGTGGCTAACCGACTCACACGGTCAAGTGGCTGCGGCGTTAACAGCACGTATCAATCCACGGTCTACCAGGAGATAACTGCAACGACCAGTTCCCGGGTTCTTGGGCATTCTCAGATAATGCCATGGCCTTGTTTAGCGCCTGAAGACGCCTGGTCAAGTTGCTGTACTCGTACATGCAGTCTGGCGTCTGCAACTTTCTCCCAGCACAGCACGAGACGAGACGCGGGACAGAGACATTGAGAGTTGACTTGTGATTCACTCATCATTTCATCGTTTTCTCTCATCGTATCTCCCACGGCGCTCTCTCCGTCGACCACCCCAATCCATCCCGGCCAAGGCCTAGACACTTCTTCCTGCCGCACTGAACACACCCCCTCCTTGTGACCTGTCCTGTGCTTCTCGCACACCATCTTGGAAGGGAGAGGGGGGTGGTGGTGGTGGTGGTGGTGGTTGTGATGGATGCTACATGCTACATGCTACGAGCTACACGCTATTACATGCTACCCGTTACTCTACTGGAGTAGCAGTATGGAGTACGAGTACTCTTGCTCAACCCTGGTGATTGTGCCCAAAAGGCCCTGTCAATTAGGAAAGGTAATAACCCGGGGCTGAATGAGTGATCCCATCCTCTTGCAACGCTGCTGCAACTTCTCGCAGACGCCAAGAACATGCGTCTCTTCAATCAGGACAAGAGAGAAAGTCAGGGAGAGAAGCGAGGAGGAAGAGACAGACTGCACACGCCTGCTTCATCACCTATTGCTACTCTTAGTACTTATTTCAAGCAAACACTGAGATCTTGTTCGTCGTCGTCGTCGTCGTCGTCGTCGTCCCCATCTTAAAAAGTCTCATTACCGGGGGAGGTCGATCCCTTTTCCAGCCGGAACCTTGGAACATGCAGGGTCGTAGGGTTCACAACATTCTATTTGGCTCTGAACTATGTACGTGCACTGTGTACGAGGTCTGTAAATCATACGATTATCTTGGTCCTCCCGTCAAGACGGTGGGTGATATGCACATGGCGGGGTCCCCGATGAACGTAGCCGTCTGCTCGATCCCCGAGACCCTGTCGTTTCCCCTCGACCCACTTGACCGCGTTTCCGTGGTTTTTGACAAGTTGCATACGCAGTAAGTAAACTGTATTGATGATTATAATATTCGATGAATTCGCAACAGTTGAGAGAAGGAGACTGAGTGCTAATAATACGAGCACTGCTAGAGTCTAGTACCACTCATCAGTGGCGCAGTTTCCAGAGCGCTGCTTCGTCGGCCAATGAGTGTTGCAGCTATCGTCTGCCTGGACTCTAGTCTAGATCGTAGAGGTCCAAGATACGAGAGAGAGAAGAGAGAGAGGGAGGGAACGAGGGTGGGGGAGAGAGAGGACAGCATGCCTAGTACCTGTACAAATGGCTTGATGCAGGTGTCCCCCTCCCTTTCCATCTCCTCCATTTTTCTTTTTTCATGACTACTCGTGCAACTACAGCCGCAGTGCGACGTACATATACCCGAGCCATGTTGCAACCGTGACGTAACCCACCATCTCTTCGGGCCTCTTTCCAGGGCTCCTCGGGCCTCTCTCCGATCCTTCGTGGCATCGCCTGAAAACACAGGGTCCCCCCCAACCCTCTGACGTAAATGTCCCCTGATCAGCTCCCTCTTCTGACCCGAGCCATCCAATCCTGTTGGACAGCGCGGCACACTCAACAACTCCTCACAGTGATTCTTCTTTTGTTGCATCTCATCCTGTCATATGTGCAATCACGTTGGTTGTTTCTCCACGCCCCAGCCAACCCCGCACGCATGCGTCCGCTGGAACAGGGTCCTAACTCCCCATACAGGCCACCATCCAAAGGAGTGGGAGTGGGTGAGACCGCAGGGAGGCCTTTGCAATGCAACCGCCTGATACCTTGAACATCATCGTCGCTACAGTCTGAAAAACATCTTCAAAAATCTGTGGGGATTGTGTGTATCAAATGACAATCGATCGGTGTTAGAAGCTGTATGTTGACAGCATCGACGTTGCTTCCTAGCTGCCTCGTAGAATGGCGTCGGTGCCGGAACCCCAGCTGATGAGGAGGAGGAGAGTGTGTGTTGTTGACTTGAACCCTGTGACTTCCGTTTAATCCCCTGGCAACTCCACACGGCCCATAGACGTCCCGTACGACCGCCACAACAGTGTGACCAGCCATCCGAGCTCCAGATAGATGAGCATGTAGCATATGGTGAGGATCCAGTCCGGACGAGGCAGCTTGCCGGTGTCGTTGCTGAAAGAAGATGACACGGTGGATGGTGCGGTGTGTGCTCGGCGCGTCGCCGGTCGTTTTACTGTCGTGGCGTTGGTCGCGCCCGCGGCGAGATGTTTGGGCGGCACGTCTGGTGGATGGTAGTCGTCGACAACCATGGTTGCATTTCCATGTACGATCCGATGCGCGAAAGAATAAAGAGTGACAGTCTAGAGTAATAGTGAGTAATAGTGATAGATTGAGAGTTGTGAAAGGAGAAGAAATAAAGTGATCTCATCGTCAAACTTGAGCTCACCAAAGCCGCTGAGCTAATCAGATTCCCCATTCAATATTACAGGCAACCGCTGCTGCGACGCTCCTTCCCTTTTTTTTTCGCACACTTTCTTCTCACCCCCCCCCCTCCCCCGAAGAATCATCCCACACACAGACCAACAATATAAAGGAAGCAAGGCAAAAAAGAAACACCCGCCACCAAAAATGCCCGACTCGCATCCCCTCGCGCTGCCTCCGACCCTGTCCCCCGACTCCCTCGACGTCCTTACCCACCTTTCCACCATCCTCTCCGAGGTCCGTACCACCCTGCAGACCTCGACAGGCCTAGAAGCCGACAACGAGAAGAAGGATGGGCCCTCTTCTACGGCAGGGACCGTTGGCGGTGGCGGCGGCGGTCCCGGCTCATCGGGTGCTCCCGGCGGCTCGGGACTTACGTTCAAGGACGTCGCCGGTGCCAGCGACGTCATCAAGCACAAGCTGCAGCGGGCGCGGGACCAAGTGCGCACCCTGCCAGACATGAGCCGCGGGCTGGACGAGCAGGAGGCCGAGATAAGGGAGCTCGAGGCTCGTATTCAGCGCCAGAGGACCCTTCTGCAGCGTCTGCGTGACGAGAGTGTTACCCTGGCTAAGGACCAGGAGAGTACTGCGCCTGGCGACAAGATGGAGATCTGAGTTCAGAATCTGCAAAACGGCGAAACAACCAACATTGATATCATATACATACATGCGGAGGAAGAGCAAGCACTGGCACGTTGAAACTGGGTCAATTAGTGTTTTCTGGAGGGGTATATTTCTATTCTAGGCCTGCTCGCCTGCCTCATTTCGACCCGAGTCCAACCTGGGCCAACATCTGGTCCACGTTCACATCCACGTTTGACTTCCCAGTGACAACTTCCGTCCAAATACTGTCATCAAGCCTCTCTGCCTCAGGCAATACAGACCAGTTGGGGCTGTGGCCTGCCTTGAGCCACTTGAAGTCGTCGACTTGGTCCCACTGGTTCTCTACAGCCTCCTCCGCGCTCGTCATCTGCAAATTCGCCTAGTCAGCAACATCTCTGTTTACGAATCGGAGGACAAAGGGGAGACCAACATAGCTTTTTGGAAGCGTCGTGAAGCGTAAGCCTGAACAATCTTCGATGATGGGATGGCTCGCGCAGTGCAGGTAGAGGTCGACATTGTGACACTCGTGGATGCGGACTTGGCGTGACGCCGCTACGACAATACTGTCCTTTACACCCGTCATGTGCATAGCGCCCCCGACCCGACCGACAACGATCACACTCCGATTGATATCGCGAAGCACGAGACCCGGAAATGGTGTGCCCTCGCTGCCCGTGGGTACGGACATGTCAACGACGCAGTTATGCACCTTGATCACGCTACCGGCCGCCGTGGCGTGTGTTGCCGATGCGGGCAGGACAATATGCAGTCTTGTCTGGCCCGTGATGGCGAGCTGGCTAGCGGCGGAGAAGCTGGGTCGGCGCAGAGATGAACCATTCTGGCTGCGTGATGACATTTCTGCATTGTAATCTTTTTCCGGAGCCAGAGGTGATGACGAGGGGCGCTCTGGCTCTGCGTCTGCTTTTGATGTCGGCGTCGACGTCTTGAACTGTTGTTCATGCGGTAAGCTGCCAGGATGAAGACGAGGGTCATTCCCCGGGGCACCACCACCACCCGCGTCGGCATGGGCCGTCTTGGCGGTACGCTTGAAGCGAAAACGCGAGTTGGCCGGTGTGGACTTGGCCACAGCCTTGTTTAGCCTGTCCTGCAAAGCCTTGAGGGACTACTTGTGCTCACGTCAGTCAGTGTCGGGGAGGTTGGCAGGCAGCAACAGGGACGGAAAAATGAGCATACCTCGGAGTACTGCTTGCGGTCGTATGCAGGAGTGTACTCTGCCGCATCGGCCACCTCGTTTTGCAGCTTGGCGATACCAGTGAGGATGCGATCCGTGACTTGTTGACGTGCACTAGGGCCAGAGGTTATGGAAGCGAGGCTGTCAATTTCACTCTGCAGGGCTAGAAATGACGCATGTATTAGACGGGTTCAGCGTGTAGAACGTACAATCTCTTTCATGAGAACAAACCACATCTTACCTGCTTCGCCCCGTGTGAAATGTTGATAGAATAGCTGCTTGCGATCCATGCTGTCGTGATTGCGGATTTGCTCTTCTCACGCACCCCACTGCAAGTGTCAGGGATATAGAGGAGCTTAAAATAATAATAATATTCTTGTATATTCCCAGAATATATCTCGTCGCGGGGTAAATATTGTCGCGTCGATACTCTTGATGGACGATTAGGAGAGTGAAGGATGAAGGTGGGAGGAGGGGCAGACAAGGTAGAGAAAGTGAGTGGGTGGATACAAGAACACATGACTGGCTGGTTCTTGACTGGGGATCTTGGCAAAGCAGCAGCATGCATCCGTAAGTAGGTATTTGAAGATCAGTGTCATTTACTGCTATACATTATCTGAATTATGAACAACGCCTTCTCTTCTCTAGTCATTGGGCTGGTATATGTGTGCAGATCGAGTCTAAATCAGGGTGCACGGTGGACTTGGAGCACACTGCATCTAGAGCTGCCTGCATCAGGGAACCTTATAGACCTATAATCCCTCTCTTTAATCGGCCGAAATGCAAAACTGGTTGTATATTCAGCAGTAGGATTGGGGAGACTTGGAAAAGCGTAGATAAAAGTTTGTGAAATCATACATGACGCCGATGGCGCGCATGGTCATATCCAGTAATAGCTTCAGACCGGGCCTGCTAGACACTTTACAATATGTACTTGAACAGGGGACTCTTATCTCCCAACCGCAGAAGGTCCTCCTCCGAGTACTTGGAACGGACGTCTTCTTCTGTGAGATTAGCCTTGCGATCGTTGCTGGTCTTGTAGCTGAGCTCGAGAACCACAGAAGCCACAAGGGCCAGCACACTAATACCCAGACTGACACCAAATCCAGTCCAGTAGTAGGGGCTCTCTCTGTCAAGGTAGATGTAACTCCCAATGATGCCTCCAATGTTTCCGGAAGCGATGTTGAAGGCAACACCAATAGCCCGGCGAGAGGTGGGCGCAATGTTATTGGCATTCCAGGAGGAGCCAATGGGTTGGAGGGGAAATATCCCAATGCACGTGAGGATGACGGCAGTATATGAAGCCCCAAGTTGCCCTTCGAGGTCCCCCTTGAGCCCAATGAGAATACTGTATCCCACAGCAATGAAGAGCAGGGGGATGAAAATAAAGGGCATTCTCCAATAGAAGCGGTCTGATAGCCTGGAGAATATGAGAGTTGAGATGGCACCACAGATGTATGGCGGGGCAGTCATCAGCTGAGCGTCGGTGTTTTGGAAACCCATGGCTTCGGCTATCGAGGGGAGAGTAAATTTGGTACCTGGGACACATGGACTTTGTGAGTATTAAATTGGTCCCTGATGATTCGGCGACGTTAGTTCGGGCTTACCATAGCTGCAGGCAGAGTTACACAAAAGTATGCAAATCTGAAGATAGATGCGCCAATTGCCTAGGACGGCCCAGAGATCGTCCCATCGAAACTTGCTCACTGTTTCACCTGACACCTGACGGCCACCTTGCTTTATGCACAACTGCAGCTCCAGGAAGCGAATCTCGTCGGCATCAAGCCACTTTGTGCTCAGAGCGGGGCTGTCAATGAGAAAGAGAAATGTTGCGACGCCCAAAAACACCGTCGCGATCCCCTCCAGGAGAAAGATCCACCTCCAGCCCTCGTATCCCCCAACACCGTCCATCTTGGCTATGGCAGCGGCAAGAAGGCCAGAGAATGCTCCAGACAGGGCACTCGTGCAATAGAACCATGATATTCTCTGTGATAAGTCTCGTGGCATATACCAAAAGGTGCAGAGATATACAGCGCCCGGGAAGAAGCCTGCTTCAAAGGTGCCAAGAAGCAGTCGTACAGCCAAGAGACCTCCAAAGTTCTGGACGACTCCATGTAGGGTCATTATGATGCCCCATATCATGACAAGTGTCCCAAGGTACCGAGAGGGGCGGCTGAACTTCTTGAGGAGAATGTTGGACGGGACCTCTGTTCGGAGCTCGGTCAGCATCTGGGATACACTGTGAACTGAGGGGTCGATGGATGCTCACCAAGAAGGACGTATGGAACAAAGAACAAAGAGAGAACAATGTTCCATTGCAGACCATTGAGGCCGAGATCAGTGTTTAGACCTTCGATTTTGGCATTGCCGATGTTGGCTCGGTCAATGTGCGAGATGAGATAAAGAATGGCCAATATTGGCACTAATCGCCGGTCTATCTATTTGTGGTTGTTTTCGCCTTAGTCCCAATCTCAATAGGAACTTTGTTGCAGGGTGATGTACCTTTTTTGTGACATTCTTTCTTCTCTGAGGAGAGAAACTCGCGTAAAACTCGGCCTCATCCTCAGTCAGGCCAATGACGCGGATGTCGTCTATGATTCGCGCAGTTGACCCCTTCTCGGTGTCTAGAAGATTGTTGTTGACGGACTCAACCGTATCTATTCCTGGCTTCTCGTCCGAGTTCTGGTTCGACATGTTGACAGGCTTCGCTGGTCGAGTAAATCTAGTCACAGTGGTCTAGGAGCAGTTGGGAAACTTCGATGTGAAGCCGGCAAGGAGTCTGGGAGGCCATGGCATTGAGGCTTTGTATAATAGAACCAACTGACCCGGATGGATTTCAATTGCCTGCTTGTCATTTACCCCTCCATCCAAGGTCTGATGGTCCAGGCCGGAAAAGACGGATTTCCTGCCAACCTTGGTGAACATTGCTGAATATTCCTCCAATCAGTTTCATCCATATTTGTACAGCAGTCTTTTTGAGTGAAGCTCGATCGAATACAGTCTGAATTAGCCGTGATGCAAAAGAATGGGACGGTCGGCTAGGGTGATGTGTGTGCTGTCTCGGATGTGGCGTACATGGGAGCTGTCTGGGGTTCCGAAATGCGGGGGTGGGTACAGTGGGGTCCGAAAGCAACTGACGATGAGCAGTCATGAGCCATGATGCTCCATTCCCCTTTCTAGATGGGGTTGGTCCTTCGTCTGCATCTTTTCCAAGGGTGTGGTGTGTGGTGATGTGTGGTAAAAGTACGAAACAAGGATCAATCCATGAAGGTGATAAGTGGTGACTTGGCCTGAGGCAGTCACGCTCTTGCCTCTACACAAGGAAGGAGGCAGTGACAATTCCCAAAACAAGGAAATGGCAAGTGCGATCCCGAGTTTATTCCTAGCGAAAGAGTAATTAGAAATGGATTACTACTAGGAAAGGAGCAGTCGCGCCGCTTCAGCTCCAATTGCTCTTTCCCTCGTCTTGAGTTTTCCCCGCCGGATTCATTGCCCCCGTATTATTATTCTCCTCCACTTTTCCGCCTTCCCCGCTCTTCTCGATCGCCTGTTTCTCTATTTCCACGACTCCAGGCCTCTCTCTTTATTTCCGCCTGATACTCTTCCGATTTTCCGCCCCTTTATCCACTGATTTCTTGCATGCTATAGTTCATGGATGTTGATCACAATGAATCCGCCGATGTCTCACAGCTCCACGATACGTGTACGAACCCCGACTGCAGCAGTCTCATTGGAAGAAGCACTTCACCCTCAAGCTTCTCGAAAACGAAGCATCGATTCTTCCCCCGGATCAGGATCCAATGGAACGCCCAGTGACAACTATCGACGAAAATCTCAAAAGGTCACCAGAGCCTGCGACCACTGCAAGCGACGCAAGGCAAAGTGTAGTGGCACGATCCCGTGCGCCAAATGCTCCGACAGAGGCCTGACGTGCATGTATGATGCACAGTATTCTCGTGGGCGTCCTCCAACGCCGCCCCTATCCGATGCCCAGCATGTTTCTGTGTTAGACAGAGTTTTCAACGGTGCGTCGTCCGGAAGCAGAACAGAACCTTCAGTACAACTGTCGAGAAGCAATTCTGTCATCCGCGTCTCCCATAGGACAACTGGAGAGGGCTCTGGCCTGGCATCCCGTGCTTCTCCAGAAGTGGGGTTGACCGAAGTCCAGGGCCAGGTATCCGACCCAACGTCCGGAGTCACCTTTTTGCACAGAGCATGGAAACGACTTGCTAAGCACCGGGATCACATGGCGCCCCGTGATAATGTCAACCATGCCTCGGTGGATGAGCAGCAACTTATGCTGGCTGGCGACAGGCCGCTGCCCCAGGAAACAGACAGTGACCTATACAAGCTCTCTCTTCCAAGTCATGAGGAATTGATAAAACTTTCGGCTCTATATTTTGACGTTTGTATTGCAACATACAGGATACTCCATAGACCATCCGTCGAATCTTGGCTCCAGACAGTTGAAGACAACGTCAGACAGGGGCGTGTCGTGTGGCAAGGAGTTGGAAGGGCAAAGGCATCTATAGTTCTGGTTTGCCTCTCTATAGCCATCGCCCACGAGTCTCGATCGAGGGAGGATTCACATCAGGATGAAGAGCCCTCCCTTTCCAGGAGCGACCGTCTGTTCTGCGTCTCAGTTCAACTGGCCGAGACCCAGACAGGACTGCCCCAGCTCGAATCCGCACAAACACGCATCATACAGACACTCTATCTTCTCACTTCCTCGAGGATGAACCGAGCCTGGTACACCTTCGGGAACGCTTTGCAGTTGATCTCGGCACTTGGTATGCACCGCAAGGCCGCAAAGGAACGGCATTTGGCCAACTGTCCAGCCGACTACCTCCAAGCTCAGTTGCGTATGAGAACATTTTGGACCGCCTACATTCTCGACAAGTATCTTGGTGTCATATTTGGAAGGCCTCGCCACTACCACGATGATGACATCGACCAGGATCTTCCGGACCGCCTTGAGGATGAGGACATGACGAGTCATGGGCCGACAGTCCCACCAGAGACAGGGCAAATGGGTTGTCATATTGATGCTCTCATATTTCATACAAGGTGAGTATTATAGACATGTACATTAACAACTTGGAAGAACATATTTTACTAACTGGTATTCGAAGAATTGCTCGCATTATTGGTAAAGTGTCTCGAGAGGTTTATTCTATCAAGGATATCTCGGAAAGTGACAGAATCAGTGCGGCGCACCGCATCAGCAGAGAAATCCATGAGTGGAAAAAGAGTCTACCTCCCTATCTAGGCTCCATATCACCATCCATGCTCGTTACAAGTTTCAGGCGACAGTCCATCGTTTTGCAGTTGGGATACTCGCACGCCATCATGCACACCAACAGGCCCTTCTTGCTTGCGACTCTTCGCCCCGAGAGCGAAACCCAAATTTCAGAGTGCCTCGATGCCGCCCGGGCCGTCCTGGAGTCTGTGGATGGCCTTGCTGTCGAGAGGCCTCTGTTCCATGCTTTCTGGTGGACGCAGTATGTCACATTCTGCGCCTTGGTTGTGTCGTATATTTGGGACATCCAGCTCAAGAGGAGAGGCACAATTCTTGCTGCGACCGATCAGGCCAAGCATTCGAGGCTGATGGAGCTTGCTCGTAGATGTCAGATACATCTTGCCGAGGCCACAGCTGCAAACTCGCCAAGTCGCAAGTACGCTGTCATCCTTGAGGAATTCTGCTCAGAAGCCATGGGCCAGAATGGTGCAGCGACAGAATTAGCAGAGGCGAAAAATGGGCAGCAGCAACACCAGCAGCAGAATCAGCAGCAATCCCAACAGTCCCATGGTGACGTGAGCCATGGGGATTCCGTCACTGATACCTCTCTTGAAACATATGATGATGATTGTACTGGGAACATGCTACAGACTGGAGGCGAGTCTAGTCAGTCATTTGGCTACAGCCTGTTAGATCAATGGAACACCAACGACTGGCTTGACCTGGATTCGTCAGCATTCGGGCCTTTTATGGCTGATATGGATGCAATATCTGGCAACTGGTTGCCCAACATGGCATTATGAGATAATAATGCCCGTATCATGATTTTCTGCTCCTCCCCTGAGGGATATTCTTATAAGACGAACAATAGATATCTATTCTTCGTAAATTGTTTGATATTAACGATCTCGCCTTTTCGGGTTTAGTAGATACCGATTCTCACAGGTTGCGATTGACGCTCATGGCTAGGGAAAGAGCTGTCGCATGCGGTATGTTTCGATTGCGGCAGAACAGCACAGCAATGCCATTTTCATTATCCATCATATGCAGTGTTTGCCGTATTGTTGTTGGTAAAATTTTTTTTAAATAAATAAAAAACAGGCCTGTATTTCACGTCTATTTCCAAGCTCCCCTCGTTTCCTTCTTGTTTCGGGATGCTGCTGCGATGAGATGCATCTAAATGATGCAACACGGTGGCAGAAATCCGACGCTAGACGACGGATTATTATCCGACGACCACCGCAATTTTCGACGAGATGCAGATCCGCTTACAAGGCATCGCGGATATCAAACGTCCCAACCATGCCGTCCCCTCATGATCGGTACATTCGGCACCGGAGTGATTTGAGAAGATATGCAACATGTCCGACTTCGCCGCGTCACCGGGGCCGATTCAGGATGCTGCGCGTCGTTTATGTTTCTGGGCTGCTCCAGACATGACGGCCAAGAGTTCAACACTCAACCGATCCATCTACCCCACGGCTTTATTACTTGTTCATGGTCGTCCCTCCGTTCATCGTTATCAAGCAGAAAATCATCAAAATCATCAAAATGTCGCCACCTTTGGTTCTTGCTCCGGCGGCCGACTTCATCGAGCCTCCTCGGGACAAAGCCACCTCAGCGCAGCCTTCCGCAGCCGCCAACGGGGTAGACGAGGATGACAGCAGCATCAAAACGGTCGACGAGCTCGTGCGGCGAAGGGCGAGAGCCACGCCTAACAAGGTCATCATGTCGTATCCCTCCTCCGGTACGGATTACGTCGACTACACGCTGCGGCAGCTCGACGTGTTTGCGTACCGTGCCGCCATGTTCTATAAGCAGAGCATCCCGACACGCCAAACGTCGGATGAGAAGCCTCAGACCGTGGCCATCCTTGGCCCGTCGAACCTGGAGTACCTCGTTACCCTGATGGCGCTGTCCAAGTTGGGTCACACAGTCCTCTTCCTGTCAACCAGGATCTCGCAGGAGGCGATCGAGAATCTCGTGATGCTGACGGGTGCGCGATTCCTCGTCGCGGACGAGCGCTTCAATGATGTAACGAGGGACACGCGGGCGTCTATACCGTCCCTGCAGACCATGCGGATGGTGTCACGGTCGGCCTTTGAGTTCGAGATCGAGGCCTACGCAGATACAAAGATGGACTACCACCTCGACGCGGAGAGGGAGACGTCTAACCTTGTCTTTATCATCCACTCGAGCGGTATGTATGTCCCAGGCCTCGTCTAGCAGTTCTGGCTAATATGCCCCTATGCAGGGTCGACTGGCCTGCCCAAGCCCATCTACCAGACACAGCGGTCGGCTGTGGCCAACTACGCGTCCAGCATGAACATGAAGGCCTTTATCACGCTGCCTCTCTACCACAATCACGGAATCTGCAACCTGTTCAGGGCTATATACTGCGGGAAGTCCATTCATCTGTACAATGCCGACCTGCCATTGACACACGACTATCTCGTCAAGATCATGAAGAAGCACCGGTTTGAAATCTTCTACGGCGTCCCATTCGCTCTCAAGCTTCTGGCCGAGTCAGACCAAGGCATGAACGTGCTCAGAGACCTCAAGGTTGTCATGTATGGCGGGTCTGCGTGTCCAGATGAGCTTGGGAACAGGCTGGTGGAGAACGGAGTCAATATTGTAGGCCATTATGGAGCGTAAGTCCAAAAGGAGCGTCCCGGTTCCGACCTTTCTCTGAAGGCTAACTTGATTCAGAACTGAGGTCGGTCAGCTCATGACATCCTTTCGCCCACCGGCCGACAAGGACTGGAACTACGTCCGTGAGAGCCCCAAGCTGACGCCCTATCTGCGCTGGATCCCCCGTGGCTCCGGCCTGTTTGAATGCTGCGTTCTCGACGGCTGGCCGGCCAAGGTTGCCTCCAACCAGCCTGATGGCTCTTACCTGACCAAGGACCTGTTCGCGGCTCACCCCTCCCTCCCCCGCGCATGGAAGTACATTGCTCGCCGTGACGACACGATATGCCTTGTCAACGGCGAGATGTTCAATCCCGTCACCACCGAGGGGGCTATCCGATCCAGCAAACACGTCACCGAAGCTGTGGTCTTTGGTAGCGGCCGACCTGCCCTCGGCGTCCTGATCATCCCGGCCGCTTCTCTTACCGGCAAGAGCCAGGATGAGGTGTCGGAGATTGTCTGGCCTGTGGTGAAAGAGGCATGTCGAAATGTGGAATCGTATGCCCGCATATCGAAGTCGATGGTCAAGATCCTCCCGGCCGGCTGCGAGTACCCCCGCACAGACAAGGGAAGCGTCGTCCGACACGCCTTCTACAAGACGTACGCGAAGGAGATCGAGGAGGCGTATGACGCGGAATATGTGGGGCGTGGGGATGTTCGGAAGCTGACCATGGAGGAACTAAGAGACTTCCTTCGCAAGTCGGTCACCAAGGCGCTGGCCAAGGAGGTTTCTTTTGATGACGAGACAGATCTCTTCTCACTCGGCCTTGACTCTCTGCAGGCCATTCAGGTACGGAGCGACATCCTCAGCACGGTTGACATCGGGGGCAACCAGCTGGGACAGACGGTTGTGTTCGACAAGCCCTCCATCAGTAGGCTGAGCTGCTACCTGCTGGCACTATCCAGCGATGGGAAAGCTGAAGCTACAGCTTCGGTGGAGGAAGAGATGAGGGAACTCATTGAAAAGTACACCTTGAAGGGTATACAAAGGGTAAACTTCCAATCGTCTGTTGCCGTCACCGGCGTAACCGGCTCCCTAGGAGCCCACCTTGTCTCCAAGCTGTCATCGGACGCCAGCGTTAGCACTATCTACTGTCTGGTCCGAGCCAAGTCCAACGCCGAAGCCTCCCGGCGGGTCAAGGCATCCCTCATCCAAAGGCGAGTCTACCACACGATTTCACCGAAGGGGCGGGCAAAGATTGTCAGTCTATCAGCAGACCTATCGAACGCACAACTCGGGCTTCCCGAAGAAGCTTACCAGGAACTGGTGCGCAGCCTGAAGACCGTCATTCACTGCGCGTGGTCCGTAAACTTCAACATGCGTCTCTCCAGCTTCGAGGACAGCAACATTGCCGGCCTGGCAAACCTCATATCCCTGTGCCAGTCGAGCGACGCCAGTGCCACCTTCAACTTCTGCTCCTCGGTCAGCGCAGTGACGCAGTCGACTGTGGTGCCCGTGCCGGAGACCGTTCCAGATGTCCGGTGGGCACAGGGTATGGGCTACGCGCAGTCCAAGAATGTTGCAGAGAACCTCTGCTACAGGGCAGCCGATCGCGGAGTCACTGCTCGCGTACTCCGTCTGGGTCAGATTGTGGCCGACACCCAACACGGGGTGTGGAACAGCACCGAGGCCATCCCGCTCATGCTCCAGTCTGCACTGACAATCGGGGCACTGCCAAAGATACGGGAGACACCTTCCTGGCTCCCAGTCGACACTGCCGCCCAGGCAGTTGCGGAGATATCTCTGTCGGAAGAAGCCGGCAGCACCTTTGCAAATGTGACGAATCCCAAACTCTTTGACTGGACCGAGGACCTCCTTCCGGCCCTCAAGGCGGCCGGCCTCAGGTTTGAAGAGGTCGAACCCAAGGAGTGGGTGCGTCGACTCCGCGCGTCGGACCCGGACCCGACCAGGAACCCGCCCATCAAGCTCGTCGACTTCTTCGCAGCCAAATACGACAAGGACGACTTCGTCCGCTCCAAGACGTACGTCACCGACACTGCTTGCACCCTGTCACCCGCACTCGCCGAGGCCCCTGTTCTCGACCGAGACATGGTGAAGAGTTTTGTGACACATTTCCGGGAGAACGCCTGGTCTGAGCCGCAGGTGAAGAAGACAAAATCCGTCATCTTTGCTGCCGGAGCCAAGGAGAGCACCAGGTCTGCCGTGGCGACTGGCCTGTCCCAGGAGCTGCGGGTGCCCTGCATCGCGGCCGATGCTCTCCACCATAGGGAGTGCGTCGACAATGCGGAGGCACCGAGGCCCCTGTCTGACAGCGACTTGACCCTGCGGCTGGAGCGTCTTGCGGAGAGGGCGCTGGAGGAGGTTGAAGAGTCGGGACACAACTCCGTCGTCGTGGGGGTCTCTCCTCTCGGTAAGTCGCACCGCGACTACCTTCGACGGCGTATCGGGCAGTCGGCGAGGACCATGTTCCTGGATATTCAAGGTGATTCGACGGGAGATAGGCCTCTCTACGAGGCGCCGGGAGTGGATGAATTGGATGTGTTGCCGGTGGATGACGGAAGCCTACTGGAGGAGGAGGCTGTTGATGAAGCGATGTGGATCTTGAGACAGAGCGGGATCGTGACGGATGCGTAGAATGGAAAGCATGGTGTTTCACCGACGAGAATGGTGAACGGTATATCCTAAACGATACAATCTCCTTTATACATATTCCTGTATAGAGTGAGCAGCAAGTATTACCGGATCCAATGCTTCGACGTCAAATAAGAGGAGGCTCTACATACTCATACTATCTAAAGAGATATAGCTACCTTGCCGCCGAAACGGAAGACGATCCTCTTTCTCCATGTACCACATCTTTTTTTTTCCCTTTCTTTTTAACCGCTTCGTCCCATCACGATATACCTAGAGATTTCCGTGGCCCGATTTGAAACCGACCATGTTATTAGTTAGAGCGCGGATGAAAGATGGAGCAGAGAGCTCCCAGGCTCCACCGACTTGGCATGATACCTCATTTACCAACACCCCGTACATGTGAATTTTTCTACGGCCCTATGATAGGCTCACCCGCTGCTGGGAGGGGGGGAAGCGGGTTTGATGGTTTGCGTGGGCTATTTCGCCATGGCCATCCACTTGTGGATACCGAGTGTATTCGTGCTCGGGAGTTGATACCATGGCGTGGGACGGAACGATGAGGGCAGTGAAAGGGGAGAGGGGAGAGGGGAGAGGGGAGAGGGGGGGGAAGCTTCTGTTTCCTTGATTATAATCTTCAACGTGTTCACCGCATAATATAGCAAAGGCTGTGTAGAGTTGTGGCCGGGGTGATATGCATGTCGGCTGTCCAGACTCCAGATTGCGTCCTAGACCTGTACTAAAGATACAAGTGTCAAGAGGTCGTGACAGGCCCACGTATCATTATACAACCAGTAACAGCCCCAGTGAGGCTTTCCGACCGTCCATGACGCTAAAATAGACGGGGAAAGCTGGGATGCTTCAGCACCACCGACCGTCTGAGCGAATAATGTTCCGGTTGCGCGGATATCGCGACATGGCGTCGTCGAGCCAGTCCCCACGTGCGGGACCAGGAGGGGAGTATTCTCATGACGTCCGACGAGGTCTGTCGGCTGGAGAGTCGTGGATAGCGTCAAAGAGGAAGCCATGTGGGCGTCGTCGTAGCCGCCACCTGTCAGGCTGTCACTAACATATAAGGGCGGTGTGGGTGTTGACTTGGCGAGCACGTGGGACAGACAGAAGCAGCCATCACATGGTCCACGACACCGTCAACAGTGCCGATCCGTAAAGAGCAATGGTCTGGGGCTGGGGAAGGGGGGTCGGTATCTTGGAAGGACACAAGTCGGATTGAGGGTATATGATTATCTTGATGGTGATGTCTTCAACTACTGGTATGACTGAGCTCTATCTTTACCGTCCTCCGATACTCGAGGATCTATAAACTTGTAAACCCCCCTCCCCCCCCTCCCCCCCCCACATGAATAGGGGGGGGGGCCCAAAAAACCGGTTTCCGCTTCAACTTGAACTAGTGTCTGTAATCCGTAACCCTGGACGAGATGGCGGAGGAGTGTTTCGGACGCGTGCTGGGTTGGCGGCTGTCGGTGGGTATTAGCTGACTGCGTATACAGGAGTTGGCAGATTTCCTGCCCGTTGCCTCCAAGACCAACCCCATATCTTCCTACGAATAGTCCAGTCCATAGACGGCATATTATATGGTGCATGCAGTCATACAGAGAGGAAGAAAAAAAAAAAGGGGGGGGGGATATAATGTGGACCATCTGCATCACTGGCACTTACTGTAGATATGCACTAGAGCATGTCGTCGTCGTCGTCGTCGTGCGTGTGCACTGTGCCCACGGCCACGAAATGGAGAGAAGATGCACACAAAGACTCGGGATCAGGCACGGAAGAGTGCGGTTGAAGATGAATTGGCCCTCACGACGATTCTTCTATATTTTCCTCCCTCCCTCCCAGAATTCGGATCGGATGGTGACCGTGAGAGGTTTTGCTTATGCAACAATGTCCCTGCTGCGCGAACGCAGGACAATGCCCAGACTTATTAGCAACGAAGAGGGCGGTGTACCTTGATGGGACTCTCCTGGCTCACCTGTCTATGCTTGCTGATGTCTGGCGCACGCTCCGTGTGACTCTGATGATATGATTGGTGCTTCCAGCATCACTTCCGGCTCCCTGAGCGCTGCCGTCGTTCTCACCCTTGGTGTAGACGGTGACTTCCACAGCCGCGTTCCTATTCTTCCCGCTGGACAGCTTGCCGACAGTCGCTAGTTCGTTGATCTCCCCCTGGCGAGTGTAGCCACCCTTGTTGTGCGAGTGGTCGGTGGAGAAGTCCTTGAAGAGTCTTCGCAGCATGGGCAGACAGCCGGCGATGATGCCGAGGCTACACTCCACCACGGTCCAGATGATTATGTGCCCGATACCCACTTCCCGGCTGTTAGCACTTTCCACCTCTCTATGCAACCGTAAAGGTTCTGGCAGGGGAAGGACTTTGTTTTTGGACTGACAGAGTGAATTGTGCTTGGCCGAGTAGGCGGATGAATACGGGAGGCGGACAATGGTAGCGATCGACGCTCTTTTGTGCACGGCGGCAGATGCGGAGTCAGTCGGGGACAGGCCACGAGGAGAGGGGAGTGATGAGATGCGATGCGATGATGCGATGCATCTCAACTCAACTTACAGGACGCCGACGCCCATGACAAGGCCGCACATGATCTTCAGCTTCCGCTGCATCTGAAGTCCCTTGAGGATGAATATGGGGATGATGGCCACGCCCCAATCCGACACGATGTTGACGGCCGACACCACGTATGTGAGGGCGATGATGAGGCTCTGGTCCAGGCATTTACCGTCGCCGGTCCATGAAGCCGAAACGGGGCGGCATCGAGCGAGGACGACCACCATGCCGATGAGGGTTGCCGCGGCGGTCATGGCAATGAGTATGTAGAGGAAGATCTTGTATAGGCGTTGGGTGGCGATTCGGGAAATCTGCACAGCAATCGAGGTCTTGATCATGAGGGAGCTGGTGACGTAGAATATCTGCCAGAAGACCGTTGCCTATGTACAGCCGTCAGCTGGCCGGACACTTTGTCGAGGAGGAGGAGGAGGAGGAGGAGGAGGGATATGGGAAGCGAATTCTCGGATCCAGAGTCGTCTTCGCCTTACCTTTGCAGATTCCATCATATTACCTGGGGATAACTTGCTGTCCGGTGTCCCGACTCCGGCAAAGACTGACCACAAGACGATCCCGTTGTGTATCATATTCAGGAACTTGTGATGGTCAACATCTCAGCAACTCGCACCTGCCGTCGTACCAGACAAGAAAAAGACTGGAGCATGAGGAGATGATTGACATACCACGCCTACAGACATCAGGTAATCCTCTGCTAGGAGGTACGGGCCGTAGCTTATCCTGATCCAGATGCGGACCACGAAGATGGGTAGGCAGATTGCCGTAAACATGATTGTCACGCCTAGCATCGACGCCGCAAACCCCACGGGCTTGATCGGCTCCCAGTCGTAGTCGACCATGATGGGCTGGTCTGTGAAGCCGTCAAGGATATCGTGCTGTCGTGAAGTGAGAGTTCAGCGCCGCCTATTCAGGGGTTTCGTCCCTTTTCTTTCCACTCCCGTGGCGAATCGAATCACGTGGGTGATATACTCGTAGCTGGCGAGGGTGTTACCGGTCATATATACTCTGTACTGGGAGCCGGATAATATGCTTAATCGACGGCGCGGCCTTTCACACCATTAATGCCTCCAAGGCTGGCGAGTCCATACATTCGAGCCGTAATGATGGTTCTTTCTGCGGCGATGGAAGTCCTCAACGGTTCCTGTCTTGCTTGCCCATGCTGCATTCTGTCTGGAACCTTGTCAACTCGTACGCGTGTTGCCTCTTTTTAATCTCCTCCTCTGCCCTTCTTTTATTACAGCCCCGCTGGGTGAGACAGGTTGTCTCCCCTGGCCCAAACCTGTTCCTTGCTGTTCTCCTGTGACTGGTGAGAGGACGTCTTCGTCTTCCTTGGTTGACATGATACATCTCCATACATGGCAGACCCCTTGTTCGCCAAGGTTCCCGTTGCAGTAGAGACCCATCTCCGAATACTACACGCACTTCTGACTGGAGGCTGCGCCCACATAACGTACGAGGGCGGACCCGAGTGCGAGCTCAATGCTACTTTGTACTTTTAAATATGATTTATCACGCACTGAAATCCTGTTAGCTGGCCACTTCCTACAGGCTACAGTACGGAAATATTATAAGACGGCACAGACCAGGCCAGGCTACGTGCGATAATACTTAATGCCACATAATCCCCCCCCCCCCCTTTTCCTCTCTCCTAAAAAGAAAATAACTTAATTGTACATCGTATTGCCTATCCTCCCAAAAAAAAACTGACAAGTCTCGTCTTCCCTAACTTGGCATCCTTGCAAACCACTTTTTCGAAACATGGAACCCTACGCCATCAAGGGGAAGCATGCCATCGTGACCGGTGCAGGGTCCGGTAAGCCTTCAATCTCCTTGCCGCGACGGGGCGAAGTCGACTGACTGAATCTGCTAGGAATCTGCCTGGCCTTGGCCCGGAAAATGCTCGAGGCCGGTTGTTCGATCGTGATTGCCGACATTCGGCTTACGCCTGAGGCACAGGCCCTCGTCGAGAAGTGGACCAGCCCTGAAGCTGGCCCCGATACAGTGACTGCCTTCTACCAGAAAACAGACATGGCCGACTGGGCCCAGATCAAGACGCTCTGGGAAGTGTCCCTGGCCCACTTCGGTGTCGTTGACATCGTCGTCAGCGGCGCTGGGCTGTACGAGCCTCCCTCCAGCTCGTTTTGGTACCCTCCCGGAAAGTCGCCGTTGGCCCAGGATGCGATCGACACCAATCCCGGCGTCTACAGATCCTTCGCCGTGAACACCATGGGTCCGATCCGGCTCGCTCAGTTTGCCATTGACTACTGGTTGGACAACCGCGACACGGTCAAGGGCAACCTCGTCTGGATCGCCAGTCTCGGAGCCTACGTCCACTCCTTCCAGACGCCAATGTACTTTGCCAGCAAGGCGGCCATCGTCAGCTTTGTGAGGTCGCTCGGTTGCTTGAGGAAGCGGTTCGGCATCAGGAACTCGGCCCTGTGTCCCGGGCTCGTAGATGTATGTCGAGCCTCTGTGTCTCGCTGCTGCGTGGCTGCTGTGTGCTAACGTGCCGATCGCAGACGCCTATCTTCAACCCCGAATACTGCCGTGCCCGGGTTGCTCCCGATGACTTGAAGCTGTCGCCGGACCAGGCCGCCGACGTCGTCCTCAGCCTCATCACCGATGCCAAGTACGGTGATGGAAACGTTGTCGAGACGATGCTCGTGGGAACCAAGGACGATCCCAAGGTCAACGTCCGTGAGGTACCGCTTGAGGCTCTGTACCCAACTGTTGGCCCTGTGGGTTCGGACAATCACTTGCTGGAAGAGGAGGAGAAGTTTATCCAACATGTTGAGAAGCATGGGATGCACTTTTAGATCATGGCCGTCCCGTCGGCACCATCTCCCTCCTCTGCCTTGATAGAAAGCAGCCGGCGCGGCCAGACACCTTCGGACTGATGTCGAACGGCTTGGCGTTCATACTACCAGTCCCAGTACATGTAGTTGTTAGCGTAACGACTGCACACCAACACCTACGTCATCAACAACCTGCAATCGCTAATGTGATTCCTTGTTGATGGCCTGAGGCCATAGTGTCACGTGTGCAACCGGAACATTCGGTTTCGTCAGCCCCGGTTGAATGCATCATCATCACCTTCATCTTTCCCCCTTGTGTGCATACCCTGTTGATGCCCATCACCACGTCCTCTATAGACCGCCAACGCTCTCGGGTTCGAGATTGCAGGCCACATTTCGTCGCTAGTACTTGCAAGATATGCTGGAAATCCCTCGACTCAAGCCACTGACCAACTATGGACTGACAGTTGGGAAGTGACAGTTGGGAAGCGCCAGCTGTACGAGACCGTGGCCTACTTCAAACCAAAAGCCAGCAGCAAAAGGCTATATGATGGACCGCTACTCATAACAAATATGTCCGATTTTTGAACAAGGCAAAAGAGTCGGATGATAACTTCATGCGCGCCTTTTCTAGAACCATGGAGATTCCTATAATATGAGAGTCACCAATCGATCATGCCGCTCTGGACGCAAAGACTTGAGAGAAACGAAGTTCCACGACTTGGCTACATATTTATCGGGATGGCCTCTTCATTCCATGCATGTCATTCTACGCTATCGAATTCCATCACAACAAGACCTTGCATAGCTAAATGTGCTTTTTCAAAAGCAGCTGGCAGTCGAACGGCTCAGCCGTCGCCTAAACTCGACTTAACCACGGTCAGACTGAGGCGAGGTCGCCTAGAAATAGGCGCACGGGAACGGTTGGGCACCCTTCGCGCGCTGTGTCACGATGTCACGAGCGTCACCGTCACCGTCACCGTCACCATTGTGCAGTCACATGTGCGTTCGGATCTTCGCGGATGTGAGGTTCGTGATGGTGACACTACTTGCGACGACGATGGACATTATCTTGCGAGCGAGGAGAATGTCGTCTAGCTTTTTGTCATACTCTTCTGCCGCTATGGTGGGCCGGAAAGCAAAGCTGTCCCGTGTTGTGTTCTGACAGTGACGGCGTCGAGTCTGACGGTATAGGCGTCGGAATCGACATGTGAGTAAGACCGTGTAAGAGGAACGGCGGGGATTGTGAGCTGTGAGAAGGTATCGGGATGTAGTGGGATAACACAGTATCTTGATGAGGACAAACACTACAAACACTTCTGCCTCACATTCAAATAGTAGCAGGTCAGGTGTTCTGCGGTGCCAAGGTGAGATCTTGTCTTGTATTCTTGTTGCGATGCTGAACTCGACGGTTTTATGGTCGAGTCCCGCTTAGCTAAGCTATGAACTGTTTTGCTATGACACTTTTAGAGGTCGTCCATATCCTCCTATATGCCTTGGCTAGGTCCAATTCGAACTTCGAGACTAGGACCGGTAAGTAAGCTTTTATGTCTACTGATCATACACAGCATGTATCATTTCCACTACTATACGTTCAAGGACGATGCTAAAAAAGACAGCGTTGGACATCCTCAGCATGTTGGACGACGGGATATCTTCCCTAGTGACCGACGTTGGTCTCGATAAGCCCCGCAAAGCTGCGGCCATGACTCCAGCTTTGCGTTCAATGTTGGGCAAATTCGACTTCTTCTTCTTCGAAGCGTCGCCAAACCTGCATGAGCAGCCGGCATATCGCATCGGACATTTTCTTCCACCAGTTATGGCCCGTAACCAAAGCCTGCCAGTGACACGTACGCTATTCACCTCCGCAACTATCGACCCGCCACTGCCACGCCTGCTCGCCGTGCATCGGACAGGTCGCACACATCCTACATCGATCCAGTACGGGCGGATACATTGGCAGAATCATCCGGGATCTATGACGACGACAGCATTCTCTCCGACGGGACTACCCCGCTGGACGATCTCGTGAGGCTGACAGTCGGCGGATGGCGGGTGCACGGGATATCCGGCTGATGCCTGGTCGAGGAGATATTGGGAAAACTTCTCAGATGGTAGCCTATGTCATCGGAGGCCGTATTCTCGTAGTCGTGCGAGAGACAGGTCACACAAAAGCCAAGCAGCCGGTCATGTCAGCTTGTATTCGTAGTACGTTTCGTACCAAGCAGCAGACATAGTGGCACTCGATCGGTACTACTACCCCCCCCCCCCCCCCCCCTCTGGAGTAATCGCGACGAATGCGTCCTGACGTAGGAACGATGTACTTGTACGCATTCGGGATATCAGCCATGACAATCCATCGGGCAAGAGTAGCGGAACACAACGTCAGATGTCGTGGCCGCCAACCAGACAAGATACCGTCGTCTCCGGCTGCATTCTGTGTCCACACCTGATGCACTCCTCTGGATCGTGAAGCGCCCACGACGTTGGCCCCTCGTCTAAACCGGAGCTTGGCCTCAGACAGGCCCTTGTACGGGCTTGGCCTTTTTATTTTTTGCTAATCTTTTTTTTTTCCGTCTTTGTCTCGTCTGTTTGCCTGCCAAGGTTGCCGCTGTTGCCGCCGTTGACAAAAGGATGGCCTTGCTAAGTGGTGATGAGGAGCCCCGTCCAGGCTCGGAGAGGGGCTTTCCGTTCCAATCGATTAGTGGGAGCTCAAGCGTTTGTGCGCGCGCGAGAGCACATCGTCAGCGGTGACGTTGCGGGATTGCGGCGTCTTTGCTAGCTTCCTACTCCCGTTCTCATCAGCCCTTTTCTTCTCCCTCATTCTTGTTTGATATCCTTCCTATCTGGTAGAGACGCCTTCATATCCGTTATCTTCCACCACGGATGATGGTAGTCTTGCCATTATGTATTACCTATGTATTACCTATCAGCGTGGGTCTGATCGGTGGTGAGTGTCGTATCGACGTTTGCGCTGTGACGGGCTAGCCTCGATGGACCAGTCTGGTAGCTTCAACTAAGTCTACGAGTGCTCAGCGATGAAGGGGAAAGAAGACGATGGAATCTAGCCACAGACAGGAGAGGGGAAGCTGTCTGCAGCTTCTCTGAGGGGTCCACCGTGGGTCCCGCGGTGTACTGTGAGGGCCCTTTGGGAGCTGTATAATGCATGTATTAATAGTTGAGAGGACTGCAGTGGAAGGCTCTGGTTATAGGGTAGTCGGGAGACGTGGCTTCACGTAGACGAGACCATCAGGGTGTCGTGTCAACTAAGCAGTGAAGCACTCACAGTCGCAGGCAGGTGCTTGACGTGATCTTCGTAGGAGGTATCATCTGGAGCATGGTTCTGAAAGAGAAAAGAGTGTGGTGACCCCGGTCGGGGTAGAGTGGTCCGAGTGGAGTCGCATAGTTTGGGCCGCATAAAGTGGGGGTTCGATGTTATTTATGGATATGACAGGAACATGCATGTACGAGCTTTTTCTATTATGATTGTTCTGGGCATGGTTCACTAACAGATTTTGTAGACGATTCTTCTAGTTCTTGAATTATTTTTATTTTTTTAAGTCTGTCTTAATAGAGGAATCGCTGGTTGACCGGCAAAATCGTCTACGCTGGAAGCGAAGATGAGGTTACGTAGACCAGGATCGTATGTACAGCTGTTGACAGGCCTTATTCTCGTGAAGTTTAAGCCCACTTCTCCTTGTTGGCAGCGACGAACTCCTTCCAGGTGGTGGGCTTCTGGTCCAGGAGGGCCAGGCTGGGGGCCAGGTCGGCGCCGGCGTAGTAACCGGGGTCCTCGAGCAGGAGCATGTTCTCGAGCATCTCCTGGGCGATAGCCTCGGGCAGGAACGACTTCCAGGTCTTCTCGTCGACCTGGACGGCGGTGCAGGCCTTGCCAGAAGCCTCGGCGAAGTCGGCGGCCAGCTGCTTGGGGGTGACGTACTCGGTGGCGGCGAGGATCTGCTTGCCGCTCTGGGCGGGGAAGTGCTTGATGGCGGCGACGACGAACTTGCCTGGCGGGGGGGTCAGTACACGAGGGTGGTCATCGGGTGGTCATCGGAAGTGCAAGGTAGTGGGGGTGGGGGAGGGGGCTCTGCTGACCGGTGTCGTTGGCGGCGTCGAACAGGGGCACCTGGGCCTTGTCAACCGAGCAGGGCACGGCGTAGGTGTAGGAGCCGTCCTCGTTCTTGTTGAGGAACTGGAAGTAGTTGAGCATGAAGAAGCCGGGCAGGACGAAGGTAGCCGGAACACCGCTGGCGCGGATGTACTTCTCGATGTCGGCCTTGCCGTCGAAGTGGGTGACGTGGGTGAGCTTGCCCTTGCTGGCCTCGGTCACGTGGATGAGGGAAGAGAAGATGAGGTGCTTGACGCCGGCCTCCTTGGAAGCGTCAGTGACGGCCTTGCCCTGGGCGATCTCAGTCTCGGCGGACATGCTCTCCCAGAAGTTGGTGACGAGGAAGACGGTGTGGGCGCCCTGGACGGCGGGGGCGGCAGACTCCTTCGACGACATGTCGGCCTAGGGAATTTTCGGTCAGTCTCTCCTCCCTTCCTCAAGCTGGGATCGGGTCAGGTTCGGGCGATGGCTTACGGAGACGACCTCGACGCCCCTGTCGGCGAGGGCCTTGGCCTTGGGCTTGGTGGTGTCGCGGGTGATGGCACGGATCTTGAACTCCTTGGAGAGCACGGGGTCGGCGAGGACGGTGTCGATGACATTGCCGCCCTGGTTGCCGGTGGCGCCAAAGATGGTGAGGATCTTGGACATGATTGCGGTGGTGGTTATCTGAAGAGCGGAAGTGGTGTCGGGTGAGTGAAGGTTGTGAAGTAGAGGATTGGGATGTTGGATTGAATTGGATTGATGCTTTCTAGTCTTCTCCTCTCAACTTGGCCTCGGGGGTTTGTTCCTTATATCGCAATGATACGCTCGAGAGCTATCATCATTCTTACGTCATGCAGTCCGTCTCGGTATACCCAAGTTTAACCTCATCGCTCAAAACACTCAAAGAACCCCATCCTGCTACCTTTTTTTTGTGGAGCTCCAGAGAAAACCGCTCATACAATTTATAAGCTTTCTTCACCTGCCGTTCAGACAGTTGGGTATCATCCAAGATGCATTCGGCTGCCTCGGCATTTGTAAAATACCGAAGATGCTTTGAAATCGGCTAGACGAACCTTCTAGGCAGCACCAGCATCATGCCAGGCAGCTAGGGCGAGGCAATGTGGCATGGTCACCTCGGCGTTCGTGACAAATGCCGAACAAGCTTCAAGATCCATATTTACGTCACGCAATTGGTAAGCTACGACTGGATGCGTTTCCTCTCCATTGGACGCCACGTATTGATGCGTGAATGCTCTCGGACGGAGTCCCAGTCGACCGCTCGAGGCCCTAGGGTGAAGGTGCTAATGCATGAACATGCAGGCGGCAACGACCGATCCGGTTCGACCGAGTGCTTCCATGACAGCCAGACTAGAATTCTCAATATATGCGAGGCACGGCCGGATTCGATGATGCACAGGTCTGGCCCCACATGTCATATGACATATAACAGCCAGCCCTTCACGCAGGGCAGAATGCATTTCGTCATCACCACCTCTCGCTCAGCTTCTGGATATTAATCTATTTCTGCCCAACACCCGGCTGTCGTCCAGCTGCCCTGTCCAGCTGCCCTGCGATACTCATCACCGTTATTCCCGGCCAGAAACGCTCAAACCCACCCTATCCCACTTCACAAGCCCTAGCCGACCGAAAAGATGACCGTCACGGTAGGAATCGCTGGCATCACCGGCAAGTTCGGCCGTCTGCTCGCCAGCCATCTTCTCAAGAACCCCAGCGTGGAGCTTCGCGGGTACTGCAGGAATGCGGCCAACGTGCCGGCCTTCATCACCGGCGCCAACGTCAAGATCTTCGAGGGCGGCGCCTTCGACTCCCAGGCTGTGCGGCCCTTCGTCGAGGGCTGCGACGTCGTCGCCTGCGCCTACCTCGGCGACGACAAGCTCATGGTGGACGGCCAGAAGGTGCTGATCGACAGCTGCGAGGAGAACAAGGTGCCGCGCTACATCGCCAGCGACTACTCGGTCGACTTCACCAAGCTCGAGCTTGGCCAGCTGTTCCCCAAGGACCCCATGAAGCACGTCAAGGCCTACCTCGACACCAAGCAGAACGTCAAGGGAGTCCACGTCCTCATCGGTGGCTTCATGGAGACCCTGACCAGCCCCTTCTTCGGCCTGTACGATGCCCGCGGCCCGACCTTCCGCTACTGGGGCGACGGCACTGAGGTCTTCGAGGCCTCCACCTACGAGAACGCCGCCGAGTACACCGCCGCCGTCGCTGCCGACACCAGCGCCGTCGGCAAGCAGCACTGTACGTAGCCGCTCCTGCGCTGCCACAATCCGGGACAGCTGACCAGCTAACATTTGTATTCCAGTCCTCGGTGGTGCCGCTTCCGCCAAGGACCTCGCCAAGATCTTCGAGGAGGTCCACGGCATCAAGCCCAAGCTCGAGAGCCTCGGCACCCAGGAGGAGCTCTACACCAAGATGACCGCCCTCCGCGCCCAGTACCCCAACGACATCTTCAAGTACATGGCCCTGTAAGTGTTGAGATACCTCCTCCCTGAGCCCGAGCTCGGCCTCTACTGACATGGCTTCTAGGTACTACACCTACTACATGATCAGCGGAAAGTCTCTGGTCGGTCCCCGCCTGGACAACGACAAGTACCCCAACGTCAAGCCGTTCACCTGGACGGATTTCATCAAGCAGCTGCCTGTGTCCAAGTAAATACGGCTAAACTCTAGGTTCGGGCAGAGTAGCGAAGGAGAAGGAAGGGCGTCGTAGCCAAATTGTCACGGCCCGCCCAGCAAGGAATGCGGTTAGGATATGCGGCCAGGGCCACGTGCCCCCCCTCGGTCACCTCCTCACTTTTCACCTGCCGTCCGCCATTCTTTTTTTTGGGCTCACGGTGAGCTGCTTGCACCACTAGGTCGTGGTTCACCGTGATCCCGTGGGAAAATTTTGTATGTAAAACGGGTGTCATCGCCTCAAGCTATTCAATGTACTGTAACAACTCATGCTCAACGCTTCTGTTTGCACCGATTCACGCATACCGAGTGCCTACGACGACGAACTGCCTCTTTTCACGGTGGGACATCCTGGGTGTCTCGTGAACTCGTCCACCTGGCGGACGCCGAGGCTCTACCCGCTCGGATGAGAAATGAAAAGTTCAATGAGGAGACGTGAAGTGAAGACGAAGGAAGTATATGAGAAGAGCAAGGGGGAGGGCGTCGATGAGGTCACCCAGACGATACGGTTATCCTTCTTCCTCCTACTTAGGACCTCATGGCTCAGATAACCTGAGCTTCAACGTACTGCTCTACTACATGGCGCACGTGATTTAGAAGACGGCCGTCATGTCGATCTTTGGTCAGATCGGATCTATTAGCGGCATAAAGTTCGACGTCGAGAACGTTTTCAAGAGAAGGGCGAAGGTTTAATTCCCACCAATAACGGCGGTCGAGTCGCTATTTTTAGAGGCAGATGCTACTGACAGAGGCGGGATATCAAGTTCTAGAATGGCCCTTACCGGGACCCCGTATTTCCCACTAGCTGCTGTAGTTGCATGTAATGGAAGAACGAGTACGAGTATCGATTCGCTTATAAGGGTTTAGGGTCAGTCGTCGTCGAAGGGCCAAGCCGCTTGTATATGTTCTTAGCTACACGTAGTGTCTCGCAGATATGTATATAATAGTTGACTCTACCCATCTCCACGAGCCTCTGTCCCTTCTACAACCTCAACATCTGAACTCATCCCAGACCCTGGCATTCGATAAGGGCTAAGACGGGGTTGAGCGCTGGATTCATACCAGTAAACCAAAGGGTACCAACATCCTGATAACATCATCCCCCCCCCAACTCCCGCACACGTCCCGGTAGGTGGTGACGTCTTTGTCGAGATGTTGTCGACGTCGGTCTTGGGCCCGGGCTGAGGGTAGAGCACGTCGGTGCCCTCGACAGCGGTGCACCCGTTCCCGTTGCTTGCGAAGAAGGTGGCGGGGCGGTCGGCGAAGGGCGTGTCGGCAGTCCCCGCGCCAGCCTGGATGGTGACGACGGACTCACATGTCGCACTCGCGTCGTCTCTGTCATCATCTCCTGGGCGTGTACGGAGTATATGTAGGTGCGTTCACGTTAGGATGGATGCATGTCCGAAAATTTAAGAAGCTTTCGTCTCGAAGACAAAAGGAACATGTCATTTAACCTCGCGTGAAAGGTCTGGGACATGCATCTTCATCACAGATCTGGATGCGTATACTTGTGGAGCCTCCAGGGTACCCCTACTAGTTAGTAGGGATGGGATGTAATATGTAAGACCATCTCCTCTAATGCCCATCATGCACAACTCATTTCTAGGTAAATTGCTACATAGAGAATAGAGACTGGCGCGCAGGGAGGGGAGGGGGGGGGGGGGCTGAGACCAACATGACATCGTCCCTGAACATATATGGTTGATGGGCTCACAGAACCCAACAACAGACCAAACTACGTATAACGCAGTTGATTTCTCTCAAACTGGTTGGACATATCTACAGGATGAGAGAACCTCAACCCCAACCCCAACCCCCCCTTGAACGTGCACGTCGCACTCTATCACCAGTGGTGACGTTAACTTCTGGCTGCTTAGTCCTGACATCTAAAACCTGACTAGGACGGGACCTACCTAATCGGGACCATCACCTGGGCCGGAGGGCGATCCTACTGGTCCATCCTCCGTTGGGAGAACTAGACACCGGAAACTTGGCACACCGGGATGGACAAGGGGCGGGAAGTAAACGCGTGTGGTGTGTTTGTTGGATTGAGATGCACAGACGCACCTGAGGTGCTGTGGGAGTCTTGTTGATTTGACTGAATTACTGTGCATCGAGTCAAAACTGAGGAATGGGATTCAAAGGATTGGATCCTAACGCCCCTGATAACCGTATGTATACCTTTCCGCTTCCTCCCTTTGCATTTGGTTGCATCGAACCTCCAAGACAGAAGAGAGTAAACATCCGCCACGATGAACAGTGTGGCACGCCTTTTTGTGGCACCCAATATTGATGACTAAGCAACCAGAGGCTTCATCGTCACACTCGCATCTGTAGATAGCCTCATAGATAGATTTCCTTTCCTTTATAAAAAGCAAGCACCAAGACACACACTCATCGGCCCAGGACGTATCAGTAGGCAGAGAACACTGTATTCACGTTTACGAGTCATCGTGTGCTGTCGCCAGCAGGGAGCACACTTTATCTACTCTAGGGTATGCCTTGAGGCGTCCAAGCCTGGCTTCTAGTGAGCTCTCCTCTCCTCATGACGTGGTCCGTGGACAGATATTAAACGTATGTGTGCTCCGTAGTTCTAGCATTTATATTGAGCGCAGCGTATGTGAAAAGAAGAAGCGACTGTGTCATCGCCATATTACTATTATCAGCGATTCACCCGCGTCCGCCCATTGCGTCGTCCCCCATTCGGTAACGGCGGTATATACGGCAGTAAGGTCACTGCCTTCCTCTGCGGCATCGCCACCTCTGTGTTAATGGCACGCCACATCTCGCCCACCGTAGGCCGTCGTGCGGGTAGCATACTGTACTGCAGGCTGTACAGGTCCCTCCGGTCGATGGGCGGAACATATTTGCCCGTCAGGAGGCAAAGGAGCACGCTCGGTGAGAGGTAGTGCTTGCGGATGCGGTTCGCCATCTGGAAATACTGATGAAACATGGCTTTGAAGCTGAGTGGTATAGACTGCAGGTTGCACACGTCAGTTTCCTTCTCTCCTCGCCCAGCTGCCAACACAGGTACCTATACAACGGTGCAGTGAGCAGTTCGTACCTTGAGATAGATGACCGACGTAGGTAGGTCTTTGGATCCATCATTCGATTGAGGAGCATTGTTTTCTTGGCTATCTCGAAGTTCAAAATGAATTCCGCCTGTATTTTGCATTCCACGTTAGTCTAGTCCGATTTTCTTGTGTGTTCAAGAGCTCGCAGGAGACACCGCCAAGTTGACTGGTCGCAGTAAGGAGGTCGACAACTTACCTGGCAAACGTCTAGGGTCCTTGCATCTCAACATGAATGCAAACAAGGGGAAGTGGTTCAGGAACGAGAGGCACGTGTCAAACGAGGCCTTGAACGAGATGATGACCATTCTTGCAATGGCAAAGTTCAGGTAGAATACCACCACTGTCGGGAGCAAAAAGAAGAGTACGGTAAACAGAATGGTACCGACCAGCAGCTGGTCGAGATCGTAGTCGCAAGAGTCTATACGGTTGCGGAGGACATTGTGCTTTCTCCCGCGGAACAGATGGAACAGGGATTGCAGGATCGTCAGCTGCCAGTGGAAAATGCGCGCTGAGGCAAGGTAAAACGAATATATGTGGATGGTGAGTGCTGACAAGAAGTCCGACATGATGGCTACGGGCATGCTGGCCCCCGCAAAAGACGAGAAACCAACCACCCAGACAACCCTAGGCAAGGCCGGCGCCAAGGCATCGACACAATCTGCACCAGTCTCATGTTAGCATATCCAAGCACTTCAGGCACAGGCCAGAAGTCTCTCACGGCAACTCACTCGACCAATACTCTATGACCCAGAGAAACAAGTCACCCAGAAAGGCGGCCAGCTCTCCATTCAGCTTCAGACCAGCTGGCCAGCCCATGAGCCACGATATGCTCCTCTGCAGGGCTTCGACCGTGTACGTGCGCAGGAGCGCGTTTATCCGCTCGGCAACCCAGTCGGCATTGTCGATTATGAATGAGCCGAGGGCTAGGCCGATGATGACGTCGTTGGCGACGAGCCAGAGGCTGTTGTAGAAGCGGATGTAGTCGGCGTGGCTGGTGTTGATGCTGGCCCAGGTGCTATTCCACTTGCGCAGAGTCACATACTGCATGGGCCAGTAGCAAAACTGTTGTAGGCGTATCTCAATCTGTTGAGCTGTGGCCGACACGTCCTTGAGAGCCGCATACCCAGGTCGCACGCGAAACTCGAGCAAGAAGAGCAGCCCCTCGGCGAGCAGGCGGTGGGCTAGCAGTAGGAGGATGAACGCTCGGCGGATAGTGGGGAACAGGTAGAAGGTGAAGAAGTCGAGCAGAGACATGAGAACGTAGTTGCGCATGGTGGCGGCCGACTCGGCAACGCGCTCAGACACACTAAGCCCGCGCTTCGGCCTGGGGCCCAGGCGTCCGACATTCTTCTGCAATGTCTGCTCAAGCTCCCAAGACCAGTTGACCTGGTTGACAATCTTAGGCAGTGCCCGGTCACGCGCCGACGGCACCCTTTTCTGGATGGTGTGCTGCTTCAGCTTCTGGACCAGGTCGCGACGAGCCTCGTTGTCTTTCCGCTCCTTTTTGGCCTCGATACTCTCGACGTCGTCGGGCTTGACGTGAGAAAAAGCGGGATCGTGGTCATCAAGGGCCAAGGCAATGGGGTTGAGGGATATGTATTGCATGCCTTGAGGCTTCGGTCGGTCGTAGAGGATCAGCTGCACGCTCGAGGCCTTGGCGCAGGTGATTCGCGGTGTGCGCAGTGCCGGACCGGTGGTGGCACAGACCCACGATGGGTCGAGGGTTGTGGAATCGAGGGCGTTGGTGACACCGAGGATGTGCATCGACGAGTGGCCACAGAGGTCGAACGCTTGGGCGGGTGTGTATGGACAGGCCAGAAAGAATGTTCCAGCCTTAAGGTGGTACTCGACGTTGAGGGCGTCGACATCATCGAGGATAGCGACAACGAGAACGTCCAGAGTTGAGTTTCTCCAGCCGACGACGACGCCAGGCCGATTGGAGTGGGCGACGTCTGTCGGCCAGAACACTCTCATAAGCCCATCATGTTCTACCATGTCAACCGCTTGTCGTAGTATTATGTCGTGTCCCGATGGCGGAGGGGGGTGAGGCGCGGCCTAGAAGGAGCCCCGTCGTCTGAGTTGCTCTCGCGCGGATACGCCGAAGCCTGGTGCTCGTGGGTGCTGTTCCTCTGTTAGATTTGCTGCTGGTTGTATGAGAAAGTCGGAGACAGAGGAGAGGAGTGCGTACCAGAGTTCCTTCTTTTCGAGCGAGAAGCACAATGGGTACAAATATGGTGAGGAAAAGGACGCTCAGGGCAACAAAGCCTCGGGCAGCGCGCGACTAATTGAGCAAAAAGCAATGGTCAGTCCGGACCGTCGTATCGGAGAGATAGCAAAACAGGAACAAGAGAAACTTACAACCACGCCGTTCTCCCAAGCAAAAATGGTCAGCTCATAGAGACGAGTGACAAGGTCCCAACGGGCAGTGATGTAGCCAGCAACAAAGATGCCGAGGGTAAGGACAGAGAAGGGGTGCATAGAGCGCTCTAGCTATGGGGCCTGCCCTCGCAGCGCATGCCTCACGTCGCGTCGGCGCTGGTAGATCGATGCTGTCCAGGTTGGACGCGGGGCGACAGTAATATCCCCAGCTGCCTATTTTCCCGGTCTGATGGTGCGGGAGCCTTGGTGCATCGCACAACAAGGCAGTGCTGTTGCCGTCGTCGTCGTCGAGAGCCGGTCGGTGGGGTTGTTGCTTGGCGATGGGGTATTACGAACAGGACACGAACGAATTCGATTCTTGGCGGGGTGGTATAGCGATACGGACAAAAAAAAAGAGCGACGGGATGGACTATGAGTAGCCAAGCAACAACGGATTATACAATGGAGTCCTGGTCCAGGGTGACGTAGGGACGTCAAAGAGAGGGAAGAAGGTAGGGAGAGGGAGGAAGAGAGGGAAAGGGAGAGATGAAATAAAAAAATAAATTATTAGAAAAAGAGAATGAGGCAAACGCTGTGACGGCGATGCGCGGCAGGTACGTCGATGGCTCTTTCCCTGTTCTGCTGTTGGCTAATAAAATGGCAAGAGCTCCTGTTTTTGGGTAGCTTTTTCCCCTGAACAGTCCTGTCCTTCCCTTCTGGGACCAGCAGCCAACGGCGGGTTGAAACCTATGAGATCACATGACATGGGTAAGATAGAGAGAGCAAGAAGAATGACGATGACGCTTTAAATCTATGATTTTACAGTTGGTATATAGTAGATGAGAAGGATGAGTGAGATATTGAGAGATAGAGAGAGAGAGAGAGAGACACCCATGCAAAAATGTTCCTGCGCGTAAGACTGCTTGGCCATTAGACTGTCAAATTGTCATCTTGGCACGTTAGACAGGCCAAGTGTCATGGTGTCCTTTCTTTATTACTCTAGAGTTGGTTAGAAAGAGGGAAACCCATGTGAAGGCGGATAGATTGACTGTCGGATGGCAAGGACGGCGAACAGACAGTATTACTCACTCTTGGGTGGTGCGTTGAGCCTCACGTCATTCTCCTTGTTGTCCTCCCTGGCTTCTTCGAGCAACTTGTCGATCCCCCTCGCCTTCAGGGCAACCTAGCAGAGAGTCAGGACGACATTCACACATAGCAAAGAGGTGAAACTCACTCCAAGGCACTTCTGGTACTCGGTAAAGAGACCAGCGCACTCCTTGTTGTCCTTTTCCACTCCACGGAGATACTCTGATAGGGCTCGTTAGCTGACATGGATGGGGAGGGCGACGACTGAGAGAACCTACTCTCACTGTACCACTTGAGGAAGCACGTATCATAGCGCCTGTAGAGTGGTCAGTAGATTCCAATGGATGAGACGACAAGAGGACAGACATACTCCTTGACTTCGTTGCATTCGGGTGCCAGTGATGCAGACATGATGGGCGTTGATTTTGAACAATGAAAGAAGAGATGTCATCACCACCCAAAGCCGAAGCGAAGCGAATAGAAACGACTCTCCAGGCCTGAGGCAGGCAAAACGGCTCAGCACCCTTCCGACCTTACGTGTAGAATCTGATCAGAAGATGACTAGAAGCAAAATACTAGTACTCGAAGATAAAATTGAATCCACCGCATCTCTGCTTCCATTGAAGCCTCACTCTTGCTCATACGAATTGAGTCCTCATTGCGCATTACATTGTTGATCGTCTGATTCGCCCTTGCCAACACCAATTAATCTGCATTCAATACCCTGAATCCTTACAGGCGCCTTCCCCCTCCACCCCGCAAAATACCAACCGCCAAACCGCCTGGAATGAACGCCCGACAGTGACGTGACTAGGACTCGACGAAGTTACACTCTACGACTTGCACCATTATACCCCCCACCCCTTCTCGTCACGAATACACGATAATTCTATCTAATAACATTCTTTGTTTCCTACTATTTCCTGGCCTCTGATCCCGTATACAGAGACACGCCATGGCTCCGTCAGCGGCTGAGCTCGAAACCGCCCTCGTCGAAGCTACGTGCAACGTCTACAAGGCGGACCCAGACGCGACGACTGTCAACAAGGTGCGCCGACACACAGAGGAGACGCTCGGTCTCGAAGAGGGATTCTTCGCCGAGGGTGAATGGAAGCAAAAGAGCAAAGAGATCATCAAGGAGCATGTGGTAAGTATGCGCGCGACGACGACGCCAACAACAATATCAACACTAATTAACACGCGTTGCTAACCACTCTGCAGACCAAACTACTTGATGGCTGGACTCTTCCTATGCCGGACAAGGATGAGGAGGGCGAGGCCGGCGACAAGCATGGCGTAAAGCGAACATCCCCCGAACCTGAAGAAGCCAGCGCGGCTCCCAAGAAGAGGCTCAAGGCCGCCGCACCCAAGAAAGCCGCCGCTCCCAAAGCCGCCGCACCCAAAAAGGTAACCGCGTCGAAAAAGGCAGACCCCCGGCCCAAGAACGATACGCCGAAAATCAATAACGACGACGACGACAACGACAACGGTGACCATATCGAAGCCGCGGAGGAGCCCGAAGAAAAGCCGGAAGAAGAAAAGCAACCGGAAGAAGAGGCCAAGCCGCCCGTCGTAGACGAGGAAGAAGAGTACTCGGACGTGATAGATGAACCGCAAGCCCCTCGCAAGCGCAAATTCGCCAAAAATGCCAAACCCAGTAACAACAGCAAGAAGGCCAAGCCCGCCAAAAGGGAGAAGAAGACGACGGCCGCATCCGCAACGCCCGACAACCCGGACGAGACTGAAATCAAGAAACTCCAAGCTCAGCTAGTCAAGTGCGGCATCCGCAAGCTATGGCACAATGAGCTGAAGCGCCACGGCGACGACGCGCGCGCCAAGATCCGCCACCTGCGCAAGATGCTCACCGACGTCGGTATGGAGGGGCGCTTCTCCGAGGCGCGCGCCCGTGAGATCAAGAACACCAGGGAGCTCATGGCCGAGGCCGAGGCGGCCCAAGAGATGAACGCCCTCTGGGGGACGGAGACGAGTGGACGGGCTAGCCGTAGCAAGGCCAAGGCTGCACAGCCCCAGAGACCCACCAAGGCCGAGGTGCTGGTGAGTGACGATGATGAGGAGGAGAGGAGGGGGCTTGGGGATCATGGTAAAGGCGATGATGAGGATGAGGATGCCAGCTTTGCGGTCAGGAGACGTAGGGCACAGGCTGGCTTAGCGTTTCTCGGGGACTACAGCGAATCGGACTGAGCACCTTTTCATTTACAAGGGTTGCACTGCTGTATTCGTCTCTACTCTCACTCTCTGTATTTGTATATATAAAACGACCTGGTCAGTTAGTCCGCCCACCCCCTGTACACGATGCGCGTGCCGTACGTCTCCCCCTTCTTCAGGAGAACCATATTCTTCCACTCGGGGACGTTGACAGCGTTGATCCAGCGACTAGGCTCGCAGCAGAAGCCTGAGCGGGCCGCCCGCGCAGGCAGATTTCCCGTAGCAGGCACGTCAATGAAGCCGCCCGTGTAGAACTGGAAGGCGGGTTCAGTGCTGAGGACCTCGAGGTTGACCCCCGTCTTGGGGTGGTGGGCACTCAGGTTGACCCGCAGAGGACCGCCGCGTGTGTCGATGGGAATCGTGGACGGACCCGTGTCGATGACGAAGCAGTGGTCCACGTCGGGGTCTGTGGGTGTCATGGTAAAGGGCTTGCTCGTGTCGAGACCGGGGAAGGGGACGGGACCACCCGTCGGGATGGCAGTCTCGTCTACAGGGAGATGCTGGTTCGTAGCGAGGGTGATGACGGTGCCCTCACATGTCGGGGCTGTGGGAGCTCCCGCCGGATTAAAGTACGAGTGATTGGTCATGTTGATGGCCGTCTCGTCTGCTCCGTCGACCAGACGTGCCTCGTACTCAATCCCCAGGACTGACACGTCCTTGCCATTGGGGGCGGCGCCCTTTTGGGTGCCTGTAGTATACACGGCCGTCACCTCGACCGTGCCGGGAAAGCCGCCTTCGCCATCGGGACTGGTCAAGCTGTAGGAAAAGCTCTTGGCGTCAGTGAGACCCTCAACACCAGCCATGTCGCGCGTCGAGACTGTCATGGGACCCGTCCACGTCTTCTTGCCCCAGCAGCTGCTACCACTGTGGCACGTGTTACCGCGGTCGTTGACGTCGAGTTCGTACGTCTTGCCGCCATTGAGGGAGTCGATTCGGCCGCCCTTGACACGGTTGGCCACGCGTCCAATCGTCTCACCGAAATACGGCTGGTTATGACTCTCGTATTGATCTGCGGTGTCGAATCCCTGCACAATGTTCCGTCCGTTGACTGTGAAGCTCTGGATGATGGCCCCGAGGGGCAAGAATGTGAAGGCGTCGGCCATGATTGATGGTGAGTGTTCTAAAAAAAGAGGTGAAAACAAGGAAGAATCTGTGTTGCAAAAGTAGCTTACGGTTCACGCAATGAGTAGAACATGACAAAGGAGAAGAGCCCACTGTTAAGTAATACGCTCAGCAACTAACACATGTCCCCAAGACCGACACCCGAAGCTTCGTGGGGTGGCGGGGGAGGGGTAATAGAGTGGAGGGTGAGGGGAACGGCAGATCGTGAGTGGTACGGTTAATAACTGACAGGCTCTCCATGCGAGTGCGGAGTAATAGCACCTAAATTATCAGCTCTATGTGACTTAATTATCCGGCAGGTTTTGGCAAAATATGTGCTGACATTTACGTCAGTCTCGTCAAGCTTCCCCTGCCGGAGGATTTCTTTTATTGAGGCAAAGACGGCTCTCCCGGCCGAAGGTGGCCCCGTCCTGCGGCATCAACGGTCACCGAACCAAACTCTATCAGCATGTGCAGATTCAATCCTGTTTCCTCTAGCTGATTGTCCTAGTAAGCACAAGTATCAGCTTAGACCTGGGCAGATTGGCATGGTATATCAGGTCGCGGCAGCCCCCTCTTTGACCGTTCGAGAACCAACCGTAGCACTCTCCTGTAAGCCGGCCGCATATGCTTCCCGGCCTCACGTCCGTGACGCGGGGCACCAAGAACACTGGGGACCGTCGTCTTCATACAACCGAGGCGGTATTGGACCAAGGGATTGTCCCTTCCCTGGAGCTCTGGGAGAGCTGCATGTAAGGTATTCGACCACGTGCATCTAGGCCGGATGCTCAAGTCGGCAGGGCCAGCAGATTCAAACGGGACAAAGACGCTGCTATCCTCTTGCTGAAGACATTCGTTTCCGGAACCCTGAGCCTTTAGGTTCTGCAGCTAGTAAGTCAGTTGCCAACCTTGAAGTCGTGTATGACACCGGGCCAAGCTTCCAGACAAGAATCCCAACTCGGTTCTTTGCTGTCTTCATGGCGGATGAACGGGCACAACCGCCTGCTGAGTTTGCAGTCATATGACTTGCAAAAGCGAGAACCGTCCTTCTCGACTCGTAAATTCGTAAAGGACGAGAGGAAGCCCCCGCTTGACACAATAACTTGGGTTTAGACACTTACTACCCAGATCATATAACGACAGTGAGTGGACCAAAGAAAAAGATTGTCTTGGAAGTATCCGAAGCGATGAATGAGAGAACTGCACGTAGCACTTGCCTGCTGCCCAACCCTTCAACGTTCCTTCCTCTTTTACCCACTCACTCCATAATATTACATGGCCACGGGATTAGATAACCTGCCATCATCAGCCAGCTTCAGCCAGCCTCAGCCTATGCGCCTTTTCTTCTTCTTCTACCCAGGGCCTAGTATTTTACCATCTCTCGGCTTTCATTTCTCTTCTCATTCAATCGTTTGATATTCTTTCAACAACGATGTTTTAAATACCCCAGTCACTCTCTCAGCAGATAACCCCGGAAGCATCCGTTCGAGACAGGCCAGATTTAAGCCACCATGACCGACTCACCATCGTCTCTCGCAGCTATGAAGCCCACACCCAAGCGCAAGAGAGGCGTCAACACGACCCTCACACCTATCCAGTTTTCATTTGACCCTTCTCGCGTCGTGGAGGATGGTGCCGACAGCCCTCGGTCCAAAGTTGCCCACAAGTTCCATGGCCTGGCAATCGACGGTGAAGGTGGGGGTGGGGTACCCATCGGTTCCAGTATCGGCGATGATGTCAATGTTGCCCATGAGAGCAAGCGTCAGCGGCAAGACGCCGACATGTATGATGGACCCTCGGACGGGCCGCCCGTTGCAGAGCCATCGTCGGTGACCGCCACGGAACCCACTGAAGGTGGTGCAGCATCGCTGCCGTCCGAGCAGCCAGCGTCTCACAACTCCCTCATGGCGGAAATAGCCAAGGCGGTTAGCATGAGGTCGGGCACGCCCCCACCAAGTTTGAGGAAGAGGATGGCCGAGAAGAAGGCCAGGCTTAAGGAAGATGATGAAGAGATGGATATTGTCGATCCTGTGCGTGCAGCCCTCACGTGGCGCGATGAGGAGATAACAATCTACGACCCCGAGGATGTTGACGACGATGGCACGGGGGTCAACGGCGTCGGTTTCAAGCCCACTCCCGCCTTGGCTCACGCTCGTCTCATGAAGCGACGCCAACAGCTGGCCGAGTATCGTCGGCGCGAGGAGGTCGAGGCTAGGGCTTTGCGCACGCAGCGGCGCCGTGGTCAGCACCGGACGTCCTCGTCGCCCGACGGCAGTGGATCGCCTTCACGTAGGGTCCGTTTCAGAGAGGACAAAACTGTATCCTTTATTGCCACGCCATTCTCGGCATAGGAGAAGGGAAATGGCTGATGTTGGGTTTCATTGGGAATTAATGTCATCTTCTTACCAGTTTACGGTGTTTTATACAGATTCCTTCTTTCTTTTCTTTGCCAGCATTTGGTCATGTGAACAAGAATTAAGATCAACACTTCTCATACTCTTGATACGGGCAACGGAATGGGAGCACTGTTCTTCTGGGGCATACTCTTATTTACTTATTTTGCCTTTACCTTTGGTTCTTGCATCTTCTTTTCCACCAATGCCTTTCCAACTCCGAGGGACAATGCAAGAAAAGGAGGTCCTTCTCCCCTCTCCTGTTTTATACAAAATTGACATGTAGTAGTAATGATACAAAATTTATACACGGCCCACGGCCCGCAGTTGGCGTTTGTCCGCTCTACCAGAACTTGTACCAGGATTTTTGGGCCTTCTTCTCCTCCATCTGCTTCTTCTGCTCTTCGGCCTGCTTCTGCGCCTGCTCTCTTCGGCTCCTGTTGACAACCTCGATATGTCGCTTCATGTCGCGTTTCTCGCATCGTCGGAGGTACTGGCAGTATTCGTACGAGGCTACGCTTCCTAGGATAAAGAAGCCGGCAGCAAAGTTGGTGGCCTTGCCAATGTTGCCTGGATTGGGTGTAAGCATGCTGCCCAATCCTCGCTCGCTGCTCCTCTCCCGCCTCCTAGGGAGAATAGCGCCTCTTGGGAATGGAGACAGGTGCGCTCTAGACAGGACTCACCACCAACGACAAAACGCAGACCGCCTGCTCCGAAACCAGCACCAATACCAGTGAGAAAGCCGTTGCGCGCACACGGCGTCTCAGCAACGTTGGCAAAGTCCTCAGGCTTGATCATGCCCACGGCGTCGGTGATAGTCGGTCGCTGGCCGTTGCCGCCTGCCGCCTGCTGGTCCTTTTCGTCGATGGGCTTGGACCAGACGTTCAGCGTCCTCTGATTGGGGTCATTGCCCTTGAAGCCGCCAGGGTTGTCGGGACTGCTGCCATTACCGGGATTCGAGGCCATTTCCACGCCTACATGCAAGGGAGCATGCAAAGAAAAACACAGTTGGAATGGTAGTGTCGAAGTGGGTTTCTCCAAGTGTCCGGGGCGCTTCGACAAGATCAAAGAGAATTGGTGACGGAGCTTTGGAGTTGACATGTGGCGGTGCGGAAGTGGCATAAATGTGGCGTTCCTCGCGAATATGTGGCGCATGCCCATTAAAGATTTAAGTGGGTCAAGGGAGCGTGTCACGCGTCCTGAAGCGCGTCTAGAACGCGTTGGAAATCAATCAATTTGCCTGGACCAGAAGGCGCCCAGGACAGACTACGGGGAGCCAATTGTTGATGGGAGCCCTGGTTTCTCTTTTTTCCATGATCCATCATTTTTGCGCCGTTATCTTTTGTCGTTTCTCTGATTGCCCCAAGACAGCTTCGATATATACATGCACCTAATGACGCCACTATAGACGAGAACATCCTTTCAATCCCCTTTCTCTCTCTCTCCTCCCTCTCTAGAGAACCGAACTTCAACGACGACGACCCCCCCCCCCCCATGGGAGGGGCAACGAATCCCTAACAACACTCACACATCATGTCCAACACATCCCTTCGACGCCCGCAAAAGGGCTTCCGTCGCGGTGGAAAGACAGCCTACCATGGTCCTCGCCAACGGACCTTTGCCGCGTCGACACGTGCAGAGGGCACGTCGGCCGACGAGAAGTGGGAGCGCACACGGCTGGCTCAGACAATCGATGATAACATGGGCTTCTCGCGGTACGACAGTGGTAAGAAGCGTGAGGGCTGGATGGTAGGCATTCAACCCACGTCTATCGAGGACGACAGGTTGCCACATGGCCGTGCCGCCCTGGACTGCTACTTCCTCGAGGAAGATGGGGGTCACTTCAAGGCCACCATTGAATACGAACCTTACTTCCTCGTCGGTATCAAGAAGGGCCACGAGTCCGAGGTTGAGGAGTGGCTCAAGCGTGTTCCTGGAGACGGCATCGTCAAAACAGTCCGTCGCATTGAAAAGGACGACCTCAACATGCCCAATCATCTTATGGGCTACAAGAGACCTTTTCTCGAGCTCAAGTTTGCCAATGTGAATGACCTCATGGCTGCTAGGAGGGACATCATGCCTATTGCTGAGAGGAATAGGAAAAACATGAATGCCATGGATGCTTATGCTGAAGTTGCTACGTATGATCTCCCGTTCTCCCTGACCACTTTATCACCGTCATATACAACTTTGTTGGACTAACACCTCACCAGGGCAAACGGCAACTTTGATATTTTTGACGATTCACGAGACGATGATAGAATGATGAATACTTCCCTCGATGCGAGCGATTATATTGTGGATATCCGAGAGTACGATGTCCCTTACCACGTCAGAGTAATGATAGACAAGAGTAGGTCCACTCTTTAAAAGTGTGTTTGTCTTTTCTTTCTTAGGCGCATTCTAACACGTCGATATAGATCTGCGAGTTGGCAAGTGGTACTGGGTTGAGGCCAAGCACGGAGTTACCAAGATCTTGCCAAATGAGGAGAGGTCTCTCCCAGCCGAGCCTGTTGTCATGGCCTTTGATATCGAAACGACCAAGGCGCCCCTCAAGTTCCCCGACGCAGCCGTTGACGAGATCATGATGATTTCGTACATGATTGACGGTCAGGGATTCCTCATCACCAACCGCCAGATTGTCTCGGAGGACATTTCCGACTTCGACTACACCCCGAAGCCAGAGTACCCCGGCCCCTTTATGATTTTCAACGAACCAGACGAGAAGGCGGTCATTGAGCGATTCTTCCTGCATATCAAGGAGGCCCGACCGTCCGTCATAGCTACATACAACGGAGACTTTTTCGACTGGCCCTTTGTCGAGGCCCGAGCTAGTGTCAACGGCATTGACATGTACGTCGAGATTGGTTGGAAAAAGGACAACGAGGATATCTACAAGTGTAACTATGGTGTTCATATGGACTGCTTCCACTGGGTCAACCGAGACTCTTACCTGCCCCAGGGATCGCGTGGTCTCAAGGCCGTCACCGTTGCCAAGCTGGGCTACGATCCGGACGAGCTTGACCCCGAACTCATGACCCCCTATGCTAGCGAGAGACCCCAGACACTGGCTGAGTACTCCGTCTCTGATGCCGTTGCCACCTACTACCTCTACATGAAATACGTCCATCCCTTCATCTTCTCCCTCTGCACCATTCTCCCCATCGGCGCCGACGACACCCTCCGCAAAGGTACCGGTACCCTCTGCGAAATGCTTCTCATGGTCCAGGCGTATGAGAAGAACATTGTGCTTCCAAACAAGCACACGGCGCCTAACGAGGCCTTTTGGGATGGCCACCTGCTCGACTCGGAAACGTATGTCGGTGGTCACGTCGAGAGTATCGAGGCCGGTGTCTTCCGTGCCGATATTCCCGTCGATTTCTCCGTCGATCCCGGCGCCATTGACGAGCTGCTAAACGACCTGGACGACGCTCTGACATTCTTTATCACCATTGAAGAAAAGAAGAAGCTCGAAGACATCGAAAACTACGACGAGGTCAAGGAGCAAGTCAAGGCCCGCCTGTTGGACATGAAGAAGACGCCGAACCGTCACGAGCGCCCCCTGATCTACCACTTGGATGTCGCATCCATGTATCCCAATATCATGACTACGAACCGTCTCCAGCCCGACTCCATGGTTGATGAGTCGGACTGTGCAGCGTGCGACTTTAACAGGCCGGGGAAGACGTGCGATAGGCGATTGCCCTGGTCGTGGAGAGGAGAGTACATCCCAGCCAAGATGGACGAGTACAAGATGATCCGGAACGCTCTCGAGAACGAACGGTTCCCTGGCAAGACGGTGCATGCCCCGATGCGCACCTTCCAAGAGCTCCCCAAAGATGAGCAGTCCAAACTCATCCGAAAGCGTCTGCAGCTGTACTCTCAAAAGATTTACCACAAGATCCACGACTCGACCACAATCACTAAGGAGGCTATCATCTGCCAACGTGAGAACCCCTTCTACGTCCATACGGTGCGTGACTTCCGTGACCGTCGCTACGACTACAAGGGCAAGACCAAGATGTGGAAGGGCAAGGCCGACAGCCTCAAGGCCGCGGGAGCCCCAGCCAACGAGGTGGAGGCCGCCAAGAAGATGATCATCGTCAACGACTCGCTGCAGCTTGCCCACAAGGTCATTCTCAACTCCTTCTACGGTTACGTCATGCGTAAAGGTTCGCGATGGTACTCGCTCGAGATGGCAGGCGTCACCTGCTTGACAGGTGCCAGGATCATCCAGATGGCCCGGCAGCTGGTCGAGCGCCTGGGGAGGCCCCTGGAGCTGGACACGGACGGTATCTGGTGTATGCTCCCGGCCACGTTCCCCGAGAACTTTGGCTTCAAGCTGAAGAACGGAAAGAAGCTCACGCTGTCGTACCCCTGCGCCATGTTGAACCACCTGGTCTTCCGATACTTCACCAATCACCAGTACCAGACACTGGTGGACCCCAAGAAGCACAAGTACGAGACGCACAGCGACAATACCATTCTGTTCGAGGTCGACGGCCCCTACAAGGCCATGATCCTGCCCACATCCAAGGAGGAGGACAAGAACCTCAAAAAGCGTTACGCTGTCTTCAATGATGACGGAAGCCTGGCTGAGCTCAAGGGTTTCGAGGTCAAGCGTCGTGGTGAGCTCAAGCTCATCAAGATCTTCCAGCAGCAAATCTTCAAGTTCTTCCTCGAGGGCAGCGACCTGACGCAGTGCTACCAGGCTGTCGCCAAGGTTGCCAACCAGTGGCTCGACGTGCTGCACAACAAAGGATCCACACTGGCCGACGAGGAGCTCATGGACCTGATTTCTGAAAACAGGAGCATGTCCAAGACGCTTGAGGAGTACGGCGCACAGAAGTCAACCAGTATCACCACGGCAAAGCGCCTGGCAGACTTTCTCGGAGAGCAGATGGTCAAGGACAAGGGTCTCAACTGCAAGTTCATCATCTGCGCTCGCCCCCGAAACGCCCCCGTCACCGAGCGAGCCGTCCCCGTCGCCATCTTCTCGGCCGAGGAGTCAGTCAAGCGCACGTACCTCAAGAAGTGGCTCAAGGAGGAGCCCACCGACACGGACCCGCGAGCCCTCCTCGACTGGGACTACTACCTCGAGCGTCTCGGCTCCGTCATCCAGAAGCTTATCACCATTCCTGCCGCCCTACAAAAGGTCCGCAACCCGGTCCCGCGCGTGCCTCATCCGGACTGGCTCCAGAGAAGGATCAATATCAAGGATGACAAGATGAAGCAGAAGAAGCTCACCGACCTGTTTGCTTCCTCCAAGGGCCCCCTTGAGGACATAACCAACCTCAATGGGGCCGCGACGCGCAGCATGGACGACATGGAGGACTACGGCAACAGACTACTCAAGCCAAAGACTGTTGGATCCGCCGTGGCTTCGTCGCAGCAGCAGCAGCAGCAGCAGCAGCAGCAGTCACTCACGCCTGTAGCACAGAAGCGCAAGTCTCCGGAGCCTCCAGAGAACCCGGATCCCATGGCAGCTCTACCCAAGGTCATGCCTGATCCGTCTGAGGACTACCCGGCCTTTATCAGCTACCAGAAGCAAAAGTGGAAGATCCAGAAGGAGGCTCGGGTGCGCAGACGACAGCTATTCGGTGACAAGAGAGGTCTGGCGGGCGGTAACATCCAGCAGACATTCATGAAGCAGGCCCACACGACCTTCATGAACACCTGGCAGCTGCTCCATCTCAAGTCGACAGACAGCCCGGGAGTCGTTACAGCCCACGCCCTGATCGATGCCAAGATCCACACGCTCAAGGTCAAGGTCCCGCGACAAGTCTTCCTCAACCTCAAGAGCAAGGATCTCCCTGACGTGGTGATTGAGGGCTGCGAGGTCGAGCAGGTCAACTACACGCTGCCCAACGGACACGCGTCGAGCCATCTGTTCAAGCTGACGGTGCCCGAGGAGATTTACTTCAACGAGGCCGAGAAGTTCTCCCTCCTCTTCAACCACCCTAGCGTCGAGGGCGTGTACGAGACGCAGCTGCCTCTCAACATGCGCGCTGTCCTCCGCCTGGGCAACCTATGCACCGTCGACGAGGAGCAGCAGGGTGTTCTGGGCCGAGGATTGGAGCAGGGGTTCGACCTGGCTGGCCTGAAACGACCCTCCAAGACACGGACCTACCTCGACTCGTGCCCCTTCGCGTACGTGTACATCTCGCACATCACCTCTGGAGAACGACAAATCTTTGGCATCTTCTCGACGACGCACGACCAGGCACACATTGTGATCTTGCAGAAGAACAGGGACTCGGGCCACGACCTGCCCAACGTGACACGCTTCTACTCGGAGATGCTGGCTAAGCGCGCCGAGGAGGCGGCCGGCACGAACTGGCAGGACTGCTTCCGGTATCAGGACAAGGTGTCATTCAAGATTACGCAGGTGACGACCCGACGCAAGGCGCATCTCGAAGTAGGCGACGTGGTCAAGAAGATGCGCAAGGATCAGGTCAGGCCCCAGATGCTGGTGGTCCAGTCGTCACAGTGCAACCAACTCGTCCACGACGTGCCCGTCCTGGGCGAGTTCCCGGTTCTGCCGCTCAAGTACGACGCCACCGACAGTTCGCTGCCCCCGCTGGGTTGGCAGACCGTCGTCGCCCGCCGGCTAGTTGGCCACTACCTCGGTCTCGGATCGTGGATTCTCCACCTCACGGCCCTCGCGCGCTACGGTGACGTGCCCCTGTGCAACCTAGAGCGTGAAGACCCGCGGTTCCTCATCGACGTGGCGTACGCTCGCCGCCTGCAGGCCAACGGGGTCGTCCTGTGGTGGTCACCCGGTCCGCGCCCCGACCACGCCGGATACGAGCGCGACGACCTGCTCGGCCCCCTGGACACGGTAAAGCTGCCCAACGTCAACAACCCGGGCACCTTTTCGTCGGTGTGCGTGGACCTGGATGTGCGCAACCTGGCCATCAACACGATCCTGACGTCGTCGCTCATCAACGAGCTCGAGGGCGCTGGAGCCGACTCCATGTCGTTCAACCCCACGGCGGACGGCTCCGAGATCCTAGAGTCGGAGAGCGCCTTTGCCAACGCCGGCGTCGTGGTCCTGCGAGAGATGGTTAAAGCTTGGTGGGGGGAGGCGTGCCGTGGCAGCACCATGGCCGACGTGCTGGTGCAGCACCTGGTGCGGTGGGTGGAGAGCCCGGATTCGTTCATGTACGACCACGCGCTGCACTACTACGTGCAGATGATGTCGCGCAAGGCCTTCCAGCAGCTGATGGCCGACTTCCGCCGCGTGGGCTCGCAGGTGGTGTTTGCCAGCTCCAACCGGCTGATCCTGCAGACGACCAAGTCCGAGGTCAGCACGGCCTATGCCTACAGCCAGTACATTATCAAGTCGATCAAGAGCAAGCCCCTCTTCCACTTCATCGACCTCGAGATCAAGGAGTACTGGGACTATCTGGTGTGGTACGACGAGTTCAACCACGGCGGCCGGGCCTGCCAGCAGATTACCGAGCCGGCGCCGGGGGCCACGGACGGAGACCAGCCCCTGGAGACGATCATGAACTGGCAGATGGCCACGTTCCTCCCGGCCAGGCTGCAGCCCGTCTTCCAAGACTGGGTGGTCGAGTTCATCGAGCTGATGCACGGTCTCAAGCGACAGTCGGCGGACCCGGACTCGACGCCGCGCCTCACACAGCTCCCGCCCACGGCAACGGACGGCGAGGAGCGCCAGGTGCTTCTCGGCAAGGCGTTCGAGAAGCCCCTTAAGAAGGCGATCTCGGGGCTCGTGGCCCAGCAGAAGCGTGAGATGCTCCACCCGGAACTAGCAGGCGACTACACGTTCCCGCAGCTGCCGGGATCTCACCTGACGACGATGCGCAACCCGATCCTCGAGCTGGTCAAGATGCTGATGCAGGTCCTCTCCTTGGACCGGAGCATCAGTATGGAAGCCCGTCTCCTGCGCAAGGAACTCCTCGCCATGTTTGACGTGCGCGAGTTCTCCCGCGACGGCACCTTTGTCAACCCCTCGGAGACGCTCAAGCTCAGCCAGATCAGCTGCGACAGCTGCACCATGACGCGCGACCTGGACCTCTGCCGCGATAACCTCGACCCATCCCAGAGCCAGACCCAGTCATGGCGCTGCGCCCACTGCGACGCCGAGTTCGACCGCGTCGTGCTGGAGGAGCGCCTCCTCGCCACCGTCGAGAGCTGGGCTGTCCAGTGGGCTACGCAGGACATCAAGTGTCAGCGTTGCAGCACCTTGAGGGTGAACGACCTCATGGAGCACTGCCCCTGCGGTGGAGAGTGGACGTGCGTCGTTGACAGGACCGGCATAGCAAAGCAGTTGGCTGTCATGAAGCGTGTTGCCGGTTTCTATGGTCTACGCATGCTGACCGATGTCGTCGGGGATCTGATGGAGGATTTGTAGTCTTTTTTCGTCTGTTTTTTTTATATTTTCTCTTTCATAATCATTCATCTTCTTCTGCTTCTTCTCTTTTTCCTCTTTTCTTGTCTGTTTGATTTTGCAGCGCATAATATGGTGTTTCTTTCTTCCTTTCTAGGGGGCAATGGCGTTTTTGTGTTTGTGGTTCACGGGACAGTATGATAGTTAATGGACAATACGAGATACAATGCAAATGAAATCCACGATGCAATTGCGTATAATAGTCCAGCGTCTCGATATATGCATGGCCAAGTATTTCGGGATATGCTCTACGCCAATGCTGATACAGGCTCGACGGCACATGTTATGAATGTACTCTCATGATACTCTCACGGTAGAACCGAACGCTAGGCATATCCTACTTCAGCCCGGAAGCCCCCCACGGCCCATCTTCTTAGCCCGGGCGTCACGCCGGTCATGATTCGCTCTTGATCTCTTGTTCGACTCTTTGTTCTTTCTTGCCGTCTCCGTCCCCTTCTCGCCCGTCGGTCCGGCGACGTTTCCTCCTCCGCGACCGCCACGGCCTTGGCCTTGGCCCCTTCCACGTCCACCTCTCAGACGGCCTCCCCTCCCCCGGTCGTTATGGGAGGGGCCTGGGACCCCATCATCGTCGGTGTTGGCCGTCCATGATGTGCGTTCGAGCTTGGCCTGCTCACCGCTGAAGGCGTACTTGCCTTCAAGGCGTCTCTTCTGTTGCGGGTTCCTGGACAGCATGACGGCCCAGCCTTCAATCGCCTCGTCCGTCATACCCGTCTCCTCCCTGAGCTTGGCGCGGTACTGTCCGCGTCTGGTACCGGCATCTCTGCCAAAGAGCCTCTCATCCACGGCATAGGCCCGGTAGAGTATCTCTTCGTTTCCGCTGCTCACTCCGTCGGCTTCCTGGTTGGAGGAGTCAACGGTACCACCAACATCGGCAGCATCGTAAGTGTCGTCTCTCTCGTCATCGTCCAAGTCAAAAGCGGCCAGGGCGGTGAGAATGGCAGCCTTGTCGGGAGCCGTAGATTCCACCTCTCTGGAAGTCTTATCGTGGTTCTTACCAAATGACACCTTGGACATGTCCACCGAAAGATCGTCGAACTCATCATTATCGTATATGTTGCGCCTCGTCGGCAGTTGTGCTGGAACCTGTGGCGGTGTGCTATGCGACGCAAAATGGGTTTCTGGACTGTCATTTGAGGACCTATGCAATGTTAGCATGCGGTAGACAAATTGGTGTGATAGCGGAAACATACAGAGGCTCACTTCTGTCGGCAGAGGCAAGATGTGGTGGCAGCGTCTCTGCCAGCAAGTTCGCCACCACCTGCTCCACGTCCTCTCCGTACTCGTCAAGGCATTTGGAAATGAAAGCAGACCCGAGATCAGGAAACAGGTCTTGTATCTGGGTGATCTGGCTCATTCTGTGTACGTGGATCCCTTTATGCACCTTTCTCACCGTCTGCTTGCCCTTGCCCTTGTCCACCTTCCTCTTGGCCAGTCTTTTGGGCCGTACCATGGGCCCCTTTTTGTAAGCCTCGAGGGCGGTTATGCGGTTCTTGAAGTTGTCTGTAGCAACTGACGCAGACTCGGCTCTGCGCATCAGGATCTTGAGAACTGGTGTCGATGTTACTAACTCTGAGACCAAGGAGTCGTTGACGTTCAGCAGACCAGCTCTGTGGGTGTCGGCAGCCGTCCTGAGGGTATAGAGTTCGTCATTCAACATGGCCCACTTGGGCGGCTCGGCCTCGGTAAGACCAACGAGGCACAGGTAGACCGTTGTGACGATGATCTTGCGCAGCGGAGGGTTCGTGACGCGGAAAGAGACAACCAGGCCATCAAAAAAATCGGAGCCGGCCAACAACAGGGTGCAGGCGTCTGGTGAGATGTGGAGAAGATGGTTGAGATGGACAAGACGCTTCTCAACAAGAATCAGATTGCCCTTGACACCAGCTTCGAGATGTGGAATGAGGAGCTTCTTGACGGCTGTGAGAGAGCTCTCGGCGGCCGGGCCATGTGCAGAAGCAAATAGCTTTGATACGAGAGCGGCAGCGTGCTTCTTAGGATATACCCTAGCAAGGTTACATAGAAATTCGGCATCGACAAGAGCCGGTGACGTTTGGAGGACAAAAAGGCGCGAGCAGAGCTGAAAGGCGGCACTCAATAGTGATGCAGAATGAGATCCGAGGCATGACGGGCCAGACTCTGCCGTCTCGTTCATGAGCGACACGAGGAAAGCGAACATGGACTCATCGCTGGCCAACTTCTTTTTCAACTCCTTGTCTGACAGGGTGAGGCATACCTGACTGAGGAGTAGCCATGCCTCGAGTAGTGAGTTCCATTCATTGGAATCGAGATGTTGTCGCCACGAGGCTTCGGGGAACGGCGCAAAGGGCGGAAGGGACGTCATGATATGCAGGTAGCTCTGTCTGCTCCTCGGATAACCGATATCTTGATACAGCCAAAGGCAGTAGAGGAACAAAGAACAGCGCAAGTCCCAAAGGAGAAAAAAGAGAGAGAGAGGAGGGGGGGGGGAGGGTGTATGTATGAGGTACGTGGGAGTATCAAGTGGACATTGCAATAAAAATATTAGAATTATATTCAAGGAAGGCAGCTCTGAAGCTAGCGGTGACAGCTTCCCACTTTCATCGCCGGGTGATTCACTATGACGGGGCAGCCGTGAGCCGCCGGCGGATCCCTCCTTCCGCCAAAATGCAAAAACTGCCCCGCCAAAGTCGGGAAGGTACGTACGGAGCAATACAGATTACCTCGAGACGAAATGAGGGCTCTGACCAATCAAACCCCGAACCCTGTAATTTTGATGTCCACATGACCAAATATAGACTAGCGTATTATACTATGTGCGCACACAACTCGTCGCGAAGAAAAAAAAATTAGACTGAAATCCTAAAGCTAGACTCTTTTTTTTTCTTTCCCTTCTCTAGCATCACCACTCAACTCTTCATCACTTTGCCGAAACGACCCCCGACGTTCGAGTCGTGAAGAGAATCTCCTTCTTTTTCTCCAATCCGATTTATAAAAAAAAAATCATCAACAATGTCTTCCTACCAGAAGCCTGAGAAGGACCAGGGCGGCGAGGCTCCCGTACGTTTTTCCTCTCAACCCCTCCATTCTTCATCCCCCACCATGAGGATGATTGTTTTATAAAGAGAAATAAAAAAACAAAACAAAAAGAATAAGAGGAGGAGTCTTCCTTTGAACAAGAGAGAATCTCAGCTGACCTCCCTCATAGAAGAGCCACAAGATCCGCATTACCCTGTCCTCGCGCAAGGTCCAGGTCCTCGAGAAGGTCTGCTCCGAGATCATCGACCGCTCCAAGAGCAAGGACCTCCGCTTCAAGGGCCCCGTCCGCCTGCCCACCAAGACCCTCAAGATCACCACCCGCAAGACCCCTTGCGGTGAGGGTTCCAAGACCTGGGACTCGTACGAGATGCGCATCCACAAGCGCCTCATCGACCTTACCGCCCCCACTGAGGTTGTCAAGCAGATCATTGTCAACATCGACGCCGGCGTCGAGGTCGAGGTCACCATTGCCGCCTAAGTGCTCTGTTTCAATTCTTGACCTGAATCGATGACGAGACGAACTCTATTCCAGGATGGCCAAGCTAGGGATATCAGGCTCGGCGATGATACAAAAAAAGACATTGTTACTGGAGCACTTTCTGTACTTTGCTGTGTACTTGCTGTCCGCTGTGATTACCATATGCCATGCTCACTCTCTCTATTCATTTTGTCGTAATTCATGCTGTAATGCTCCCGTAGGCTGTTGTCATTTCTATCCCGTAGAACGTGTAGATGTTTATCCATATGTACAAAGAACCACAACACCCAAACGCCATCGTCTCCCAGCCAAGCATACATAGTCTTCCGTTATATAACACTAGTAGTTCCCAAGATTCAAACATAATGAGACACTTCCCTTTAAAAATTCCACAGCGTACACTCCCTGGGCGGCGGCAGCTCCGGCATGACCCCCTCGGCAAACTGCCCCGTCTCGGCAAATGACGCCCACTGCGCTTTGGACGGGCCGTCATACGCGTCTGGTGCCAACGCCGTATCCTTGTTAAAACTGGGTGGTCCGTCTGGGAACCAGATACGCTGAAACGTGCCGTTGAGGTTCTTGATACCCGGCTTCCCCTCGTGGTATGTGACGGGCTTGCCGCGAAACATGCTCAGTCTGCCATCCATTCCCTTGGTCGTGTAGCTCTCTATAGGCGGGTGCTGCCTCGTGCTCTCTGGCGGGTAGGGGTTGTTCGACGACGTGGATGCTGTGCCGCTGCTCGTCTGCTGAGGCTGAGAGAAGGCCGAAGCCTGCTGTTGCTGTGGTGGCTGGGCACTACCAAAGGGGTTACTGTTGGGAGTGGAAGCTTGTCCGAAAGTGCCGCTGGTAGACTGTTGCTGAGGCTGAGACTCAAAGGGGCTGTGGTTCGGGGCCTTTTGGCCGAATGGACTGGCCGTCTCGTTTGCCTGGTTGTTGTTGCTTGCCGACCCGAATGGGTTTGCCGGAGCAGCAGCAGCAGCAGCAGCAGGTTTTCCAAAGGCTCCTGAAGGTGGCGCCTGTGAAGGCTGTCCAAAAGGACTCGACGTCGTCTGTGACGCGGAACCAAATGTATTACTAGGAGCAGCAGGTGCTTGCGACGGCTGTCCGAATGCGCCGGGGGCATTGTTGGAGGCTCCGGTGTTGGCAGCTCCAAACGGACTGGCTTGGGGGGGCGCGCCTGATGCGGCAAACGGACTGGCGTTCTGGCCTAGCTGACTGGGCTGACCGAAAGCAGAAGTCTGCTGAGCAGCGGGAGGCTGCGAGGGCTGGCCAAATGCGGAAGGTTGCTGGGCAGCAGGCTGGGGAGGCTGTCCGAACGACGGCCTACCAAACGCGCTGGCGCTCGTGCCGAGCTTCGAGGGCTGGCCAAACGTACTGGTCGGCTGCGAAGGCTGTCCGAAGGACGGCGTTCCAAACCCCGACGCAGGCGCCGGTTGCGACGGCTGACCGAAGGCGGGGGTCTGCTGCAGGGGTGTGGAAGGCTGTCCGAAGGGGTTGGCAGCCGGCTGTGAGGGCTGGCCGAACACCGAGGGCGCAGGCTGCGACGGTTGTCCAAAGGCGCTCGGGGGCTGGCTCGGCTGTCCAAAAGCGCTTGTCCCTCCGCTGGGCACACCAAAGGCTGACGACGAGTTGGTCTGGCCTGCCGACTTAAAGGGCGAGGCGTTGGTGTTTGACGGGCCACTCGGTAGGGACCGCTTGCCGACTGAAAACTCGCCAAAGGGCTGGCCCTGGGTGCCCTGCTGGCATATGTCGTGTCGGTTCGGGTGAGTGTTCTCGGCCCCGACAACAAAGTTGGCGGCTTCGACGACGTTGTTGACTGCATTGTCCATCTGCTGGCGGGCGATTTTGTAGAGCTCCTGTGCTTGGTTGAGCTAGCAGGCGTGTTAGCGGGAAGGGAGACGGGGGGACAAGACTGAAGAACGTACAACTTCTTGCTCACGACCCTCGGCCTTGCCCGTCAGATAATGCAGCCTCATTTCTTCAAAGCTCTGCTCGCGCGGGTATCCGCCAAACAGCTGTTCGGGCGTGTTCCGGCCGGGGCCGTAGGCTGAGAGGATCCATTGGGGCGTCTCGGTCGTTAGATCGGCCTTGATCGTATCAGTCGAGACTTTGTAGTCCTCTATGAGAGCATCAGCATTGCATTCTATCCGCCTTGGTGGCAGGGGCAGTGCTTACCAAGAGTCTTTCCTCCTGAATTGCCCTTGCTACCAGTGGTCTTGCCTCCAGCGCTTTTCCCGTAGAGCCCGAATCGGTTATTCGTCGCATAGCTGTTCGAAGTCTGGGACTGGGACTGCGTAGTTGCGCCGGGATGATCGAAGCGGCAGCGGCCTGGTAGGACCGAGGTCAGTAAGAGAGCTACGAGTTGGGTCAAGGGGAGATGGCGAGAGGGGGACGTACTTCCAAACTTGCAGTTCCCCTGCTGGAAATAGCGACAGAGAGGCATTTTTACGAGCGACAGATGTGTGCGGTGGGGGGAGAGAGGATCGGAAAGGAAGAGAGGGGAGGGAAATAGAGAGGAACAATGTCGGCCGGAAACTCGAATATCGAGACAAAGGAAGGCCGCTTTCAGATCGCGCTACGTCATTCCGAGTTCCTGCACCGTGGTGTTCGAGCGTGGAGGTAAGCTGCAGGGGCGGGATAGTAATAAATGTAGTATACAGATATATCGGATAGAGAGAGACGGAGGAGTCAGGAGGCGAGCGATTGTTGATTGGAAAGCAAGAGACGCGAAGCGTAAAGGTCAAAAGTCGCGAGGCTTCAGAGCTTGAAGAGGTACGTATTCGTACAGTGTCTATTATGTGTTATACTGTCATCTGCACAGTGTCTGATATCATCATCATTCTCGTTAACAGGTTCAGCTTTGTCTTCTCTTCTCTTCAACAAAAACAATAACTTCAATCTTTCAACTTCTCATCTTTGAACAGCTATAGGCCAAGCAACTCAGATGATTCAATCATCATTTTCTGATCATTACTGAGATCACAGCTTCCCATTCACCTTTTTGACTTACTCATACCCCCGCTCAAATCCCCTCAAGACCTCTCAACCCTCTTGAACTCAACCAACGGTCCCGTCTTTGCACTGGTAAACGTATCAAACAGCTGAAACTCCTCCTTGCGGTGCCTTCCCCATCCCAACTCGGGCGCACCCTCTCCTGGATCTACGATACCCACCGCCCTGCGCATATCGTACAGGAAGATGGTCCTGGCTAACGTCGTCGTCATCTCGAGATACGCGAGGCCCTTGCCGATACATCCCCTGGGACCGACACTGAACGGGCAAAATGCACTCTGTGCCCTCGAAACATCATCCTGAGTCGTCGTCATCTCATCACCTTTGAGGGGGCTGCGCGCGCCCACTATCCACCGCTCAGGCACATAGTCAAAAGGGCGAGTAAAGTACGCTGGGTTATGATGGACAGCATAGTGCGGGACGCCAACGACGGTGCCCTCAGGGACGAGCATCCCGTCAATGGTCATGCCGCCGGATAGAACCTCGCGGGGTACAATGCCACCGACGGAGGGAGACATGCGCATGGCCTCGTCTATACACGCCTTCAGGTACGTACACGACGAGAGGGTCGGGCCTTGCACAATGTCCTCGACGTCGGTGAACTTGGCGCGTACTTCATCTGTAACGGTGCGCAGGGCGTGGTCGTTGCGAACAAGGTAGAAGAAGGTTGCCGCCATGGCCGTCGAGGTCGTGTCGGAACCGGCAATGATGCTGTATACAACATGAACATGTGGGTATCACGCAGAAAAGGGCCGAAAGAAAGAAGAGACTTACAGGAGATTTGACTCTGCCCACAGCTCGGGAATACTAAATCCTTGTCCCGTCTCGGGATCCCTCGCCTTGAGGAGGTAGTAGAAGAAATCCCGACGATCCGAATCCTCGCCCAGCTTGGTGCGCTCCGTCAGCTGACCCTTGCTGTACGCCATGTACCGGGCACGACCGGCTGCAATATTTGGGAACATGACCCTGTCGATCTTCAGTTTGTTGATAATGGGCATAGTGCCGCACTTTTGTTTACGTCTCTCCTTGTCAGCTCTGTACAGTCGATACCATGTATCAGGCTTCTTCCCTCTCCTTTGCGGAACTCACAATAAGATGCCTAGTGGTAGCAGCCTCGACAAGGCCCAAGGCAAACCTGTTGTCCGGATTCTCGAGCATTTGAAACGCCTTGCCAAAGCTGAGATCACCGAGATTATCCATGGCGAGGTAGCTGCACCAGTCACTCATGAGACGGGGGCCCGTCCAGCCACCCGCACCCTTCTCCTGCTGTGCCTCAGACCCCAAGGGCCCGATCTGCTCACAGAAGGACCGGACGTTGTGCAAGATATACCGCTCTATGCTGCGCATGGCATCGTCCGAGAAGGCCTGGGAGAGCACGCGCCTCTTCCGGGCGTGGACATGCTTGTCCCGCGTGTTGTGCGTGTTTGCGACGGGGTGGGCAAAGGCATCGTAGAACTCTGCCTTACGCACATTGGACCGGAAGCCGTAGACGTCCTTCAGGGCCGTCGAGGAGTCGAACACCAGCGAGTTGGGGCCGAAGCGCACGACCGGTCCGTACCGCTGGTGGAGGCGCCAGAATTCAATGTGCCGGTCACCGCAGTACGCATGGTAAAGCTGATATGCGTCCGTCACCTTGGCCACCAGGGGACCCGGATATCTAGCCAGTGGGTGGAAGACGATTCGATACAAGCACAGGCAGAGCGTCTATCGTGTTTCTTCAGTTACTGACATCCACTCGACTGTACTCCCTCGAGGAATTGCAAACAACATACATAGAGCACTCCTATGCTGAGCAGCAGGCCCAGCACTCGTAGATGTTCGGCCATGATTGCTGCAAGAGGATACAGAGTAAGACGAAAGGACAGGATAGAATAGCACAGGAGGTCCCTTAAATGTGTATCAACATCATCATGTGCCCTCCTTCCTATGACCTACTTGTTCCGTAATCATCGGCTTCGCACGGCACAACGCCCGCCTCCTTTCCCCGATCGGGTAGCACGCCTGAACGGTTACATTCGGGCTCGGATATCTTATTTCATCTTGTTTCCAAGGCGAATCCTAACTTAATCACACTGCTCAAGTCAAGTGTCAACGCAGAATTTATCATGCGGAGTCTGTTTCCCGTCGTTTCCCTCCTTGTCTATATGACCAATGCTCCTTTGTACCCTACCCCCCTCCCGAACATGATAAGCACACCACATAAGCACACGAGAGAGAGAGAGAAGAGGGGGATGACACGTGCCGTACATATTGATCGAATCAAATTCCCGTGTAATGTCAGCAGGCAGCAGAGTTCAGAATGATTCTTCTTTTTGCTGGTGTCTTGCTTCCCCGCGTTCTCAATCTTTGATGACGTTGTACGTTCTGTAGTACACCATTACTGCTACTATCCCATGAGGGCGCAGCAATCACACATTGTACGACGCACAGTAATTGCCTATGACAATATATGTATCAATGGTTCATTTGCTAGTTCATCTATCTTTTAGTTCATCTATAGTACTCCCGATACTCATTCGAAAGCATCAAATACACTAGTAATGGAGAGAAACGGTGACCGAATCATGCATTGGTAGCTACAGGGTAATCCATCCAACATGACCGAAACAACACCATCAGAACGACCACCAAGACAGTAGGTACATCAAGTTGACAGAATCAAGTATATAGAAAGTAGCATTGGCAATTGCAGTGAAATGAAATACGCCAGTTATAACACGTAATGTACATGTAGACACATCCTCTCGTACAACCCTTTTCCGTAATGATCCCGCCCCGTCCCCCATCCTCCAGCCGGTTACAAATGAAATTATACTACCGAAACCCAACCGCCAGGTGCCACTAGTAGCTATACCACTCCCTCCGTCGGCACAAGTATACAATAACACGATAGTCCCATCTGAACATCATATACGCCCCCTACTCATGGTTGTAGTACCACGGTTCATCAAAGACATGGTACCTATGCCCACGAACACCCTCACCCCTGAACAGGGCGGGGAACCTCCAACCGACGGGCACCTGCTGCTCGTGGACCCTGCGGTTGCGCTCCTCGTCTGACAGGGCCTCCAGACGGTCGATCTCCTCCTGTCCGTTGGGGATGACAAACTTGGCCACCTGGAGCTCCGTGTCGGTAATGGTGCTTCTGCTGAGCCTGGCGTATCCGACACGCTTCAGGCCCTTGAAGAGGATATACTCGCACCAGCGGTCCCAGTCCGATGGGTCGACGTCGTGCATGCCCGATGTGTCGCTCACGTACGTGTTGTAGTTGCCCTCGAGGGGCTTGGTGACGAGGTACGAAAGCAAGATGGCCGGCCGGGGCGTGGAGCCCATCAGCTTGGCCAGGTACTCGGACTGCTGCCGGCGGTCCTCGACATCCTCTTCCTGACCGGAGTGGAAGACGAAGACGTCGACGTACTCACCGTAGACATCCAGAGTCGCGTGGATGGCGGGGGCCAGCTCGCCTACGGGACTGGGGAGCAGGTGGTGTTCCGACTGGACAATGGGGAACTTGGACAGTAGGGCCGCGCCCCACGTGTGTTTGTTGGGGCCAGGCCCGTAGTCGACGTACATGCCCAGCTCCTCGGCCAAGAGCTGCGTGCTGTCACGGTTGCCCATGATGATGCGCTGTTGGTCAGACTCGAGGAGACCGACAACGTCCAGCTCCGCCTCCTTGAGCAGGTCGCGCATACGGTACTCGGACGACCACATGTCATTGTCGAGGGAGAAATGGACCGTCCAGATACCCGCCGTCAGAATCCTGTCCTCGGCGTGGTGAGGCTTGTAGTCGTTGCTCGGGAAGCGCATGTACGACGAACACAGGAAGAGGATGTTGATGAGGAAAAGAGCACCGCCAAAGTACCTCCTGTGCTGGGAAGCTGAGTGCTTCTTCTTCTGCTGCCGACGCGTCCGCGAGCTGTTCAGATTGATCACGCCCAGACCGATGAAGCCCATCATCGTCATCATCACCCAGTCTGTGTGCTCACGCACAAGAGGACCTCCGGGGACGAAAGCGTAGGCCACTACCCACACGTGGAAGAGCACGAGGAAGTTGTAGATGAGGAAGCCCAGACCGAAGCTCATCGCTGGGCTCTTCTTGGCAGCTGAGGACAGCAGAGGCACAGATATCGCCATCAGGTACGCGGCCAAGGCCAGCGCGCCAGAGTAGCCGAACCAGTGGCTGTACCCGGTCACGACCGTGGCACCCACGGCGCCGACGAGGTACAGGGGGTAGCTGCCGGCGAGGCTGGGCCTGAGGATACCACCGAGGAGGCCGAGCGACATGGCGGCTAGCGTGAACCAGCCGTGGGTCGATGAAGCAGGGCCGCGGAGAGGGTAGCCCTCCCAGACCCAGAGGATCATGGTGCTCGTGTCGGAGAGGAGCGAGTGGAGTCCGAAGAGGAGGCCGCCGACCCCAAACGCAGCAAGGACGGGAGAGCCCTTGATCTGCTTGTCGTTGTTGTTGGTGCCGCTAGTCAGGGGTGCCTTGCGGGTGAAGCGCAGGGCGGCGAGGATGCCGATGGTAAGGCCGATGCCGTTCCAGCCGCCGTTCTCGGCGTGCATGATAGGCCAGATGGGGTTGTTGGTCCTCCACATGAACTTGGCTGTCGTCGACAGGATGAGACCGACCAGGAAACCCAGGATCTTGGACTCGAAGCGTGCTTCGTGCACAGACTCCGAGTACAATGTGGCGATCCAGCCGAGACACGACATGGCCACACCAAAGCCGAGAGTGCAGAGACGGTGTGTCGGGTCAAGAACCAGGTAGGATGCAATGCCACACAGCGAAAGGAGGTGGATGATGCGGAGATTGCCTATAATGGCAGGGCGTAGGAAGCCGACACCCAAGAAGACGGGAGCAATGGTCGTCATGATGAAGGCCTCGAAACCCGAGATGCCCATATACCAGAGAGGGAAGAACCATACAACAAGTCCAAGACTAGTCAAGGTAGTCCAGAAGACGAACTAGGCGAGGTTAGCAACATGACCCGCCTATGAAATAAAATTCAACTTGACGATTTCAACTTACTCCATGGTAGACGTCGGCAAACGTGTCAAACACTTCGGACCAGGTGAATCGACCGGAAGCGATCGCACCAGCAGCCATTTCCCTTCTATAAACACTGTAAGTCGGGATTCCTGGCTGGGTATTGAGGGAAGATCAATAGTACTTACTGCTTCTCAAGGGCAGCGGCGGAGGCAGACCGACTTTCACTATACAACAACGGTTTAATTTAGGATATTGAAACCAAGAAACAACAATAGTATATTGGCAGAGCCTTGAAGCTATTTTGGGAGCCATTCAACGTACCCCCTGCTAGAACCTTTGACATCCTTGATCACAACTTCGAGCCCATTGAAATCAAGAGCGGTGACAGCGTCGAAGCCAACGTCGAGGACGATGAGAGCCCATTCGAAGAAGGCATATGTAGTGTAGGCTATTGTATCTCTCTGTTAGTTTTTCCTGCGCACGTGCACAAAACAATTCGACGAGAATAAGATACCAACATACCACCGGCAACCTTGTGGACCTTGTGTTGTATAAAGAAGTAGATGAGCGGCACCAGAGTCGCAAAGAAGGTCGTTCCGAAGAATCTGCGAAGGGAGACGGCCTGCTCGTTGGGCGGGCTGAGGATAGTGCATCCAATAGTCCAGGGTAGGGTGGCAACAATGTACGATATCATGAGGATATCGTGCCAATCGTGGTTGTCGGTCGAGGTGATGTAGGTCCATCCTCCGCAGGTTAGAGTACGGACGATGCCCATGGTCGCGACAAAGTCGGGGAGACGGTGGCCGGGCTTCCTGGTCAGGAGGTACCACAGGCCGACGAGGGCGAATCGGGGACCGGACGTGACGGCGATGAAGAGCATGAAAAAGGATCGCTCGGGAAAACGATCGCCAATCGTGGCCGACACGGACGGGAACCATTCATCAGGGTAGCCGTAATGTTCGTTCTGGACAATCTTGTGGTAGTGAAGGGACAAGCCGACGATCAACGCGCTTATAAAGGCAGCTACGAGAAAGTCAGTCAGCCAGTGATCACAAAACAGGCTTGTTCATAGCTTCACAATGCCGAAGCATACACCGCATTCTTGAGTAGACGTACTGTACGCAGCAATTGTGTGAGCCCAGCTGACCCAGACGCCGCTGAAGCTCAGGACCACGCCACCATCCTTTTTGGACATGGCGGGCCAGGAGGAGGGGGGGGGGATGAAGGGAAGAAACGAAGGAGCAAAGGAAGGGGAAGATCTACACAAGAAAACAAAAGAAATTCCGAGACGACAGCCTCACCCAGACGCCCAGACGGTCAACCGGGGAAGAATGCGATGTATTTGGAGGAGGATGTTTGTAGATCCAGAGACAACGCGTGGAATACGATGTACCTCGGCGTCGCGGTTTGTTACTTCCCACATTGGGGACGGAACACAAGGGAGGGGTTTGTTAAGGGTCCTAGTATAGATCTAGTGTCTTTCACTAACAAACTTGACCTTGTTAGCATCTTTTTTTTTATTGTTACCGGGAAGCTCGGTGGCAGCTCGTCAGGGGTGATCTATTGTGGCTGATGCCATGAACGTGGCTGGTGCCCAAGCAATGATCTGTGGCTGGTAGTGTAAGGTCATTGTGTTGGCTAATGTGAGCAAAGCTACTCCGTACTCCGTAGTGGGATTCTGTGGCTGATGACAAGGTTAAAATGTGGCGCAAGGCTGATGATAATCGGGGACCTCCACTAAAATTTCAAAAAAGATGGATGGAAAACTTTCTGCAGCGTCACATCAACAACAACCTCACAAACACGACGACGACAAAACATGTCTGGCGTTGCGGAAAAGGCGAGGTTCTTTCTCGAACGGTCCGTTCCCCAGCTACGAGAGTGGGAGGAAAAGGAATTGTTTTCCAAGGTAAGAAACCCACCTTCCTTCCTCTCTAAAGATAAAGAAAAAAAGAAAATTCCTGGCTGATTCCCAAAACAGGATGAAATAAGAACAATCGTGCAAAAGCGCAACTCCCATGAGCACAAGGTCCTGTCCCCCGGAAACAAGCCAGCCGACTGGTCCGCATATGCCAAGTGGGAGAACAGCCTCGAGGCCCTTCGCACCAAGCGATGCAAGCGCCTCAAGATCCGGCACCTGGACAGCGGGCACGCGGGGCAGGGCCGCGTGCTGTCCATCTATGAGCGGTCCGTGAACCGGCACCCCAGCAGCTCAGCCCTGTGGCGCGAGTATCTGTCGTACACAGCGAGCATCAAGGCGTCGAAGCGTTTCCGGCGGACCATGACGAGCGCGCTGCGCATGATGCCCCACGACTCTGGGCTGTGGATTATGGCGGGCAGGCGGGCGGCGCACAACGGCGACATGGCAGCGGCAAGGGGCTTCTTCATGCGTGGGTGCAGATTCTGCACCAAGGACGGCACGCTGTGGATCGAGTACGCCCGCTGTGAGATGGAGTGGCTGGCCAAGGTGGACCAGAGGAAGAAGAAGGGCACTAAGGCCGTCGCCGACGACCCGCTACGTGCAGAGCGCACAATTGATGACGGCAATGAGCTGCGCATCGAGGACAGCGACGAAGACGGCGACGACGACGAAGGAGAAGGCTATATGCTTCCTCAACCCTCGAAGACCCAGGAGAAGGTCATCGATAAGCAGACCGCCAAGCAGCTCCGGAATAATCCGGCCATGGACGGTGCTATCCCCATGGCCATTTACGATGTCGCGTCCAAGCAGGCCTTTTTCCGACCAGCCTCGGCCGAGCAGTTCTTTTTCGTGGTTGCCACCTTCAGCAACGTGGCCTCCCAGCCCAGGATATCCCAACACATTCTCGACGCCATGGACAGCACTTACCCCAATGACCCGGCCACTTGCAACGTCCACGTGCGGCGGCCCATTATCGGTGTCGACCCCTCCTCAGCAGACTTCCCTCGTGGTCTGCGTGAGGCCCTGCCCCTACTCAATGGTTATCTGGAGACGACGACGGACCGCCAAGAGCTGGCTAAGAAGACGGCCGCCTGGATTGACGAGTATCTGGCTGTGGAGGGACTGGATGAGGGCATTCGCAAGGTGTTGGAGCACACGAGGGGGAAGCTTGGTTTGGAGTAGCAGGTAGTGGGTTAGTATCATGATGAACAGCATATATATATTGACATTTCTGTATACACACTACTATTGATGGCAAAGCCAACGCCTTTTCCGCGGACATCAGGACAATGACATGGCTGGAATCCGTGCTCATCTGCGTGAGCTGCGTGTGTTTGGAATGGATATCAGATGCCCCCTCCTAACTGTAATATTTCTCTATGAACGCAAACATTTTTTTCTCATCGGCGGCTGTTTCAGGAGCCAACGGCATCAGGGTCCTTTGACAGATGTACCAAACAATCAGTGGAGAGTCAAAGGAGATCCCATGTAAAAACTCACAAAGTACGAGTATCAATATAAGGACTCTATTACTAGCCAGGGTCCAAGACTAAATACGACCATTAAAAACTCCGTACGCGTTCGTCATAATTTCTGCCCCAAGCGGGAGGTCGGGGGTGCCCTTGTGGTCGTCCATTCGTACGGGTGGCTCCATACGTAGTCGAGCGTTGCAGCAGCAATGACGGGATCGATTTAGCGGCGAGATACACAACGCGCTGCACCAACGCACAACGTGGTCGATTGTAGTATAAGAGAAGAAGATAGTTTTAGCGGAAGATTACTGGGCATACCATATACTATCTCAAGACAAGAAGAATAATTGAATAAAGGAAGGAGAGTAAAGCAAAGTAAGAGAGGGAGAAACAGACAGACAAACAGGCGATTAAGTCTGGAGAGTTATAGAGTACAAACCCTGTAAGCCACCGGTAAAGTGTCCGCAATTAGCGCTGGAACGTCACTGAATTCCCCTGTAACTCAGCCTTGACAGCGGGACGGAACAGGGCCCTGACCCCCCTCCCCCCTAGTTCCAAGTTATAGTGGGTGCGGCCATAATCGTAATGTACGGTACTCGTGCCTTTTCACTTGCTCAGTGACCCTCCCCCCCTTCTTCTCTCTCTTTCCTTCTCCTCTCATCATTCTTTTCCTCGTTTTCTTCTTCTCGCCTCAGTTTTTACTGCTTCTCATTTCTCTCCATTTGCCGTTTCTACGTTGCTGGTCTCTGTTGTGTTGACGCTGCCCGAGTCAGCCTCACTTATAGAAGGAAGGTGCCTCCCGCTGTCTCCTGTCAGACCCCTGTAACAAGTCCAGCCAGGTACCTGCGAGAGGAAAGGCAGACGAGAGACAACACAGCAACAGAACATGGTGGCAGCGAGGACGACGGAATCCAGAGAGAAATACGACATGAGGAAACGATAGAGAAGACATTTCTCCCCCTCCTCTGCTCAACTTGCCGTCACACGATGCTCTCCCCTCACCAAGCCGACCGAGTGATGGGCCGACCAAATCCAGCCAGAGGTACATGCCGGTCGGGGCCAGCAGCAGGGATGCCCTCCACTACCGGGAATCTCTGTCTCTCACAGTCTCGCCCCCCCCCCCCCCCCCCCCCCCCCCCCCCCCCCCATCGGGTCAGATGAGCTGCAACCTTTTTCTTCTGATTTCTCTCCTTTGGCTTTGGGAGACGACTGCAAAAGAACTGTCTACTCCCTTCCTGATCTTGGACCCCTTTGTCCGCATCGACCAGTCTCACCTCTCGACGCAGGGACCATGGCCTGGAATTTCCTGGAGATTGGACATCATGGTGGCGGGAGCGACTCATTACATCGGTCTTGGGGATCCACGCCCTATGTGCTAGGTGGGGCTCATATTGGAGCAAGGTACCCGACTCGACAGCGACGACGAGATTATGCGGCAGCGAAGCGAGGAAGACCTAGACAGTTCTGTTTGCTTGGCCATTGCTGAACTCTGGAGGGCGAACGTACGTACATGCGACGCACAGGGTTTCCCGCCTGTCCGGATGGCCATGGCCTTGACTAGGCCTGGGAACGATGAACCGTCTTCTGTTTGTTTGTGGGCTGTCATTAACCAGGACGGGCATTCGAAGACTTACTCTTCCTCGACGGCTCCTTCTCTGCACCCAAAGCCTGCATTCGCACCATCTCCAGTGCCATTGGAAACGGTGCAACCATGAATGCGACGTTTCAGGATCCTCCATGTGGGGGAGGTCATCACATTGCGGAAGCTGGCCAACGACAAGATCAAAAAGAGGAGAGCACGGCATACTAGTGCACAAACACACTAACACGAGAATACACGCACCTCAAAGTGTCTACTCGGGCACTTCCAGCAGGCCAAGGATGAGAATTACCACTCAACAGCGGCTGTTTCGGGGACCATGTCGACCGGCGGCGACACCAGACCAGACGAGAGAGTGTGTGTTGGGACTATCAACACCACTGCAGCACTGCGTCAGAGGCTGCCGTTTATGGAGTCACAACTCGAGAGATAGCCATCTGTTAACGCAGATGGACCCAGTGTTAGTGTCACGATTCTATAGACACCAAAGCTACTAACAGAGATCCCAACTCAACCATCTGCGCACTATCAATCAATCTGATTGGTACATGGCCCCGCTTACCCACGCAACCCCAGCGCTAGGCTAGACCAAGAACAGTCTAGCCTCACCATGTACTGGCCTTTTTCACACCGGCCGAAACCAGCGGCTCACGCCAGGCAGCGGGCCCCCAAGGCAAGCAAGTACCAAAGCACAGCGCATTCTGCTCGCTTTTGCCCCTTCTGCCGTTCCTTTCTCAGGCTCTCATTCAACCGAAACGAACCTGACCAAAGTGCTCTCTGCTATTACAGAGAGTATTACACCACCGTACAGGAAAAAGGTGCCGTCAATAGGTGCAGAGTAATAGACTAGGCCATCTCCTACCGGCTATTCCAGCGGATTGCACTCGCGCTCCCGCGCTCCTTCCCCCCAGTGAGTCGAGTTCCTCCCTTTGCGTCTGCCTGCCACACAACGCAACACAACTCCCACACCCCCCCTTGTTGACGCAGCTCCCCCTGCGAATTCGTGGCGTCTGGACACACATTATCAGCCTCGCCTCTCTGTTTGATGGCCTCGGCAGCCGTGCACTGAGTGCTGCCGTTGATGTTGTGGGCTGTCCGTCCTGCTTTCCCCAGTCCTGCCTCGTGGCGTTGTTGCTTTGCCCCTTGTTCTCCCACTCTATATTTTTTTCTGCCCCCCCCCCCCCCCCCCCCCCCCGTCGCGTCTCCCTCGTCGCTGACAGAGAACCGCGCCCCGGCTAACAGCGTAGCCACCGCCAACTTCACCTTCAGCGCCCACCACGTCGTCTGACTATCGGTGACGCGGCTGCACTGGGCCTGCGATATCATATAGATCTTCTCCAGCATATTTTCAGCCTCAATACTTCATTTTGTGACGTGCCAGCCGGCTGCACTGCCTGTGTTTTTGTTAGACAAGGTACGTACTTGGGTTGAACTATTCCCCCTCGACACTGCTGCTTACAGCACCTTCCCCAGCGCGTTCAGCACTGGGAGGAACCCCTTATCCCCTACATCTCCCTGCTGTCCAGCGTTCTTGCCCTCTGTACTGGGCTGCTGCACCACTATGCTGCACTGGACAGCTGCGCTAGACAGCACAATACAGCCTTCCCTTCCCGCCCGCTCTCGCCCCCGGCACATTTCCCACGCACATACTCCTCCACTCCCAACACACTCTCGCGACGCGCGACTTGATAATCCGCCCCCTGCCCTTCTCAATCCCCCATCACTGCGCCTCGTGCCGTCATTTGACCTCATCTCGATTCTTCTGTGGGATCGCATTCACACTCAATGCGACCCTCCTCACCCCTCTGCTGATTGCTGACGTCGCCGTGCCTTTGCTCTCCCCAGACTCCCCAGCTTGCCGCCTCCGAGTGCTACTGGGCGGTTTTCCCGAATCGCCATGAGCACCTGGATGAATGACGCCGTCCCAAACCACAATGGCAACGGCTTCCCACACATGAACGATCCCAACGCCTCCGCCGCCGGTGCCATGATGGATCCTTCTGCCTTCATGGCCAACTCGGGTCAATTCAACCCTGCGCAGCTACAGCAGCAACAACAACCGCAACAGCCGCCGCAACAGGTCATGCAGAATGGGCCTATGCGCAATGTTTCGCCATCAACAATCCAAAATCCCGCCTTCCAGACGAACCCCGTTATCCCCTCGAAACGACCGCGGCCCCGCGACGACGGAATCGCTGCGTCTCCGACTCAAAATCCCGGCATGCTGCCCACGTCGCGATCCCAGACCCCACAGCAGCAGCAGCAAAATTTCCCCGGCGGCTTCCAGCCTGGCGCCATCCCCCAACAGGGCGCCGGTCAATTCGGTCATCTACAGGCCAACGGATCCGCAAACGCCAGCCCTTCCCCCATCATGGGCAACCAGATGCGACCCGGTAGCGTGCCTCAACGCGTCGCCACGGCCTCGCCGCACCCCTTCTCACCTGGAAACCCTCAGTTTGCCGCTGCTCAGGCCTCGCCCGCACAGTCCGAGCAGGGGACGCCTCAGCCCAGCCAGTTCATGCCAAACATGCCCCAGGGCTACAACCCCAACTTTGCCGCCTCGCCTTCCAACCCGCGCCCGTCTCCCATCCCCAACCCCGTCGCCGGTGGCCCTCAGATGATGCCTCAGCAGATGCAGCAGATGCCTCAGCAGATGGGCCACATGGCAAGCATGTACCCTCACCTGCAGCAGCAGCAACAACAGGCACAGCAGCAGCAGCAGCTTCACCAGCAGCAGCAGCAGTCGCCTCAGCAATCCCATCAGCAGCACATGGGCATGCCTGGTCACCAGCAACAGACACAGCAACGGCAGCAGACGCCTCAGGGTATAACAGATCAGCACAAGATGGCCGCCTATCAGATGCGCCTGCAGCAGCAGCTCCAGGGAAATATGCAGATGCAGGCGCAGATGAAGTCGCAAAACATGGGTCGTGGCATGATAGCTAAGCAGCAGATGCAGGCCATGCCTAACGGCCAGGTACCGCCTCAGGCGCAGCCCGGCATGATGCGACCCCGTCCCATGGCTAGCTCGAGCCCCGAGCAGTTCATGAAGAACCTCGCCACATTGATGGCTGCCAAGGGTCTCCCCCTCGACACGAACCCCATGATCATGGACCGGCCCGTCAACCTCATGATGCTCTTCCAAGCTGTCCAGAACAAGGGTGGCTACAAGGCTGTCGTCACCGGCAATGGATGGCTTCATGTTGCGCAAGTCCTTGGTCTCCCAGTCCAGATCCCCAATGTCGCCATGCTACTCAAGCAGATCTACGAGCGCAACCTGTACAAGTTTGAGGAGGCCTGGATGGCCCAGCAGAAGCAGAGGATGATGCAGCAGCAGCAGCAGCAGCAGCAGCAGCAGCAGCAGCAACTGCATCAGCAGCATCAGCATCAGCAGCACCAACAACAACAACCTCAACACCACCCGCAACAACAGCCCCAACATCCTCAACAGCCACAGCCACCGCAACCCCAGCAGCAGTTCCCCCCTCAACCTCAGCAACACATCCCCCAACCACAGGGAACACCCCAGAAGCAGATGACGCCCAACCCGCTCATGAACCAGGGACAGATGCAGCAGCAGCCGCCGCAACAGCCTAGTCAGCAAACACCACATATGCCGCCTATGCCTCAGCAGACTCCTGTGAAACCGCCACAGGTCGTCAATGGTTTTCCTACCCCTCAGAAGCCTCTTCCTGGCCAGACGACTCCTGGCCCAGGCCACAACCGGAACAGTGGGTCAAGGGGTGCCGAGACTCCTGTCCAGGGAGACTTCTCAATGGCATCGCCTGCACACGCCAAGGTGGCAGGCCTGCCCGTGGTTCCGCCCGAGGGTCAGGTTACACCTGGTACGGCGGTCGATCTTCAGATGCACAGGATGGCGGCCCTGCCCGACGAGTACACGCCCTGTGCTCGTGAGCTAGTGACGTTTGGTGGTGTCGACCTCAATGCCGTTGTCCCGCTGGGCACGGAACTGCTTCGCTGGGCACCTGATGTGACACCGCTCCCTGAACTGGGCAACATTGACATCCACGCCCTTAACAAGAGCATTCAGAGCGGGATCAAGGGAGAAGTCCGAGTTGCCCTCGATACGTTGGCCACGGTGTCCAACTCACCTCACCCTTCGCACTTCATCCGACTCCCCTACTGTGATGACCTCATCGACTCACTGATTGACTGTGCTGAGGAGCAGCTGGACATTCTGGCCGAGCATACGGTCGAAGTGTCGGACGAGATCCAGCTCACCTCATACGAGGATGTCGTGAGGGCCTGTCGCATAGAGCAGTGGGCCATCAAGGAACCACCCGCGTTTGGAACGAATGAATACGAGCTTGACCGCGCCGTGGACCGGTTGATCTGCATCACTACGATTCTTCGGAACCTGTCGTTCCCCGGCGACGCAAACGAGAACCACCCGGTACTGGTGGACGAGACGGTTATAAAATTTCTGTGCGTCGTGGTCCGATATCTGGGGACCCGTAACATGCTTCTCCGCACACACGCCAACACGCTCGATTTCATGAAGGACATGGTCATCTTCCTGTCCAATGTGTCGGGGGTCATGGAGCTCCCCGGACGCGAGCAGGCCCTGTGTCTGCTGTACTTCCTCCTGGCGTTCGCCCCTGCACCGGGCCCGTTGAGGCTGGACGATGGCACCTGGGACTTCCCCCGGTACGAGCCTAGCCAGCAGCCCTACTTGCCGCACGCGGTGGATGCGCTGGCCAAGCTGTTTGCACGCGACGAGCCGAACCGGACGATGTATAGGACCATCTTTGCCCTGGACGCTAGTTCTGCGGTTCCGGAGGAGCTCCTAACCCGCGCATTTGCGCTGTCCATCGCGCCTCTGCCAGACACGGTTTTCGAACAGAACCGACCCGCTCAGTGGCCTCCTCTGGTGGAGATGAGGAAGCCGTTCCTCATGCAGGGCCTCCTGTCAGCCGAGATTCTGGCCTTCCTTGCACCCGGCCCCGAGTCAGACCTTGCCAAGTCGTGGCTCATCTCGCAAAACTGTCTGGGGGAGACCCTCATCAAGCTCATCTCGAGACTGAGCCAGGAGTACGACAAGCCCCAGCCACTGCCACCGCCACCAACTCACGGCAGAGGTTCTCGAGCGGCGCCACCGGCTGCCCGCAAAGATCCTGAGCTCCTGTACATTGTCATGACGGCCGTGTCACTGCTGAAGAGGCTGGCAGAAAAGTCAAGAGGGTCATCCCCGCTTGACGTGGCCTTCCTCCCCAACTCGCAGAAGCTGATGGAGCTGACGAGTCTGTCATCTCCAGAGTGGGCAAAGGAGGGACTCTTCCAGCATATTACCAGCTGCTTTAACCTCGGACGCTGACACGGTTGTTACCTATTATGTTTGGCCACTCGCCCACATAGCAACTTTATTTTCTATTGTTTGTCTTTTTTCACTTCTACTTTATTTTCCAAATATACCGTTTTTTATTTCCCTCCTACTTGTATAAGCTAGATGAGAGGAGGAAGAGTGCGAGAAGGGAAAGGAGAAGAGGAGAGCAAAGAAAAAGAACGGCGACAGACGTCATGAATGACTTGGATATAACTAGGTAGCGAATATAGTCTTTTGACAAGAGGCGAGGGAATGTGCATACTTGTTCTTTTTATCCTTTTCTCTCCATACTGTCCTATTCTCTCAGCAGTCTGATTTTCCTATTTATAGTTGGTTTTCTCTGTTTATTGGGGGGTTGGTTTATTTTTCTCGTCTCTGGGTTTGGTCCATTGTCTGGCCTTGGTGTATTGGTTGGATGCTTATTTTTTTTAATCCTTTTTACCTTTGCCAAGTATGGTTATAATTACGACTCTGAATATTTCTCTCAACTGGCATCATCTTGTAGACTTGTGTCTATAATATTATGACTTTTCTCTTCATGCTGTTGATATAATGTACAGGCCGTGGATCACGGGTATAATACAGTCATGGTACACGCCCAGTGGACCTCTGGCATCCTTTTCTTGCTCTTCCGAGCCCCTCAGCTTCTCTTTTTTCGTCCTGTCTCTCTTGGACTCTTAGAATCCCCGTTCGAGAAGGTAATCTCTCGTCTTGTTGAAGAAGTCGCCCTACGTATGAGGAGAAGAAGGGATTAGCAGATGAAACAGGGGGTCAGGAGGCGCAAGACACCTGAGGAAAAAAAACATACCTGAAGCTCCAAGTTGCCAGTAGTAGGGTTGATGCGGATATTTCCAGCGGGAACGCCCAGCTTCTCGGTGAGCTCGCCGACCAGACCGGCCTTGTCGCCGCTGACCTTCTTGATGGTGATGACCTGGCGTGTGCCTCCAGACATCCACTTGCGGTAGACGGGGAGCTGGGCGAAGGGGGTGCGACGGACAATGTAGGGCATCGACTCGAGGGCGTCGGGCGCTAGCTTGGGAGGAGGCGTGGGTTCGCGGTATAGAGGGCGCTGGGACTGGGGGATCTTGGGGGAGGATCGGGGACGTGGCTGCAAAGGATTGGGCTTGTATGAGATGGCGGCGGTGGTGGACGGGACGCGCGACAGAATTGCTCGAGTCGCCATCGATACCCTGGGAAGCGATGCCCTTGAGAAGAATAGTTGCGACATGGTGTGGTTGAACGAATGGCTAAGCAAGGGTGGGATCACGGTAATGGGGGGCGGTTGACGCAATGAGGTTATCGAGAAACGGCGAAAAGAAAATTCACGTGACTATCTGGTTCCTGGGCGGTAGAAGCTCGGGTAATCAATTTCCCACAGCACTTTTGGCGAAATTTCGACCAAAAATTGATTTGCCCCTCCATTGTGCGGATGCGCCTCTCCGTCTCACTCTCACCCTCTCTCTCTCTCTCTCCAGCCCTTCCTTTGATGCTCGAGAGCTATCAAGAGTTGTATCGTATCCTGGACGTGACGGCATTATTCTTCTAGAAGAAAACTCGATACAGGATCAGATAATTCAACCACACAACATGGAGGATCTACTCAAGACAGTCTCGGCCGACGGCTCGTCCGTCATGCCCCGCCTCGCACCGCACCTGAGCCGACACCTCCTCTTCCCGCTCATCCAGTTCGAAGGCGACCAGGCCGAGGAGAAGGGCGACGACGCCACGGCCCACAAGATCGCCGAGGGCAAGATTAAGCTCCTCGAAGACACCAATATGACCGACTACGTCGCCAGCCTGTACTGCGATCTCCACGACGTCAAGGAGGCCCCCGCTGAGTATAACAAGAAGAGGCAGGAGGTCCTGGCTGAGCTCGAGAGGCACGAGCAGGCCACCGAGACCATTGCCAACCTCCTCACCCAAGACGAGGTTGTCAACGGCCTCAGGAGCGACAAGGTGGCCAACTTGGAGTTTCTCAAGAACCAGCACGGGGTAAGGACAATACTAGATGGAAAACTTGGGGGATTCCTCGTCTCCAGTCTTTTTTGAAAAGAGGAACGAAAGAGGCGGAAAATCAAGAAATAGGATTTGCTGACGTATTTTTTTCCCCTTCAAAAACAGGTCACCATGGAAATGGTCAATGCCCTGTACGACTTTGGACAGTTCCAGTTCCGATGCGGCCAGTACGGAAGCGCGGCCGACATGCTGTATCAGTTCCGCGTTCTCTCGACCGACAACGACAAGGTGTCAGCGGCCACGTGGGGAAAGCTGGCATCGGAGATTCTCTCGACCAACTGGGAGTCGGCGGTGGACGAGGTCAAGAACGTGCGTGAGGGCATCGACAGCAAGCTGTTTAACAACCCGCGTGCGCAGCTGGACCACCGCACAATGCTGATCCACTGGTCACTCTTCCCCCTCTTCAACTCTGAGCTGGCGCGCGAACCGATACTCGACATGTTCTTCTCAGCGGCATACATCAACACGATCCAGACGTGGTGCCCGTGGGTGCTGCGCTACTTGATCGCCGCTGTCATCACCGGCCGTGGGCGCGCGCGTAACTCGTCGCTCCAGCAGAAGCAGCTCAAGGATGTGGTGCGCTACGTCCGTCAGGAGGCCTACGAGTACACGGACCCGCTCACCCAGTTCGTTAACGCCTTGTACATTGCGCACGACTTCAACGCCGCGCGCGAGGCCCTCGCCGAGGCCGAGAAGGTCTGCCGTTCCGACTTCTTCCTGTCTGGGTCCACCGAAGCCTTCGTCGACGCCGCTCGCCACCTCATCTGCGAGTCGTACTGCAAGATCTTCTCCCGCATGAACATGCGTGATCTGTCTGCCAAGCTCGGCCTCAACCCCGACGACGGCGAGAAGTGGATCGTCAACCTGATCCGCGAGACCCGTCTCGATGCCAAGATTGACTCCCAGGATGGCACTGTCATAATGAACCACCCTCCCAACAACGTCTACCAGCAGGTCATTGAAAAGACAAAGGGCAGTTTCTTCCGCACCCAGGTTCTCAACTCTGCCATTTCCAGGTCGTGATCCAATTTTCCTTTCCATCATCATCTTTCTTCTTCAATAAGAAGAAATGAATAATTGAATCACAGGCGCGTCTCATTTCTTTCCTTGGAGAGATGAAAAGAGCTGCCTATCGCGGAATATATATGTATATATATACATGTGTATCCTCTAATGATAGAAAAAAAAAGGGGGGGGGGGATCCTCATACAACCTCATCACATATACACAATCTTACTAGTATGCTTGGAGCATCTCACCAACATGCCAAAAAGCCTACAACCCCATAACTCTCTTTCATCAACCTCCCCCCCCCCCTTCTCTCCCCTCCCCACCCCCGGTGATGCGGGTTAACATTGCCACTGGCGTTGTATTTTTTTTCTGGGAAAAAAAAGAGAGAGAAGAAAAGAGGAAGAAGTAAAACAAGGGGGGGGGGGGGACAAAAAGACAAGAAACAATGTCGCGTTGGATGGGAAAGAGTACGGTCAAACTACACGGGATTATTGACTTCTTTTGCCATATCTATTGCTTTTGTTTTTTATTTGCTTTTTGTCCCCGTTGCTATCTTTACACACCCCCGAGACTCCTTATGAAACAAAATGAAAGAATTTCATGCTTTATTGTGTAGCCATCGTTCAAACAAGTTGTTCAGGCAAGAAAAATAGTGATAATGTCACGCCGGTAGACTGTACTGGAACGATATCAGCTCTATTACCACCTCGTAGTGGTTGAAAAGGAGTGGAAAAGGAGTGGAAAGAGGACAAAACCCCATCATCATGTCATTAATGCTACCCTTGTTCTGCATCTCTCCCAACAAGCATCACTTTCCCCTTGAGTCCCTCTATAACGCTGTCTCTCATCCACCACGTCCCTTGGATATCATGTGCTCCATCTTCATCCCCATCCGCCTTCTCCGTCGCCATACTGTCGTATATATCGGCAGCGGCAGCACCCGGCCGGAGGAGCTCGTCGCGAGCAGCACCCCATTCGAACAGTACGCGTGCACTCTCCAGCCTCTCCCTGTCTCCGCCGTACTCGATGCCCCTCTCTATCTCCATCCTGGCATCTAGCGCTCGTCCACCAGACTCCTGCTCGTCACTCGCCGTGCTGTTCTGCATCATGGCTGCTCGCTCGGCGTGCGTCACCTCGCGCAGGGAGTCGAGTCCGAATAACCATTCGAGCGGCGTGTCGTCGCGACCGTCCCTGCCCAGGGCTCCCAGCGTCGATGTGAATGCCCCTTCGCGCGGTGGTCGGCGTCGTAGGTAGATGCTCTGTGTCTTGGTGAAGGCCTCCCGCATGCCGTCCTTATCAAAGTCCACCTCTATATCCCAAAACTGCGATCCGCAGTCGGTCGTCAGGCGTGAGATCTGGTCCAGCGGCGGGAGGAGGCATGGCGTCGTGCGGCGGACGGTAGGTGATGGCTGGCTGTTCTTGAGCTGGATAATCACCGAAACAGAGATGGGCTGGCCCGTCAGGATGTCCTTGGCCACCAGGCATCGCTGCTCTGTCGCTAGCACCCAGAAATGGCGGAACGCCTGGAGGTGAGACCTATTGTCCATAACATCGTTGGGGAATATGGGGTAGAAGGATATCAGGAGCGACGCAATCGCCAGGTTGCTGCTGCCAAACGTCGCCGTGCCGCAGCCCAGAAACAGCGCGCCTATGGCCAGGTGTCCTGCGAGGTGGGACCCGTACGGCGTGTCTGGATCGTCGCGTCCGTGCAGGGATCGTAAGCGACGTAGTACGGGGATATCGCCCGATCCGGCCATGACTATCGACGCCGACAGGGCCAGCACGTCCTGACACATGCGAGCATTCTCCCTCGCCAGCTCCTCATCATATGGCGGCGGAGCGTCCGGATTATCCTTTTGGCTGGACGGGATACGGGTGATGCGGATGAAGTGGTCGAGGTAGTGAAGAAGAAGGTCACGCACTTTGAGTGCGGCGCTTCCCGAGAAACGAAGGGCAATAGACAGGCAGATGCCGGCCAGGATGCTGAAGAAGGGCAGGTCGGTAGACTGGAGCTTCGTCGTGCTCTGGAGTCCATGTCGTGCACGATACTCGTCCGGGAGGCTCTCCTCGACCCACGCAAACGTGGGCTGGATCTTGGACCACATGATGATGTTCTTTGCCACTGTGCGTAGGAGCAGAATGTCGGGGCGCACATAGTCAAACTGCAGCACCGACGCTGGCACGTCAATCTTGCGTGCTACAATGGCATCCTCCGACTTCATGAATATCAGGGCAATGGCCATCACGGCACCAGCAGCCGCGCGGTCGAGGATGTGCACAATCTCCACATTCTTCGTCGCGGTAGCATGCATGATGAGCTTCTCCGTGAGCCTGAGGTCATACAGACCTTTGAGATCGCTGCCCTTACCGAGGTTGATCAGGCCCAAAGAAAAGCCGGCGGCGAGACGGTAGCATTCGCTCCGAAGAGGCTCCTCTTCGTCACCCTCGTCGATATGCTCAATCTCTGACAGCATGATCTCGCTCATCCGTCGGTGCTGGCTGTTGCAGTATAGTAGGCCGATGCCCATGATACCGCACGTCTGCGTGAGGGGTGACAAGTTGAGCTCGGCGGCTCCGCGTGGCAGCATACGAGTAGCATGGACCGACAAGAGTCGCGTGATGAGCGAGTCCATTGTGCCCAGGTACGAAGCCGCAAGGCCCAGGAGGAGACCAATCGACGTCATGGTGTGCTTAGGCGTAAGGTACTTGAATGCCACCCACTTGGCAACGCCCTTGAGGTGGCCATTAAGGCCAAGAGCGAGCAGGAAGCCAGCATGTCGATTGCTCAGATCCTGACCGCCAGGTTTGTTGTAAAGAATCCAAGACGAGTCGATACCCTTTGCCTGCGGGGAAATGGCGAGTCCGGCTGCAACGCCCTGGTGGAAGAACCCCCAGCACACCTTCTCCTCAGTGAAGTGAGACTTGTCCACGCCGACCGTGACGTTGGCAGGCTTGACAATGCAGTTCAAGTTGAAGCCTCCAATGTGGAACTCCTGCGTGATGAGCGGATATCGGAGACTGTAGTAGAGCATGGCACGCCCAGAAGGGATGGCCAGAGTCCCTGTTGCTATCCTCGAGACAAACTCTTTTTGTTTCTCTAGATAGACGCTCTCTGTCCATTCTGGCTCCGGCTGGAAGCTCACCACACGCGCCTTGTGTGTCGAGAGAAGGGTCTGCACTTCGTTCAACCGCCTGTCCTCCTTGAACAGGGCGCGGATGACGGCCTGACGCTCCGTTCCGTCGCCCTCGTCATATCCGATGCTATTGGATTCTTCGACGGTCTGGCACAGTAGCTTGTAGTCGCGGCTCGCCACGTGAGTAGGAGTCTAGTTTTCCCAATGTCAGTAACGACGGCTATCACAGGCCCACAGCAAAGGTCATACTCACAAGGATGCTCGCCATTCCTGTCCGCGGTCGCTTTCCGGGCGTCAGAACGAGACTTATGTCCGTTCTCTTCACGAGCTCTAGCAGCTCACTGGACCAGGAGCTTGGTGGTCTAGGCTGGCACAGCGCAATGGCATCCTGTAGCGGTACGAGGACAGCCTCGGGCAGGGTCTCGAGAAAATGTGGTGTCATGCCGCATTGCTGCATGGCCTCAACCATCTCGACAGCCGTGGCACCACGCTTGAGGGCCTTGAAGAAGCGTTTGAAGGTGAGAGTCCGGGGAACAATGTCGTCCCACCTCTGGTCCCACTTGGTATCAGCTTCGGCAAGTCGCGCACTTGAATAGAAGACATCTCGTGGCGTTGGGTATGGCTCCCTGTCATCTGTGATCAGTCGAGACTGTACCCAATGCAGGATATCTGGTCGAACGGGCGGTTGGCTTATGGGAGGGATGATTTGAACTTCTGCCATTCGTGTTAGCGCAAGATATCCGGGTCTCGAGGTCTCAGGGTTAGGCTCCTCGTCCTATAGAAACATACCGGTATCATGACGTTGGTCAATGTCCTCCTGAATTCCCAGCTCGTAGATTGTCCAGAACTCCTGCCAGCCGAGCCATCTACCAATTTGACAGAGAACAACACGTAGGTCCGTACGACCAGGCGAGTTGTACTCGGGCGTCATGATATCCAACTTCTCCTCTTCAAGTAGAAGATGCAGCGCCATGAAGATATCAACAGCGCTCTTACGTCTTGCCTCTGGCGTCTTGCTTAGCGCTGTCGGTAGGAACCCTCCATGTCCGACGGCCGCGTCGCCAACGGGGGAGCTCAGAAACTCCTTGGCTAGGGTTATGTGTCGCGAGATGAATTTGGGCGATGTACTCTGGCCTGTGTGTGGGGACAGGGAATCGTCGGCATCTTCGTCAAGAGCCCAGTCCCAGCCTCTGTTCATCATCCAGGGAGGACATCCTAGTGAATTGACAGTCTCGCCCGCCTCGAGGGCCTTCCAGTCGTCCGAGTCTCGGATAGAGCCAAACGTCCCCGATGCTGGCCTCCGCTTCCGAGGAGAAGAGCGTGTGACCCTAAAAGTTTGTGTCGCATCTTTGCGTCCCAGGTTGAGGAATATAGAGAGGAGGAGGATGGTGACGGCGGACCACTCAAAGTTAGCCAGCGTGTCTGGGCAGCTTTCGAGCCACTGCATGACGTGGAACCATCCGGCATGAACGCGCTCGCCCACAGAATCAGGGAGGATACTCGCGCAAACATCAAGGACCTTTGCGACTTGTGGCGATGATGGTTGGAGCTGGATGCGCAACTGGTGAAGTCGGCCCTCGGTGTCCAAAACATCGACGACGCCTCTAGCACGAGGATGGCGGACGCCAACGATGCTACCATTGGAGAAGTCGACAACTTCAGACTTGCGGTTCTTAACGTCTCGGTGAATACTTCTGCCTGCGTAGAAGAGACTTCTTGTGCTCTCTGCGAAAAGCGTCGAGACAGATATCTTCGTGAGTTCTCTCCAGGGAGCCTGGATACTGAGCTCATGGCGGCCATCCATGGACTCGGACAAGACGAGGACGACTGACTGGTCCCCATCGACAAGCTTGGTAGAGTCCACGACATTCTGAGCCACCCGTAGCTCACCTGGTGTAATAGACACAGTTGCAGGGCCAGTAGCTGAGACCCCCCTGGTACGCTTGGGCTGCTGAAAGCGGAGGTGGAGCACCATCAGCTGCAGGCGTTTGTCCTCTGCATCCTGGATACCGACAAGGAGCTGACTCCGCGAACGCTCGTTGCTTGCAAAGGGAGGGGCTGTCAAGACGAAAACTCTCGGCTTAGATTTGGAGGCCGACTCGGCTGTCGAGTAGTGGAAGCTGTTGCTTTCCATGTCAACACTATGGATCTCTGAAAGCATAATCTCATGTTGGAGTCCGTCGAGTCCGTGGTCATCCAGGCCCATATTGTTAAGGCCTTCGTCGAGGCCCATGTCAAAAGGAGCCTCTAGTAAGCTCCCCAGACTAAGATGAGATTGGTGATTATGGCTCGAGCTCAAACGCCCAGCATGGCTGCCGATCGAGTCGTGCTTTCGAGATGTTGCGTGCGCCGTGACAGATGGCTGTTCTAGAAAGGCAGACCTCTCATGTGAGGCCGATAGATCGGCTCTGGCAAGCATGGAGCTGACACGCCGGGAACTGCGACGGGTCACATCTTTGCTCTCCTTGTCTTGTTGTTCGATTGAGGAGACCAAGTCGAGAGGTTTGTTCCCCTTGTCTGCCTTCCTCGTCCGCTTTCTAACAACTGATGCCGGAGGCGGTGCCTGGAGCGGTGCCTGTGCTCCGAAGCTTTCGCGAAAAGTAGCATTTAGCGGCGTTGTTGCACCACCGGCGAGTCCCGGTTGAATCGAGCTTCTCCTGAGGGTACTTCTCCGCCTTGATTTCTTCTGTTGACGAACAAAAGGGTCCTTGTGTTCCAGATAGTTGAGACGCCACACGGTGTAGATGCTAGCCTCGCGATTAATGGTGACAGCCAGTACTAACGGCTCTGCGCCGGGCAGGGAAATGTTTTCGATGTGCAGGACTTCGTGTGAAGGATCGAGGAAGACTGGTTTCTTCGGAGGGGCCTTCTTCCCCCTCTTGGCCGGCTCGGCTCCCGTGTTGGTCACAACCAGGCCAATGTCGAGCAATGGGTCCGTCAGTGACACCAGACGAGGCCAATGGGTATCGACAGGTTTCGTATTCGCCTCCCAAACCTGCCCAAGTGTGGATCCAAGGCCAAGCTTGAGCGGCTTGGGATTTCCTAGATTCTCGATGGAAAAGGTTGATTGCTGCGAGCTGGTGAAGACCGTCAATTGTGACGAAACGAAAGAGTTGGGCGGAACGCGAGGCATCTTGAGTGACATAGAAGCGGCACTCTCAGGTCTTTGATTCCTCTGTATAATGACACCTACTGGAGCTGCACAGGCGGACTCGACTTCAAAGGGCATGTGGACGATGTGGTTGGTGCCAGACAGGAAGTAGATGTGCGCCTGGGTCTTTAGGAAGACCACGAGGGCCTTTTCCAGACCGGGGTTCTTCCTTTGGTCTTCATTTTTCATATCTAAGGAATCCTTCTTTTCGTCCTCCGAGGCCGGGAAGTAGGTGAAGAGGGCATGGACAATAGGCTCCTTCTCGAGGTGGAACCGGTACGACTTCTGGATGATGCCGCCGCGGCTCCATACGACAGCATCCTTGGTGACGAGAAGCTCATCTTCGAACAGGCCATTTCCAGTATCATCGGGGAGGATACTCCATTTGTATGAGTCGGTCGGAGGGTTTTGGGGGAGAATCTGTTCGTTGATAGCATACTGGAGACCCGAGGGCTGATGCAAGCCTAGAGACCTGATCGACGCCATGCTGCAGGAACAGTAAAGGTCCCCATGCGTAGCGGCGAAGAGAGTTGCGGGATCAGAGCCACAGTCAAATGTTTCTGTGATCCCCGCAGTCCGTACACAGACATCAAAAGCAGCCGAAGATGTTGATGAGACAATCTAGAGCTGATGAGTTCGAAGCAACGCGTCGGAACGAAACGCGTATTGATGATCTCAATCAAGAAGTGGGATGGTGGGGATAATTCGATTTTTGCTTACCCTAAAGTAGACTTTGACTTTGTTTTTAGCAGGAGCGGTGTTGGGCGTTGATCATGTGTAGCTGTAATCGGCACTGACGTACTTTAGCTCCCCCAACCTACAGCTTCCCCAAACAAGCTCCCTTACCCCATCGATCCGTCTCGATCTACGTTTTGGACATTTCTGCTTCCGATTTAAGGGGAAGCTTCATTCATAATTTTTCTCTATTGTCCAGGATTCGCAGTATGAGAGGCCCTCTCCTACTGTCAATATGACAGACCACGAGGCCGCCGCGGGCGACCAGCACGAGGACCACCTCACGTCCCCCCATTCACCACCCAACGCCGAAGCCGGCGATGGCCCCAACGATAGCACCCAGCAAAGCACAGATTCCGAGCGTAAGGCGAAAGAAACTTTAAAGACACGGGACATCAAGCAAACGCCAGGCCAAGGTGGCGGTGAGGAGGAAGATAAACAGAGCCCCGACGGTGAAGAGGAGGAGGAAGAAGAGGACGGTAACGACGACGACGATGACGACGACGACGACGACGATGACGATGAGGAGCCATACCTCAAATATACCCAGCTCACAACTCATCTTCGTGGTGTCTATCGGAATGGAGATGCGACAAGCGCCTTCCTTGTCGCCGGCGACAAGATGATCATCGGCACACATAATGGCAACATCCACGTCATCCAGATACCCACGTTCCAGCCCATCCGTGTCTACCATGCGCATTCGGCCTCGGTTACGGGCATCTCGATATCGCCATTTCCACCGCCCCTCCCCACCGATAGGCCTGAGCCCACGCAAGCAGCCAGACCAGCCTCACGACAAGCCGAAGCCCCTGCAGCCGCGCCCCGAAAGCCTCGCGAACAGCAGACAGTCCCTAAGACGCCGTCTAACGACATCTACATTGCCACGTCATCCATGGACGGAAACGTCTGTGTCCAGTCCTTGGTCGATCCGAGGGACGTACAGCTACGCAACTTTGCGCGCCCGCTGCAGGCCGTCGCCCTGTCGCCTGAGTACAAGAGTGACCGCACCTATCTGTCCGGCGGTCTGGATGGGCAATTAATCCTGACTATCGGCGGAGGTATCGGCCGCAGCACATCGACAACCACCGGTGCGGCGGCCGCTGCCTCGGGATGGCTTGGGAGTATAGGCATCGGGAGTAATACGGGCAGGGATACGATCCAGCACTCGGGCGAGGGGACCATCAGCACAATCCAGTGGTCACTTTCCGGGAAGTATGCGGTGTGGCTCAACGAGCACGGCTTCAAGATCATCAGGACGCACCTTCACCACGATACGAACAATAGCGAGGATGCATGGAAACGAATTTGTCACATTGACCGACCTGATACGCCCGAGTGGGAGGCCATGGCCAGCGTCTGGAAAGGTCGCGCAGAGTGGATTGACGAGACGGCCTTTGGGACCCAGGACACAACGTCGCCTTCCACCACTGGCGTGTCATCACCGGCTATGGACAGTCTGCGCCAACGGGCTGCTTCGGCGCAAAAGGGGATAGAGCGTCTCCTCGTGGGATGGGGCGGTACTGTCTGGCTTGTGCATGTAAACCCGCACTCCACGAGCCTGTCAAAGAAGACTGGTGGTAGGACACTTGGAGAAGCTTATATCGTCAAAATGTGTGTTGATCTGATGGATTGTAACCATTCGAACAGAAGATGACTAACACGTCCATAAGGTTGAGACTGGATTGCATCATCTCAGGAATATCGCTCTACACGCAGAGGCTGTTGGCCGTTCTTGCGTACTGCACCCAGGACGAAGATGGCGAAGATGATGGGAGTGTGGGGTCCCCTATCAAGGGCCACAAGTCGCAGCCGTCAGCGTCATCAATAGGCAGTCAGCCCTCCGGCGGTATCCGGAGAAGCGAGAATAGCCTGCGTCCCGAACTTCGTCTCATTGACCTTGAATCCGAAGAGGAGGCTAGCATGGACAGCCTGACGGTGAGCCGTTATGAGATACTGTCTGCCAGAGATTATCACCTTGCTGTTCTCCCGCCGCAGAACGTGGCCGCAGCAGCATCATCAAAGGGCGTCTTTGAGGCCCTTGGCGGCATCGGCAGCGATGTGTGGAACGCGGCTATTAACCCTAAATCTCTATTTAACTCGGGCGGTAGCATCAGGAGCCGCGGCAGTGGCGATGATGCGTCAAGCATCCAGGCAGGCAGTATCGCCGGCATCGTTCGATCGGGTCTTGGCCAGGCAGCAGGTCCAGCGCATGGGAACCTGGTCAAGCCTGGCGCCAAGATCTTCATTCACAGCCCGTTTGACTGCATTCTAGGAACAAAGAGAGACCTTGCCGACCACCTGTCGTGGCTGGTGGAGCGCGAAGAATACAGACAGGCATGGGAGCTGCTGGACGAGCACCCCGAGATCATGGCGCCTGTCGACAGCATATCCCCTAACCTAAGCTCAGCGGCTGTCATGAGGCACAATCGAAGCACTAGTGACTTCAACGATGACGAGTCTGTCGCCGAATCGAGCTACGAAGCGTCATCGACCCTACAAAAGGAGAAGCTCCGAATAGGGGAGCTCTGGATTCAGGATCTAATTGAGCAAAGCCAATGGGCTGAGGCCGGCAGGATCTGCGGCAAGGTAATCACGACGCCAGATCGGTGGGAGAAGTGGGTGTGGCGGTTTGCCGGTGCGCACCACTTTGATGAGATTACCGACTTCATCCCCAGCGAGGCCATGACGCCTCCCCTACCAACGACAATATACGAAGTGGTGCTCGGGCACTACGTCAAGGTTGATAAGCCGCGTTTCAGAGAGCTGCTAGATCGTTGGTCGACGGACTTGTTTGATGTCAGGACCATCACGACGGCGCTGGAGAATCAGCTCCAGTACCGCGACGTGCGTGAGGATAGCATCGAGGATGGCGAGAAGGGCCGAGACTGGCGGATCGTCATGGAGAGCCTGGCACGTCTGCATGAGGCCAACGGGCGCCATAGGGAGGCATTGAAGTACTACATCAAACTGCAGGACGCAGACTCAGCCTTCCGCCTTATCCGAGACAGCCACCTGGCCGAGGCGGTTGCAGACGACATCCCCGGCTTTATCGGGCTGAGGGTATCGAATGATCGGCTGGGAGACATGACGGAGGCAGAGTTTGAAGAAGCGACCGCCGAGGCTATTACTCTCCTCGTCGACGAGGCACAGCATGGGCTCGTCCGCCCCTCTGTAGTGGTGGAGCAACTCAGTTCCCAGAACCTCAACCTGTACCTCTTCTTCTACCTGCGCGCTCTGTGGAAGGGCGAAGGCCTGATGGAGCACAGCGGGGAATTGATGGACCGACTGGTCATGGACAGCCAGAGCCTGGTCGACGATTTTGCCGACTTGGCGGTACACCTGTTCGCCATGTACGACCGTGCGCTTCTGATGGAATATCTCAAGGCGTCGACGTCATATATCTTAGAAAAGGTACATTCTGAATGCACAAGAGGAAGAAGCAGATGGGTGTGAATAATGAAGAATCGAAAAGAGGCGAGAAGAAGAAAAGGAAAAGAAAGAAGAAGAAACAGAGGCTAATAACAGATAACTGCAGGCAGTGCAAGAGTGCGAGTCGTTTGCGTACTATGACGAGCTCGTGTACCTATACTCCAAGACGGGACAGATGAAACGAGCACTGTACCTCATTATCGACCGGCTGCAGAATGTGCACAAGGCCATTGAATTCGCCAAGGAGCAAGATGACGATGATTTATGGGAGGATCTCTTGAATTACAGCATGGACAAGCCGCGCTTTATCCGAGGATTGCTAGAGCAGGCGGGCACAGCCATCGACCCTATCCGCCTCGTGCAGCGGATCCCCGAGGGCCTCGAGATTCAGGGGCTCAGGGAAGGCCTAGCGCACATGATGAAGGAGCACGAAATACAGTACAGCATCAGCTCTGGCGTGGCACGGGTGCTTCGAAGCGAGGTGGCAGCTGCGCAGAATAGGCTACGTGGCCGGCAGCGCAAGGGCATCAAGTTTGAAGTCGTACCACCAAAGGCAGAGGAACCGTCAGAGTCCGAGGGCAAACAACAGGATCGGGAGGTAACAGCGAGCAACAAACATGACGACGGCGACGACGACGAAGGAGAGGTCGGTCCCGCCGAATCTACTACCCTCCCCTTCAACCTTGACAAAAACAGGAAGAAGAAGAAGACCCCCCAGCCAGGTCACTGCGCACAATGCCACGAGCAGTTCACAGAGTACGAAATGGAGGCTCTACTGGGATACGCTTGCGGTCACGTATATCATGTCAGTCACCTCATGGAGCTTCTCCACCCTCACGAGGAGGTGGACGTCCATCTCGGCTATGGACGTAGCGGCGCGGCAGCTGGTGAGGATGACGATGAGCCAGGACGGTATACGGTCGGTGTCAAGGTCATGAGGGCGAGACTACTGAGGGACAAGGTCAAGGGGGGGTGTCCCCTTTGTCACGGGACTGAGCATTAGACTGTACCATTCTCTTGATTGGCACCCTTTTTTTCTTCTTTCTTTTCCGATTTCATTTCTTACATCTGGCATCAAAGATGATTCAAGTACAGCACAGTTTGTCTTTTTCATTATCATCTACTTGTACCTAGTAGGAGGGGGAGGGAACCTGGCCTCAAACGATACCCAGCCAGGGATCCTTTCCTTTCTCGTCTGTGATATTACATGCACGACCGTCTGTGAAACTTTTTATGAACCCCGTGTGTAGCTTATTCTCCTTTATTTGTCGGTGACAGCTCTCTACGTTGTGAATAATAATGAATATCCCTGGCCTCACACGAGGACAGCGCCAGCCACACCAGCAACACCGTACAGGTAGGCATTTCTAGCAACGAAAAAACCAGCAGCGGCATTATCGTTGTCATCGGTAGAGGAAGGCTGAGCAGCCGTAGAGGTGACCTCGTCTGGGTCCTCGGTGCTGGTGGCCGTGGCCGTGGCAGACTCATCATCGTCAGTCTTGGTGGAAGACGGGGACCGTGTACGAGTGACAGTGTAGTCGTCGGGGACTACCCCACCAACAGAAAGGCCAGTGAGGCATGCCGTCTCACGAACTATGGTGCATATGTTGACCGTGTAGACGAAGTGGCCTGAAAAGGGTCAGCGAGGGGGGTGGTGTCAGAGAGAGAGGGATAGACATGCCTTGAGACGTGGTGGAGCCGAGTTCCTGAGGAGCAGCGGTAAAGGACTCGGACGAGTTGGCTAAAGAAGAAGGCATCAGTAAGTTGAATGGGAATCTGCAGTAGAGGATATGGTGTGAGAAGACCCGTACACATTGGGTCCCTGGCTACGATGCCAGAGGCCATGACGCCGCTGAAGGCAAGGTAACGAAGCATCATCATCTTGAACGAGGTAGACATCTGGGAGTGTTGGTGAGGGTAAGGAGAAGAGGGGGAAAGAGAATGTTTTGTTGTAAAATTCGAGAGAAGGGAGGAATGGTGTATTGCCTAGCACCTTCTGTGTTTGTTGGTGGTGATCGTGTATACTGAAGGATTTTCTGTTTACGAAAAAATAGAGAAAGCTGTAAAAATGGTTTTATGTACAAAAGCGAGAATAAAATCAGAAGGTGATTTTTTTTCATTGAAAGAGAAAAAGATAGAAGAGAGAAGAGAGGCTAGTTGTTATTATTATTTCAAAACTTTTTGCTGGCATCTGGCAATCGGTTGTACAAGTGACGGCAGCTGGCAGGGAATCAGTGACGATGTAAGCTGGGCGTCGGTTAGACGAGCCACGCTGAGAGCGATGTGGATCACGAACGACTTGAAAGAGATGCCAAGGGCACCGGTCAGTAGTACAGGAGATGGCCATAGTATGTTCGGCACGGCTCTACCACTCCGAGAGTGAGCAGGAGTTTGTATCCTGTTTATATCCCTGAGCTCTCGATTGGTTTGGGATATGCTCTTAGCCACTGCTGTCTCGTGCGATATGCCTTTGCCTTGGTCTTGAGGAAGTATGCTATTTCTCGATTGAAATCTGTCCAGGGTACATTAGTATGGTAACATATATCTCGGGACTGATCATTTCAAATACGTAGACGTACCGTCAATCATGATTGGCACTGCCGTCTGTCCTCTCGTGGTCCGTGGAGGAGGACAGGATTATTAGGAAGAGGCGTTCCTAGTACTCTGTAGTTAGTGACTGATTCCATACAGAACCCAGCGCCATTCGGAAACTACATACCCTCCTCTGGCACCGCATGGACAACAGTGTCGGCGTCTCGATATTACTGCTTAGATGCCTTGGAGTGTTGATATGGCGAGTTGGGTCTCATCGATGCGCCATTGGGGCCTGTACACAATGTCAATATACGATGAATCTCCCCCTCACTCGTAGTAACTAGAGAGAGATCAAACCAGCCACTGTATCTCTGCACATCAAGAGCCTTGGTGTTGATGACGCCGCTCTCACTGACAAAGTCATAGATGCGTTTCCCCGGCGCCCAGTCGCGCAGCTTGACGACAAGACCATGATTCACCCGGAAGATGGCCCTGGGGAAAGTGCGAAATACGTTGATGAGATTCGGAGTCATCTCGACAAAATGCGTCTGTCCAAGAAAGAGGGAAGAACTGGAGTTGTTATCACCATCACCAACGCTCCCTCAGCCATCACCATCATCAGCCATGGGTGCCTCAGGCCGCGTACCTCAATCGTGTTGACAGTAAGAAGGACCAACATATCATCACACCTTCCGTTTCTTCTTCGCAACATTCGTTTGCACTTTTCCGTTGAAGGACCCGTTTCCGAACATTCATCTTCTTTCTACCCCCGTATTGTTTCCTGGATCATCAAAATTTCGTACCCCGATGAATAGCACGGTACCTCGGCCTTGCAACCTGCCTCCTTGCACCATGTAAGGTGATAGGTGAGATCTCGTTTAGCCTTACTAATTTTTTTCTTCCACTTTCTTGCAGCAGTACCAACGGCGGCACATATTAATCCACCAACACCCCCTGCGATTTGATTGAGTGCGGTGGGGGAGCGAAGACCAGGATTGTGCTAAACCGAATCGGCAACTGGCGACAACCGCACGCTCGGCTTCGATAGACCCTTGTGCCCGGCAAAGATAATATTTGTATGCGCTTGCCAGATGAATCCAGACAGTGTGTATTGATTCATGACCGCCTGCGAGACATGAAAGATAAGGTGCGCGCAGAAGCGGGTTTATCGACGACTGACTACTATTATGTATCATGATTTTCTACTGATGTCGAGACCTCGGAGGCTTCTCCAGGCTTCCCGCATCTGTACCAATGACCTAGCTGTTATGGAGCGTACTTTTCCGATCTCGTTGCATACGCACTTGTGCTGATGACGGTGGACAGCCTGGTTCTCACGGCCGCAGCAGCGAACCACACTGCAGCCTGGGCAGCGGGGGAGATGGCCGCCCGTCTTTGTACATCCCGGGTGAGAGCAGCGATGGAGGAGTGGCTCGACGAGGCCATGAAAGGCCTCTGAGGACCTTGAGTATTTAGCTGCACTCGTCTGCTCAGTGACATTGAACAGCTCGGGGGTAGGGAAATGAGGTTGGTGAGAATGAGGGCTTGAACAAGGTGGGATGTTGGTTGCTGTGGGACAGTTTCACTTCCTGAAAAGGTAGAGAAACCCATTCTTCTCCCATAAAAATGGGAGAGAAAGAGGTTCGCTGACCTGACAACGAAAGCTTCATCACTTCTGAGGTGCTAGTGAGCTACAACTGAGTTCTGCTTGTGGCAAGTACTTCCCTTTCACACCTCGGAAAGGACTGACACGCAACTGGCCACGGTTTGATAGAATTCACATGTTTCCATCACGTATGAGATTATCGAAAATACCCAAGGGATAACAAAAAAGGACAGAGGAAAGATGATCACCGTCTATTGGTACGACTTCGAAGTTGGTAAAGCCTATGGAGTAATATATACATGGTCATACCACGATACTAGTAATATACGATTAGTTCCCATCGACAATTATCGTGGCAACTACGCCAATCTCTAGAAATATCTTCACGACAACAATGGAAAACAATGCCAGGACCCTCTGGACCCTCTAAAGGGCTATCATATCATTTCCCGCCCATTTGGTAATCATTGCCTGATATCCATCAGATCGAGTCCAAGTGTCTTTGTAGGGTAGTGGGACTCGGTGGGATCGTTCAACGTCGATTGAACTCGATGAGAGGAAACAGCTCTAGTTTTCTCACTTGAAATATAAAGGCATGAGACACTGTCATGCTTATCCGTGTAGGCAGGGAAATCAGGAGAATGGTTAAAGTGCTGAACGAAATGCCAAGACGCGCCGACCCTAAGATGAGATGTGTGCAGGCTGTAAGGTCAGAGTGTTGTCTGTCCTCGGATCTTGTATCATGTATTGTGATTTATGTTGTATACCTTGTGTTTTTCCGTTTTGATTCCATTGAATCGCAGGGTGCTTTTGAGAGAAGTCTCTTTGTCCATATACAGTGCTGTCGAGAGTGCATGTGCCATCTATGATGATGAGGCAAACAGCTTCGCATTTTCCATGACCGATATGCTTGACCTATACTGCAACGCTGTAGTGACCGACTCTGCCTCTGACCTGATCACCGACATTGGTGTGGGATCTGAGTCTTCCGAGACGGCTGGAGGAGACAACAATCGACACGGAAAACGTGATGGTAGCAGCAGCAGCAGCAGCAGCAGCAGCAGCAGCAGCAGCAGCAGCAACATCATCTGGCCCGAACTGCATTGCCTGCGAATGGTCTGATGGGTAGCGGTGTGTCGCGGGACCTTGCATCAACTATTGTTGCGATGGAGAGGAGAGGCGGTATGAAGACTGATAGAGGAGCTCGATCTTGTTTGTACTTGTAAAGGAGATGCTGAGGATGCTAATGATTTGTACGTAAAAGGTATTATAGTAATAAATGGTTACCAGAATCTCAATAATCGCTGGGCGAATGGTTTAGTGGTATAATTTTCCCTTAGCACCTTGTCTCCCGAGACAAACTGCGATACTGGGAAAGGTCCAGGGTTCGATTCCCTGTTCGTCCAATGTCTCATTTTTTTTGGGCTGGGGGGGGAGGGGTGTTCTTAACTCGATGTTGCGACCTTGCCTTTGTTCCATCGTCTCTCTGTTTTGTCTTCCTTTTTGTTTAGTATTATTCCCTGCATCGCTTGACGAAAAGAAATGATACACAGGGAAACGTTTGCCGTGCCTGCGTGTCTATTGTGTCTTGGCCTGCCAGTGGCTCCACTACAGCTGTTCCCTGCGCTCGCTTTTCTTCCTGAGACTCACGACTGTCATCCTCCGACCCCCCATCACGACATTTACGAGCAGCACCAGCAATTGCCGGTCAGGTGGGAGCCCATTGCTATGCGATAGCCGCGACCCGGATCACATATACCCCATTGGTGGTTGCCATTGGCGACTGTGACGACCGCCTATCTCAACCATTCCTGGTTATAATGCCGCGCATACCCGTACACGAGCTGGGTCGGTACCTGCTCTCGGGACACGTCTCGAGACGAGGCTGCCTCGAATCATGTAGGCTGGCGGCTCGACGTCCGGTGACTGTTCTACAAACACCATCATCTCTTGGCCTTCTCCGGTCCCTCCACACAGCTCAAGAGCCCGCCACCCCGACCTCCCTGCGAGCCCCGCTACGCAAGCAACTACGCGACGAAGCCAAACAAGCCAAGAAACAGGGCAAGGGGAAAAAGTCCAAGAAGGACTTGCAGACCGTGGACGGATGGGAGCTGACGGTGGGCGTGGAGATACACGCGCAGCTCAACACAACGCACAAGCTCTTCTCCCCGGCCGAGACGTCTTTCAACGACGACCCCAACAGCCACGTCGCCCTGTTCGATGTGTCCATGCCGGGAAGCCAGCCGCTGTTCCAACACGAGGCCGTAATTCCTGCGGTGCGCGCCGCCCTCTCGCTCAACTGCGATGTGCAGCGCGTCAGCCGCTTCGACCGCAAGCACTACTTCTGGTGGGATCAGCCGTCGGGGTACCAGATCACGCAGTTTTACGAGCCGTTTGCGCGCAACGGGCACATCCGGCTGCTGCCGCGCGACGGGATTTCCCCACAGGATGGAGAGGGCGTCACCGTAGGCATCAAGCAAGTGCAGCTGGAGCAGGATACGGCCAAGACCCTGGCGCAGACGGACGGCACGCAGTGGCTCGACTTCAACCGCGTGGGCGCGCCGCTCATCGAGATCATCACCGAGCCGCACATCCACCATCCGCGCACGGCTGCCGTGCTGGTTCGCAAGATTCAGCTGCTCCTCAGCACCGTCGACGCCTGCGTCTCGGGTATGGAGACCGGCGGTCTCCGTGCAGATATCAACGTGTCGGTCCGTCGGACTGGCGATAAAACCGCCCCGCTGGGAACCAGGACGGAGATCAAGAACCTGAGTACCATCAAGGCCGTGGAGGATGCCATCATTGCCGAGAGGGATCGCCAGATCCGCGAGATTGAAGCCGGCAACCAGATCGCTAGCGAGACACGCGGTTGGAACGTTGACTCGACAGAGACGCGTCGGCTCCGTGGAAAGGAGGGCGAGGTCGACTACCGCTACATGCCGGATCCGGACATTGCACCCCTCGTCATTGGCGATGACGTTGTGCACCATCTGCGCCAGAGCCTCGCCATCACCCCCGATGCCGAGCTCGACCATCTTGTCATGCATCTCGGCCTAACCCCCAAGGATGCCATGTCCCTCATCAACCTCGATGGAGGAGCGCGCGTAGAGTATTTCTACCGTGTTCTCAAGACGGTTGAGTCCATGATTGCGGCAGAGAGTCAGGATGGGGACATGCCCGATGTCAAGAGCTACGCCGGCCTCGTGGGCAACTGGACTATTCACGAGCTCGGTCGCCTCACTACGTCGCGTGCCGGACCTCTCGGCCAGGTCGATCTGACCTTCACTCCCGAAGGCGAGTGCCACCAGGTTCCCGACGTGGAACTTTCCCAGCTGCTCTTCCACCTGTACCACCGACGCATCACGGGCAAGGTAGCGAAGGAGTTGCTCATGGCGCTGTACCTGGGTGACCTGGAGAATGGTATTCGGCACGGCATAGAGACGCACGACCTATGGTTCAAGGAGCTGTCAGCCGAAGAGTACAACGAGCTTGTTGACGAGGTGATGCAGGATGAGACCGATCTCGTACAGAGCCTTCTATCTAGTGAGGACGACGTGCCGCAGGGCAAACTGATGTTTCTGGTTGGCAAGCTGATGCGCACGGGGCCGACGGAGAGGATTGATCCTTGCACGGCAGAAAAGACGATTCGGTCGCGTATTGAAGCGATGCGATTTGACTGAATGCTCTTCCTCTCCATGGAGCGTGCGTGCACTACTAGGTGGGTAGGTGATTTAGTGTAGAACTTGTACGATTAGTTGTGTTAATCATGCTGTATGATCCTGATGCAGGCAAACATCTTCTCCCCACTTCACAGTCAAACATCAAGAGATCACGTCCAGAAAGCCGTCGCTCTGCTCATTCCGTCGAGGATCAAGGATACAACAGACATAACAGCTGTCACATCTACCAGAGATCACCGGCTCCCACATGTCCACCTGGGTCATCGCCAGTACCATTCTCTCGGCCATTACCGTTGTCTCCATCACGGCCACGGTGTTCTTCTTTCTGTTCAAGCGACGGAGAATGGCTGGGCAGAAACAGGGCTTCATCATCGACAATGCCGGCATTGAGATGGCGGTCAGGGCGGAACAGTCGGACGAGGAGGATGGCATCAAGTCGACTACATGTAGTGACGGGTCTACTACGAGACGTGAAGTCATGACGGCTGAGACTGTGTCTTTTATATATCCGGAGGGACGGCCCGTGTTAGTGGATATAGTTAGGAGGGAGAGTTGAGGTGCGTATTGATGAACAGGAATCTCAATATAACCAATCGTGGGCAGCCTATAGGTGCAGACATGAAATTCAACAGCTTGTATAACGGACGACACGATGAACTGATCTAATCGATATCGATCACAATCTTCTGCCCCGAGACACCTTTCATCTGTCGGTAAATGGCATCCTGAATCTTATCCAGACCCTTTCCAACCACGACAGGCGCCGGCAGATACTTGAGAGTGCCGTTGGCCATGGCCTCGGGGAGCCACTCGCCCCAGAGATGGAGAGCGAGGCCCTCATACGGAACATATCCGCAGTGAGCTGCGGTAGGAAACAGTGTCAGCGCATTGCAATGATCGTACGGGATAGATCACACATACTCTTCGTGACTGTCAGTCCCTCCGGAACCTTGCAGGGGATTTCCATGTGTGGTGGCACCAGGGAGCCAGCCTTGCCCTTGGATCTAAGCTTGACATGGAGATCAACGACGCTCTGCAGGGCCTCCTCCGTCACGATGACACCTAGAATGCCAGCAATGTCGTCTCCCGCGAGCTTCTCGGCAATGTTCTCGACAATAGTCGGCGAGGAGTGATCAAAGACTTGAGTGGCACCCGCCGTCTTGCACAGGTCGAAGTTGTGAGCGCCGGCGACGGCCACGACAGTATACCCAGCCGCGACGAGGAGCTGCACAGCACAGGACCCGACACTAGAGCTAGCGCCCCAGACGACCACCGTCTTCCCGCTGGGAGTCGCAGGCGGGACCTGCGGCCAGGAGAGCTGCATGCCGGTGGTGTTGAAGAGCGCGTCAGCCGCGGAGATCATGGCCAGCGGAAGCACAGCGGCTTCAGAAAAGGCCACCGACTTGGGCAGCTTGCACGAGAGGCCCGGGTGTGCCACGGCGTATCGCTGGTAGGCCGCCTTTTGATACTCGGCAGCGGGGGGCAGCATCCCGGTGAAACAGCTGATGACATGGTCTCCCGGGGCATAACCTCTAACATTGGCGCCCACGGCGCAGACCTCACCGGCACCGTCGACGCCGATGATGGCGGGGTACTCGGTCAGGAAGAGACCATCCTGCTGGACGGCCTTGTCGATGGGGTTGACGGACACGGCGCGGATCCTGACCACTATCTCGTCTGGGCCACAGGTTGGCATGGGGGCCGGGCCTACCCTGCCATCGGCCTGAGCTTCGTCGATCCAGAAAGCCTCGTTTGACATTGTGCGTGTTATGTATATGAGAGAGAGAAGGAAGCGAGAGATTGCGGTTGATTGGGGACGAAGAGAGAGTCTCGGATGGAAGATGCTTTGCCTCTTTATATAGTTCAGATTGCGGGGTCCATGCCTGACCCTTGCAACTCTGGGCTATCTGAGGATGCCTATGAGCGTCTATTGATGGTGCCGCATGCCCCCAGATCGTATTCTTCTCCGTGTTATCCATCCGTGTAAGACGAAGCCGCGGACGACCATCTCGGCATCAAGTACGCCGTACGATGATTTCCAAATTGGGAAATCTGCGCAACGCTAACTGCATATGGAAAGTAGATGTATATTATTGTGTACTCCGTACATGGAGAGAAGAGACGAGATTGACCTGCGATGGATTGTAGAGCATCGTGTCCGATGCCGTCGGTATTGATATGATGACATGGTAGTCGAGAGTGATTATGGGGAAAAGGTATCTGGTCCGGTGGTTCCGGCCGGTATGCTATGTTTGTAGAATAAGATGATTTTGAATGTTGTATCTTATATATACAGGACAGCCGACCATGTTACTCTCCCTCCAGACACTTATTGCATGCATGGTTATGGGACTGATGTAATACATATAATAATACGAGAATATTCGGCCAACGTGTCCCAGCGTTCTCTTCCATCATCCCGAGCTCGACGATGATGGGCCAGTCCCACTTGACGAGGAGATCCACGGCGGTCACAGATGTACCGTTCCTGAGCCATGAATGATTACAATGCACATTTGAGAGGCGTGAATGTAACAGTGCTCATTTCAGAAACCGCAAAAGGCCGGCAGTGAGGTGGTCTACTAGAAGTGGAGATGTGAGCATGAGGAAGTAGGAACGTGAGGGGTTGCAAAGATAGATGAAGACGCTTGCCTCTGCAGGACCCATGTAAGGTCTCGTGTCTCGTCAATACGTATGGCTGCTCAAGCCGCAGTCGAGTTTGGGATTGAAAATCTCTGATATACTTGAAAGATGCAGGCAGGATATCGCAGGTTGCTGGCAAGAGCCGGGTGGCTATAGTATGTTTCCGTATGAACGTCTCCTCGAGGCTGCGAATGGGCCCCATAGTACCGACGCCTTAACTCCGTAATTCCCGGACCTTTTCTAGGAGCAACAAGTCCATCTCCACTGCTCATCCTCTATGCTCCTCGATCAACTATCGTCTACTAGCTAGTACGAGGACACTGCCATGGTCAATCACGGCGTTTCGAGGGCTTGCCGCACGTGTAAGCATCGTAAGAAAAAGGCAAGCTACCGTTATTCTGTCGACTACCCGTCCGTCAACCGTCAAGCTGACTGAGATGACAGTGTGATGAGACGAGGCCTGTAAGTAGCACCATCACCGCAGACTCCGGACTCGTATCAGACCCGCTCACTCATTCATAGTCTTGCAACGTGTGCATACGTGCTGGGCGAATATGCCTGGGCTACGAATCAGAAGGGGACCTGGTATTTCGTCACCATCGCGCAGCCAGATTCGACGTGCTGGTCTCGTCACCTCCCCGCCAGCTGCCCGTTGGGGATGACTACTTTGTGGCCCACGCGGTTGAGTTATTTCGACGCGAATACTGCGTCCGTCCTGCGGTTGCAGAGCTCTCCCGCGGCTATCTGCAGGGTGTATCGAGATTGCTGCGCCAAGAAGATGGCGATGCGATCAGGGCATGCAAGGCCATGGTACTCCGCAGCCTCGGCGAGCGGCAGAACAGACCGGGGCTCATTGAGAGAGCCCACGATCTCTATCATGGCAGCATCCAATCTCTCCGAGCCAGAGTGTCGGATGAGACGTTCATACAGTCACCCAAGGCTTTGGCTGTCATCACACTCTGTGGCTTATACGAGGTACATCCTTCTCTCTGGCTTATACAGCAAGACGAATGTATGCTGACCACGGTGCATAAAAAATAAAAAGCTGGTATCACTGCCGCTGCCACGAGACAGAAGCAGTCACGAGATACATGCCGACGGAATAGTAGCCCTTGTACTCATGCGCAACTCTCCCCGCAGCGTCATCAAAGATATCGGGTCAGAAATGATCATGCACGTTCTCCAATCCCGACATCTAGCGGCACCGAGACTCGAAGTATCGTTGATGGACCCGGGCAGTCTATGCCTCAGCTTTGCTGCCTTGTCCAGGCGGGCACATAAAGCATTTGGTGGAGTAGGCGTCACCTTGCTGTGGGAATCGGAGATACGAGAGGTTTCCCTAGATGCTGAGGCCTTGTTTTATGGGCTCATTGACTGGACCAAGACCCGCCCACCTTCCTGGAGACCACGGTGCGTAGGGTTTGCCGGAAAGGCCCAGACATCTGGGCTTCACGGGGAAGTCTTTTGGCCCGGCCCGGTAGATGCGTACATGGACTGTAAGTATAGAAACGGGGCAGGCTACAATCACTCGGGCTGGACGTCAACTGACTCTTACACTATGCAGTATGGGTGGCGTCGGTGTGGGCAGTCTGCCGGAAGGCTGCCATCATGCTCGCTGCTACCGCGGCCAAGTGTGCTTCGCTACTCCCGGACGATGATGAGGTGAGAGCTACAGGGGCTCGCCTGAAGCAGGATGTTCTGCCTGTTATATACGCAATGCTGGCATCGATCCCTTTCTTTCTCATCGACGATGTCGAGGGAGCCCTTATCCGCTCTGACCGGATACTCCCCGGCCCGTCGGCTGGAGGCCTCCTGGCCATGTATCCGCTGTACTTGGTTAGGATGCAGAAGAGTGTCATCACAAGCGACATAGGCCGTCATATACGCGGGTGTCTGTCCTGGATAGGCCACTGGCAGGGAATCGGTCAGGCCAAGGTGCTGGCGCGGAACGAAGAAGACATGTCGTCCGTGGCTAGTGCCCACACCGTTGTATGGGCTGCCATGGCGGTCTAGATACTTCTTCCTGGTCACTGCTTCGGAGGTGCCAGGGTTGACTAGATCAACCCCGGCCTAGTTACGTCTTGGTAACGGTCCACATCTTCAGGCACAATCGGGATATAACAATAATCGACAATGATAGAGACGGGTCTTTCCTATATGCAAAATGATCCAAGATATTTTAAGTGGGAACTCTGCCGAGCCCTGCCTGTCATCGAGGCGGCGAGGCCCTCAGCTGAGCACATCCAGGTAAGAGAGCTAGAACGGCAGGTAGGAGAGATCATTCAGCTCAACTCAGTGTGCTGCTGAGCCCGACCCGGACTCGGTAACATATCCGGAATCATGGATGGTAGACACGGCGTGCGCCTTGGGCTGAGGGTGCGTCTCGGTGGAACGATCCACCTCGCGGGTCGAGTCCTCTGCGGAAGGACCAGGGGCTATCTCCGGGGCGGGAATGACAGAAAGCCTCCCCCGACGATGTTGAAGAGAGGCCAGTGCTAGAGCCGTGACGACGTGCAGAAGCGCGAAGCCGGCTGCACCATAGTTCCCGGCGACAACGGCAGGTTGATCAACTGTCTGGAAGAGGCCCAGTGGGATGACGGCGACAGCGAGAGACGCCCAGACATTCAGTCCTGCCGACGCAAACGCTCTCGTGGCCGGATCGCCGGACAGTGTTTCCTGTGTCCAGGCCCAGAACATGGAATTGCTAGCCTGACAGAATCCCGAGAGGTAGTACAGGACCCAACGTCCGGCGCGGTTACTTGGGAACACGGGGGTGCTGGCGAGGATGACGCAGACAACGGCGCTGACGCTTCCCCCCAGCACTAGCATGGGCCAGCGGCGGCCGCGGAGCCAGGTATCGCTGGACCAGGCCATTGCCAACGTCACGACGACAATGACGGCCTGGATACCGGTGGTATAGTTGTCTAGGCACGGTCAGCTTCTCCTGTTTCACCCTGAGGGGATCTCCTGATCCCAAGTCCTTCGTCTCGAGGCATAGCATACTGATCTGCGGCACCGTGTAGGACCCTGGTTTGATCTCGTTCCAGGCTTTCAGCCAAAAGGCCATCGAATTCAGAGGTTGGTCAACGACGGAGTTGCAGCTGAGAGGTAAGTCAGCATCGATAATCTGTGACTCTCCGACCACGGAGCAGAAAAAAAGCTCTCTTTGAGAAGTACACCCACAAAGAAATGACCCATAGCATCCACTGGAAGATGAATGCTAGTTAGCGTCAAGGAGATGTACATATCGATTTGGAGTCGGGGCGTATACGTACAATATCCGGTGTCAGAAACCATCTCTTCATCTGCCTCGATGTAAACGCCCCTTGTCGCACACGGCCTTCGAGAGGGTTCCGGTTCCTGGCGAGTTCAATATCCTTGGATGCGCTGTTAGAGATCAGAGCAGTAGTATGATTCGGGGGTCAGGGTTGGCAGCATACCCGCTCTGTAAAGAGACGATCTGGTTTCTGCCGCGCAGGAACATCCGGGTAGAAGAAGACCTGAGGTACGATGACGCCTACGGAGATGATACCTGCTCACATGTACAGCCGAAATCAGTAAGCCCGGTAATGTAAGATGTATGAAGCAGTACACGTTGCTGTTGAACTCTCACCATCGATTATGAAGAGCCACTGCCAACCCGCCCGACCTTGCACGCCGTTCAGCCCACTGTAGGCCGCCGCTTGCAGGTAGCTCGAGAACATGGGCCCGATGGCAGTGGTGATGTTGATGATGGCCAGTCTGCGCGCCAGCTCGTTCCTCTTGTACCATGAGCCGCAGAGGTACACAATGGCCGAGTAGTGGCCTGTTTCAAAGACGCCCAGGATGGCACGGAGGGCATACATCTGGGCTGGTGTCTTCATGATGGACTGCATGAATGTCATCAGGGTCCATGCCATCTCCAAGAATGGGATGAACCATCTAGGGTTGACGCGGGTGAGGACCAGGTTCGTGGGCCAGAGGGCAACCATCTGGTCATCAGCGTCAGCCGTGTCCTTCCCAGCGATACATGAGGGGAGCAGACGTACATTGGCCACCTGATATGCCGTGTTTGCATAGTTGAGCTCCTAGAGAGAACATGTGAGTGTTGTCATACGTACAATGTGTACATGTTTTCTCGGTGGATTTAGGATGCGCACATTTCCATAGAGAGAAAGATCCTCCTTCATGCCACTCACGAAGGCGCTCTGCAGGTTCGACCTGAGGTCCAGTCAGTGTTTCTCCCTTGCCAGTGTCTCCGGCCAGTAGCCGAGGACAGGTGCTGTTCATACTTGTCAAGGTATTTTATAAAAGTCCCGAGACACCCGAATGTCATGAGCGTAAGGTCCAGCTAGAGCAGTTAACCAAACGTATTAGTCGTGGAACAGACTTGTAGGCGAGGAGATGGTCCAGTACCTTGAGGATAAGCCGACGTTCCTAGTCACGCAAGTCAGGTGATGGAACATTTACACGAGCTACCGCTTAGGATACTCACCTCGGGGCCCTTGTCCCAAGAATCCCACAAGTAGCTTTTCCATGAAGGATTGCCGACATCTTTGGAGACACGATCAAGTTCCCCCGACTCGACGTTGTGGTGAGGGTCGCCGTGTTTAGCCTGGCGCCTCGGTCTGGGAGGGATCATTGTCAAAACGAAGCGTACGCTGCAGCTCTGTCTGTGTGGAGCAAACTGCGAAGATGAACTACTCAACTGCGTACATGGTCAACTCATCTTACCCTCGTTCCAGAAGATAGCAGCGTATATAACCACACGTCAGTGTCGCAATGTCAATTAGTAACCGCGACGGCTCCGTCTGATCAATTAACCGGAATTATGGACATCTGAGGTCGGGAATAATGCCACGATCAGGTCCCTCACCCCTGCCTGGACCTTGGCAAAATGGAATCGTACCATTTTAGCCAGGATCACGACTTCTAGAATGACGGCCCTACCAATGGCACAGAGCCACACGATACAAGGCACATGCATACCAAGGTGCCGTGGTACATATCTCCGTTGCCGATTCTTGGCAACAACTGACACGGCATCGAGTGGCTACGCGGCAGTTGTACTGAGTCTGACTTGCATGATGATGCAATCATCCCCACGTTTGGCGAATGGTTGATATCGCCCAAAACTGCCATATCGCAGTCCCTCGACAGTCGTGCCCTAGAACAGTGCGAAGGGTCTGCTGTCTTGGGGTGAAATATTGATCAAATCCTGCTTCATGGCATGCATAGCTCGCAACTCTCGGACCTAGACGTAACCTCGAAAGATCGGGATAGCTAGCAAGATGTCGTCAACAGCAGTGATCACAGAGACCAACCGCATCACGCAGGCAACGACTGACGCCTTGATTGAGAGCTCTCACCTGGAGACCTTCGCCATTCCAGGAGCACGCAATGTCCATGGAAAGACCTTCCCGCTTGGTATCCGTGTCAAGTCGTCCTCGCCATTCCGCGATGTTGAGGAGGCAGCGGCCCATCTCGAGTCTCTGGCTAGTCGGGGGACATTTGACAGCAATCTCGTGAATCGTGCGTGAGACCCGGCATATCTGAACCTGCGAGACGCGTTACGTGCGGGGAAGCATGCGGTGGCTAACATTCGATGATAACGTCAACACAGGCGGCGCCATCCTGTTTCGCGGGCTTCCAGTGAAAACAGCCGATGACTTTGCGAAGATCACCAAAGCCTTCAGATACCCGCAACCGCACGAGGAGGTGGGCCTCTCCGGAAAGCGAACTACGCGCGGTGACAACGTCAAGACAGCCAACGAGGAGCCGCCGCACATCCGCTTCTACTTCCACAATGAGTACGGGAGGAGCGCCGTGTTTCCCAGCATCATCTTCTTCAACTCGCAGAAGGTGCCAGATGAGGGCGGCCAGACGCCTCTCCTGTCAACGATTGAGCTGTATGATCGTGTGGCCGAGGAGCTCCCCGATTTTCTCGACAACCTCATCAAGAAACGTAAGAGTGGTTCCCTCCTCTACCTGAAACGAAACGTCAAAGAGACGTGGCCTTGTCGAGTGCTTACCCGCTGGCAGAGATCATCGGTCGCCAGTACTACCCTACAAAGAGCGATCCCGAGTCCAAGACAATCGGCTGGAACTGGCAAGACTCATACGGCTTTGACATCGAGGAAGGCGACTCCCTCGAGACCCAGAGGCGCAAGACGGAGCACGTTCTCAAGACCCGGCTACAAGCCGATGCGGAATGGCAGCCCAACGGAGCGCTGCACGTCCTGCAACGGCTGCCGGCCGTCCGTCGTATCGCCTCGACGGGCCAGCCAGTGCTGTTCAACGGTCTCGGCGGCGTCTACGGAAGACAGAGAGATCGTAAGGCTCTCGACCCTCCGCACAGGGGCATCGATGGGGGCATCCACCTGCCGACTACGTACGGAGATGGGTCCGAGATTCCGAGGGAGACCCTGGAGAAGTATCTTGAGATCCAGGAGGACATTGGGTTCCTTGTGCCATGGGAGGATGGAGATGTGGCCCTAGTGGACAACTACACTGTTCAGGTGAGTGATCCGGATGCATGCACAGGCAGTCACAAGGGTCGTTGGCTAACGACGACACTGCTCGACAGCATGCACGCACGCCTTGGAAGGGAGAAAGGTCTCTCCTTGTGAGTCTCTGGGATGGACACGAGAAGTTTGTCCCCTTCTAAGGTCATTGTTCTTCGAATGTCTACGGTAGGATTGCATGGCCTGCATGTACAGGTAACGGAAACACTTTTCCGAAACCTACGAGGATGGAAGGAGAAATAAGAAAAACAAAAAACAAACAAAAAAGTAGCAGAGGGGCCCTTAATGCGACAGAGACCTCGATCTCGTTTCCTGCTGTCGACTAATCAACCTGTCACAACCCCATGAGGAGTAAACACTGCGCATTGGAACAGTCTTTCGGACCCCGGAACTATAAAGGTGATACGGAGTAGTGAGCAAATGAATCAAGGACCCCAGAAACAAAACCTTCATCCGCGTCTTCAAGTTGTCAAGGGGTCCCAGTTTAGTTAATGAGCAGTGGACCATTTCTTGCCGAAACACGGCTCAGAGTCCTATTTCGGAATTAGAACGGCATATGCACTAAAGAACCTGGACTCCACAACGGCGTCTAGATTAAGCACTGTTTGTCTGTCCCTCGAAGAATGGTGATGTCGTACCTTGGGAGAATGATGTGGCTGATTATATAGCATGTGTATCCAGAAGACGGAGAAAGCGGAAACATGCGAAAACATATTCACTCTTCACAGCTTTCCGAGGCCCATAGCTCCAGGTGTGATGCATTGTCCGGGGTGATGCAATGCACTCGTAACGTCCTTTTGTTGTGTGTATCGATGATATATATTGCTCATAGTAGTCTACTTGAAACGACAACTGCAGCGAGACTCCACTCCGCACTTGCAAGCCATTGGAATCGCAGCGAAGACAGACCTTCAGACCTCCGGCACCTCGCTGCCCCCCCCCCCCCCCCCCCCCCCGCTGCCCGAGTTTCATCCACATTAGAGTAAGAGGGTCTCGAGCTCTGTATGTGTTTGAGCCGAGGGGCATAACGCGTGTCACGGCATGATCGCCGCAGTCGGGAACTCATCACGGACGTTTCAAGCAAGGTGTGTTGTTTTCTTGGCAACAAACATGATGGCTGCACGGCGTGTTACCCCCATCTGTTCAAGTTCCCTAGAGGCTATCCTGCAGGATATATTAAAGGATGGGGAGGACCTGCTCACTCTTGAATATCATCAGCCTCTCGTCAGTTTCGTTTCCCGTCCTCAGTCCTTTCGTTCTTCATCCGTTCTTTTGTGTCTTGATCAAAAAACTTTCCATTCTTTTCTTGTCATCACAACATTCTTTTCACAATGGGGCTGGTCTCGACTCTTTTCACTGCGGCGACGCTCGCCAGCTCGGCTTCCGCCCTGGCCATCCGTGCCACACCCACCGTCGAGGGTTTCGCTACCGGTGTGACGGGTGGTGCCGGCGGTTCCACCGTCACTCCCACCACGGCCGAGGAGCTGGTCTCCTACCTGGAGGATGACCAGGCTCGCGTCGTCTACGTCAACCAGCACTTTGACCTGCGAAACTATGACGGCACCACCAGCGGCTCCGGCTGCGCTCCTTGGGGCACCGACACCGGCTGCCAGCTCGCCATCAACAAGGACGATTGGTGCACAAACTACCAGCCTGACGCCCCCACCGTCAGCTCCATCACCTACTATGAGGCCGGTCTCAACCCCATCGAGGTTGCTTCCGACAAGTCCATCATAGGTGTCGGGAGCTCCGGTATCATCGAGGGCAAGGGCCTCCGCTTGGCCAACGGAGTCAAGAACGTCATCATCCAGAACATTCACGTCACCAACCTCAACCCCCAATACGTTTGTAAGTCGTCCGTCGGCACGCTCTGCTCTGATGACTTTGGCTGATGAAGATTGCAATGCAGGGGGCGGTGATGCCATCACCCTGGCCGGGACCGACCTGGTCTGGATTGACCACGTCAAGACCTCTCTCATCGGCCGTCAGCATCTTGTCTTTGGCGAGTCTGCCTCGTAAGTTCAACATTGGACATGTGTCCGGCCGTCTTCGTTGACGAAGATTCGAATCAAACTAACGTCATCTGCAGTGGCCGCGTGACTGTCTCCAACTGCGAGTTTGACGGTCAGTCCCCCATTCCGGTGCCTCTTCTGTCCTGTTCACGTACCTGACTGTATATAGGTGTCACCTCGTGGTCTGCCACCTGCGACGGCCGCCACTACTGGACCAACTACTTCACTGTATGTTTCTTTACCTGATCTCGTCGGGAGATGGTGCCGGAAGAACACAGAGCTAACCGAGATTCAACAGGGCTCCGATGATCAGATCACCTTCAAGAATAACTACATCCACGACGTCTCCGGACGTGCACCCAAGGTCGGTGGAAACACCGTCCTCCATGCTGTCAACAACTACTGGTACAATGCCGCCCACGGCTTCGAGATCGGTTCGGGTGGCTACGTCCTTGTTGAAGGCAGCGTCTTCCAGAACGTCGATGCCCCGGAGGACACCGGTTCCACCCGAGCTGGTGAGCTCTACAGCGTTGTCGGCGCCTCCGCTGCCTCTGCCTGCTCGAGCAACTTGGGCCGCAGCTGCCAGGCAAATGCCTTTGGAAGCTCTGGCACTCTCGATGGCGAGGATAGCGGTGTTCTGTCCAAGTTCTCTGGCCTGAGCAACATCGCCTCTGCTTCGACTGCCGAGGTGGCCAAGGATGTTGTGAACACTGCTGGATTTGGAAAGATCTAGAGACATGAAGACGTGTACATTATTCTCTCCGTAGACGTATATATATATATATATATACTTGATCGCTGGGTTTTCTCTCCCAAGGGGCAGCTGCTCCTTGTGTTATACTCTTCCGACCATGCATGGTGCATGCACGTTTCTAATTGCTTGAATCTACCTAAAACGTTCTTGCGGTGTCGAATAGTAGTACTGCTGCTATCCAAAGATCGTGAACCTCATCCGAAATACAAGTAAACGGTCCCTATTCTGAGATTGACTCATTTCTCTATCATCCCGCGACCCACAACCCCCACGCACACTCTCTGCTTATTTCCGGTCTGATATAGAACTCGATGATTGCAAGGATCATGGACGGCCACGACGATAGGTCATCTTGGTCATTATTCCTTTCTGTTTTCAAGGACAGTACGACTAGAGTTGAACAGAACTTCGTTCAGCATGTTGGCCATTGACGATAATCACTGTCCTAAAACGAGAGTGAGTCCATTCCCGGACCAAGTAAGATGATGAGCGGACCATGCTGCAGACCGTGCTGGACGCAACGACGGCCATGACTTCCTTCCCTCAAGGCCAGTTTTCAGGGTGATGAGGCGTCCAGTACTGCATGGTGATTCGTTCTTCTTCATCTCTCATCTGCATCTCGATGATTTTCTTGGCCGTCCCTGAGCTGCCCTCTAGGTTTTTGATGGTGGCCTCGTAGTCATCCTTGGAGGGACTCAGGGCCGCGACTCCGTTAGTCTCGGTGCTGAGGCGCTGGGCGTCAGGGCACTTCGTATTGACGATGTGATGGCAAGCTAACTGAAGGTGCTCACATATGCTTGATCGTGTGAATGAGCTCTGGGTTTGGTAAGCCATCTCTCTTAGTCTGGCGCCATGTTGGGGAGGATTCTGACAGCTCGACACTAGCATCGACTGGACCGAAAACCAGGAAGATGGACTTGGCTTCCTGGCCGGGATTTTTTTGGATGGGTCGTATATGATCTGGCTCTTGATAGAGGCCGTATGAGTGGATCGTCTGCGACGCGTGAGTATATACTAGAGCTGGTCTATGCACGAGTGGTCAGTCAGATATGATCGATTGGAATGTGCCAGATGGCAGATGACGTCGAGCCCTCCCCCCTCCCTCTCTCTCCACCCACTCCGGTGGGTATGTTGAGTAGTTGGTTGCCACGTATAAGAAGTAGGATAAGGTGAGACTCGGTGAAGCTAGAGATGCTGTCACTGAAGCCAGGAGCAAGGTGACGGGGGTTCAGATGTAAATTGTGATGATGCTTTATTATATAAGGGATATGCATACAGCAGGTTGATTAGAATCATGGACAGATATTTTTTTACCGTTACAGCCATCCCGATAGCGCCAACTGAACAACAATGAAAACCATGTACATGTAAAACTCTCAATCCGAGGAATCAAGGACAATACGCTCAGCAAGACAAAGAAGGAGAGAAAGAAGAAAAGACACATCACTTCCGACGGGTAAGCGACTCGATATCACCGAGCGGGAACCTGATAAAGGTAGTCTCAGGCACCATGAGACCGGAGCAACCGGCATAAAAGGCAATGAGGGAGGTGATGACCAAGAAGCCGCCGCCAGCCTTGTTGACAGTTATAGCCGTACTCGTCGCGGTGGTAGCGATAAACTGGGCGACACCGAGGAGCAGAAAGGTCAACATGAGGCAGAAGAGCAGGGAGAGGATGGCGATGTTCGTGCGCAGGGCGGCGAGGAGGAAGAGCAGCGTGATGAGGGTCCAGGACATGAGGTAGATGCCCAAGGCAGTGGTGTAGGCGTGCGTGTCACCGGCGTACGCTTCCTTGATGCCCAGGGCGGGCACGAAGAACATGCCGTACGAAAGCCAGAAGCCACCGTAGATGCAGTGCAGCGTGCTACCAAATGTGTTGCCCACGCGGAACTCCATTATACCGGCGAATACCTGGATGGCGCCGCCGAGGAAGACGGACAGACCGAAGATGGCTTGGTTGGGGCCGACGCTGCCCATCGGGTTCGAGTCAGGAAGACTGCGGATCAAAACTGTGTCAGTATGCTACATGATGCTGACTCCCGGTTGGTGGGCCTTGGATGTGTAGGGGCTGTCTTTCTTACCCAACTCCTAGCTGGTATAGGGCCAGGGTGAAGCCGGAGACGGCAAAGCTGATGAGTCCGAGGGGGCCGGGGTTGGCGGCCTTGAGAAAGGACGGCTGGTAGACGTGAGAGATGGTGCCCTGGCGCTGGGGCGGCTTCTCGACGTGGTCCCCGCCGCCATTGATGTCTAGGTCCTTGTTGAGGGAGGAGCTCTGACCATTGGAACTGTTGGCAAAGTCCTGGTATTGAGCTTCGGTTCCCTTTGCAGCCATGTTGTGCTGTTGTTGTTGTTGTTGTTGTTGTTATAGAATCAGGTAAAGTGAGGAGGAGGAACCCGGATTAAAGAGGTCAGGGAATGATTAGACAATAGACAAGGAGAAAAGGAGAGAGAAGAGTAAGATTAGACTGGGAACTGCACGAGCTTTATAGTCGCTCCTCATCCCAGTAGTCTCCAAGGGTGTAGACTCAAGGCGGGGAGAGCATCCCGTTTCGATACATGGGCGTCACCCTCATGGCTGCATGCCAACAGTACGAATACATGTAGTAGCTCCCAGCACCAGAACAGCTACCGACTAGTACATGTAGATATCACTAGCTACTAAGGAGCATGCACATGACGCTATGGTTCCCACATACGGCGGTGCACTTACAAGGCCAAAAGGCCATTTTGCGGGGAACGCGGCCCAAGGGAGATTTTTTTCCTCCATAATACTCAACTGAACACACCTAGACCTGGGGTAAAGGAGGAGGACAAGTTGCAACAGATAGGATGGAACCCCAGAAGAAGCCCCTTGATCAACAACAGTAAAGGAGGCCCCCATGTCGGTCAAGATCCAGCCTATTAACTTGGCTGCATCTACCCTTCCGCCCCCTCTCTGATGGACATACGAGGTCGTCGCGGAGCCGCAATTAAGAGGGGGGAGGGTAGCAATCGAGACAGAACGGGGTTGGTTTGTGGGGTATATTAGACTATTAGCAGACGAGAGGAGACCTTGTCTACCTGTACTACTACGAGTACCGAGTGGCTGAGACAGACCTTCCTGGATCCATGTATCCAAAGATTCAGACTAGGGCGGATGGTACGGACCCCCGGATGAAGGGAACGGTTGGCTCATGGGGTTCAAATGTTGGGGGAGGAATGCTTGTTATTGCTTGTCCCCCCTACACATGGCATGCAACGTACATGTACATACATGCTTATAATAATAGCATGTAATATTACACGTATCAACACTGCATTATTTCATCCCACCTTTTTCTTATTTCTTCCCATGTCTCTTTGCGCCGTCGGTGTGTAATTTGCCTACGTGTGTGTATGTATTACTCGTGCACATCTCATTATGTATACGAGTACGAGCATAGCCAGATGGCTGGGGGGTGACGTCTTCCATTGGACCGAAGCAGCTGTGCTCAGGAGGAAATGAAATCCAACTCATGATGGAGAGACCGGGGGAGGAGGGAGAGTGACAATTGGATGGGAATAAAAGTGCTTTGGTATTATTGTAGTCTAGTTGAATGGCAATGAGGATGCTTTGGTACTGCACATGACCGTCTGAAGACAAGAAAAGAGCTTGGACTATAATAAATTACTCCCGGGAGAACTGACCCGGTTGCACCACCAGGAGTAACAGAGCCCAATTAAGAAGAGAAGCGAACCCGCGCAGGTCTACGGAGTAGACCATTCATCAGCTCCTGCCGCCATCCATCCATGTACATTCACACGCACACGCACTCACAAATGATACTCTATGCTCGTATTCATTCGTCCCTTGTATGTATCTGTCCTCCCCANGGGGGGGGGGGGGGGGGGGGGAAGAGGAGCTAAACTTGTCGATTGGGACTAACGGGGCGATGGTCATGTTCATGTAAACATGCCTCTAGCGGACCTTGCTGGGGAGACTGTCTCCTCGCTTCGCTCGCCGGCTTATGGATCATTGTTCCGTGACACCTCCCGCTGCAGTCGTCTGTTCTTCCGGACAACAGTGGCATGCCGTCTACCGTGGTACCTGACGTCATCTGGGTACAGGGGATTCCATACGGTATTGCACACCTTGCACTCTGCAAAGGCAGGCTGGGACGAGAGATTCAGTGTCGTCTGGACTGGCGCCGACGTCTTCTTGCTCTGCTTCGAGGGTGCTGCTGCTGCTGCTACACCAGCGTCGTGTGGTAGTGTCTCCTTCGCTCTGTGTCGCCGTGACTTGGCCGGCCGCATGTCCTCATCGTTCTCCTTGTCGCTATCCCGACTCGGCGATAGGGTCGGTCTGATCCTCAGCAACCGCGGTGCCTTCCTTCTTTCCTCAGGCGGTGGCGGACCGGACTCTTCTTTTCTCGGCTCGATGGGTGCAGCTGGCGGGGTCTGCTTGGGTCGGAAGTAGGAGAGGATGGAGGATTTGGGCGGGGGTGTCGTTGTCTCTCTCGTCCTCGAGCCGTTCTTCTCTTCTGACTCTTGTTCTTTCGACGTAGGTGTCGCCATCTTTTCTGTGTCGTCGGTTTGCGTCTTCACCGTCTCATCATGCGCGGGTTTACGCTTCTTGGCTGGCGCTGCTTCGTTGTTCTCTCGTGAAAGTGTGGGAGCCGTCGACGCGTTCCGTTTTCCATATGTACGGAGGGGCCTTGAGCGTTGCTTCCCGGCATGGCTCATACCTGGCTTTGTTCTGCAAGGTACCAGGAAGGGTCAGTCGAGTCGAGTATGAGGGAGTGAAGACGGAGGAGACTGACACCGTAAAGTCGCGCGAGGGGGCGATCATGGTGGTTCGTGGGATATAATATTTCACTTTTCAATGAAAGAAGAAGAAGAAAGAATGACGGGTTTCAACATGAAGACATATTACCCCACAGAAGATTAATTATCGTCCCAACGTAGATGCAGAATCGGGGTTCTGATGTCCGATGGAGACGAAGCGCGTAAATGATCGGGAGACGCGTCAGCTTCGCGCGGGGTCACGTGAATGGAGTCAAGATGCTGCGACATCTTATCAATCAGTGGACCATCTCCGAGTAAATATTGGCGTTGAAATGTTCATCTTTGGCCCTGTAATATCATGGTGCCTTTTATTGTCTTTCTTCCTTTCTTTTGTCAATCTTCCTCTTTCACCGTAGTCACTCGTTTCCTCATGCCATCCGTATTCTTAGCATCCACTGAGACAGGTTCATTGTGCTCTTGCGCCCGTGGCTCGACAGTCCACGTCTCCGCCACCTCCTTCGTTTCTTTGACCTCTTCCTCCTTGTGCTTTGAATCCTCCAGTCTCCACACGTAAATGGAGTAAACGGCCACCTCGGCAACAGCCACGACCAGACTGCCGCCCATTGTAAGGAACAGCCGCGCGGGCACACTCCACCACCGGGCGGCGATCCACAGCGTGGCAGCGACGCCGATGATGCTGACGAGAAAGTTGATGAGCAGGAGGAGCTGGCGGTGCACATCGTTGTACGTGGCGTCGTTATCGCCCGTGTCGGCCGCCGTGTGAGGCTGGTTGACGGCGGCAAAAGCTCGCTGGGCAGGACCGGCCTGGGCGTACCCGTTTGTTGTGTTGTGGTGGTCGCTGTGCGGGTTCAGCATGCGCTGGTACACTCGGTCTTCCTCCTCGCGTCGTAGGCGGGCCATCAGGGCCTTGAACTGCGGTGTCTACGTGTGCGTGCATGTCAGCTTCGTGCCCGCGGGTCATGTCGACGTTAGGTAGCGAGTAAGCGTACCGGTTCCGGCTTGGGAGGTGGAGGTGGGATGTACACCACTGCGCCGACGAGGAGCTTCTCGAGGCTTATTGATGGAGCATCTGCGCATGTCTTGAGCTGCTTCCACAGATTTATGATCTGGCTGTGAGCGATGGGCTTGCCGACAGCAGGCTGATCGAGGGACGGCGAGGCTTCATCGGAACACAGCTCTGGCCCTGGAGCGATATGACCAAGGCTCTCCACCATGGAGGCGGTCATGGTAAGCAGCACCATGATCAGGGATTTTCCCTCCGTCTCTCTGTTGCGCTCTCTGTGTATGACGAAGAGGAGAGAGTAAACGATGTTGAAGATGATGTTACTTCAAGCTGCAAAGCTGCAGGCACCGAAGTAGTAGGTATAGGGTAATAGCCAATCACATGGACAAATTGCACAAGCTTTGTGGGTCAGTTAATCCGGACCCGTTTTCTCTGTCTCTCCATAGTCAAAGGTGGAAAAGTTCGGATCCCCAAGCTTCGGACAAGTGCCTCAAGTCTTCCCTTCCTTTCTTATTTCCCTTCGTCTATTCCCACCGTCACGATTCTTTGCGTTCTTTCTTTCCAAGGATCGGAGGGCGTTGGAAGCTTCAGAAGAAGCCTCAAACAAAAATCGGAATCTTGGGGGGTCCGGTGAAATCAGAATCCCCGAATCTCCGACAAGAGACGTCCCGAAGGAAAGATGCAACTACTAGTAGCACGATCGGGGACGGCGGCTGTTGCCCGTGAAGCCGTGATGACCTCGGCCGGCGCATCCAGGATGGCGTCTCAGTGCCAGTGGTGCCGGCACCCCGTGCTCGCCGCGTCGATATCCAGCAGCCCCCGAGGACTGCGACGGGCCATTCACTACAGTCACCGCCGCGACTCGGCCTGGGCGGCGGCCGTCCAGGTCGCCTCCAACATGGTGGGCAACGCGGTCAAGACGGCGACAAAGGACCACGGTGGCATGACCATCGACCCGCTGCGCGCCGTGGCCAAGGAGATGAAGTCTCTCACGGGCGACATCCGCAAGCTCCTCGGATCCGGCCACCCTTCCCTCGACCGCGTGGCCAAGTACTACACCCAGGCCGAGGGCAAGCACGTGCGGCCGCTGATCGTCCTCCTGATGAGCCGGGCGACACACCTCTGCCCTCGGGCCTCCGACTCCTCCTCCTTCTCTCAGCACCCCTCGATGCGGACCATTGACACGTCCATCTCGCCCGCCAAGATTCTCTCGGACGTCAACCCCGACGCCGTCGCCTCCTCGTCTCCATTCGTCATCCAGAAGCAGCAGGCGCAGGAGATGGCCGAGGAGGGCCACCCCGACATCCTACCCAGCCAGCGTCGTCTCGCCGAGGTAACAGAGCTGATACACACGGCCTCGCTTCTGCACGACGACGTCATCGACCACTCGGTTTCCCGTCGCGGCTCGCCCAGTGCCAACCTCGAATTCGGCAATAAGATGGCCGTCCTAGCCGGCGACTTCCTCCTCGGTCGCGCCTCGGTCGCCCTTGCCCGCCTCCGCAACGCGGAGGTCGTCGAGCTGCTCGCCACCGTCATCGCCAACCTCGTCGAGGGAGAATTCATGCAGCTGAAGAACACGGAGCGCGACGAGCGCAGCCCCAAGTGGTCAGAGGACACTCTCCGCTACTACCTCCAGAAGACGTATCTGAAGACGGCCAGCCTCATCTCCAAGTCTTGCCGATCCGCCGCCCTCCTCGGCGGCTCCGACGCGGTCACCGTCGAGGCTGCCTACTCGTACGGTCGCAACCTGGGTCTCGCATTCCAGCTTGTCGACGATATGCTCGATTATACCCGCTCGGATGCCGATCTCGGCAAGCCCGCCGGTGCTGACCTCGAGCTCGGTCTGGCTACCGCCCCTCTGCTGTTTGCTTGGAAGCAGGAGCCCGAGCTCGGCGCCCTTGTTGGACGCAAGTTTGAGCGTGAGGGTGATGTAGAGAGGGTACGTGTTGTTGTTTTTTTCCTTTTTTTCTTATGCCTCGTTCATATTTCCTTGTCCACCCCTATGTTTTCCTTTTTTTTCAAAAAAAAAAAAAAAAAACTCCTGAACGATGACATACTGACTGATCCGTTACAGGCCCGTCAACTGGTCCTCCAGAGCGACGGAGTCGAGCAGACGCGCGCTCTAGCCCAAGAGTACTCGGAAAAGGCCATGGCTGCCATTGCCGATTTCCCCCAAAGCGAAGCCAAGGACGGATTGATGGAGATGGCGTACAAGACGATCCAGCGACAGAAGTAAAAGGGGCCAGGTGTGAGATGTTGGCTTAGAGAAGTGTGGTTAGAAACGGTCTCTCTCCCTTTCCTTTCCCACGTCTCTGTTTTCCTCTCTTGTTGGTTAGAAGAGAGAAGGAGAGGGAGAGAGAGACCGGGACCCGTGTACGAATATATTATAACTGTATCCTGATAGAAAAGGAGAGATGAGGAAAGGATAGAAACACATGATGTCTGTATTTAACCTGTTACTTGGGACTTATCATATACGGCTTTTTTTTTTTTTGTTTTTTGCAGAAGAGCTACGAGGAAAAGTGAATAGGAAGACGAAGACGAGAAAAGCACAGGGGGAAGAGGAAGAAGGGAGGAAGCAAATGTTGAAGAAGCGGATTGCTTTCTATATCGATCATCTCATGTATTATTGCTAAACCGGTGACACGTTGCCATTCAACTCTCTTTGAAACGATGCATTCACTTCCAGATCTGGTAATATACACTCACATGTGCTTACCCCCAACCATCTACATACGAATGCGAATACGAATGTGATTACTCTGCGTCTGACTTCCCATGGTTGCCAACAATCTTACCGGTGGTGAGAAATGGTCTGATAACGGATGAACCAGTTCCGTCGGGGCTCTGCGAATGTCGCAACCGGGGTGCAGCGTCTCTTGGTCAACGCCCGGAAGTAAACTTGGATGATTATCATCTCAATCTCGGGTCTCTGTACGGAGTAATACCCCCAAGATAGAAGGATGTATTCGTACTTGTATAAATACGTCAGTCGGGCACGGCCGATTGACTTTTTTTCCAGAGTCAGATCTGAAAATCAGAAGGAGATATATGTGAAAAGAGAGGTTCCTGGAGAGGAAGAAGAAGAGGAGAGGAGAAAAGGATAAGACGACTGCACAGTCTTTTGGACCCTCCTAGCGATACTAGGCACAACCTACCATCAAGCCATGGCCATGAACGACTCGACAGATTCCATCCCCATGGACCATCCATACTTTCCCATGGGGGCCGTGCTGGCCGACTACGCCGCCAACACGATGCCTGCCATGGTACTGGTGTCGTACTTTTCCCTCGGGGCGGGGGTCATCCTCACGGCCACGCTGGCCTTGTCCCGTCGTCTCCAGCCCAATCTGTCGGCGGCGGATACCCTGATGACCATGTGGTTTGTCCTGTGCGGATTCATCCATTTATTCTTTGAAGGTATGCCGTCCCACTATTGTATCCCTCTACATTACCTCTTCTCTCCTCGTTCTCCTCGTTCTTCTTTCCTCTCATGAAATCTAACTCTGTTTTCTTCTTCTTCTTAAAAAAAGGTTATTACGCCTACAACTTCTCCCGTATGCCCAGCCGTCTCGACCTCTTCGGACAGCTATGGAAGGAGTACTCCCTCTCCGACTCACGCTACCTGACTCTCGACTCGTTCCTCGTTCCGATGGAGTCCGTCACGGCCCTCTGCTGGGGTCCCATGTCGTTTGCGTGCGCGGCCATGATCGTCGGCCGTCACCCGCTGCGCCACGTCTTCCAGACGATCATCAGCCTGGGCCAGCTGTACGGGGATGTCCTGTACTTTGGCACCTCGACCTTTACCATGGTGGTTGGCGGCGTGGACTTTTGCAGACCCGAGATGTTCTACTACTGGGCATATTACTTCTTCTGCAATGCCATCTGGATCGTCATCCCCTTCGGTCTCGTCGTGTCGAGTTCCAGGGCCATCGAGAAGGCCATTGCCAGGGTTCAGATGCTGGATGGGGAGAAGAAGGGGCAGTGATCAGGGAATCGTTTTCTTCTTTCTTCTTCTCCTTCTCCTTCTATACATGTACAGATGCACGTACGGATCTGTATAAAACGTAGGATGCATGCGTGGGGGAGTTGGTGCCAAGACATGATGGGTTTCCCTGTTATGTACTATCTAATTTCAGACAGACTGCCGCCTCTATGGGAATATCCAATTATACAAGATGGAAAACAAGAAAACAATAGATTGAGAACCTCGAAGCGGGGTGAAGTGTCTTGTCGACTGCTAGAATCACGAGCGACTAGTTCAACGGACCCTGGCGACCTCCGTCAACCAGACTAGTTCTGGTCCCCTGCGGAACCCATTTCGTTCGAATAATCGTTACGTTATTCATCGGTCCTGGCCGAGAAGGGGGGAAGAGAGCACGAGTAAAGAAGGAGTCCCATCCACATGTACAGATGCAGATGTAGGACTAATGACTAATTCCCCTGCAACTTACCTGACATGGGATTTCATCAGTACCCCATTGGCTCCATTCGTCCCAAGGGTTCGAAAAAAAAAAGGAAAGGAAATTATAATAATAAAAATAAAAGGGGAAAATCCCATTATATTACTCGAGAGAATAAACATATGGGACCAACCTCCGGGTCATGTCCAGGGCATTGAGCATATCGTGACTTGATTATTGCACAATTACTCGATACTATCGACAAAAGGGGAGCTATACCCCTTTCGGATCATCGATAGAGGCAACATCATTGGTCAGTTTGGATAGAGTCAGTTGGCAATGACAACTCAATGCGAGTAAGATGGAGACCTGAAGAGATTGTCACAACGTAGAGGGTGACTCTGGGTTGACTCGTGCTTCTCGTGAGGCCTTCATCTTTTTTCCATAAATCTCAATACACACACACACACACACATACACATATATATAACATATATATATACATATATTAATGCACATGTGCATATTACAACATGATCAACCCACCAACATCAAACATCAAAAACATCCGGTATACCCGGTCCGGTATTGATTGTATGCCACATGGCGGGGTATCTATCGTCGTGGTAGATGATAAGCCCCGCAAACATGGTCAGTCAGTATTCAACTCAGCAGTTCATACCAGCACATGCAGCGATACTGGTACCCCCCCTTCTCATTACTCGATGAGAAAAGAGAACACGAAGAAAAGGGGGCCCCGAGATCCCGGTAGCGGGACGAAAAGCCAGCCAGCACTAGTCCAGCAGTGACACCGATACCGTACATGATACCCAAGAGATAAGAGAACAAAGGCTCTCAAAGGCTCCACACCCCACAACCCTTTGGATGCCCATTGCCAGGCCCGCCCCCCTTCTCCCCTCGGACCACAATATGCCCGTGATCGTAATCGCCTTGATGGTGGCGCCCACCCCGAAGACAACTGATAAGGGTCCGTGGTCCCCCCAGTGGCATGTCCTGAGACGCCGGCTGATGTCCTGACCCTCTTCTCCCGCAATTCATCCCCTCTGTGCCTGCCTGCTTCTCCTCTGCCTCTCCTCTCCCTCCTTCCCCAGAGTCCCTATCCCGTCTCTTGCAACTTCTCCCGTCTTGCTTCCTCTCATAAGCAGCCACCGCCCAGCATGGCCGTCCCCTCTGACCCACCCGTCACCGTCCTCGTCTCCTCACGCGCCGTCCTCACCCTACCCGACGACTCCCTCCTACTCACACCCGCCACCATCGTCGTCTCGTCACGTACCGGAAAGATTGTGTCGACCTCTCCCGAGATCCTGCCCGCCACCAGCTTCCCTCCTGGAACCGACTATGTCGACCACTCGCCCCGTCTGCTGCTCCCCGGTCTCGTCGACGCCCATGTCCACCTCAACGAGCCGGGCCGGACCGAGTGGGAGGGTTTCTGGACCGGAACCCGCGCCGCCGCCAGCGGAGGTGTCACCACCGTAGTCGACATGCCCCTCAATGCCATCCCTCCCACCACCACCGTCGCCAACTTCAATGAGAAGCTCGCTGCTAGCCGAGGCAAGTGCTGGGTCGACGTCGGCTTCTACGGCGGTATCATTCCCGGGAACGCCGAGGACCTGAAGCCCCTCGTCGACGCCGGTGTCCGCGGCTTCAAGGGTTTCCTCATCGAATCGGGTGTGAGTACTCAGCCCTCATTGTTCCCATTTCCGTAGCCGTGCGCAGGCTGACATGCCCCAGGTCGACGAATTCCCCGCCGTGTCGTCTACCGACATTGCCCTCGCCATGGATAAGCTCAAGGATTCGCCCACGACTCTCATGTTCCACGCCGAAATGATCCCTCCCATCTCCGACTCGGTAGGTGACGCCGTCCAGAGCTCCGAGGCCCCCCTCGCCCCTCACGGCGACCTGACCTCGTACAACACCTTCCTCGAGTCGCGCCCCCCGTCCTTCGAGACCTACGCCATCGAGGAGATCCTGTCGCTGGCCCCCGCCGCACCCGACCTGAAGCTTCACATCGTCCACCTGTCGGCGACCCAGTGCATCCCGCTCCTGCGCGACGCACGGGCGCGTGGCATCAAGATCACGGCCGAGACGTGCTTCCATTACCTCGGCCTGTCGGCAGAGGAGGTCGAGACGGGAGACACGCGCCACAAGTGCTGCCCGCCCATCCGCGAGGAGAGCAACCGTGACGGTCTGTGGGAGGAATTGTCAGCCGGAGAGCACGAGTCGTGTATTCGCACCGTCGTGTCCGACCACTCACCATGCACTCCCGAGCTCAAGCTTCTCCCTGGCCACCTCGACCGGCCGCACGTCCCCCACATCGACTCAGGCATCGACATGACTATCACTGGCGACCTCAAGTCTGCTGCCAAGACCGCCCCTGCCCCAGCCCACGCCCGTGGCGACTTCTTTGCTGCCTGGGGCGGCGTGTCGTCTGTCGGCCTGGGCCTCCCCATCCTGCACACCAAGTCCCTGGAGCGCCGATCTCGGTCGCAGGTTGCGCCGTCCATTGTCGACATGGTCAGGCTCTGCAGCAAGGAGACGGCCGCTCAGGTTGGCCTGTCTCATCGTAAGGGTGGCCTGAAGGCTGGCTTGGACGCCGACGTCTGCGTGTTTGACGACACCGAGAACTGGACTTTCTCGCAGGGTGACATGCGCTGGAGGAATCAGTGCTCTCCCTGGGAAGGCCACAATTTTGTCGGTCGGGTCCGCGAGACATGGCTACGTGGGAGAAAGGTGTTTGAGCTCGACGCTGCGCAGGGCGATGGCCTTGGCTTTGTCAACAGCCGGCCTACCGGAGAGGCCATAACGGAGAAGAGGACAACTTGATTTTCATGATGTGAGATGATGACTATTATGGTAACAAGAAAAAGAAAGATGGGGGAGAAGAAGAAAGAGAGAGAAAACACGATGGAGAATGGAAATGATGGATGCAATCTTGATGATGTGATGAGGGGAAGGAAGGAACAACAGATCCGGCGCCCGCTAGACGGTGCGCAGGACAGTGCATATGGCGTTTTATACATGTAGACAGCATTTATTGGTTTAGCAAGGCATAGGTCGAATTGAGACTATAGATCTGCATTTGAAAAAAAAAAAAAAGTAATAGAATATTAATTCTTCGACGTTTCATTCATTCATTCGATTGTGGATGTTCGTGACGTGCTGTTGAGCCGTGTGCGTGAGTGCATCAAGGACATGCATGTGCATACATTTGATTGATGGTGCAGCTGCAAGGCCCATATATACCCTGTACCACTTCCTTTTTTTTCTAGGGAAGGGGGAGGTGCCGGTTGATCAATGCCATCTACTAGTATGTTTGGGCACTAAAGATCCTTCAGGTGGCGTTGTTCTCTCATAGACTATCGATAGTCACAAGGAGAATTTCTGTATTCTGTTTCCATGGCTCTGAAGTGAGAGAGTTTGTGAGGTGGAAACTGGAGAAGATGCTCTCGCAAGTGGTGCAGCTGGACGGATGCGCGCTCACGGCTTCCACGTTCTCGCCCAGGGACATGTACGAGTACATATATATAGACGCATACAAGTATAGTATCTGCCCGAGGGAATGTCAGTATAACAGCAGTCTACGAGTGCCGCCTCGGCTATGCTGTAACTCAGGAAGCATTGAATACCTACCAGTCTTACGCCGCAACGCCGCATTCGCGTTGATCCTTTATCCCGGCTCGGCTGTGGCCCTCGCAGCATACATGTTACATGTACATGTATGCGCACACCGTAGCTCTTACCGGGGAGTATTACTCGCCCTCGCTCGGGAAATGTGCTCCGTGGTTGAAGCGCCGCAGTGGCTGGGAGTCGCTCCAGGAGTTGTGAATATGTTGATGTACCATGTCCCCCCCCGGTGGCTATCCTAGCTCCGGGTTCAGGTAATCCTCTGGCATCTTCAAGGGCCGGCCCGACTGCATGTCCACACGGAACGTCTCCTCGATCGGTACTTGTACCCTGGAAGGACTGCTCGCACTCGCACTCGTGAATGGTGAGCGCAACTGTTCCCCTCCGTCACTCTGTAGGTCCTGCCATGCAGGTATCCTGATCCGTGAGCTGACACGTCCGTGACGCCAGTTGGCGCGTTTACTCCCGTAAAATATGCTCATTATCCGCGCATTGACGGTGGGGTGAACTGGGGTCGAGTTGAGATGGTCGGCGACGCGGGCCAGGTCGCCATCACTCAATCGGTTCAGGGCGTCGTTGTCGCCATGTAGAGAGGCGACGTACACGCAGTACGCGAACCAGGGGTAGAAGCCAGCTTTTTGAAAGATCAAGGATGCCCGGTCATGGCCCAGGCATTTATCGATGGCGGCGTTGAAGCGGTCTGGCGCGCGGGCCTGCTGGTGCTTGTCGAAGCGCTGTGTCAGTTGGGCCTGGAGCATGGATATGATGTCGTTTGTGCTCATGGTATTCATGTTCTTTCAGCTGGGTAAGAAGAGTGGTTCAAGAGATGAACAGTCCAAGAGAAGGAGCGAGCGAGAGAGAGAGAGAGAGAGAGAGAGAGAGATGGAGAGCCTGGAGGGCAGATCCAGCTGCCTCGTAGGAGGATGAAGGGTCACGGCAAGCTATAATATGTTCAATGGCACTCTGCCGGGTCTCTCGTACCACGTGTGGGGTGAAACGGGACAGGATGAGTATAGGATTCATATATGAAAGAACAAAGAAGGAATATGCTCATACAAGCAGCAGCATCAGGCTGGACAGTACAATAAGCACAGAGCTTCAGGGCGTTGACTCCGTACAGCCAGAGAATGTATACATGCACGGCGGGGAAGAATGACGCCTAATGGATGAATTGCAGCCCAACCCACAACATTGTCTCGATTTGCATCACCTAATACGGGTGATCAACAATGTGCTTCAATCGTCTTAGGGTGCCTGTCCTAGCGGCTATGATAGTGTCCTAGGTGAAGAAGACAAGAGGGGTCCATCATGCGCGTCATAGTAGAGACCGTCTTACGAAGGTAGTAAGTATCGTTACTACTGCCTGATGTACTGCACTCGTATTTCTAGAAGAAGCGCACGAGTATCATGCAGTGATAGTGGTATTTACATATAGTGCTCCGTAGTAATATTACTATTGGCGTGAATTCCGGTACGTCGTATGCGTATCGTGTTTGAGAACCCCGGAGATCCTAGGTCCCGCGAGATTAACGACGTAACGCTGCAAGAGCCACGACTGTACGGACAGAAGTGGTGCCGAGAGGCAAGGACCGCGAGCCACGAATCGAAATCAATTCGGGTGCCCTCGGCCCCTCCCCCTCCCCAACGCACGTGTGTTTCCCGGTAAGCGTAAGCGAGATGTATAGGTTGGGTTGATGGACAAAGTGGAGAGCCCGAAAGGGTGTCAGGATGTCTCTGTTGCAGCCTGAGGTATGCTAGACCAACCAAGCGCGGTGTTTACTCGGTAATAGTAATCGATGTCTGCTGCCTCTTCTGAAGCGGAGACTCGAAACGGGGCGGGGGGTCAGGACAAATCTCGATGCTTATTATGCTTGTTTGTGGGAGGTCTAGAGATGAAGGGGGTGTGCGACTGATAAACATGAAGCGCGCCTGCACGTCCCTATTCATCTTCGGCCCTTTGTCCTCTCGTTGCGTGCATCCTTTTTCTTCTATTCTTCCTCAAGAGCACCCTTGGGCCATGATTCAATACCATGTGCCCCATGTGCAGATCCCTACACTTGTAACCAGAATGCGGACGGTATGCAGACGACATGCAGATAACATGCAGAAACTCGTCTCAGAGTGAGCACACACCAGGGCTTGGGCTCAGCCTGGGCCCTCAGCTGCGCCCTAGAGAGTGAGACGTCCCTGCTGTCCGTGCGGGAGGGGGGGGGAGGCGGAAGGGAAACTTGAAAGAACTCACCGGTGTAGATGGTGCATGGTGAGTACAGTACTCGTATATTGAATGCATTTATAGCATAGCCAATTACCCAATATGGAAATGCATATTACAGTGCATGCTGACGCCTCTATTGTTGGTTGACTTTCCACTGGGTTGAATAGATGACTCTATCTAACAACACATAGTAATGATACTACACACTGAAAGGCTATAGTACTCGTACGGAGTATTAGTATTAGTAATAATAGTGTCCACGCGTGAATACCTGTATAGGTGCCTTCAAGGCCCTCGAGCTTCGAGTCTTGACCCCTTCGTGTGAGTCCTGTCATCATGTCGTAGCGACAATTTCCCTTGATGCCCTGCATCTATAAGGAGGTAATAACTGGCTCGTATTTTTCTCGCATTTAGAACCAACGTCTGCTACAGTGCACAGATTACTCCGCAGTATTGAACCCCGTAATGCTCGTACAGGATTATATTAACACGTATGTCCCCTCCCCCCCACAGATGGACAGATTACAAGCTATGTTGTAACATCATTCATTACCGGCCGCGAACCCCGTAATAGAGCTCGCATATGCATACATAATGATACTTTGTATTACTTGTTATACTTGTCAGCCATGCATCTGGACTACCACCATCGCCGGACGTCTTCTGTTCCGATGCATATGCAGACATCGGATGCTCCTTCCTTTTCATATAATAATATTAAATTGTGACCCGTGAGTCGTGGCTTGCCATTTCCTTTTCCGATTGCGCCTTGATTGCGCCTGCCTTTTCTCTTTCTCTTTTTTCTTCTTCTTTTTCTCCTCTTTTGATTTCGGTATGCTTTCCCTCACCAGTAGGAAGGAGCGAATCTTTGAATCCTGGCGTCGCTCTTTCCCAACCAACTTGGCCCGCGATCCATTACCCCTCCTTTCTTCTCCTTCTCCTCATCTCCCTCTGATATCATGACAGTTATACCGCGTACCAGTGATTTTGTCTCTCAATCGTTCAGCAGGCCTACGCCATGCCAACACCAAGACCCCAGCACTGCGACACAACGTGGTTGATATCAGGCGTCATGGTTTCACTGGTATTATGTCGCCTATGCGACTCGATAGGCCCTTTTAATCATGCTGCCGAGCGTTAAGAACATCGTACGAGTAGGCGATGATCCCAGAATCCCAGCATTTTTTTCCCATAGAAACGACGCCGAGATCATCTGTAGATTGTCAGACCCGTCATCCCTGCCGACCTTCTCAACCCATCCCAGGTCATGACCCATATCTATCCCCTAAAAAAAAAAGACCCACATCGCCTGCAGTTTGTCGACTCCACCACCCGCCAACCCGCTGCCTTGCCGCTTTCCGTTTGATATCCACACTCTATGACCCTGGCATTCTTGGTTTCTTGGTTTCCGGCAATTGGCTCAATCTTATTACTTGTTAGCACCTGCTCACATTGTGTTCAATCGACAATTCTCCAATCCATCTCTTCTCACCCCTCGCTATTCGCTAATCCACCTTGGCCTCAACCCATTGTGCCATAAATCCCCAGGCCTGGATCTTCATCACCAAGACAGTCATACGCCCTGTGCAACTACGACGTACAAACTTGGGCGTCGGCGCAATATCGTAATGGCTTGGCTGTAGATTCTGGAGGTTGTGAATACGCTAGCGACCACCACTCCCGCAGTGTGTGAGCCTGGCCGCGCCCCCCCCCCTCTCCAACCTCACTTGTCAGCTTCATCGGCCACCATGGCCGCGTGCCCGGGGTCCTCGCCACGATACTGGAGTGACGGTAGCGACAACGTCATCAATATGGACGACAAACCCAGCTCCGTAGACGAACCATCCGCGCCCAAACCTACGGCCGACGCTTTGACTAACCGATTCTCGCTCTCCGGCGCCGGCAACATTTCTCTCGACGATGTCGAGTCCGTCCATGTGCGTATTCGCGATCTCGCCGTCTCCGTCGACACGGCCCCGTCATGGCTCGAACCTGCCACATACCCAGACCTCATGTCCTCCAAATTCAACACGTCGCCTCGCATCAAGACGCTTCTGCACTCAGTAACTGCCGACCTGAGCTCCGGGACCCTTACGGCCATCATCGGCGGTAGCGGTTCCGGCAAGACGACTCTGTTGAACACAATGGCAGAACGTGTCGCAAGTTCCCGGGTCGCTCAGACTGGCAGTATCACCTTCAACAATGCCGAGGGCATCCACTCCGTTCGCCATGCCTATGTCATGCAACAAGACATCTTGCTGCCCACCCTCACTGTCCGTGAGACCCTACAGTATGCCGCCGATTTGCGCCTTCCGCCGGCCACCACTGCCGAGGATCGTCTTCGTGTAGTCGAAGATGTCATCCGGGAGCTTGGACTCAAGGAATGTGCAAACACGAGGATAGGAAACGGCCAGCATCGTGGCTGCTCCGGTGGCGAGAAGCGTCGTGTCAGCATTGGTGTCCAGCTACTCGCTAACCCCTCGGTACTCTTCCTCGACGAGCCCACAACTGGCCTTGATGCAACTAGTGCCTTCCAACTTGTCCGCACGCTCAAGAAGCTGGCCCAAAAGGGCCGCACCGTCATCACTACCATCCACCAGCCACGCTCCGAGATCTGGGACCTCTTCGACAACCTCGCTGTGCTCTCCAAGGGCAGCCCCGTCTATTCGGGTTCCATTGTCGACTGCCTCCCATGGTTTGGGGGCCTTGGCTTCCAGATTCCTCCATTCGTCAACCCCGCAGAATTCGTTATTGACATTGCTGCCATCGACAACCGGACACCCGAGCTGGAGGAAGAGAGCACCACTCGCGTACAGAAGCTCAAGGACGCTTGGGTTCCCGAGAGCGCCCGCAGGTACGCGGCAATCGATGATGAGGCGGCGCCGACTGCGGCTGGTGACACGGCGCACCGTGGCTCCAGTGCACAGAGTCATGCCGGCTTTGCCCGCCAGCTGTCTGTTCTGACCAACAGAACCCTCAAGGTGACGTATAGGGACCCCCTTGGCATGACTGCATCCATATTCGAGGCCGTCATCATGGGCATCATCTGTGGGTACCTGTTCTACGACCTATCTCGCGACCAAGCCGGCATTCGTTCCCGCCAGGGAGCTCTGTACACAGCCGCCGGCCTCCAGGGCTACCTGATGCTCATCTTCGAGGTTTACCGCATGACCATTGACATTGCCACTTTCGACCGCGAGTCGTCAGAAAACTGCGTTGATGCACTGCCCTATATTCTCTCTAGGCGTCTTGCTAGACTCCCTACCGAGGACTTCCCCGTCCCGCTGCTTTACTCGGTCATCTTCTACTTCATGTCCGGCTTTGATAGGGAGGCGTCGAAATTCTTCACCTTCTTCGCCATTACCCTGCTCAATCACTACATTGCCATGACGTGCGCTATAACGTGTGTGGCTGCCTCAAGACATTTTGCGGGGGCCAGTCTCATAGCCAATCTGGTATACACTCTGCAGAGCATGGCTTGCGGCATGTTTATCCAGATCGACACTATTCCCGTGTATGTGCGATGGTTGAGATGGATTACGTATTCGGTGAGATCTTCTTCTCTTTTTTTCCCCTTCTCTTTCGCTCAATCTTGCTTTCTCGAAATAACGGAGAAAAAACTGGAGAAGAAAGAGGGAGAAGGAGTAAAACCTGTTTGTGCAGGCACTATGCTGACACGCACAGTTCTATGCTTTCGGCGCATATTGTGGAAACGAATTCCAAGACAGCTTCTATGACTGCCCTGTGCCTGGAGGGGCTTCCGATCCCAGCTGCAAGCAGTATACGGGCTCCTTCATCATGGATTCCCTCGGCTTCCCTCCCGACTGGGTCTGGCGCCCCATTGTTATTCTCGTGGCCTTCATCTTTTTCTTCCTCATCCTCGCTACCATCGGGCTTCAGTATGTCAAGGTGGAAATGACAATAGCCCGGGCTCGCACCTCGGATACCGACCTGTCAGCAGGCAAGGAGAAGATGTCCACCCACCCTGCCGCTGAGATCCGTGCCATCGATCTTGGGCTGCAGGGATTCTCATTAGATCTCGACAAGCGGACCAGCCGAGGAAAGAGGCTGCCGCGCAAGAGGATCTTAAACCCGATCAATGCAACATTTCAGGCTGGCATGCTCAACGTCATCATGGGCCCGTCTGGCAGTGGCAAGACGTCCCTGCTCAATGCCACGGCTCTGAGACTGCGCAACTCGGTCGGAACCAAATATCTTCCCTCTGGAAAACTGACTTTCAACGGAGCTGTGCCTTCCGACACCGTAATCCGGTCCGTATGCTCGTACGTCTGCCAGGATGACGATGCCCTTCTTCCGTCGTTGACAGTCCGTGAGACTCTGCGCTTTTCGGCTGGTCTGCGTCTCCCTTCCTTTATGTCCAAGGAGGAGAAGAATCGACGCGCAGAGGAGGTATTGATGAAGATGGGACTGAAAGACTGCGCGGATAACCTTGTTGGAAATGAGATGGTCAAGGGTATCTCTGGAGGAGAGAAGCGCCGCGTGTCCATTGCGATCCAGGTGCTGACGGACCCACGTATACTGCTACTCGATGAGCCCACATCCGGACTCGACGCCTTCACGGCAAACTCCATCATGGAAGTGCTCCAGGGGCTTGCCAAGGAGGGCCGCACCTTAATTCTTACTATTCATCAGGCCCGCTCCGATCTTTTTACACATTTTGGGAACGTCCTCCTCCTCGCACGCGGTGGCTCACTCGTCTATGCTGGTGCGGCCGAAAAAATGATTGGATACTTTTCTCGACAAGGACTCGAGTGCCCACAGCACAGCAACCCAGCTGACTTTGCTCTCGACATGATTACGATTGATCTGCAGCAAGACCAGAGAGAAGCAGAGAGCAGAGAGCGCGTCCAGAAACTCGTCGACCGATGGGAGACCCACGGAAGTGCGGGGGCAGATACCGCGAAGACGACATCAGACAATATTCACGAGACGGAGACGACGGGCAGCACTGACGATCCGGATATTTCCATGGTAGAAAAGTCTGATGCGATGCCCCTGTCCACACTGCCCGTTTTGTCGATGCCCCCACGCAAATCTTTCAACAGGGCCAGTCTATCAAGCCCAGCGGAGCTGGGTGCTCTCGTACGCAAGCGAGCGTCTCTTGGGACAGCACTGCCGCTGCTCCTACATCGTGCCGCCATCAACACAATCCGACAGCCAGAGGTTATCGTGGGGCGCCTCATGCAGATCATCGGGCTTGCCATTATCCTGGCCCTTTTCTTTGCCCCGCTGCACAACGATTACTACTCGGTACAGAGCCGTATCGGGTTCGTGCAAGAGGTCGGCGCCTTTTACTTTGTTGGAATGCTGCAGAACATGGCCGTTTACCCTAACGAGCGCGATGTGTTCTACCGCGAGGACGATGACGGCGTATATGGGGTCGAGGCTTTCATTGCATGCTACACCTTGATCGAGGTGCCCCTGACAATTATTAGCTGCCTGGTGTTCGGCGTGCTGGGCGCTATTGCTGTTGGCCTGCCGCGAACGGTGACCATGTACTTCACGACGGTGTTTGCGTGCTTTGGCATCGTTTCGTGCGGCGAGAGCCTGGGGATCATGTTCAACACGGTAATGCCGCACACGGGCTTCGCCATCAACGTCATGGGAATTTTCTTGTCGGTGGCCAACAGCATGGCAGGTATCCTGTCCATCGACATGCCCGACCTATTCAAGGCTTTCAACTACCTGTCACCCATCCGGTACGGGACGCGAGCAATGGGCCCCTACTCGCTGCGTGGTGTTGAGTTTACCTGCAATGACGAGCAGAGGCTCCCCAACGGCCGATGCCCCATAGAAACGGGTGAGGACGTGCTGAAGCTGTATAGATTCGACGTGGACCCGGTAGTCAACATTGCTGCCTTGGCTGGGTGTATCGTCGTCTATCGGCTGTTAGCATGGGCGTTGCTCAGAGTGGTCAGGGGACGCTGGAGGGAGAAGATGCAGTCCGGGAAGAGCAGGGAGTGACAGGTTTTGGGAATTATGGATATGAACGTTGCTCTCATTTGGAGCTTTGTGAATAGAATATCGCAGAATACCGCGGATGGCTGAGTAGATGGTGGGCTGCTGGCTGCCGCTGTGAATCATGAGTGCCTTGCGCGCTTTGCAACTTTGATTTGCGCTCCTTCCTCTGGTGTCTTTGGTGTGCTACTCGGCTGGGATATAGGTGCCTTGGAAATTTGCTGATGGATGCCACGATATTTTGCACATCTTTTGTGTCATGGGGTTGTATGTTTAGCTTAATAGTGACGATGCAATGTTGAATGCTCTGGTCCAGTCCAGGCTAGACGTGTCTGCTTGTAGTCTCTGCCTTGTAACCTGTCTAACTACCTATGTCTCCATCAAAACTGTATACGTGTGCTCGTATCCATCATAGCTATGGTGTATCGTGCTGTCATCTCTGATGCCTTACCTTGTTGGTTCTCGCCATGCCGTCATGGAGAGGGACCTTGCTGATGGAATGTATGCTTGTGTCTAGCCGTGCTACATCTGGCTATGTCTGGCCGTCGTCCCAGGTCTCTTGAGTTATGATCGAGTGCACGTGTTGATTCCGCAAAGGGGCCATGACTCTCAATGCTTCCCTCATTCTTTGCGCGCCATCGTCTGACGATCCTGGTGGAAATGTGTTCCCCGAACCGAGTCCTCCCACCCCGATCGAGTCCATCGAACTTATTACCTTTGGATACTCCGTCTCTATCCCTTTATACCAAGGTTGACGTCTTATAATGGTGAGACTGCCACTGTTCACATAGCTAGCTGATCTGCCCATCTGCACTCTCACTATGTCTAGTCCTGATGCCTCCCTTTTCCATTGCCAAGTTTCTTATCCCCTTTTCTTTTTTTTTCGTAGACCACCAAGGAGAGCATGATGACGATATATTAGACACATGGAGATACTTAAAATACAGCGTATACTCCCTATCTCATTCATCCAGACACCATCATCAGTCCATCTGATCTCAAGCCCATCCATCTCCCAAGGCCAGCAGCTGACGAACCTCAGGCCTCCCATAATTCTGCCATCTTCAGCCGAGGAAGGAGCGCCCTGACAGACAAAAAGGATTCTCATCATTACTGGGAACAGGCGGATAGACAACTGTCGAGGAAGGAGCATCCAGGGGAGGATAGCCCACTCGGGACACCGCGAGGAAAAGAGGGAAGGAGCGCCCTGACCTCCCCTTGGAAGAAGTAAAAAACATCATCCTGGTCCTTGGTCCTGTCAATCTTTTTTCTTCCCTTTCCCTCATCCCTGCCAGTGTTACCCACAACAGCGTTTCGAGGCCCAGCCCACAGCGCTGCTTTCTGTTTTCCATCTTCTACTTTCATTTTATCGTCCACATTCTTACTCCATCTTCCATCCCATCTTCCTCCATTCCAACCCACGGGGGACTCAGTGAGGGTTTATTCGAGATCCTCAGGGAGTCTCGGTCCTTGTTCATCATAGTCCCCCACCATGCCCTACAACCCACAGTCCAGCTGTTCAGTGCTGCGATTGAAACCCAGCTAGGGCAAGATTGATAAGTTGTCACATGATGACTTCGTCCTTGAATGCACGGATCATATTGACACTGGCTCTTTATGCCTGCTGTCACGGTTGCGGTCAATGAACATTACTTGTGATGCTGCATGTGTATGCATGATTTCCCCCATGAATCCCTCTTTCGCTCGTGGGTAAAGTGTCCCCATGCGAATGTTATTTCCCACTGTCCCACTGTGACTGTCTTGACACGGCCCATCCAGTATTGTAAGTTCCATGTCTGTAATGGTCAGGAAGGCAGAAAAGAAGGAGGAAAAAGAGGGGACAGGAGGAGAGGCGGGGAGGTGCTTCTATATTAGGTGGGCTTGGCTCCGTGGGGAGAGGAGGACGGGTTAAGGTTGGTCAAGCAAGAGAACAGTTTTTCAAGGTGGGAGCCCGTTAGATCGGAAAGAAGATGTAGGGAGAAAGGAAAAGGGGAAAGCATGGCAAAGTTTGGCTTTTGTGTTAAGGGTTGGAGACAGAGTTCGTATGATAATGGGATTGATATGATTCACGATGGGAACTACTCGTACAGCTAGATAATGGTCAAGAGTGCTATCATCATCTACTAGGTATTACATCTATCACCAGTAGTTGCACTCGGTACTATCACCGATATCAGTACTATTCATATCGAATGATGCGTAGAAATATACGTCACAAGAATCCATGGACGGATGTGGGCTCGTCCACGGTGTGAAACTGGTAATATAAACTCCACGGTCTCGATATCAAGCTTTGCGTCTACGAGACAATAGACCATCCAGTTACTGAATGCTAAATGCAAAAATCATTCTTGTATTGATGCTGATTGCTGAATGAAAAGAGGTAAGCAATCACAGTTCTGTTTTGGAATCTCTTGGAATCTCATCGTCGGTGGTTGTTGTGGTCCCTGACAATTCAGACTGTCACTCTTTAATCCACATCACCACCAGTATCACCGCTAAAATATTGAACCAACCCGACAACACCCTTGCTATCATCACTTGAAAGATATAACATCTATATTCTTCTCCTTCAAGTACCAAGATGACCATCCTTCTTCTCTGTTGCTCTCACACGACTAAACATGTTCCTAGGGCCACGGCCATGTTGGCTATGCGTGTCACAGGGTAGAGCACTTCCTCTTTTGCCACAAACACCAAAACGTGTTATCCTCGTTGATATCCTAGGTATTATTGCAACCATCCATCAATTCTGATGAGAAATAGCAGGAAAAAAGACCATGGCGAAGCCCCCATTTCCGATACTAGGGTCATGATATGACCCGATGTTGACGAGGAAACCCGTCAAGCCCTATCGACTGCATACGAAAATTCTAGGACATATCATCGAGGGACGAGATGGCATACATCCCACATGTACGTCCGATGCGATGTAATATCACGGCACAAACTGTACTTCTTGCGGCCGACTAGCAAAGAAGGCATCAGCAGTCTACACACACACACACACACACACACACTCAACGTTGGGCCATGTCAAGATCTACTACACTATTTGACAGGGACCTGTGGGACTCTTGTAGGACGATATGCACCTGTGTGGATTCCGAGAACGAGGCCAAACAGGCCACAGGCTACAGCTCAAGCTGCGTTCTGCATGTCGGATTTGTTACTCCTCCCATCGCCCTATCGGAGCGTTCTCTCGTCGTGGCAAGCAGAAACGACTAGTAAGGAGTAGCATTGTAGCAGTGGCAGACCCCAGTCCGTTGATGGGGCCCGTCTTACCATGATGAGTGTATCGGACTTTGCTATCAACCGAGACAGACACTCGGGCGTATATAAAGCCCGAAACCTTCCCTGGGCCAGTGGGTTTCGATCTCAATTCGTGTGTCGCGTCACTGAATTGAAACAATTATCTCTTCTTCTTTCTCTTCGTCTTGAGTGATCGATAACCCGAGAAACTCGGGAGTTATACCCGTCGCATCTTCAATTGCCCGCGTTTGGACTGCCACCGCACCAGGATCAGTACATGCATGGGGTCACAACAGGAATTGCCAATCATGTCGTCCAAGGCGCTCCCCACACCGGCCTCGTCCACTACGAGGAGTGCGCATCAGGACGAGCCATCGCCCAGCCTCAACGCAGAACCGCAGCAGAAACAATCGTCGACTCGCGAAAGATCAAAGAGAGTCCTCGCCTGCCATCTATGCCAGAAGCGGAAAATCAAGTGTGACAGACGCTTCCCGTGTGCCAACTGCACGAAGAAGGGCGTTCAGTGTGTCCCCGTCGCCCAACCCCGCCAACGCAGACGTCGGTTTCCCGAGCACAAGCTGCTGGAGCGCCTTCGCGAGGTCGAGGATCTCCTCCTCAAGAACAACGTCAAATATGAGCCTCTACACGGCCACGGCCACGGCAACGGCCCCGGCCACACTGATCGCGCGGATGACGACTCTGGTGAATCGGGAGATGAGTCCGGACATGAGCAGAGCAACAAGATAGACCACGGGGCATCGTCGACACCCGGCACAGTGAAATCAACGGACACACAAGAGGCCAAGTAGGAGAGGATCCACATATCTGCCTCTGTCTAGGTGCATCGGCTAACATGGTCCTGTTCGAAATAGGAGCATGTGGTTTGCCATGGGACAAAAAGTGAGAAACAACCCATGGCATCTTGCTAGCAATGCCAGTTGGTAGCGCGGCTGGAAGAGACACAATCGACTAACAGCTATACCACCAGGAACTGGTCTTCCAAGCACCCGAGGGCAGCGAACCCCATGTTATAGGAAAGAAAGCATGGGACCAGGCCTTTGCTGACGACGGCCACCTCCTCTTATCCAGCCCCGTCAACTCGTCCGTGCAACTCTGGGAACTCCACCCCGAACCCGTCAACATGTTCCGGCTCTGGCAGATCTACCTCGACAATGTCAATCCCATCATGAGGCTAGCCCATCCGCCCACTCTCCAGGGCCGTATAATTGAGGCGGCCGGAAATGTCAAGGCTATCGAGAGTCCGCTGCACTGTCTCTTGTTTGGCATATACGCCATGGCTGTCATGAGCATGACGGCCAGCGAGTGCCAGGCTACCTTTGGCCTGCCTAGGGATGAGCTCTTGGAGAGGTACCAGTTTGCATGTCAGCAGGCATTGAGGGCGGGTTCCTTCTTGCGGACAGACGACCGGGATTGCCTGACTGGCTTGTTTCTCTACCTGGTGAGTTGTACAACTGGACGACCTCTGCCCCTCAACTCTCGCTGCCTAACACGCAACCGTCATAGATATCTGTCAGAGAAAAGTCGCACCCCCAGGCTCTATGGTCGATGCTGAGCGTGGCACTGCGTATCGCTCAGAGGATGGGAATGCACAGCGAGGCGACCAACTCGCGACACAACGTTCTCGAGGCCGAGCTGCGACGACGGCTGTGGTGGGCCATGGCGTTTATCGACTCGCGCATGACGGAATTCACAGAATACAAGGCCACGGTTCTCAACCCGTCGTGGGACTGCAAGGTGCCGCTCAGCGTCAACGATTCGGAGCTGCACGCATCCATGACGGAGCCACCCGCGGTGCGCGACCACGCGTCCGACGCCATGTTTGTCTCGAGCTACAGCCATATAGCCGACTACGTCCGTCACAGCAACTTCTACCTTGACTTCACCAACCCGATGCTCAAGCCTCTGGCCAAGCCGCGGGGTGACATGGACTCGCTGGAGCGCATGATTGAGACCAAGTACCTGCAGGCGTGCGACCCCAACAACGCCTTCCACTTCATGACCATGTGGACCATGAGGACCTTCTTCTCCAAGTACCGCCTGGTAGAGCACTACTCACGCTACTCGGACCCATCCATGGATCAGACCGAGGCGGACCGGGAGGCGGCGATGCGTCACGCGTTCAACGTCCTTCGGAATGACACTAGGCTCATGGAGTCGCCCCTGACGAGCCGCTACAGGTGGTTCCTGTGGACGCACTTCCCCATGGTGTCATTCGTCCACGTTCTGCTCGGGCTCAGGCGAAATCCCCTCTGCCCCCTAGCAGATGAGGCCTGGACCGTCCTGGCAAACGGGTACAGGGCGCGCTTTGCCACCATCGTCACCATGAAACCCGTCGTCTTCCTCTTCTTCCGCAAGCTGGTCTCCCAGGTGTGGGGCGTGCTCAAGACGGCCCTGGAGGATGCCGGCCAGACAGCCGTCACCGAGCCAGACATTGTGCGGCAGATCAAACAGCACGCCTCTGTGGTGAAGCCAGAGGAGCTGGCATCGCCGGGATGCACAGGAGCGGGGGCCGAGCAGGACAAAGAGCTGCACGGGGATGAACCGGGCATGAATGACTTTCTCACATCGCTGTCGACCGACTTCAACAATGAGGTCTTCATTTTTGGGCAGAACGACTATGGGAACACTGGGGGACTCGCTGGAGGTGCCACGCAGCAGCAGTTTACGAATTGGGGGTTGATGGAGTGGGGACTTGGACAACCACGGACGAATTGGTGATGTTTTGTACGTACCTACATTCACTTTTCCTCCTTCTCTCTTTTTTTTCTCTTTTTTCTTTTTTTCTTTTCTGATTCGTACAAATTGCCCCCCTCGTTCTGATATACATTTTCCTACAGATCGACTTAATCGTGTTGTACTTTGCGCGAATGATGACAATGTTGCACTGGTGAAATGACAAAATGTTTTAATGGGCCCGTCGCGCTTTCTATCGGGGGCCGGCACCTGCGCCTGACCCTTGCTGGCCCACCAGATGCCGAGGATCTACCGCGTGCCTCGGCATGTGACGGTAGTCGTGACGACAGCTTGGTGAGCTCATTAACAAAAGCCGAACGCAGCCCACTCAACCTCGACCTGTTCCTCCCCGAGTATCATCTCTTCTTCTGCCGATATAATTATTCACTCCCTAGCTCTCAGGAGGCATCGTACGTCTTTTGCAGGCCCGAGGCTCCTATCTACATACCTTCGAAACCCCCATCCCCCCGCTCCCTCCCACTACTATGGCAATCATCAAGGGAGGCGCGCGCCAGTCGCTCACAGTGGTGGACAACCGCACGGGCAAGACGTACGAGGTGCCGATTACGAGAAACTCGGTCCGGGCCACCGACATCAAGAAGATCAAGGCCTCAGCCCAGGAGGGCGACCGACCGGAGGACGAGACGAACCAGGGCCTGCGCGTCTTCGACCCGGCGTACATGAACACGGCCGTGGTGCAGAGCAGCATAACGTACATCAGTGGACAGGATGGCATCCTGCGGTACAGGGGGTATCCGATCCAGCAGATGGTGGACCGGAGCAACTTCCTGGAGTCGGCGTACCTGCTCATCTACGGACAGCTGCCCACGGCGTCGCAGTACGGGCAGTGGCAGGACGAGATCATGAACCACACGTACATCCACAGCGACATCGAGGGCATGTTCAAGTCGTTCCGGTACGACTCGCACCCGATGTCGATGCTGACATCTGCCTTTGCTACGCTGGGCTCCTTTGCGCCCGAGGCGAACCCTTCCCTCGAGGGGTCGAAGATGTACACGGACGCGGCCAAGGGCGACGCTGCCGCGCTCGCGGTGCTGGACAAGCAGATCCTGCGCATAATCGGCAAGGCGCCCACGCTAGCCGCGGCGTCGTACCGCATGCGTCAGGGAAGGCCCTTTAACCGGCCGGCCCAGGGCCTTTCGTACACGGGCAACTTCCTCTACCTCCTCGACCACCTGTCGGGCCACGAGTACCGCCCCCACCCCGTGCTGGAGAAGGCCCTCGATGCCCTCTTCATCATCCACGCCGACCACGAGGTCAACTGCTCCACCGCCACGGTCCTCCAGGTGGGCAGCTCGCTCGTCGACCCCTACAGCGCCGTGGCGGCCGGCTGCGCTGCGCTGTACGGCCCCTCGCATGGAGGGGCCTCGGAGAGCGCCATCCGCATGCTCATGGAGATCGGGTCGCCCGAGAACGTCCCCGGCTTCATGGAGAAGGTGGAGAAGAGGGAGCGCGTGCTGGTCGGCTTCGGCCACCGCGTCTACAAGAATGTCGACCCGCGATCCACGGCGATCCGAAAGCTGGCCGATCAGGTCTTCGAGGTTACCGGTCGGAACAACCTGCTCGATACGGCGCTGGCGCTCGCCGAGTACGCCAACAAGAGCGAGTTTATGCGTTCGAGGAACCTGTATCCCAACGTCGACTTTTACTCGGGCCTGATCTACCAGGCTATGGGATTTCCTCTCGAGTGAGTTGTTTCTTCTTTTTTTTTTCTTCTCCCGGATGAAGAAGATGGATGATAGTAGGAAAGAACAGCAGGAAGGACGAGAGACGAAAGCTAATATGTGACCATCAGCTTCTACCCAGTCCTGTTTGCCGTCCCCCGATGCGTAGGATGGCTGGCCCACTGGAGACAGCAGATGCTGGACAAGGGCGGTGTCAAGATCTGGAGGCCTCGTCAGCTGTACGTCGGCAGCGGCGAGAGGGACTACGTCGACATTTCCAAGCGCGAGGATGCCGGGGAGGAGTTTGGCGCGCCGACAAAGGTCAATCACGGCGGTGATTCCAAGAGAAATAAGCTTGCGACGCTGAAGAATGAGCACGGTGAGGTCATAAAGCCCAGACTGTGAAAAGGGAGAGGGAGGCGATTTTTCCTATTGTAGCATTAGGTACACACAGATTATGTGTAGAGTGGCATCTTCAGTAGCACAGACATGTTGATTTCATCGGATATAGAACTGTTGAATAGATTCATTGGATATACTAATACCACTATAGAGTTGTTGATTGCAATGACCCGATCCATACATGTGTACACGCTACCTTATCCGACGATGTAATGCCAATATAAGGGGGAGGGGGGGTTGTGGTGATGGCCGGATTTGGCGATCTGTACCATGCCCACGAGGACAACAAGTTGCAAAGACGTAACAAGCTGGAAATGAATATTGATATGAAAAGTCATGTTAAAGAGAATATAAATCAACAATGATATAAGAAGGAAAAAAAGAGGAAGAAAAAGATGGAGAAGAAAAAAGAAAGAAAGAGTGAAGCCGTCGTCTGCTACTAATCAATTCCGTCTTGATTCCGTCAGTACCCCTGACCCCCCCTCCCCTCCCCTCCCGCCAAGGCCGGACCAGATCCAAGGATCTAGAACCCGTCTCTTTTGTTCTTGTCCATGTATAGTATATGTACAGTATTATTATTGACATGTACCCCTCCTATATATCACTATATACGCTTCCGGCCCAGTCCAAAGCCACAATGTTAATAGATAGAAATCATTGGACGCCTCCTTGTTTGCCATCTTCATGTGCCAATGTAAAAAAAACGTAGGGAGTTGTCTGCGGACTAGTTTCCAATGAAAATGGGGGTGGGGGCTAGAAAAGAACTCCTTCTGGGCAGCAGCTTTTTGTCTCTTCTTCTTTTTCTTCTTTTCGAGAAGTCCACTTTGCATCCATGTGTCTCAGATTGAAGATGGATTGTACCTCACTGCTACTCAAGATTCGGTCTAGTCTTGTCGCCCTATCTATGAGGAAAGATGAGGAAGGATGAGGAAAGGGGAGGAGAGGGAAGGGAAGGAAAAGAAAGAGGCAGGTGTTTCAGTTCCTTGAAAAGCGCGGTGAACAAAGCATTAGGACGATGGGAGGGAGGCCCTGTGATTCAAAGTCTGACTCTGGCCGCAACATGTGATGACGAGCCAATGTTCTCCCGAGATGAAGACCAGAAACGAGCCGTGGCCCATACGAGAAGACTTGTGATGCATGTACATGGTAGTCCCGCATCCAGCGGGGCGCCACATGTTCTCACTTCAGCACGGGACGTGTCCGGTCTAACGAATACTGTGGAGTCTAGGACCGCCGCCGTCTGGAGAGGTATTGATATCGTCAATCAGTGTCAGACCCAAGGTAGAAAAACAATCCTGCTGCCTAGAGACGGATCTGACCCCCTACGCAGTCTTCCACTGGACCGGATGCTAGTATGTGTGAGTGGGAGGTTGAATTGAGATGCTACGATTCGTTGCACATGCACGACGGACACTGTTCTCATGCTTCTCTACGGCATATACGATTGCTGATGCTCTCAAGGAGAAGGAAAGATAGGATACGCAGGGAGTAGAGGTCCCTGGCTGCTTTCTCTCGACTTGACAATTGAAATGTAAAGAAGAAGATAGAGGAAAAGTTTAACAGTCAGCCATGACCTAGACTCGGACAGGAAACGATCACGCTCTCTGCGTCGATGATGGCTTCATGATGCAGAACAAGCCATCCAACCGTCAATCCATATTGCTGACGACCCCCTCAAGTACATGGCTACCGAACCAGGTGATCCCGTTATGCTTCGTGGTGATGCGACTCTTCAGAAAAGAGGGCTGAGAGAGATGTCACGAGACCGAACAAGGTTGACGAGGAAGTCTACGAGACGGCTACAAGAGAGCATATCAGCAGGAGCATCATTACTTCGAGGCTGTAGTTCCTAGCGAATTGCTTCTGGAGGGATGCCTTACCTTGGCATACCAAAGGTATACCAAGGCCGAGAGGCTTGCCAAGCTTTTTCCTCCTATGCCTCCCCCCTCTCTGGAGCTGTACACCAATCCCTGATCGCCGGGTCCGGCCGACAGCCATCAATGCGATGACAACTCTAGCTTCTTTGGGAAACCGAGAGTTGATGTCTGGCGAACCCCAGAGAGACGAGAGGAGACTCCCAAGGGCAGCTTTTCTTCGGTTGCTATCCATGTGGTGGGATCAAGTACAAATAGCTGATACTTTTCCCCCTCCTCCCTTCCACTCTTGTTCGGTAGGCAAATCCCCTATCCGTTGTCTGCCATACATATATAATACCTCTTGATATCCTGACTATCGGCTTATACGCAAAATCTTGGTCAACATGCGCTCGTACGTGTTTCACTTTTCTACTCACCATCCCCACCCACTATATAGTGAATGATGGATCTCCTATCGATGTTGACAAGATACCAGAGAGGATGGAGCCACCAAGGCTCTCGGTGCTCAGACCATCGAGACGGTCGATCACCAGCCTGATTCTGCGGCGAGTGCGATGGCCCAGAACCTCGAGGCCAAGATCCGTAACCCCCTCGAGGGTATACCTAGGGAGCAGCTGATGCGCGATGTCGAGGAGTTTGCCCGCCGCAAGAACCTGACTTCCCATATTGCCGTGCTCAGGAAGGGGGCCCTCGTTGCGCAGAACCCGGGCGCCATAGACGAAATCGACGGCCCTGAAAAGCTCGATGCCGAGGAGCTTCGCGTCCTGCACCAGGAGGTCACTCACAAGTGGCGCATGCCCATGCGTCTGTTCCTCACCATAGCCACGTGCTCCATCGGTGCTGCCGTCCAGGGATGGGATCAGACAGGTACCAATGGTGCCAATCTGTGGTTCCCAGAGTACTACGGTATCGCTGACGAGTCTGTCCGGTCGCGTATCCTCGTCGGCCTCGTCAATGCTGGCCCTTACATTGGTAGCGCGTATGTACCTCTCCCGTCCGTCCTCCATGCCCTCGCGTCTCTCAGCGGCGATTGCTGACCCACTCCTCAGCCTCATCGGTTGCTGGCTGTCCGATCCCATCAACGATCGGCTGGGACGTCGCGGCGTCATCTTCGTCTCTGCCCATTTCTGTCTCTGGCCGGTCATCGGTTCCGCATTTTGCGAGACGTGGTACCAGCAGCTCGCCTGCCGTCTTCTCATGGGTATCGGTATGGGTGTCAAGGCATCTACTGTCCCCGTCTACGCTGCCGAGAATGCCCCTGCCTCCATCCGCGGAGCGCTGGTCATGTCATGGCGTGAGTCTTGCAGCCTCCCATCGCCAATCCTCACTTCAATGTATACGCCGTCGATGCTGACTATCTCCCCCAGAAATGTGGACGGCCTTTGGTATCATGATGGGTACCGCCTTCAACCTGGCCATCTTCTACGCCGAGTGGCAGTGGCGCTACATGCTGGCAGCCCCCTTCCTCCCCGCCGTCCCCCTTCTCATCCTCATCTACTTCTGCCCTGAGTCTCCCCGCTGGTACATGAAGAAGGACCGATACGCCGAGGCGTGGAAGTCGATGAACAAGCTGCGCTTCAACGAGATCCAGGTCGCTCGCGACATCTACTACATCAGCTCCCAGCTCGAGATTGAGCAACGGATCGTCGGCGAGACGCACTACGCCCAGCGTTTCGCCCAGCTCTTCACCATCCCGCGCGTGCGTGCCGCCACCCTGGCCGCCTTCACCGTCATGATTGCCCAGCAGATGTGCGGTATCAACATCATCGCCTTCTACTCTACCAGCATCTTCAAGGAGGCCGGATTCGACGACTTCAAGGCCATGATCGGCTCCCTCGGCTTCGGCCTGGTCAACTGGCTGTTTGCGTTCCCGGCCTTCTGGACCATCGACACCTTTGGTCGTCGCTCCCTGCTCCTCTTCACCTTCCCCCAGATGTTCTGGACGCTTCTTGCTGCTGGACTGTGCACTCTCATCCCCAGCGACGAGGGCAACAACGACGTCCGCAGCGGTCTCGTCTGTCTCTTCGTCTTCCTCTTCGGCGCCTTCTACTCCCCCGGAGAGGGGCCGGTCCCGTTCACCTATTCGGCCGAGGTCTTCCCACTGTCCCATCGCGAGGCAGGAATGTCCTTTGCTGTTGCCACCTGTCTCGGCTGGGCTGCTATCCTGTCCATCACCTTTCCCTTCCTACTCGAGCGTGCCTCGACCGTCGGTGCCTTTGGCATGTACGCAGGCCTCAATGTCGTCGCCTTCATCATGATCTTCCTCTGGGTCCCCGAGACCATGCAGCGTACCCTGGAGGAGCTCGATTGGATCTTTGCCGTCCCCGTCACCCGCTTCATGGGCTACCAGGTCGGCACCGTACTGCCTTTTTGGATCCGCCGCTGGCTACTGGGCGGGTTTATCTGGGACCGCACCGCAGTCTGCCCGCCTCTGTACCAGTTCGAGTCCGTTGCCGAGACTGTTGCTCAGGGTAAGGAGGGCATGAGGGCCGAGGCGGGACGCGCATGATTGTAGAGTTTTCAAGTGGGACGGCGTTCTTGTTATTCCTCTAGTGTAGCATCTTTCGTACTTGGGAAAACGAAATGGAAGAAGAAGAAGAAGAAGAAGAAGAGACTTGATCTGTTGACTATGCACGGCATCTTTCTGCTTGTGCTCGTAGCCGCCGATGATCTGGGTGTCCCTTGCACTGCTTGATGCGTGCTGCATGCATTACGTGAAGTAATACTAGGTAACCGTGGGGAACAGTGAACTCATCGTACGAGTAGGGATCAAAGACCTGCGACTACCTCTTCGGAAGCAAACTGTCTGCCGATCCCGGAAGAGTACTCTACGTACTTCTTCTCGGCCCTTCTAAAGTACGGCCACCAGGCCATGTGGCTCCGGGCACGACGTCATTCCGCATGTCTTTTGGGGTAGAGAGAGATCCGGCCCCAGATACCGTGTAATCGACCCAGTTCTTCTCGTATGTCTGCACAAGACCGCAAAGGTCAATTGATTGACTAGGAGTGCCGTATTCAATGCATCGCGCACCCATTCAAGCTACTTATGAAAACTGAGCGCGGTTGGTCACGACTCACGTATACATTAGAGTGTAATATTGGACTCTGCAGTCTACAAGAGTCCAGATATACGAGTACGTACCGGATTTCGGACGTCTACTATTACGTACGGGGATGTACTCCGCCGTGGGGTAATGGGGGCATGGAATTGGAGATGAATTGGACGAATTGAACTACCTGTACATGTTCTCCGTACTCGTAGACCGCTTCGTCGTATTGTTATTGCTCCTACTCCGCATTATCCGGCGGTATTCTGTGGGTTCCAACTGCCGCACCATGCCAAGGGCTCGTAGCCGTCCTCAAGGCTCATAGTCACCCGACTATCAGTCTTTAGACGAGGTAAGTGCCATGGCCCACCGTAGAGGGATTTAACGGCAGTCTTCATCCCCTTCATGGGCCGGATCATCACATCATCACGGTCGAGGACATGTACCCGTTACATGTACCGGTACGCCGTAGCGAAGCACGAGTTCCCCGACGTATCCACAGATACAAACACCCCAAGCCCCAAACCCCACAAAGTGGGCTCGTCTTAGTTCGTTTCTCCGACTTCGAGCAGCGCCGTGAGTGCAGTGGCGCAGAGAATTGGATGATGAATCCTGCTACTTCCCCTCTTTTCATCTCTCTTCACATCTCTACTCTCTGATGTACTGTGCTCTCAACGTGATTGCGTGTTGTGTGGTGGTGAGCAAGCTGTACGGAAACATTGACCCAGACAACTCCCAAACACCATTCTGTCTCTCTCAAAGAGCGAGATGGAATGCTGCCATACGAATACAGGTGAGGATATCCATTTCCGGTTACCGTCTGGGTGTTTCCTAGCATCGACCATTGGCCAGGCAGATGTCTGCTGTCGGATGCATACATTGTCTGCCATGCCAAGCTCGACCGAGTCCCGCCAACTCGCCTGAGGTTTCCGCATATGGCATATACCGGATAAGCCTCTTCTGAATACCGGATAAATGTCTCTTAAATCTCGGCAGAGGCCGGGGTAAGCCGGCTCTTGTCAGTTCATGTGAGAGATCATTCTGCGGGGGCCCACACGGAGCAAACTTGGCGGGGGTAATACTCCGTAGGTACTCGGCTACGAGTTGTGGTCAATGATCGAACACATTCATCTCCATGATCGTACGTATACGCTGCATTGCTATGGAGAGATTACTCTCCACCGACCGGATGGAAGGGCCTGTGGAATCATCTTCTCCGGGTATTACCCTTTGAACCTATAGGCCCTCGACAGTTCAAGCTATTCGTCACTATAGCATGATGCTTTATCATGATGAAAGTCACGAGGTTGAATGAGAACACTTCTCTCCGCTATATGATGGTAGTTATAGGTCCAGGATACATCAATCAATGCATATCATGTGCATTCAACGGCAATGATGGGCCGAAGAAGCAAAACAGAACGAAACAAAACGCAGCAGCTAAACATACATTCGATAACCATGTTCTCGACCGGCGTCCTGTGCAGACAACATGGAGATTACACAACAGTCCCAACGATCCTATACTAAACTAGCGAACAAGGTCAGATCTCAGATATGCGCAATGGTCTGTTTTGCCACGTGACCTTGTATGTGGGCCAAACATCCTAGGACATATTCATATTATTACGGAGCATCGTACGGAGTACGGAGTACATGATAATATACACCAAATATCACTCCAACCCCGCCCGTGTCTAGTCCGCTGTTAGCTTCGATAGAGCCATCAGACCACTTGCAACCATGCTGAACCGACCTACACTCCACTTCGCCCCCCACAACCCCGGTTTCGGCGCCGTCGAGAGCTGGGATATCGGCCGCAGCCAGTAGTTCGAATGTCTGGGGTAATAACACTAGCCGCAGACAGCGGTGTCCTGGGGTCAAATTAACCGGCTAGATGCCATGTCCCTGTGCTGCTGTCCTCGTGATGACTTTTGTCGTATACAAGTGCAGCGAGCCCTCTATACGTAGAGCTAGAGAGACCGAGGTAGAGAGACCGATCGAGTCTTTCGGCCCGATACCCACAATATAGGATGAATACCAAGCTTTCGCCCTTCTCCATCCTGACTCTGTCATTACGATTATCCCCAAATGTCGGGGGGTCGGGGTAGCTGACGGCTGCGTGCCAACTCAGCAGTGTACAAGAAAAGAGGCCGACTATATAATACGCCATGTAGCCCGGCGAGGAACGAGGGGATGGACATCATCCCTCTCCATCGACCTCACACGAGCACAGCTACGTCAACCGGTCTCTCACCATGGCCCTCTCTCGTGCACTGTGGCTCTCGGGCCTCTTGCTCGCCCCCTCTGTTGGCGCCCAGGCCTACGAGCCTGGTGATCGCAACGAAGATGCCTTCCAGTGGATCCAGCCTCTCGACACTACCATCCTCGGCCAGTACGGCCACAGCCCGTCCTTTCTCCCGACTCGTATGTATCAGCCGTCTTCCACCTCCGGCTACCACGTAGACCATATGCTGACATGAGAACTCGTTCACCACAGCCAATACCACCGGAGCTGGCGGCTGGGAGGCGGCTCTCGAAAAGGCCCGCGACTTCGTCTCCAAGCTGACTCTGGAGGAGAAGGCCGATATGGTGACCGGTGTCCCCGGTCCCTGCGTGGGGAACATCCTTCCCATCCCTCGTCTGGGCTTTGACGGCCTCTGTCTTCAGGATGGTCCTCTGTCGGTCCGCGTGGCCGACTACGCTAGCGTCTTTCAGGCTGGCGTCTCTGCCGCCTCGACCTGGGACAAGGACATCATCTACGAGCGCGGTTTGGCCATGGGCTCCGAATATAGAAAGAAGGGAGCCCACATCGCCCTCACACCCTGCTCCGGACCCCTCGGTCGCTCGGCCTACTCCGGCCGCAACTGGGAGGGTTTCAGCCCGGACCCTTACCTGTCCGGTCTTGCCATGGAGAAGAGCGTCCAGGGACTTCAGGATGCCGGTGTCCAGGCCACCCCCAAGCACTTCATCGGCAACGAGCAGGAGACTATGCGCAACCCCGTCTTCGACCCCAACGGCACCGTCACAGACGTCCTCTACGAGGCCCTGTCCGCTAACATGGACGACCGCACCATGCACGAGCTGTACCTGTGGCCCTTTGCCAACGCGATCCACGCCAAGGCCTCCAGCATCATGTGCGCCTACCAGAGGCTCAACGGTTCCTACTCCTGCCAGAATTCCAAGGCCCTCAATGGCCTCCTCAAGGAGGAGCTCGGCTTCCAGGGATACGTCATGTCCGACTGGGGCGCTACTCACTCCGGTGTAGCCTCTATCGAGCAGGGTCTCGACATGAACATGCCCGGTGGCCTTGGCAACTACGGCACCGATTGGGACGCCGGCTCCTACTTTGGAAAGAACGTGACCATTGCTGTCAACAACGGCACCGTTGCCGAGTCGCGCATCGACGACATGATCTTGCGTATCATGACGCCCTACTACTGGCTCGGCCAGGACAATGGCTTCCCCAGCATCGACGCCTCTAGCGGTGACCTCAACACCTTCTCCCCCAAGTCGACCTGGAGGTACAACTTCACCTTCACCGGCGAACGTAGCCGTGACGTCCGCGATAACCATGGAGATCTCATCCGCAGGCACGGCGCCGCTGCCACCGTGCTCCTGAAGAACGAGAAGAAGGCTCTGCCCCTCAAGGCGCCCAAGTCTATCGGTGTGTTTGGAAACGATGCCGGCGACATCACCGAGGGCTTCTACAACCAGGTCAATTTCGAGTACGGCACCCTCGTCACCGGCGGTGGCTCCGGCACCGGCCGCCTAACCTACCTGGTCAGCCCCTTGACCGCCATCAATGAGCGTGCCAAGAAGGACAATGCCCTGGTCCAGCAATGGCTCAACAACACCCTCATAGCCACCTCTGACGTGCGCGATCTCTGGGTCCCCACCCCACCCGAGGTCTGCCTCGTCTTCCTCAAGACCTGGGCCGAGGAGGCCGCCGACCGTGAGTCTCTCAGCGTCGACTGGGACGGTGACGACGTGGTCCTGTCCGTCGCCAGCCAGTGCAACAACACCGTCGTCGTCACCCACTCATCTGGAATCAACACCCTCCCCTGGGCCGACCACCCCAACGTCACCGCCATTGTGGCCGCCCACTACCCGGGCCAGGAGTCCGGCAACTCTCTCGTCGACATCCTCTACGGTGATGTCAACCCTACCGGCAAGCTTCCCTACACCATTGCCTACAACGGAAGCGACTACAACGCCCCGCCGACCACCGGCATCAACTCTACCGGTGTCGAGGACTGGCAGTCGTGGTTCGATGAGAAGCTTGAGATCGACTACCGCTACTTTGACGCCCACAACATCTCGGTCCTCTACGAATTCGGCCACGGCCTCTCCTACACCACCTTTGAGCTCGGAAAGCTCGAGGGCAAGCCCGCCGTCGAGTCGATTACCTCCGAGCCCGAGAAGCTTCCGGTCCAGCCCGGTGGCAACCCTGCCCTCTGGGAGACCGTCTACACTTTCACCACCGAGGTCACCAACACCGGCGATGTCGACGGCGCCACTGTGGCCCAGCTCTACGTCAGCTTCCCCGACAGCACTCCCGAGGGTACACCCGTCCGCCAGCTACGCGGCTTCGACAAGGTCTTTCTCGCCCCGGGAAAGACGGCCAAGGCCAGCTTTGACCTGCTGCGTCGCGACCTCAGCTACTGGGACATCAAGTCTCAACAGTGGCTCATCCCTGAGGGCGAATTCACGCTCTCCGTCGGCTTCAGCAGCAGGGACCTCAAGCAGTCCACAAAGGTGACTGTTGTTTCGGCGTGAGATTTCATGCTCGACGAGAAATGAGGAAAGAATACTGAACGAAAAAAAAAAAGAAAGAAAAAAAAAAACAGAAAAAAAAAGTCAAGATCTCATCCGGGGATAGGATGTCTGTCCCGTTGTCATAGCTCAGAGCGATCTCTTTATTTTGCCAGAAGCGACACTATGCAGTATCTGTATATCTTGTACATAGCAACTAATGCGTCCATATAATATTAGATGACTTGTCCACTTTCTGGAATACCAAATGTAACTACTAATCCGTGTACGGAGTAATACTGAGTACCAATGGCCAGAGTCTGGATCAATCCTTGCAAAACCAAAGACAGACGACCGGTTTCTTCCCGGGAAATCCCGTCCTCGTCGCATCCCAGCCAAGCTCCTTGATCGCCTTCTTGAGCATGTCCTTATCGGCGCCGGTGAAGCTGATACCCTTGTACCATGCACCGTTGCTACCGGCCACAATCTCATAGCATCTATTCTTCTTCGGATCGGGGCTGTCGCACCCGAAACCCTTGAGGAGTTCGGCCACCGTCACGGAGCACGGCACATGCGCAGCCTTGAACTGGATCTGCGCGCCCGGGGGAAGCTGCCAGGGGGGGGTGCTGGACCGGAAAACGTGGCACTTTGTGTGCTCCGCGGGGAAGAAGTAATTGTACCCCGGCTCGCAGCCTGTGCCTCCAGACGAGTTGGTCATCTGCGCTGCTGGCATGCTGGTATCGGAGTAGGGAGCTGGTTGCGGCTGGCGTGCATGCATGTTGCCCGCACCGTTGGGGTACACCGGGTACCATGGTTGCTGATGCATGTTATAAACTGCAATGGATTGATTAGTTTTCAGACGGAAAGAGAACCAACGAATGCACATGTACACAGTTTGTTGTTTCACTCACCACATGGACCCCAGACTTGGGCATAGCCGGTATACCTCATTGGTGAAAAAGGAGGCTGTCCACCCTGGGTGTCGCGGCCGGTAACCGGGTTCCAGCCTCCAGACATGGCGATTGTTTCTTCAAGAAATATCTTTCTATCTCTATATTCAGTGTCCAGGCTGCCAGGTATTCACCCAATGCTGTGTGCTTGGGTCGAAAGCAGAGACCCAGTATCCACGCACTGGTTGTTGCTGGGAGTAGACAGCTGGAAGCCGAGAAGGAAGAGTCGTCGTCGAGTTGTGGCCTCGCGTTCTCGGTGTCTCTTGTGTATCTCGTTGTCCTGTAGAGGCAGCATGTCGGAGATGTTGTAAGAGTGATGCCACATGTACATGTGAATTCTTCGTGGGGGACAGAGATAGTGGGAGAAGGAAGAAACTGTACCTTGCGGCGGCAATCTACGGTGGACACGAGTCCTCTCCAGATATCCAAAAAAGATTTCAGTGCTCCAGATGATGTTGTCTTGGGCGTCGAAGAAAGCGCCGACAATGATCCAAGCCCAATATCGGGGATGGTCCAAGAAACTGTAGTACTGTGTGACAACAAGTTTGGTGGCAGGGTACGGCAGAAAGGTCTCGTCAACAGCAGCTATAGTTGAATATGGCTCGACGTTGAAGGACATTATAAAGATAAAGAGCAAGACATGCGAGGGAAAGGGAAGAAAGAAAGAGATGTTGACGACGCCTCCGCGGAGTCGGCATTTATGCTAGTTGCCCAAGTCCAGAATACCCATGTGACACTCGACGGTTTACTCTGAGCCCATATAATCCATGAACTGATGGAAGTGATTGCATGTGGAATTCAGGACACAACAAGCCCTCGTGCTTCTGAATCACCGTCGCGAGTCATCACGCGCTGCTTCATCATCCACGAACTCCATGACTGATGATGCGACTGATTAAAGGAGTTCGTATTCTCTAATTGATGACCATCACAAGTACCAGTCGATGGTCGACTTCCTTCGTCAAAGTGTTCCATTCAAACTTTCCATCGCAATATTTCCCCTATCAACGTGCATCAGCTTCCATTCCTCTCATGCATCATCCATTGTTCGACACAAGGTCCATCTCGGAGACAAAGTGCGATCCTCCTGCGCATCTCCAACCAGAGTCTTGACGAATCCAGTGGTAGCCTACTGGGCACCTTCCTGAGAGCTCAAGCTTTTTCTTTCTTTCCTCCTCTTCCTTCCTCTGCTCTTCTTCAGCCATCAATTCCCTGATTATCTGCTCCCTGAGAGCATCATCTTTGGCCTCCCTCGATGCCTTGACCTTGGCCTGGTACTCGGCCTCTCGTCTTGCTTCCTCATCAGCATCCTTCTGAAGTTGCTCCCAGACCTCGTTGCTGACCCCTGGGTCCCGCATGCCGAGTATGTCACGGCCCCTGTGTCTTTGGGGCTCGGGTGCTTCTGTGGGGGCATCAGTTTCCTCCACTTCTTCTGAGAGGTCGGTACTGAGCCACGGATCTTGAACCTTTGTCGTCGTCGCCGTTGAGGTTGCAGTACTTGTCTCGCGAGTACTTGGGTCTGCATTCTGGGACTGGGGCTGGGGCTGGGACTGGGGCGTTGCTCGAGCTCGTCTCAACGAGGTCGGCATTGGACCGTTTGCTTGCGTTGCTCTGCCCTGCCGTTCTTTGAGCATCTTTTCCATCTCTGCAATAACCATTTCCTCGGAAACAACAATTGTTTTTCCAATATTACTCGCATCGACCGTCTTGATGGCCGCTTGGGAGACCCCCTTGCCCAGTGTATCCACATCCCGGGCGCTTCCCCAGCTGGGGAGCTTCGATAAGATGTCAAATATCCCAACCGCCTGGTCGCGGAACTCCTTCGAAGGTGTTTGGAGAGCTCCGACATTCATCCGGCCTTTACCTTTCTCTTCCAGGGAAGATTTTCTTTTGGTGAGCTTATTGGCAAGAAGCTGGAAGCATTCATCGGGATCCAGACCGTGAAAGTCGATGGACTCTGGGAAGCGACTGGTGAGACCAGGGTTGACGTTGAGCAGGCGGTTGATGTCGTCGTCGTACCCTGCCAGAACGATGATGAGCTTCTTATGGTACTTCTCCTTTGTCACCGCATCGATGATTTCGTCAAGTGCTTCCTTGGCAAAATGGCCCTCAGCTAGGCGATAGGCCTCATCAATGAGGAGCACTCGCCCAAGTGCCTTGTCGAGCTGCTGGCGGACCTTGGGGCCGGTCTGCCCGATATATTGGCCGATTATGTCGGAGGAAGAGCAGTCGATGACTTCCGGTGCAGCAAGAAAGCCAGCGTCGTAAAAGACTTTCCCCATCTTCCGAGCTGTGGTCGATTTCCCTGTCCCGGGGGGTCCGCGGAAGAGAAAGTTGAACGGGATATCCTCCTTTGGATCCATGCCGAGGAGGCGCATCCTCTGTGCCGCTTCTTGATAGCCTTGGAGGGTGGCGATGAGACGTTCAAGGCCGACGGTATCTTTGAAAAGATCCCTCACATTCGTATCCGAGCTCTCCGTGCGCCTGTAGTTCTCGTCAAAGTCCAGCGCTTCCAGGTCAGATACACGCTTGGTCTCTTTGGCGGAAAGCCGGCGCTGGTGGCGACCCTTCGCTTGGTCTAGGAGAATGTCAATCTCTCCGGCATTTCCAAAATGCGGGCGGTTCCTCGCCCGATCGAGCATGTCGAGCGCCACCTTCTTGGCTATTGCAGTGATTCCAAAGCCTTGTGTCTTCAACTTGGCGTCCAGTATGGTGGCCAACTGCTCCTGGGAGAAGTCTTCAAAAAGGAAACCGGATGCCAGTGGGAAGCGCCGCGACAGACCTGGGTTGACGTTCTGGAACATGTCCTCCATCTGGTCCTTGTATCCTAGGAGCAGGACGCATCGGTCGTCACCAGGGACACTCTGTACCTCGGCAACAATTGTGTCGATAACCGCTGTCTTGTATGGATCCAAGGTAGATCCTCCTCCTCCGTACAGCCCGTAGGCTTCGTCGATGACCAGAACCTTGCCGATGCAGGCTGACAGGATTCCTTTTGTCTGTTGCTCCGACTGTCCAAGGACGCTGCCGACAAAGTCGGCAGGGTTTTTGATAACCACCTCACCTTTCGACAAGAGGCCAAGTTCGACAAGGATCTTCCCGTAAATCTTGGCTACAGTCGTCTTTCCCGTTCCAGGGTTCCCTAAGAAGACGCGATTGAGGCTGTACTGGATGATAGGTTTCTCCTGCAACTCGCGTTGATAGTTGGCCTGGATGCTGTCGACAAGGGACTTCACCGATGATTTGACAGAGCCGAGGCCCGTGAGTCGTCCCAGCTCCTTCCACGCCTCGGAGTGCGCGAGTGCGTTGGCCGGTTCCGGTCCGATAATGTCGCTCTTTGTTAGGAGCAAGTCATCGGGTTTCTTTTTTTGTCGGCGCTCACGCCTGAGGCGCTCACTCTGGCGTCGGTAGACTGTGGACAGCATATTCTCGGCTGCTCGGGCGTTTCCGAAGCCTTCTTTTCCACGTCCACGGCCAAGTCTTTGTGCGATAATCCGAAGATAGAGGCCATCGATACCATCCTCAATCTTCATTCGACCTTTGTACCTGCCATTTATCTTGGACCCCAGGATCTTCAGCAACTCGTCGTCGCTGTAGTCGGCAAACTTCATCTCGTGCGGGAAACGACTCGAAAGACCCGGGTTGTGGGCGAAGAAGGCTTCCATCTGCTTCGTGTATCCAGCAAGGACGAAGCAGATTTTCGAATTCAGGTTCTCGACCTCGGCGAGCAAAAAGTCCAAAACAGCTTTTCCGCCGGGACTGTTTCCAGATGAAAGCTGGTATGCCTCGTCAATGAAGACGACCCCCCCGCCCTTCTCGAGCATCTCGTCAAGAAGTTTCTGGGATCCGGATACACCCATATTGGCCAGCTTTGAACCCGTCGTCTCTTTAAAGCATCTCCCAGAAATGACACCCATGGAAGTCAGGAGATTGCCATACAGCCTCGCAACCGTTGTTTTTCCTAAATGAAATAACAACACGTCAGCCTCGGGGGGGAGGGAAACAAAAACAAAAGGGAAATCAAACGTAGAAAATTGGAAAGAGAGAAACAAAAAGCAAGCATACCTGTTCCCGGATTTCCGAGAAGGCTGCACCCAAATCTCTCGTCCTTGATCGGCACGTTTTGTCGCGTAGCCGTGTCAACCACCGACTTGATATTTAGAAAGGCTTGCTTCACATCTCTGAGGCCAATCATTGTTTGCATCAGCAAGTCTATAGCTTCGCTTCTTGCGAGCTCTTCTCGTTTGAGGTAGTCCCACTCCTCCTCGGGTGTGCCGCGCTCGAACTGGGGCTTCTCGCCATTGTCGCTAGAGACAGGGGATGAAGGCGTCTTCGAATCAGCCAATTCTCTTGAATCCTCGGCCCTTTTCATTGCTTCCTGTCTCTTCCTGGTTTCTTTTAGCTCTGCGAGCTCAGAGCGTCGTTGCTCCAGAGTGCGCGACCGGTAGTCACGCTCCCTATCTTCTTTGAGAAGCCTCTTCTCATAGTCCAGCTCGTCTTGAATTTCTTTCAATTCTTTGCGGTACGCTTCTTGGCGCTGCACCCTAGCCTTCTCAAGGTCGAAGTTGCGCTGAAGACGCCGGCGCATGTCTTCTTCCTCCGACATGCACCGGCAGCATCGAACATTTCGATCCTGGCAGCCGACCTTGTATGTGTGGTTCTTTTCACAAACCTTGTCAACCTCCTCGCCACAGGTAATCTTTGTATGATCGGTAATAGTGTGGCAACGGCGCTTGCAGACATGAAGGCCACAGCTGAGCTGAGCACCACATAGCTCTGAGCAGCCACCATCGGGACACTTCAGTTCAAAGTCCTGCGGGCTGGCCAGTGTGGATGTTCGTTCGGGATGCTGCTCACATCTGACTCTGATTCCATCTTGAAGATACTCCTTGTCCTTGAGAAGCTGGAAGAATGGGACCCAGGTGTCCTTGCCCTGCAGGGAATTGATAAACGTCGCCATGTTCCCGATCATGATCAGGCAATTGCGTGCCCTAGAGACCAAGACGTTCAGACGCTCGGGGGCTTTCATGAAGCCGATGTCTCCTCTTTCATTGCTACGTGTCAGAGACGCAATGACTATATCTCTCTCTTCGCCCTGGTAGTTGTCTATATGCCCATCCGTTAGCCAGTATTCGGTGATGATTCGGGATCAGAGCGGCTTACCGATTGTGGACAGTCGAATTTCCCCCCGGTCTACATTACCAGCAGCAGAGGTGAGCAATCCTGCTCGAATGAGCTCGCCCGAGTCGAAGTCGCTCAAGATGGGATCCGTGGTCTTGATCAGCGCATCTCTCAGCAACCGTAGCTGACCGAGATAAGGGGTAAGTATGACTATGTTGGACGTATTGTAGCCTTGTTGGCCCAGGTATTTGACAAGTTTGAGCACCATCTCGACCTCAAAACTGTTTTCTTTGCTGAACACGGTCCCGGCATCGCGTGTATCCTGCAGTTGGCCGACATCGTTCTCCGGCTTGTCATGGTTCATGAAGACGACGCGGCCAACGATTCCGCGAATAGCAGGTCTGGACTTTGTCTTGTAGTCGTCAAGGAGATCAGGGTATGTCATATGGCGGACAATTTGTGAGATTTCGGGGTCCATCCGGTGCTGATTTTGTAGGGTAACATGCAGGTGGCCCTGCTCGATGAGCCTCTCAAACATGGACTTGTTAAAGTCGTACCCGTCTCCCTTCTCGACGCTCAGGTCATAGTTATTGTACCTTGGTCTCAGCTGCTTGTGGTCGCCGATGAGAATGAGCTTTTTCGTCGTGTGGTTCAGAGCAGTGAGAACGTGGGCTTCCAAAATCTCTCCGGCTTCCTCAACCAGCACGCAATCCACCTTGGCAGCCTCGATGAGGGATGAATATTTTGCAGCAGCTGTTGTCGTGCATCCTATGACCCGCTTCTCGGCTATGAAGTCGCATTTGACGTGGTTGTAGTACATATCAATCTGCTCTTGGTTCCTGTTGACCTTATCAACGAGCTTCTCGAACTCATCAGCTCGCTCTTGTTGGAGGGCGCAGGTCCATTTGTCCATGTAAGATTTTCTCTGTGGCTTGGGAATGTCCCAGATGAAGCGGAAGCTGGCTGGGATGAGGTCTCTGAGCTTTTCAGGGCCCTTTCCCGCCTTCCAAGCGTTGATGAGATGATCCTCCTGTATAGGTTGGCCCCCTTTCCCCATGACCCTGAAGCCATTTTCCGCACGACGAACTTGGAAGGCGTCCCAGAACTCCCCATCTCGGGGATCCTCGGAAAATTCGAGGTAGGAAAGTATGTCGGAACCAGAAACTTTGGTACCGACTTTTACAAACATTCTCTGAACCTTTCCCCTCAATACGTCGCCTTGTTTTTTGAGTTCATTGATGTGCTGAAATGCAGTTTGCGACTTGGGGGTACTAGAGGCTCGGAACTGGTTTTTGAATAACAAGGGAGCAGTCACTGTTGACGACTTGGATCCAAGGCGAGTCATGCTCTTTGTAACGCCAATATTGATGAGATCTTCAAGAAACTGGTCTAGAGCATGATTTGTGTATGAAAGAACTAATATGCGTATCGAGGGGCCCTCGAGCAGCAGCTTTGCAACAAGTGCCCCGACGAAGGACTTTCCGGTACCTGTGGTTCATGTCAGACGTGCGTAAATCGGCTTCAACCACCAAAGAGCCTGAGAGATCTTACCTGGCGGTCCTTGGATTATTGCAAGTGGTGATCTCAGAGCGTACGAGACGGCTTTGCCTTGTGCTGCATCGAGGGTATACTCGTCTCCCTCATGGGCGAAAACGCCACCTGCCGCACTGCTCTCCAGCACTTCGAGCTTCTTCAGAAAAGGCAAAACGTATGGAAGAGGACAGAACCCGTCAAGGTTACCGTCGCTTTCCACATTCAAGCGAAGTATTTGAGATTCAAGAGGGAGCTGCCTGATTTCCTTGAGACGCTTTAAAACAGGCTCGTAAGCGAAGACGGGAGTGTTGATAAGAATAAAGCGGAGGCTCTTCATAGTGCTGATTTCACCAACGACTTTAGCCAAAAATTTGGTGTTGGTGAACTGAAGTCCGACCTTGGGATGCTGGCCCACCAGGAGATCGTTGTCGATATGTATTGTGGCGAACCCAACGACATCAGAGCCCGAGCACAAAGCTCCAAAGGCCTGGTTCCGAAGGAAACTGGGATTCTCCCGTCGGAAAGCCCTCACCTTGTCAGGACTCCTGTTCTCCAGGACTTTTAGGCCAGAGCCAATGACGACGATGAGAGCACACGGGCGACCGCTCGCGCTGTCCCCCATGTCCAGTTGAGATATGCCAGATATACCGAGAGTCCTCGCAGGGCGCCTGCGAGACTTCTTTGTCCCAGTGGCAATGTGCAATTCCTCGCGAAGTTCGTACAGCATTTCTTCGCGATAAAGACGGTAGAGATTGTCGACATAGTCCTTGAATCTGCAGGACGGATCCGCAGCGGTGATCTCTGCAAGCGTCCGGTAAAACGGCTTCAGCGTCGAGGCAAGCTCGTCAGTTGTCGGATAAATGGAAATTTCGCGGAAGTTGGCAAAGTCATTGTCGTGTCTACCGCCCGGCGCCTCCATTCCCAAGACAGCGTCTGATGCTTGCTGCGAAAGCCGGTTTTGCAGAATCTTCTGGATTCGGTAGGCGTACTCTCGGACCTTGTGGCTGGCGTGCTTGAGCAGTGGTCGGGTCTGGAGGGTTGTGCTGAGTCTGTCCGACAGCTCAGCGAGCTCAGGAGCATCGCCGCTAGCAATCTCGAGACAGAGCCATGCGAAGGCAACAGCACTAGGCTCTGAGTCCTCAAACCCCGTCTCGGTGTAGAGGGCTAGCAGGGGTGCCCATGCCGTGGGAGGGTCGACAATGGCGAGGATGATTTTTTGAAGAAGTCTTCCCCCCGACAAGGCCTTCACATCCGGATCAGAGATATATCTGGCAAAGGGCAGGACGTGGGAAGTGATGTGCTCGGTGGTATCGCTGGCTCGGACTGCTTGTCGTACAGCCTTGAGTCCAGAAGGACTTGCAATGATCTTCTCAACGAGAAGTGAAGGCGACGGCTGCTTCCGGACAGCCTCTAGGAACAACTGAGCTTCACGGGGGGCCAAGATGCTCCGGGTTCCTTTCAGAAAGGCCACGAGGACCTTTTGAAGGCGAGCGTCGCGCTCGTCAGCGGACACCGATTGTGGCATGGTGGGGGTTTGTGCCCCAAGATCGAGGCAGTCGGCTACAGGAAAACGACGAGTTCTCGGAAAAGTTGAAAAGGGACTGGAAAAGTATCAGTAGGATGGGGAGGGCTGACTTGAGTGACTCGCAGTGACTCCTCGAGACGGAGCGGGGTGAACTTGCTTGTTCAAGCGGCACGCTCGTCTAAGGCAGTACAAGGACTTTATCACGAGGAGAATGCTACCTCTAAACAAACAAGGCCAACAGGGTGAGCACATCTACATGTGGTGTTAGTACTGACATCCAAGCATACATGCAGTATGTGCATATAGACCCCGCCCCTGGAAAGTAGAAAAACTCTTATGGAAAGTCATGGAAGTGATAAGGCCATGCATGTGCATAGAGATGAAATGCTTCTGGCTAGCAGTGGCTAGACCATATATATGCATTGATGTTTGTTTACTTGCTGTTTGAGTGGTCAGCTACATGTGAATGATGAGGTGTGGCACGGCACAGCCAACGAATGGCCCTCTTCACACCGGCAAACCCCCACGGCTGCGTTGGCCTGATCGCATCTCATATGTTCTAGCCGGTTCCAGTGAGAAGATTGTCTGGATATCGTCGATTATTGTCACTACTTCCGTGTATATATGTCAGTGGATTCGATCCAGTGGTGGTGAGACACATGTATGCACATGTCCTTGAAATCTCGTACCGGACATTAATCAGAACCAGATCCATCCTCTACCGCATAACAAGACAAGTCATGCTGCATAAACGTGGACATGTACAGAGCTTCCGCGGAGCGAGAAGAGGAACCTGGGGTAGTGGCTCACCGCGCGGCGGTCGCGGCGCATGCCAACAGCCAAAGCTCGTCGAGGAGACACCTCCACCGCCGTGTGGACCTCTACTTGAAGAGATATCTCTCGAAGACATCCTTGACCGCTCCCGAGGCGAGCTCGAGAGGCACGGAATCACCGACTGCGAGCTTGTCGCGTCATACAACTGGCTCGACAAGCCCGGTCGATCCATGATCATCCCCGGTATGATGCCGACACGTATGGATCTTACAGCCCACAAGACTTAGACTGACCAGAGCACATAGGGATGCCACCCAGGTGGACACCACCACCCTTCCCCTCAACCCTCAAAAAAGACTCTGGTACCTACTACCGCGATCAGAATGCCTGTTGGTACCCGGCCCACCCCACGGAGCCCGGAGCCGAGGCCATCATGAGGTTGAAGGCGGATCAGCAGGACACCCGTGACTCCTTCGACGTGGACATATTTGCCTGTGGAAGCACACTTGGAAACCTTCTTCGATTTGTGAACGGGGGCGACATGAAGTTCCGTATGCTAGTGGAAGTCGTCGGAAAGACAGTCCACCTCATCCGACGGGAGAACTCGCCCTATGATACCATACCCGGCGTTTACGGGTATGGACACACGTTCCCCGAAGCCTACACCACCTGGGACTCGCCTGTCCGTGGCTCCGATTCGCACCAGCGTATCGTCCGCTACCGGCTGGGCGGGATGCACTTCCTTGTGCGGTCCAAGGGGGATGGGTACCTCCCTGACAAAGTCCCCGAAAATCTCCGTAACGTTAGCAGCGATACGGGGGAGAGCCACAGAGCGTCTTCCATCGACAGTCTTGCGTCTGCCCTGGCAGGAAACTCTGTTTCTCGCAGGGCGCAGTCTTCAGAGGGACAGCCAAGCCTCCAGATCTCAGTTGCTGGACAGCTAATCCCGCAGGAAGCCGTATTCAACTTGAAGACGCGAAGTGCCATGAAGAAGCTGGACGGATCCACCGCAGTGGAAGTATTGGAAGTAGAGGTCCCTCGTCTGTGGGTTTCTCAGATCCCCAACCTCGTCCTAGCCTACCACAAACGGGGCCTCTTTGACGACATCGAAATCCAAGACGCCCGACCGGCCATTGCCAAGTGGGAATCTGACAAGGAACCAGAGGTGAAGAGGTTTGTCGTCCTTCTCCGGAAGATCGTTGAGATTGCCCGGAGCAAAGACGACGGGAAGTTCGAGATTGTGCGCAACGATGGGGAGAACGTCATCCGCATCATGCAACAGATGCCCGATGTGGCTCCTGCCTTTTCCCCAGAGACAGCTGAGAGGTGGGAGAGATGGCTGGATGCCGGTGGGAACAAGAGTGACAGCCATTCTGACCAGCGTTCCTATGAAGAAGAGTCCAGCCGGTTCGATCAAGGCTCTGATCTTAACGACACGCTCAATCATGGGTGGTCGGATGACAGCGGCAGCGAGAAGGACTTGACAGCCTGTGACGAGGAGTGCGGGTACTGCGGGCGATGCGTGTACTGATCTGTTCACGGTGGAGATTATGGATTTGTTCTGCTTCCCGCCTGCTGATCATCTGTAGATGGTCCTTATTTCCTTTGCCTCCGTCCGGTTTCCTATTCTCCTGTTTTACAAATTTTGTGACGGACGAATGTGTGTACGGCCTAGTTTGAGATTGAATATCAGAACCGGTTTACAGTGTACAGGCACATGAGGATGTAGATTCCGTACCACGCCGCAAGTGCACGCCGCAAGTGCAGGTGGAGGCGGCACGGGAGCGAGCTCGCGAACTGCATGGGCAATGTCATGTCACCCTCCTATCAGAGCCGGATGGTTGCTGCCCAAGAAACTAGGAAAACGAACGCTGGGACACGAATAGAGGAGGTCCGTAGCAACAGGAAAGCGGCCGACGTCAAGCAGAGCGGCAGGCAGAGTCGCGTATCGCATAGATAGTACATGAACGTACCATGTTTCCGCGTCAACTGGACAGCCCACGAAGCGATAGCAATCGGTGTAGAAGGAACAGATTGAATAGCTTCTAACACGACAAAGCTCTGAAGGGGAGAATAGAAGAGGACAGAGCGATAACGCAGCACGAAATCAGTAGAGCAGTGGTAATACAGAGCATCATCATCGTCAGACAGCCACATCATCAGTTACAGCCCTGAGGCCTCCAGCCATCTTCTTTGGCGGCGCGGCCGCCGTGGCAGCAGCATCCTTGCGGCTACCCTGCTGCATCTGTCGCCTCCCCATCTCGGTGACGAGTCCCTTGAGATGGACCTCGGCCTGGACAGTGGCACTGTACGCCGAGGGCGGCCAGTTCCAGGCGTTGCGCTTGTCGACGTTAGCTCCAGCAGCAAGCAGGGTACGCAGGACGAGCAGGTTTCCATTTCCACTGGCGAAATGCAGCGCCGTATTTCCCTCGTGGTCGGAACGGTGGACGGCCTCGACAGGCCCGCCGGGCACGTAGGTGAGGAGGATCTGGAGGCTGGTGTCGTGGCCGCCCACGCTGGCCTCCATTATCGCATCGCGGCCGCGGGCGTCGCGTCGCAGGATGCACGTCCGGTCTGACTCGCAGAGCAGGTGGACAACGTCGGTGTGCCCTGCACGGGCGGCCAGCATGAGAGCGGTCTTGTGTTCTTCGTTGAGGGCAGGGCAAGGCTTTTCGTGGCCGGCGTCGATGAGGACCCGGCAAACCTCGACCTGGCCGAGAGAGGCTGCCAGGTGGAGATTCGAGTTGGAAAGCCCCGAGGGGGATGTGTCGGGGTTATGTAGTAGATGGGGGGATGACTTGAGGATGCGGCGGACGAGGAGCGCGTCGCCGGCATGAATGGCGCGCCGTAGACGGATGGACGGTTCGATCCTAAGAGAAGGTGGTGGTGGAGGAGGAGCAAGGGTTAGCGACCGATGGCTTTTTTTCCCCTCTACTTCTTTAGTTTTGAAGTAGTTTCTTGGCTTGTGCGGTGCGTAGATGAATCTTCTTACATGGCCGTGGATGCCTCATGGTGACCATCGGTTTGAGCGAAACGACAACAGACGGAGCAAAGATGATGATGCTGTGTCAACGTGCAAGTTCCGACAAGTTGGAGGAGAGAAACTACAGGGAACTTGAGGGAAATCCGGTGCTATCATTGGCATGTTGCGGGCCCTCGCTGCGCCCCTCATAACGTCAGTGTGGGGGAGGGAGTTGTTTCAGCTTTCCCCTACTCAACTCTGGTTTCTGAATGTCAACCGATTTGGCTTATCTTCTCTTCGGCTTATTATGTTCAGTGTAGTATGAAGTACTACTTGTGAATCGCTACAGATATAGATGACAGTCACCGAAATAGGGACCTATCAGTTGACTGGAGTCATTGGCCTCGTGGATATCTCAACTCTCTGACGTACGTATCCGTATCTGTGCATCATATCGTATTTCCCATCAAGGCCCTCGAAGAAGTCTTTACATGTCATCGGAATACAAAGACTAAAAGTACCGCAGGTGAACCCGAGTAAGTGTGTATATAATGCGATAGTGAAAGAGATAAACCCAGGACGTTATTCAACATCCCGTGAACCTATATGAAGGGGGGATTCCGGGTAGCCCCGCGCCGTCTTACATGTAACTGCGATGAATATCCCGGACTCACTTTGTTTTCTAGATATCGATAACATGATGGGCAATGCTTCCATATGAAACTGGTACATCCCCAGGAAGTAGGGACAATATGATTCACCAGATGCAACCAGCCATCGAAGCATTGGCTATCTTGTTCCGGCATGCAGGTCGTGGTTTAGTACGATGTTGTAGCTGTACGAGTTGATGAATCGGCCAAAGTAGCCAAGAGCAGAAACACATCGCCCTCCACTTTACCAACCTAGGAAGGCATTGGGCCGCTCACGAACAAGAGCCCAGAAATGGGTCCAGTAAACGATGATGAAACCAAGGTTCGCGGACATGAGTGCGGATAGCGGCCGTTGCTAGCGGGAACCGAGAGGAGATGTATCCACCCAGAGGATGAAGGCCAGCAAGGAGCTGACATCGATGCTAGTTTCCTTAGATACATATCAATATGTGGCTCTCGTGCGTGAGAGCCACACTCGTCACTCGTCATGATTCAAAATATACAGATCGCGCATGCGCAATACCCTGCTCTACACTCCTAGAAGATTTCCGAATCCTCAAGGAGATCTGAACCAATGAGTTTCCTGTATCTCGGAAGAGAGACGACCAGACGACCAGACGAACCAAGAACCTCGGTGAGATGCAGAGAGAGTAGATAGAAAAGGGCAATCGAGGGCAATGGAAACTGAACTCTTTGGGGAATGAAGAGGCAAGGTTTAGCCTGGTTGGACGCATACATTCATTGGGTCTACTAAACCACTTGAGACTAATGACACCTGACCCAAGCAGGGGCTCTTTCTAGATAACTCGATGATAGGTGTCCATAGCGACGAATCATGAACCAGTTGGAGTCAGTGTCGAGGATGAGAAATGCTTAAATGACCATAATGAGTGGTGGGTTCCTTGCCACGGAGGAGACATGCATCCTCGCCTTTGCAAGATTTCATAGATTGCACATTACAGACCTCATCACCGCTTCACTATCGCAACCAGTACAGAAGAAAAGACGCACTGTATAATGAGAAGATTCTTCTTCAGCTATCTTGGCTGTACCTTTTGCTCAAGAAGGATATCTCTCAGGGCTGTACGATACCCGAGTGCATCTGATGCGGACTATCGCGCCGCCTTTCCCGGCCATGAGTGCAATCATGATCTAGTAGAGTGCGGTCATCATGTAGAAGTTGTATACAGTCAAGCATAAGGCCTTTAGCTCTTCCTCTTAGATCCCGTGTATCTGGGTCGCTGACAGCTGAGGAGGATGATATTTCTACATGTCGCTCAGCTAAGCTATTCCAGAAAAGGCAGTTCCCACGAGAACGGATGGCTATTGTCATCCTTACTAGTCAGTGTATGCAGACAATTGTACACTACTAAAAGTAGCCAAGGGTCGTGTCTATCCATACAATGAACACGATACATCCACACACCCAAACAGGTGTATTCTTCTCGTCCACTTCCATGTTTGAATGTCCATCCCATTACTGTATATTAGTCCCGAGCTTCATGATACTCGTAGCTGTGGATCTGTAGCATGTAACGGCGAGGACCATGGATGTGGGCTGCTGGTTATCATTATTAGTGTTAGCGTAGCGGGCATGCAAGGCACCGGGGCGATATCTGCTCATCCTCCTGAGAGCTAACACACATGGCGCGGATCCAAGATGCAGCCTCCTCGTGCAGTTGCGTCGCACCGAGACAGCGTGGTATATTGGATCCAAGCTTAGCCTGAACATGGCTACAGCGGAGTCAGACGAATCTGCACCTATGGGTGTTGCCCTTTTGCATCGCTGACTCGTAGAGTATCCCTGATTCATTCACTTGTGTGTGGTATACCATGGTTGGTAGTCAGCTCCCCAGACACTCCCGGATTCTGTGCCCCCCCCCCCCCCTTGCCTTACCGAGAGCCCTCAGCTTCAAGCTGAGCCTAAACTATAAGCCTGGTCTTCTGGAGACCAGCTCATGGATGATGTTGGGAAAGAAGAATATAACAGGCTAGAAAGTGGCCGAAATACAGATATAAAGGGAGGCCCCTTTCTCATTGTTTTATCCACGGGGCTCGCTGATGTACCCTCATCAGCCCTTTCTGATACAAGACAGCCCTTCAATAATCATCCCTATCACACACAATCATGTTCTCGCTCAAGACTCTCCTCGTCTCCATGGTGGTTGCTGGCATGGCCAGCCCTATCGCCGACGTCGAGAACCGCGCACTCAACCCCGGAACCTTTGTCAACGACATGCTCAACGCCCACAACTACTACCGCAGGCAGCACGGCGTCTCCGATGTCACCTGGAGTGCCGATGGTGCCGCCTATGCCCAGAAAAAGGCCAACTCCTGCATTTTCGGTCACCAGGTTCGTATATTTTACTTGCTCCCTCCTTCCCTATGTGAGACAAGGTACATGGATGGGAAGGGTAGAGCTTACAGATATACCCAGAACCCCGTCTCCGGATTCGGGGAGAACATCTTTTCTAGCTCCATCGGTGGCGGCTCGACCTTTTACGATCCTGTCAATGCTTGGGGCCAGGAGCGTAGCTCGTACAACTGGAACAGCCCCGGGTTCAGTATGTCTGCAGGCCACTTCACACAGCTCGTCTGGGCTAGCACCCACCAGATTGGCTGCGCCTGGAAGGACTGTGGTGATGGCGGTGGCGATGGCACCCATGCGTTTGGCGCCTACGTTGTCTGCAAATATGCGCCCCCCGGAAACGTTGAGGGAGGTTACAAGACAAATGTGCTGCCCCAGAGAAGCGGCAGGCCAACGGACAAAGCCCACCCTTGAGGGTATCTACGTTTGACAGGATAATTTTGGTGACACCTCTATCTTCTCGGTATATGATTTCTCTTAGAACTAGTATATATGTCACTTTCAATTCAAATCCCTCGTGACATATATTGCGTGAACCTCTCAGAGCTTCGATGCGTGTATATCGGTCGCACATTGTGCAGCTGTACTAGGCCAAGCTGCTCTCTATGACATTGTAAAGACATAGATGAATTCGCAGAGCCCTCAGCAAACCACTCCGTAAAACTCTTTCTTGTTGATAAGACAGCTATCATACATAATTTACTGCTTTCTCACTCGCACCCCCGAGTCAAAGCATCAATCAGTCGCTGTCCAGTGCAAAGCAGCGCTCACTGCTCTGTTCGTTGTTGCCCCACCAATACGGCATTTTGATGATCTTGCCGGCTCCGAAGAAGAGGAAGATTAGCAGCATGTTGAAGTTGAATCCGGCGTCAAAGGCAGCGGCAAGGATATAATTCCACCGGGCCCAGACATCGTAACGGTAGCGATAGGCCCAGAACATGACGACGAAGCCACCGATGAAGGCACTCGTGTAGCCGGTGCTGATGTTCCCGTAGAAGCTGGACATTGTGGAGCAGAAGATGGTCGTGTTCAGGAGCCTCCACTTGAGGCGGGGGAAGAAGCGCTGCAGCGTGAAGAGCACGAGGGGGGCCAGGGCGCCGAGCAGAAACCCGTAGGGGACGTACTTGTAGATGTGCATCTGGAAGAGCCGACGAGGTCCCTGCTCTTCATGTTAGCTCCATGATTATGTATTGATGTTGCGGGATGCATGTTGGGGGGAGGGGAAACCTACAATGAGGACGTATTGGACGCCCATAGTCAGGTTCGACGTGAGATCCTGCGCCGTCCACTGGTGCGTGGGGTCTTCCTTGGCGCCAGTGAGGTAATCGAACTTGGTGTCGAGGACCCAACGGACGACACCGTAGTTGATGGGGATTCCGATGAAGGATCCGAACACCTGCGAGAAGAAGACCGCCTTGGGGGGGATGTGCATGTAGTGGCCAATCTTCATGTCCTGCAGGTTGAGCTGGGCACGATACCAGGCGTTTCCGGCAATGCTACCGTAGACCGAGGCACCGACGGGGTTCTTGTGGCCGCTGACGGCGTTGACCATGAGTCCGTATAGAAGCTCGTTGGTTGTCCCGATGGGGAGCTGGTAGTTGGACAGGGCGTAGAGATATCCTAGGGGTAAGACAATGATGGCGCCGGTGGCAATAGCGACGAAGTAGGTGAAGACGGGGATGTATAGGCTGTCGGTAGCCACAATGGTGATGAGCGCGACGAAGGAGGCCAGGAACAACGTCGCAAACCACCAAAAGGGTACTTCGTTATAAGAGCGTTGTATGATGCTGAGCTGGTCACCGTACTGCTCCGAAATCTTGGCGTCCTTGTGCCTGATACGCTCGTACAGGTTGACGACTGCGGTGCTGACCTGCTTCCAACCGAAGACGAGCATCCATACGAGGCCAGACGCGTACGAAGCGTAGTCGAAGAACATGGTCCACAGGACCTGGGTACTGACGTAGGGCGGGCCGAACTCCTCGTACGCAGTCTCGTTGAAGGATATATCGGGTGTGAGGATGGAATTTATGGGGTATTCAGTGCCATTCTCTGTCATCGGCGTCAGTCATGTTTTTGGGTGCGTGAAATCGGTGGCGACATCAGGAAGTGATGATGCATACTGAGGAAGGGCCGGTTGGACATGAGCTGCAGATTCCACTCGCCGAGTCCACCATACTTGGCAGCTGGAAGCAAGACCCAACAGGCAAGGGCGTAGCCGGAGAACATGACAACCTGCGTCCACCAGGGCGTGAGGAACAGGTTGTAGAAGCTAGACAGACTGGACCAGTCGAGGGACAGATTAAGGAATCCCATGCCCCCGTAGCCTGCACCGACGAAGTTGGCCACCGAGTTGTGCGGCGCAACCCAGCAGAGGAATGCTAGTGAACCAAGCATGGGGAAGACGTACTCGGGAAGGAACTGCCAGAGGATGACGGCAATAAGCACTATGAAGAAGACCCTGGTCTGCTTGCGCGAGAGAGCAGTGGGATTCTCGCGCTGCTGCTTCTGCGTCTCAAAGAGGGCAGTCTGACAGAGGCTACCAGGTATCAGCACACCAATGCATGAGACGAGATGCCTATGCGGAACATGATTCCCAAGGAGGGGTCACTCACGAGGTAAACCAGGGAAACTGAGGGTCGTAGATGAGAAACTGGCGCGCAATGGCCGCGAAGCTGTATCCCGTCCACACGATACCCCACATAAAGAAGATGGCAACCGCAGGGTGCACCTTCTGACCAAAATATAGCTCGGCCATAGACACGGGGGCGTATCCGAGGTTGTACGTGGCACCGGATGCGGCAGAGATGGTGATCAGCACATGCTCCTTCACGCTGAATGGTCCCGGGTTGAGGCTGAACTTCCAAGGAGTAAGGGGGATCTTGACGGTCCATGCGGGCGTGTACTTGGCCATCCAGACACCGGCATAGCTAGAGGCGATCTGGACGAAGAAGACGGAGTAGGGCGCATACGTCGTGCGGAAGTGGCTCATCATGCTGAGGAATGCTCCGGGGCTGACGAAGATGATGGTCAGGACAAAGTAGCGAAATGTCAGGGTGGGCAGCTCGGGGTCGTCGGTGAGGCTGACGACGCGGCGCACGTACGGCGGGATGTCGCGAACACGCGGGTCGTCGTCGGGGATGGCCTCCTCCCCATCCTGACCACCCCTGCCTTTGGTCGTGAGGATGAACGGGGGTTTCTCCAGATCGTTCTCAGGTGCCGTGGGGTTTTGGAATGGCTCGTCCGCTCCCACAAGCACCGCGTCGATGGTTTCATCCGACTTGGTCATGATCGGCACGTGCTTCCCTAGAGAATTGGAAATAGCACGGACTAAACAGGTGTGCTTCCCATGGTCTGCCGATCCACCGGGGCCTCATTATCCAATATATACATGTCCGCAACTGTAGTGGACGCATGTATATGTAGGTTGGAAAGAAACATCGATGAGATGTTGAAACCCATGATCCGAGCACAGACAGCACGCAGTCGTGCCCCGCCATTGCGTTATCTCTGACCATGCAACCAACCATGACAGACGATGATCCCATGAAGCAATTTTTCCGGGATGCTACCTTTGATTACTCCCTTGGCTCCCATCGTCGTGGCATATCTAAGGCTGGTTAGGAAGCTTATCTTGGCACGGATTGCGACATTGCAAAAGTTCTTTCTTAGCGTTGAACCCCATACGCAACGATGAAATATATACTGTAATGGATTGCATGACCTGTCAAGATCAAGCCACTACTGCTACGGGGTATTATTTTCCTTCCCTCCTGACGAAAGATATACGACGACCTGCCGCAGCTCCGGTCTAAAGGTCGATCGTCGTGCTGGTATCGGAGCAACATGGATTCTGGTGGTACGACTATGCAAGGACGGCAACCGGGAGGGGATGAGGAATGCGGAAATAGCAAACAATGAGATTCGCAGGATATAGGCCGTCACTCGTCAGACATAGGGCGGATTCTCCATGTTCCTAGACTGCTACCATCATTTCTTGGCGACGGTAGTCTGTCCCGAGTGGCTTCCAGCCAACAACCGCCCCACCGACAGCCAAGTCCATCACATTGACGCGTACCAGATCGGGCAACTGGATCCTGGCATCACGCCCTTGGCACTGCATGAATGGGCCGCTTAGCCGGTAAGCCGGCACTTGGACCAGGCCAGATCCGTGTGCCTTACGGCCATGTATTTGCCGGGCAGTTCAATATGGGAGGGACTGCAAGAGGAGAAATTGGAAGATGGGGTCGCTTATACGCCACCTCATCGTCTATCATCACACAGACGGTTTCAAAGTCCATGATACAATTAATTCTCTGACATAATTGCCAAGTTCAGTGCGACACGCAGGACTAGTTCATTGCTACTTACTACGACAGCGAGAAAAAAAAAAGTACGTGACAACGGGGGAAGGGAAGACAAAGGCGATCAGGTTACAGCTTAATACCAGCAGTATGTCATTTGTCCTGTGCAAAGAAATTTTTGGAAAGCCCTACGACCCCAGAACAGCGGGGATGCTACTAGAACATAGATAGAGATCGGACTGTCCATATGACGTTTTGGTGCCGCCCATGACCCTTGCAGAGTGGTATAACCAGAGGTTGACGTAGCAATCGGCAACGGGATAACTCGAAGTCAGCCTTGCCACCGGGGACAAGGGAAGCAGTCTGTTGAGACTAAAGGGAGATCTTTGCACTCCGTCAAGTGGCTCATTGCATGTCACTCGGGAGCGGCACAAGGCCAATTGCCTACTTCCTAACTCATGCTGCCACTGCTGTATGTAGTCTAAGCGAATAGCACGTCCTGACTCTAACCTGTCTTACAATTTCTCTGATCTGCAAAATGCCTGCACGGATCAGGTGGTAGGGCCGTCGTAGGCGGTGGAGAGTGTAATGTGGTAGGCAATGTAGTATCAGATCTATGGCTTTTCGAGGCCACCCACTCAATGCAACTGAGCCCGCCGGGCGGGATGGTGATAGATGCACCAGGGCGGCGTGGACTCGCAGCGGTTGCTCGAACATGACCAACAGATGAGAGCTAGTGGATTGTAAGTCCCAGATGATATCACCACTGTCGTTTGACCAAGGCTACATGTATCTTCCACTATTTCACTGACCCTAGTATCTGAAGAGGGGCAAGTTATCGTGATGTAAAGTATCGGCGCCTTGACGCGTACGTGAGGAATCATGTATTGAACTGAAACCTGCATATTCTGCTCGATGGGATTTATTTCCCACTCAACTATGCTATTCAGAAGATGACCTGCGTGCTATTTCATATCTTTGACCAATCCATCTCGGCCATTATCTCTCAAAGAATCGTAATTCGCTAACTGCTGACCAACAACGTCAAATCATTCCGTTACTGAGTAATACTACTATCTCACCAATATAAAACTTCTTCTCTATCTACCCTATAGCTCAGAATCGGACCCAACGTCACAAGACATCCATAAAAGCGGCAATGCTACCAGGGGGGGGGGGGGCAGAAAGTCGAAAGTTGATATTGAAATTGAGAAAGAAAGAGTGCTCATGTATTCATTATCAGTAAAATTATTATACCCCATGCAAAGGGTCACCTCAAAGCTTATGCTCGCAGCACGAGGCATCAGTCACAAGCACACTCCTGTTTTTCTCCTGCGTCGAGACGGCAACATCAATTCCAGGGTTGCCGGTGAAGAAGTTGACGGGCTTCAGCCCAACAACCATTTTGTCGGCAGGCATGACGGGCCAGTCCTCGATACGCGGATTATGCGTTGACCCAAACGTATGCCAGACAACGATATCCTCGTCGCGCACCGAAGTGCTAGTCCCCGGACTAGCCTTTCTACGTTCAATTCCCGAGGCGATCCCCTCGCCACCAGTAGACTGCATGGTGTGCCGTCCCGAAGGGAAGATCTCTTCGTCATCGTACCGCGTAACCCACACGGCATGCTGGCCGAACTCGGATCGCCTGGCATGGTACGACGATGGGTGAGCCAGGAGCATCTGGCTGTAGCAGGGGATAATCTTGAACCCCACCGGGGTGCGGGTGATGGGATTGACTCTCTTCTCGTTAATCATCTTGAAGACGCGGTTCTTGTTGAAGTCGAGATCGAGACCCTGCTCATCCTCCACGACACGCGACTTCGTCACGTACCCCACACCAATGGGGTTTTCGCCCTCACTTGGCGCCATGGGCTCCGTCTCTTCTACCTGTAGAGAGTTGGCGTGGCCGTCAATGGCGGGGTCGATTCGCAGGCAGAAGAGGTGTTGATGGTAAGGGGCTAAGACTCCGGGGGCAACGATGGTGCCGTAGGGCACACTGTCCGTGATGTTGATGGGGGCGGTGGACAGGATCCCCGTGGCGCGCACCTCGTAGTGAATCGAGGCATCCTGACCGAGCTGGAAAGCAAAGATGTACTCGTAGTTGCTGACGGTGATGATGGTCTGGAGAACGAGGATGCGCGACCGCGTGACGACGGCGTTTTGCGTCCGGAAGTTTGTGTGTTTCCAGAGGATACCGTCGTCTTGCTCGTGGCAGCACACGACGTTGGGGAGCTTCATCGGCTCTCCCGTGCTGGTATTGTGCCATGCGTCAAAGTACTTGATAGTGCCGAGGCAGTCGCACCCGAGCTGCAGGTCGTTGGCGTTGATGCCTGCTCCGTCGTTGCCCAGGTCAAACGCCCCCTTGCGCGGGTACGGAGTGCGTGGGTCGCCGTAGGGGACGAACATTTCGGACAGGGAGAGACGGTAGAAGACGGACCGGCCGTCGTAGCGCACGTCGTGCAGCGTCAGACCCTCACGATAGTTGAAGCCAACGCGCAGAGTCCATTTCTCCCACGAAATGGCGTTTCCGTCACTGGTGAACGACGGACCCTCGGGCTGGACGACCTGGTATGGCCTGGTCGTGTGGCGAGGAGGCGGGCGCAGATCCGGGTGGTATTCGCTGGCTGATGCGTCATGGACTTTTTGCTTGTCGTATGGCTGCTTTCTGTCGTGGATGCGCTCGTCGGCGGCAGAGGGGAGTCGGTATATCTTGGTCACGCGGAGCTGCTCGGAGACTTCGGCGCAAAGGTCCAGCGGGTAGGCGTAGTAGTTCGCGTCGGGGCTGTCAAGCAGCCTCATGTAGAACCAACACTGCACATTATCAATACGACTCATCTTTTTGGAGATGGGGGCCGTGTATGCCATACCATGCTTGTCCGTTGCGCCGTGTCGATCATGCCATCGGTAGCATACGCCCACGGCTCGACGCACACGGTCGCCCCCTCCGGAAGGTGCAGCGTCTTGATCTCTTCTTGGATTCTAGGGTCGGATATGCACGCCTTCTCCACAGACTTCATGTACGCTGCATCAATATAAGAGTGCTTCCCCTTTAGATGCTGCCTGCTCGCGATGACGGCCAGGTCGAGATTAACAATAAGCTCGACGAACTGGTCGTCGTCATCGACACGGGCGATGACTTGGACCCTCGCTTCGCGTGGCGGACGAGTTCCGTATTTCCCGGAGGTGTGGTAGTCTTCGAGGAACGGCACCATGTCCTTCTTGGACGGCTCTTTGAGAGTGATGACGCGGAAATTTGGTTCATGACCGGTAAAGTGAGACCGGACAATCGATGCCGTCTGCTTTGTGTGAGAACATTGCCTAAGTCAAAGGGCTGCGTCGTATTACCTTGCGGATCTCAGCCGGGGTGAGCGGGTCCAGCGGATGAGGCGCCATGATGCCCGTGATCAGAGTTTTGTGCTGTTGTATCTCTCTTATTTCTCCTTTGATTGTCTCTCGTATCGCTCCTCTTTTCTTTCATTCCGCTGCCTCTTCTCTAGATGAAAAGTGAAAGATGTCTGCCCGAGATTAATTAGCAATCACAGCGTGTCAACTCAACCTTACAAGGTCCCTGGTGTCACGATTGGACGCGACCGGCTCTTGCCGGTCCCGTACATCTCCGCCTGCGGGGTCGGAAGGGCCTGATATCGGTTCGGAGCCCAACCAGAGATAGGCTCAAGGGGGATATGCACCACCGGAAATCTGTACGCAGTAGCAAAGCGACTAACGGCATTCTGATAAGTAACGTTAACCAGCGCTAACATATGCCTTCGTTGAAATGACGGCGGGGATTCGGCCCGCATGATGTCCTTCGTCCGGCCCGATGTAAAAGTAATACTTTATAGAAGACGTCGTGGGACGATGTAGGCCGAATCGGGTGCCGTCCGTGAACCAATGCATACATATATCCAAGAACGGGGCATGTGCAACCGTTCAAACCGTCCCTGGTCCGCCGCAGTGATTGGAAGTTACCTGTACCGTTGCAGCAATCAATGAGGCTCCTTCTATCCAGACAATGAAACGCCATCGACAATATAGCAACCATGCACGCCGAGTTCGGCGGGCCTATGCCGCGGTAGATATCGAGGTAGAATAAAATGTAGACCGGTGAGGAGTGGCACTCCCACACTGCACTCTCGGGCCCTGGCCATCATCACGGAAGATTAGATATGTTCTTCGATGCATGCCGGCTTGTTGGACGGACAGACCACATCGTATACGAATGGGAAAAGGCTACTCAACGGCCTTGTTGGGACAAGAGTGGTAGATACATATCGCGTGAGGCCAATGCGTTAGTGTCATATGACATAGAGTTGCCGTTCCAGTGAGAAGGCATAAATAGGCGCTTATAGGCTTCCATTAACACCTGGTTGAAGATGTTCCACCCACGATTCATTACGGTCGCAAATAAAGACACAAGTCCGATACGGTCCTACGAGACCAGTCACATATCCCTCCAACGCCGCGCTTATCTGTTTGAAAGATCCCAGGTGGTCGACAGATGGTGCAGGTAAATATGAAGGGGGAAGGAAGAAAGGGCGGGAAAGGAGAAATGCACAGGGTCAGAATACAACCAATCCGTGCATCTCTTCATACCGGATACGCGCCCAATTGACAACCTCATCAGTCCCCGCTGACTGATCCCTCCTGGTCCAGACCCGCTCCACCAGATCCCGCGCATTATACACGTATCCGAACCCACACGTCCGTTCCATGACCATCAGACGGTCCTGGATCACGGCCCGCTGCTCCAGACCCCAGCAGGCCCCACCGGCCATGACGAGCGGGAACAGTAGACACGGCTCTAGGGGGCTTCCGTAGCGAATATTCTGAACCGACTTGAGGATGCCCTCGACGTTGGTCACGACGCGCAAATGGTTGAGGTCGTAACCCTCGACAACCTGGTGCAGCCGCAGCCGCAGCGCGTGTTCGAATGCCAACGCGGCGTTGAGGGCATCCTTATCCGCCGATGCCAATGTCGTGACGGCTCGGTCGAGGCCCCCATAGTCGCGCGCCCAGTTGTCGATGTGCTCTTCCACTTCGGCTGCCAGGCTTCTGAAGACGGCCTCCGAAGCCGCATCCACTCTGTCCTTGCGTTTCTCGGCGAGGCTGTTTATCCGGTCCACCAGGTGGAAGAGCTCCTTCGGAATGCCGTAAACAGCCGAGTCCTCGGTGTCGGCCATCGGCGTCATACCCTCGATCGTCGCCTCTTCCCTAGCCTCCTCCTCCATCAGCGGTGGACGGCAGGTCGAGACCGTTGCTGCCGAGTCGAGGAACCGCGACAGCCGCACCAGGAACTTGTAGTGTCCCGTCGAGAGGTCGCTGTGCTGTTGTCTCAGCGCCGCCAGTAACTTCTTGGCCCCCTTGAGGTGCAGTCTCCAACCCTCGCTGGTGCCGTCAAACAGCTCCGTCATGCAGAGCAAGAGGCTGCTCACCAGCGCAATGTCGGCGCTCGTTTTGTCGACATGGGGCAGCAGGCAGGCGAGCGAGTGCGTCGCCTTGCTTTGGTGCATGAGCCCGCGATTGCCCATTCCGGGCTGCATCTTGCGCCAATGGTTGCCTGCGAGCCCCAGCAGACAGTGCAGCACAAGCTCGTTGGACTGGGCCATGGGTAGCAGGTAGCTAATGTACGGGTTCGTGAGGGTGCTCGATCGACGTGAAAGCAACGGCGACACGATGGTCGAGTAGTGGTTGAGGAGAGCTCGGTCATATGGGGATGAGAGCTGCGGCAGCAGCTGTGGTATGTACAGAGAGAGCGACGGCGCATCAAAGTAGTCGAGCGAGCCACGGTTGCTCGTAGGCGACACCATCTCGTACCACGGCGGCGTCACGACGCTGGGCACATTCTGCTCCCTCTGCCATGCTGCCACCCCGCTCACCAAGGCATCATAGCCCACAGGTGGGGGCAGGTCAGCAGGGACCGTGTCGCTGCCGGCGGAGGGTTCCTGCTTGACGCTGACGGGCGAACGCATCTGAGGGCTCGTCGAGTGGATCGGCAGCTTCTCATATGATGCAGTGGGGGCGAGGGATGAGTCGGACGGTATCTCTGATACACCCGACTGTATTGAGGACAGTTCTTCTGAGGTTGCCGAGGATTGGCTGTCTAAAGAGCCATGCCTGGAGATCCTACTCGTGGAGCTCTGCTGCCGCGGTGGTCGCGGTTGTTGCTGTCGCTGCCGTGCCGTCGCCTTGTCGGTAGCCATGACAGCCTTGTAATCCTTCGGTCGCTCTACTGGCCAGTGGCACTCGAGGCAGAGACGGCGGCAATCACCGCACCTGGGTTTGACCTCGTCGCACTTCTTCTTTCGCTGCTTGCACATCAGACATCCCGTCTGAACTCGGCGGATCCGTGCTTTGGGGGCTTCGGCGTCGTCGGTGCTGGGGTCGGGCAGGACGTTATCGCCGGTATTTCGAGGTCGACAAGGCAGTCCGAGGCGGATGCATCGTGAGCACGGAATGTTCCCGTCGCAGGCCTGCTTGATCTGAGCGCAGCGGTGACACACGGGACGGCGGCCGGTGGACATGGCGCAAGATATTATGGGATATATATATGTGTGCGTATGTATGTATATATGGGCGGTCGAGGTTCTCGGCGCGTTGATGTCCGGATTGTAACTGGGTGTAGGCCGTGGCCATGAGCTCGTGAGGGGCGATTTTCCAGTGTGTGCCGCAGAGCTGGTAAGGTTGCCAGGTGCACATGCGGGAAGAGAAGGATGGGAACACTCGAATAGTCGGAGATCGGAGAGGGAGAGAAGGAAGAACTCAGATGACGAGATCACATCCGTTTTACTCTGCTCAGTAATTCAGTAATAAAACAGGAACAGGACCCAGGGAGTCGACGCTGAGACGCAGAGCAAGCCAGTGGGGGCCGTTTCGAATGGGCTCGCACCGTTCGCTGTATCCTGAGTGCTTCGCCGCCTGTCCTCGCAGATGACAGGGGGGTCGGGCTTCCCTAGGACTAGGTATTATTGACAATCACAGACAGCTAATCCCGGCCCTGGTCTCTCCGTAAAACTGTATCACGACGTAATAGTCAGTAATGTCTGTACTCCGTACGGAGTAATCGGTAATCTGTACAGATTACTCGTACTCATAGCATCATGTACTATGCATCATTAACCTTTGGGGTGGGACCTCTGGATGGCCCGGCCTGGGACAAGTATTTAATATCAGTCAAGCCAAGCCGTTCGACTCCCAAGAAGACAAGAAAAATACCATCGGCTATTAGTATGCACCGACGTTTCGGTCGTAGGAGCGCACGCAGGCTGCGCAGTCGAGTCGTCAGACCCATGCCCCAAACCAGCCAGTCGCAACGTACATGTACGTTTTTGCTTTGTGCTAATGGCCAGCCCCCCAACGAAAAGTGGCTCTCCCGCAGATTTCACGAATCCACATTCCTGTGCTGTCGCTGGCCCTCGGTTTAGCTTTTAGCTACTATTCCGTAGAGACCAACCAGGTGGGAGAGGAGGGAACATCCCCGACGACGATCCCCACGGCCCAAGGGTGTTGCCAGCGACAGGATCCACATAGTCTTGATTCCCACCTACCCTGCCGTGTCGTTGGGTGGGTGGAGGGCCAACCAGAGACAATATCGCGCCGTCGGGGCATGCAACCCCCGCCCCCCCGGGCGCGCATGTAGCAGGGGAAGTGTCTAGCGTAGTGGTGGTCGACTAAGGATTAGCCCGGGCCTAGGCGTTGCGACGTTGCGAGCAAGCTCGGTTGCCACCAATGTGCGTTTGCGTTTGCGTGTGTGCGTTTGCGTTTGTGGGTGTATGCGTGCGTTTGTGGGTGTGCGTGTGTGTGTGCGTGTGCGTTTGTGTGTGTGTGTGTGTGCGGGAATACGCTGATTGTCGCCTCAGGGTGGGTAGTCCATGAATGAGCCGCTAGCTAGTCCATGTGCCTCCTCCAGCCATGTGTCCGAACCATCAAGGAATGGCTCAAGGGTGTGGCTCACCGTTAGGCTTTCGTACCGCATTGCTTGTCGAACCACGCAGATTTCCCCAAGTTCGAACGTGAATGAGTCGTAGATAGAGTTTATCGGTCTTTGCCTCCAGCCCAAGAAATGCCCCAGAATTAGTGCCATCATCTTTAGCCACCGATCAAGTGGCAGAGTGCGGCCGCGCCAAGGGCCGACCCAGGAAACGTGTCTCTGATTGCATGCGTATCGCTGACTCGTGAGGTGACAAGGCGCGGCATATTGCATCCTAGAGCCGCACAGTCGTCATCACAAGCATCTGTCAATCTCACCTCCTGCTCCATTATAAATGTCAACTTGCTTGATCGCCAGCGGTCTAGGAAATCCATCAAGTCGTTCCTGGCACTAGAAGGAATATCCCGCGAAAGTTGTCGAGAGATTTCGGTGACGATTTGTCTCCTGGCTCGTACGTCGTCGTACGCAGGGAGAGTGCCACTGCCAAAGGCCAAGGCCAATGCAGAGAGGAGCAGAGCGCGGACCATGCCGACGGTGCGCGACAGAAGGTAGCCCAACGCGTAAAGCTCTGATCTCTCTCGCGGAGCCCAGCTAGGACCCGGGATAGGAAAGGGGACTTTTATACTCATGAAGTAAACAGAGCGATTCCTTTATGCCGTCTCTACTTAGAATGTTAGTTTATTGTATTCATCCTTACCCTAGGCTTGTCACGGGCCAGATGTGAAGCCTCTGGGTGAAGGTAGGTGAGTCCTGGAGACGCATGATTTGTCACGTTATGCGATGTGTATTGTCGGACGTGGCAGCAGAATAATGTCGTTACGACGCTCGTCTAAGGTTCCGCATCGGAAGGAGATCTATCTAGATAATCATTCACTATCGATAGAATTGGTTGCAGGGGATCGAATTCCAGAGACCCAACAGGGCAAGGGGTCAGGATGTCGAAGACACAAGAAGGAAACACCCAAGAAAGAACGTAGACAAGCGAAGAAATGAGTCGAGAGCTAAGAGGAATGACACGAGAGACCTACAGGGGGAATCCTCGAGATTACGAGTTAGAAACAACCCTATAAGTCGAGTCCTGACAGTACGATGCCTTATAAAGTAAAAGACTAGCTCAAGTTATAGACATATATATATATATACACTCTAGCTATAATATTGCTTTAGGGATGCGTACAATAACGCAGATTAGGTACGTACTGAAAATCAGTTATACTGTCGAGTTTTTATAGCGTTTTCAGATGCTCCCTACGGCGCAACCGTAGTTATACCATCAAGTCGCTATTGAAAACCCCGCAATAGGGAGCGAAAAAGCCGGCAACAACTAGCCCTTCGAACATCAGATAATATACCAGTGAGGATAGCATTTCACTTACCTGTGAAGCAAGAGACAGATTCCTACATATCGTCCCCAGAGAGCTGTTTCCCTCCTCGTATCGCCGAGAGAAGGAATTATCATGACGCCACCTTCCGATCCCGTCATCATCATCGGGGCAGGCGTCGTCGGCCTCGCTCTTGCCCACGGATTGGCAAATGTATGTGCTCTGTTTGCACTGCACCTTTTGACATTTCTACAAGCACCGTCATCGTCATCGTCTTTTTCATACTATCACAGTCACAATCCTGTTCTCTGTCCCTCGTTTCTCACACTCTTCCCCTGTTCTCGCCCGTTTCTCTGTGATGAAAGCTACTAAGAGACGATATCAAGGCTGGCATCCCGTTTGAAATCTACGAGCGAGATGAAGACGCCGACTCACGACCCCAGGGCTGGGCCATTACTCTACTTTGGGGGCTCACATTTCTTCGTCGTCTACTCCGACAAGACTCTCTTGACGCTGTGGATGGTGCTCAGGTCGACATGGACATAGCTCGGAACGACACGGGCAACTTTCTCTTTCTAAATTTGGCCACGCTTGAGACCAAGTTCCGCATCCCGCCCAGTGACCGTCGTCGCGTCGGCCGCCAGCGTTTCCGCAAAGCACTCCTCTCTGATACACGAATCCGAGATCATATGCATTGGGGTAAGAACCTTTCGGGGATCGACACGTTGGAGAACGGCAGCGTGAGTGCCCGGTTCCATGACGGCAGCGCCGCCAAAGGTGCTGTCATCGTGGGTGCCGAAGGAGCCAGTTCGCCTACTAGGCGGTTCCTCGTACCCGACAATCACCACAATCGAAGTCTCAACGTCAAACTTATCGGAGCCGCAGTCGATATGACGCCGGAGCAGGCCAGACCTTTGAGAGAGATCGACCCGCTGCTCTTCCAAGGCTGCCACCCCGATACCGATAGCTTCCTGTGGGTCTCGACAATCGACACGCCCGAGACTAACGGGAGCATCGGATCCGACAACGAGTACTACAAGATGCAGCTTATAATCTCGTGGCCCGTCAAGGTGCCACCAGATGCAATGGTGCCCTCGACAGCGGCGGGTTGCATAGAGGAGATGAAGCGCCGCGCTGCTGGATTCCATCCGAAGCTTCTTGGTGCCATCGATCTTGTATCGGAGAAGTCCAACCCGTCGGAGATTGAGCTGAAGGATTGGCCATGCCACCCCTGGGACAACCACGACGGCTCTGTGACACTGGTGGGCGATGCAGCCCACGCGATGACCATGTTCCGCGGCGAGGCTGCAAACCATGGCATAATGGATGCGTACCACCTGGCACAAGCGCTGCAGGACATATATGAAGGCCGAGCAAGCCGCAAGGATGCTATAGACGCTTACGAGTCTGAGATGCGAGAGCGGACAAGAGTGGCCGTTGAATGGAGCAGGGAGGCCTGTATCGGTGCGCACGACTATCACGGGCTAAATGAGAAGTCAGCAGTTCTACGGAGGAGAGCAATCAAGATGCCGGTCGACTAGCAGTCGCCTTCAAGTCCGTGCTACCCCCGCTGTCATTGCCTCCACATCGGCAGTTGGATTCCGGAGGATGATACGTCTGATTACCTGAATTTTTGAAGGACTTGGAAAAACAGGATTCATGTGGGCCATTGGCTGCAGACGACTTGAATATAGGATCTATTGATGTGTGGACCCATTTGGAGAACTATATAGTAGAAGTAGGGCGAAAGGATACCGAAAGCGGTATATAAGTAGTCACTAACCCCGATTCTATCAAGGAAGAGGGTTAACGGTTGATATATATACACTAGCACGCCAGTGTACATCTTATCGCTATAACGCTTCTACCTCGCCTCTATACGCAGACCTTGTTACTTATCTCGCTACTGCCTTCCCTAGGTAGACTCGTCTGACAATCGAGGATCAATATACTCAGTGGTGTCCTGTCTTGTCCGATGTCCGAGACGTGCCCATGTCTTTCCATTTTTCGACCACCTCAGCTGTCGAAGGGCGTCTTTTGTCTGTCTCACTTAACTTCTGCCTACATCACCACCGATACGTCTCTCCACCGGTGGCACTAGCCTGATTCGCGCCTTCACCAAATACGATTTCCCAGAGGACCCTGACCGCATCCTTCTTACGAGCTGGGGTGAATGGTGGCCCGCGTCGATCATGAGCATGTCTCTCGATAAGGACCTGCAGGACAAGGGGTCCTGGAGCAGAGAGGATGTTGAGCAGGCGGAAGGCCTGGCGTAGGCCCTCGATGGCAAACCATGCTTAAAGCATGAAATTTGACAAGAATCGTGTTTCCGGACCAGCCCATGAACCTCTACTACACCAACTATGTATAGGCCCTCTCTGAACAGCTCAAAACATTGCCACTCCACATGGAGGACTCGCAACACCACCGGGTACCTGGCATCACAGTCAGTCAAGTGAACACAAAGGTAACGAGATGAAGGACACACCCTGAGAGGCATACTGCTAAAGAAGAACGTCCAGCGTTTTCTCTTGGCACACTCCTCACTCAGCTTCTCCAGATCAAATAATTCACCAATCGGCATCCCCCAGCCCGAAAGCAGCCATTCGTGCAGCATAAAATGCTTATCTTGGCACGGCCAAGCCTCCATACTTGGATGGTCGCCCACAATGGCCGCAAATTCATTATCCCACAACCAGCGCAGCGTCGTCTCGGATGATTCCACACCGATAGCAGGCGGCGTATCCTTCTCAGCAAGGGCTTGGCGGTCGCCTGGTGAAGCAGAGTTGTATCCACGCACGTACCCTGAGCGCACAAACAGTATATCCCCCTCACGGAAAGAGGTGCCTTGGTGAGAAGCTACTTCTTTCAATGCGGATACAGGAATACTGGTCGGGTCGAAGATGGCGGGTGTAAGACCCTTGATGCCTGCCCAGGCGGCGTAGTCGAGAAGAACGCCACGACCTACGATACCACCTCTGTCTACCCAGGCTACGTCCCAAAAAAAAAATGTTAGCTGAAGAGCTCGAGAAGCGTTTGAGCTCACTTCTCGGTGAACTAACCGTGGATGCCCAGAACATTGCTGCTAGCAATATCCTCGACGGTGCGCCCATTGTAGAAAAGACCAGAGTCCTGATATCCGAAATGCCGGAACCCGTCCCACTGTGAACTGCTCTGCGTGTTGAGAGCCAGCTCGTCGTCATGCACCACCCGCGGCTTCTTCTGCCAGACACGGTGCTTAAGAGGCGCCCTGCCGAAACAAGGGGGTGTCAGGTGGCCTAGTTCGAGGTCGACGGATACGCGGCCGCCGTCGATGATTTCTTCGCGAGCTGCTCGTGCGACCCTCTCTGGTGTTAGGAGGTGGATAGTCCCAAGCTCGTCCGAGGAACCGTATAAGCCCCAGGCATTGCCACGGGGGCCGTCTTTACGGAGTGGAAGAGAGTCGAAGGATGGTCGTGGTGTCATCTCGCTTTCGAATTGTAGACTGGTTCGACTGAGCGATGGGATAGAGCCGAGTATCAGTTACGCCTTTTGCTCCGTACACTACACTGAATAGGCGACTGCCAATGGACCCCTCAATGATGCATGATACAGACTTATTGTGATCATCTAGATATATACTCGTAGTCCGAGCCGAGAGATAATAGGCCAGTTTCTTCTCCGCCTCGGAAAGACGATTACGCATCACGGTCATCCTATCCCACAACCAGATGCCGGCCATTGGAGATTTCCAGGAAAGAACTCTCACTGGGGTTAAGGCAGCTAGCTATGCCACTTGAAACATTCGAGTACTCGCTCATAGACTGTTCGGGTGAGTAATACCCGAGAATGATGGGAACACACTCCATTTGGACCAATCTCCTCCGCACAAACCCCCGCATGAATGTTTCATTTCCCTCAGTTAGAAGTGGGGAGATTATCTGACCAACGAGACATTCAATCACGATTATTGTTGTTGTATCTGGGCGAATTCTAATTCGTGCTGTTCGTTGGCACTGTTCGGCACATCTGCTACCGCGGAATGGATAACAGGGCCAACAAACCCAGCTCGTGATCAGGGCTTGTGTCCTAATAGCAAGTGATGTATATCAAACGCTAGGTTTCCGACATGAGTGCGCCTCTTACTGTAGACTCGATGTGAGAGAAATCTATTATCTCTCTGATATCTTGTCCTCGCCAAAAAAAAAATGAACGACTCCGAAGCTGTTGCCCGTGAGCTTCGAGGACGAGTAGCGGGGGCGTCACACCCCCCCATACAATCACGCTCATAGTAGGAACAACCGGCTCCACTTCCCAACAATCAGCCGCGATTGAGTACATCCGGTATGGTGTAGTGGCTAACATTTCGCGCTCTCATAACCTGAGGGATCACAATCCGCGGAGCCCAGGGTTCGATTCCCTGTACCGGAGTAACATTTTTTTCTTTGCTCCTGGTTATGATAAAACTTGTGCTTATTCATCCTCTCTCTCTCTTTTTTTTTTTTTTTTGTGTTTCTCGTGTTCGTTGTCAACCCTTGCATTTCTCATCTTCCTTGTGCCTTATGTGTTTGTCTCACATTCTTATTTTTTATTTTTTTTGTAATCACACTCAACTACTCGTACTTTGAGTAATAATACTATATACTATAATACTCCGTAATACCCGCCCATTAACCGTAGAAAGTATCTTGACAAAGTCGAGAACTTTCTCACGTAGCAGGGAACATAAGTCGCAACCTCTCCATTCTCCTGCACACTCAATCAGCCAACCTTCTCCGGTATGGTGTAGTGGCTAACATTTCGCGCTCTCAAAACCTGAGGGACGTATTCCGCGGAGCCCAGGGTTCGATTCCCTGTACCGGAGTTAATTTTTTCACGTTTTGTACTACTACCAATGAAATGGCGCCTGCACCTTTCTTTTTGTTTGGACTCGGGCCATCATGTATGTGGCCTTATTCAGCGAGGTAGATAGACTTCTCTTTCTTGTCCTCTTACAATGTTCACTTTCGAAATGATCTATAGTGTCGATACATCAGGTAAATGTAAAGCAATTGTTGGCTTGGCATGTTGCAATGTGCATCAGTCAAGTCTCACCACGTCATGATGCTGTAAAGTGAGAATTTTCAAGCTGGAAACAACCTACCGACAAAACCTGTTACTCTTTCCCAATACTCATGCAAGCCGTCTCATGCCTCTTGTGTGACATTACCAATGATAATGCAGCTGTGTTGGTCGCTCCTTCCCACAGGGTAAATTGTTTCCTAGAGGCACCGCATCATCATGTTCCATTGTATACTAACAACTTGAAGCGACGATCATTATATGTTAGACAAGTCAAACAAACGTCATGGTCGTTGTTATGCTTTTATTGATATACCTCTTCTCAATGAGTACATACGTGCCATTTATTCTACAGCATCGTGTTTTTCTACGGACACTCGACTGTGCACGCATGTGAGAGGAGACATGGTGCAAGAACATATTTACCCAGACCACACGATGGCAAGTACCGAATATGCGGCCTAATCACGTCGACAGTCCTTTCAAGGGGGAACTTGAACAGCATGGGTCAAGAGTTGACTACGAGTGGCATCATGTGGCATTTTTCAGGCTGTGCCGCTACCCATAAGCTGACAATGACCAACCAATCTCAAGCAATATCCTGCAGAGCCGGGGAGGGGGGGGGGGGGAGGGAGAGAGGTCGATACGACAACGACGTTGCCTCTGCTTCCCTTCTTCAATCATTTACACCGGTCTATGGCGATTACCAAGACTGACACCACATTGCCAGATTAGTTTGCTGAATGGAGAGCCTCGAAATCACGACTACAAATAACGACCAGGGGACTCAAGTTGGAATGGCAACTTGAAAGAGCCATGGTGATATGGATCGCACAATGAACTCAACTTCATCGACTCGGTATGTTGACAGTGCGGGGATAAGAAGTTTGAGGCCACTTCCCGGCAGTTACCCCCAGGAATATGACGGTTCTGCTGTTCTCCCCTCAGAAACGTCATGTTCGGGTACGGTGCTATTTTCCAACTCGGGCAATTAAGCACGTCGATCCTCGAGCTAAGACAACCAACACCGGCACAAGGCAAGAATTCCCCAACAGCTGCTGCGCTCTGATACGTGCGCTTTTGTCCACCGATTTACCCCATATTACCTCCCCGGAATTCTAATATGGAGTATCCCAACCAATACTTGTACTTCCTTGCGTGAGGGGGACGAGGGGCCCCGAACGAGCAAGGCGATTTGTGCGGTTGTTCCAATCTCGAAGCATGATTTCGCGTGGAGAATGGCGTCCCCCAATGTTGTATTATTTATATCCGAGGGATCAGTAGCTATGGGATGAACACTCTTTCCTCAGTTCCTGAAGCTACCCATCTTGCTGTTTTTGTCTCCATCTAGCGTTTTGAGAGAAAAGAGAAGGGGAAAAAAGAATCACCAACAGGTAGCACCAGGCCGGCGTCAACAGCTGCGACAGGAACCGTTGCCCACCATGTATCGCATCTGGAACATTTATGGTAAGAGGAGGCCCTCTCGGTTACGGGAAGTCCCTCGCCTCCAGAGGTGCTAACATGTTGTCCTTTCCTTAGTGCTGGCCGCCTTTGGCACAATTGGCGGCATGCTCTTCGGCTTTGAGATCAGCTCCATGAGCGCCTGGATCGTCTCACCCCAATATCTCGACTACTTTAACAGCCCTGGCGGTACTGACCAGGGCGGCATCACAGCCTCCATGTCGGCTGGCTCGTTTATGGGCGCTCTCGTCGCAGGATACCTCGCCGATAGGCTGGGCCGTAAGGGCGCCATTCAGATCGCTTCCATTATCTGGATCGTGGGTGCCATTCTGCAGTGCTCCGCCCAGAATAGGGGTCATCTCGTCGTTGGCCGTATCGTTGGCGGTCTGGCCATTGGCATCACCAGCTCCCAGGTGCTCGTGTATTTGGCAGAGCTGGCGCCGTCAAAGAACCGCGGCGCTATCGTCGGTATCCAGCAATGGTCCATCGAGTGGGGTAAGTTCGACATGCCGTGTCCCCTTGAGTGCCACAGAGCACTACTTCGATTGCTGATTCTCAACCTACGCAGGTATCCTCATCATGTACCTCATCTCATATGGCTGCTCCGTTTCCATCCCGCACCCGTCCGCCTTCCGCATCGCCTGGGGCCTCCAGGCCGTCCCTGGAATTGTCCTCTTCTTCGCCCTCTTCTTCTTCCCCGAGTCGCCGCGCTGGCTGGCTAACCATGACCGCTGGGAGGAGGCCCACGAGATTCTGGCCAACCTTCACGCCAATGGAGACCTTAACGATGCCGTCGTCATTGCGGAGCTCGAGGAAGTTCGTGAAGCAGTCAAGATTGCCGCCGAGTCCAAGGACATTGGCTACCTCGGCCTGTTTGCTCCTGGCGTGTGGAAGCGCACCCTGGTAGGCGTCAGTGTCCAGGTTTGGCAGCAACTCTTGGGAGGCAACGTCATGCTCTACTACCTTACATATATATTTAGCATGGCTGGAATGGTGCGTCGCGGTCACTTGTCCCATCGCATGTCGTTGTATGTATGCTAACATTCATCGTGTGCAGACTGGAAACATTGCCCTCAAGTCGTCTATCATCCAATACGTCATCTTCCTCGTCACAACTGGCTGCGTTCTGCCCGTGATTGACCGCATTGGTCGTCGCTGGCTGCTTCTGGTCGGTGCCTTGATCTGCGGCGTTCTTCACTTTACCACTGGCGCCGTCATGGCTGTACACGGTCACCACGTGGACAGTGTCGATGGTACGTCGAAGAAGAAAAAAAGAGGAGGAAAAACGAAAGTTTCGCAGTCGGAGATTCCCCACAAGCTAGTAATAAGACTGACATGATGCCAAATGCATGCAGGTAATGAGATCCTCAAGTGGTCTATTAGTGGGGCCCCTGCAAAGGCCGTCATCGCCCTAGCCTATATCTTTGTCGGTGTCTACGGTCTGACGTGGGCACCGGGGGCATGGATCTATGCAGCCGAGGTATTTCCTCTCAAGTACCGAGCAAAGGGCGTCGGCCTCGCTGCTGCTGGTAATTGGATGTGAGTGCTACCATGATCCAATTAAAAATGCAAGAAGGGAAAGAAGGGATGAATTGATCTGACAGAGGAAATCTAGTTTCAACCTCGCCCTCGCCTTCTTCGTTCCTCCGGCCTTTACCAACATTCAGTGGAAGACGTACATGATTTTTGGCACTTTCTGCATCGCCATGACGGGCCACATCTTCTTCACGTACCCCGAGACGGTCCAGAAGTCCCTCGAGGAGATTGACACCATCTTCGACGAAAACATCCCCGCTTGGCACACTACGACACAGGCCACGTTTGAGCAGAAGGTTGCCGAGGTGCAAGCTACAGGTGGCCTCAAGGAGAAGGCAAGCATTTTCCACAAGGAAGAGGGGCAGGTTTAAATTGTTAGCGGTTGGTGAGAGACGGGCCCTTCTCAAAAACGGGCCGTGACGTCGGTACATCGTTTCCCAATGCGTGGTGTTTGGGCGGAGTAGAGTTTGTTACTACCTTTCTTATCATTGAATGTATCGAGGTTGTTACTCGTAAGACGGAGGAGGCGTTTTTCCTTGGCCTCGGCTCCCGGGCAATCCGAACGGGCTGAGTTACCAATAAAGGAGCCAAAACTTGAGAAAGATGGAACCGTTGTATGGAGCGTGTCATATCGTGTGTGTGTGTGAGAGAGGGTGCATTGACAATACGCCCGTTAGGTCTTTTTTTTTTTTTTTCCAACATTTTATTTTTCTTCTGTTTGTCCTCTTTTCACGTCTTGCCTCGGCTTCGGACAATTTTCACCCACATCCAGTGACAGGTCAAGGACCCTCAAAAAGAGAGAAGAAAAGAAAAGGGGGGCAATTTTCCTCACCTCTCCTCTTCTTTACCGCTCCCTTCCCCGCTGTTGTATCGGAAATGTAAAACGTGTCGAGTAAAGAAAGAACGGGCGGGCACTTGAAGTGGAAAAGTCGTGTCCGGTGATATATCCAGGTTCGGGAATCTGGCCCCGTGGTAGAGTGGGTCCATACCCGGCGCCGTCGCCGTATCGGCATAGTCTATCCGTCCCGATAGCGTCATATAGAGGGGCCGAGGGAGGGGAGCAGCGTCGAACGTAGCAGGAAGGAGGGGTTAGAGAAGAAGAGGGAGGCTGGAAAACGGAGTTTAGGACTAAGTAGTAGTATTAGGATTGAGCAGTATAGAGAGAATTTGTAGTAGAAATGGTGTTTTTTGTTCTTCTGTTGTGGAATCTTTTCTTCCTTTCCTTTTCTCTAGTTTTATACAAAAAGATTGGCCTCTCTCCTTGCCTGGCTTTACTTATCGTCTCCTTTCCCATCCTCTATCTTTTCTTCTTCTATCTATTCTTCTCTTAATACCAATAATAATACAAAGTTTCCCTTTCCGTTTACTGTTATATCTTTTTTTTTTCTTTTAAAAAAACATCCTTGAACTAGGAAAAGAACAAGACAATGTCGCGAGACAACCTGTCTATCCGCCTGGCCGAAAGGCCGACAGAGGAGATCATCCCTGGAACGACCTTTGTCACCAAGACTACCCCTGCTCCTTCGCCTAGTGACCTCAAGGAAGGGGAGATCCTCGTCGAGCTCCTTTACCTGTCTCTTGACCCTTCTCTCCGTGCTCAGCTCAATGGTAAGTGATATATCAAATGAGGAGAAGGAAATAAAATGAAAGACGGGCCTTTTACATAAAGGAAAAAAGAAAAGAAATTGACCTGGCTAACTCGTGTGTATGACAGACCGTCGATCGTATGTTCCTCCGGTCCAGATCGGCGCCGTCATGACGGGCATCAGCGTTAGCCGCGTGCTGGCGACCAAGTCGAAGCTCGCTGCCGTGGGCCACTTCGTCGTCGCCTCGGCCGGGTGGCAGCAGTACGCCATCCTCAAGGACGGCACATTCGAGCCCCAGGCCCTGTACCCAGGCGTCACCAAGCCCGAGGAGATGCTCTCGGTGCACGGTCTTACGGGCATGACGGCCTGGTACGGCATGACGCAGATTGGCGACCCCAAGCCCGGGGAGACGGTGGTAGTGTCGGCCGCCGCTGGCGCCACCGGCAGCTTCGCAGGACAGATTGCCAAGATCAAGGGCGCTCGAGTCATCGGCTTGGCTGGCTCCGATGACAAGTGCAAGTGGCTGACTGAGGAGCTGGGATTCGACGTCGCCCTCAACTACAAGGCTGCGGACTTCAAGCAAAAGTTTGACGAGGCCACCAAGAATTTCATCGACGTCTACTTTGACAATGGTAGGCTCCGCCCTCACCCCCCCTCGTCCATGTTCAACAAAGGCTTCCAACCACAGAGAAGGGAAAAGAATGGGAAAGAGAAGAAGATCGTTAGACTAACGGTGTGAACCATTTCCAGTCGGAGGAGAGATTCTCGACATGTGCCTCCTCAGGGCCAAGGAGCACGCCCGCTTCGTTGCCTGCGGTGCCATCAGCCAGTACAACTCTTCCAAGCCGGTGGGCATCCGTGCCCTGTCCCAGGTCGTCACCATGCGCATCCGCATGCAGGGCTTCATCGTCTTTGACCACCGCGACCGTTTCGCCGAGGCCCGTGCCGAGCTCAACAAGTGGCTCGCCGACGGCAGCCTTAAGAAGTCCGAGACCATCGTCAGGGGAGGACTTGCCAAGGCTGAGCAGGCCCTCGTCGACCTGTACCACGGCATCAACACTGGCAAGCTCATGGTTGAGGTCAAGGACCCCAACGAGACGCCTGCCAAGCTGTAAAGGTTGAATGATTTATCATCCACCAAAGCTTCCTTTCTTTTTCCCTCTTGTCAGAGCAATCATGTCATTATGAAGTAAAGAATATGAAATGACCCAGTACAGCATCATTCCTTCTGGGCGCAATGCCATATTCTGTGTCTATCTCGAATGTTCATATTAACCTCTCGTATTTCATCCACGGTCGAATGTTTTCGCCTCATTGTTGCCGGCCTTGGTTTGCGTCTCTATATGTCATAGTTTGTATATACTCTACCCTCCCAAGGAGCGAGAACTGGTCTGTCACCGATGTCCTCCATACCCTGCTGTCCTCTAGTGCTGGTAAGTAGACGGGGCTCGTCACCGTCCATGGCAGCCCTGACATCTGGCCCTGTCTGCTCCTCCTTGGACATGTTGAGCACGACGACAAGCATCTGGCCCGATTTACGTCTTGTATCGCGCTTGACATAGGAGAACAGGGACTTGTGGTCCGGGTCGATGAGGGTGAATGTTCCAAAGACAAACAGGTGCTGGTGCTTCCTGCGCAACCTGAGAGCCATCTTGTAGAAATTGAGGATGGACGAAGGATCGTTGCGCTGGCGGGCAACGTTGATGCTGGCATAGTCGTCGTGCACGCGCATCCACGGCTCCTTGTGTGCATCGGCCGGGCTGAAGCCCGCGTAGGGGCTGCCGTCCCACTGAAAGGGGATGCGTGAGTGGTCCCGCGCGAGCAGCTTGAGCCCGTGAAGCGTTTTCCTAAGACGGTCCTCGTCGCCCAACTCGACAGCCTCGGAGTAGAAACCGCTGCTCTCGACGTCTTTGTACTCCTCCATGCCCCATGACTCGGGCATGTTGGTCATGCCAATCTCCTGGCCCTGATAGATGAACAGGGTGCCAGTGAGTGTCGTCTGCCACAGGGCAATCGTCTTGGCCGAGGCCGCCCAGGACTCGGGAGTGGAGACGTCGCCGAAGCGGTTGACGCAACGCGCGTTATCGTGGTTCTCGATGAACGCCGTGGTCCACGCATCCGTGCCCTCGATGAAGCTTTGCCACTTCTCCGTGAGGTGCTTGAGCTTGGACAGTGTGAAGGGCTGGTATATGTACTTGGGACCGAGGATGTTGCCCGTGCCAAGGCGGATCAACGAGAACTCAAAGACCATGTCGAGCTCCTTGGCGGCCGCTGAGACGTAGGGCACCACCTGGCGCGGCTCGGGTGTGTTGGACAGCTCGCCCACCGACACAGCGCCGTATGGGGCCAGGACCTCGCGGTTCATCTCTTGGATGAACTCATGGATGCGCGGCCCGTTGCACCACATCTCGGGCGCCGACTGGTGCGGCGACTTCGGGTCTGTGACGGGTGCGTCCACAAAGTCCTGCCTCTTCGAGTACTTGTTGACCGTGTCGATGCGGAACCCGTCGGCACCCCGGTCCAGCCAGAATCGCATCGTGTTATCGTAGATTGCCTTCCGGCACTCTCCATTCTCCCAATTGAGGTCAGGCTGGTCGGTCGCATACAGGTGTAGGTAGTACTCTTGCGTGTGCTCGTCCCACGTCCATGTTGGGCCGGCAAAGTATCCGCGCCAGTTGGTTGGGGGATGGCGGTTGCCGTCCGAATCGTACCGTGCTGGCTTCCAGATGTACCAGTCTCGCTTGGCGTTGTCCTTGGATGAGCGTGACTCTTTGAACCATTCGTGTTCCTGCGACGTGTGGTTGACGACGAGATCGAGAATCACCTTCATGCCGCGTTTGTGAGCTTCGGCCAGCAGGGTATCAACGTCCTCGATGCTGCCGTAGGGTTTATAGATCTTTTGGTAATCGGATACGTCGTAGCCCATGTCCTTTTGCGGGCTGTCGAAAATGGGCGACACCCAAATCACATCGACACCTAGCTCCTCGAGGTAATCAATTTTGGAGATGAGACCTGGCAGGTCCCCCCAGCCGTCGCCGTTCGAGTCCTTGAAGCTGGCAGGGTACACCTGGTAGAAGGTGGCGGCCTTCCAGTACGGCTCGCCTCCCCAGCCAGACTCCTTGTCCCAGGTAATAGACCCCATTGTAGTTGGTTGTCGTCTGGTGTTGTCGTCGTCGTCTGGTATTGTCGTCGTCGTCTGTGTTGTTGTCGAGAGGAGACGGACGGATAAGGATGACTAGGGACCGCACATTCGTGTTTCCGTTTGGTAAATTGCACGAGACCCATTGAAGGTAACGTTTTAATGCATCGAGCAGTCGAGCGTCTCCGGCCGCTGATCTCGACCCCGAGTGCCTAACTCTCACTCACCCTCTTTCAACCCGCTGTGAAGCCACATAGTCTTGGCGGCGGAGTCTCCGCCCATCACCGGATGGGCCCCAGGCGGAGTCTCCTGTTCAAGTCGTACCCCAATACATAGGAAATCTCCACATCCCCTCAATCGCCCCCCGCCAAATCTCCTTGGTTTCCCCAGACAGTGGAGAAGGGAGAGTGCCCCACCCCCCCCCCATCTCTCCTTGATTAGGAGAGCCTCCAGGTTGGGAGGGCCCCCGCAAGAATCTACACCGAGTGAAGGGTTGCCTTTTGTCCAGCCCCGTTCTTCCCAGTAATATCTTCTTCCTCATACGAGTCTGCGTCATTCCCCGATTGGCCCAAGCTGAGAGAAGCTCTTTTTTTTTTTTTTGGCTTGACCAGTTCTCCTCACTCCTCGTTCCCATGTCGAGAAGAGGCCAATCAATAAAAGCCGCCCAAGAGGGGCACAAGTCTGCCCTTCCAGGAGTTGTATAAGAACTGCCTGTCACTCCGCTGCATCGGATTCTCTCGACTTCTCTGTCCTCAATCCCTTCCTCTAACATCACGCTGTTGAAGAACCGGGAACTGAAAATGGCTGATGTCAAGGCCCCCGTTGAGTCCCAGCACTATGAGCCCATCCAGGCCGACGTCTTGGCCGCCGAGGCGCGCAACGCCGCCAACGCTGAGCATGAGATGGGCATCTGGCAAGCTATCAAGACTTATCCCAAAGCTATAGGCTGGTCAGCTCTCCTTAGCAGCACCCTCATCATGGAGGGCTACGACCTCGCCCTCCTAGGTAATCTGTATGCTTCCCCTGTCTTCAATGAGAAGTACGGCACCTGGAGCGAGGCGGGACGGAAGTACCAGATTTCTGCCGCCTGGCAGTCTGGTCTCTCCAATGGTGCTCGTGCCGGTGAGATCATCGGTCTCATTGTTGCCGGTTGGATCACGGACCGATATGGTGCCAAGATGACGACGATTGGTTTCCTCGGCATGATGATCGGCACTGTATTCGCCCTATTCTTCGCGCCCAATATCCGCGTCCTCGTTGCTGGCGAGGTTCTTTGCGGTGAGTTACGGGGCCTCCGCCTTGATGATGTTGCAACTCCAGATACATGTGTTAATTGTGTGAGGGCATAGGCATTCCTTGGGGTGCTTTCCAGAGTGTCGCTGCTCAGTATGCCTCCGAAGTAGCGCCTGTTATCCTCCGACCCTACCTCACCACGTATATCAACATGTGCTGGGTCATCGGGCAATTCTTCTCCGCGGCAGTCAACAAGGGCTCCGTAAAGTACACGGATTCGCGGGCCTACCAGATTCCGTTTGGTATTCAGTGGCTGTGGCCCGTCCTCATTCTTTGCGGTCTCGTGTTTGCACCGGAGTACGTCATCTTTTCTTGATTTAATTCTTCTTTGAACCGGGCAGACATCCCTATTTGAGCGTCTCGTACTGAGGTTTCATGTTTCTTGCATCCAGATCTCCGTGGTGGTTTGTCCGCAAGGGGCGTCGCGAGGATGCCCGCCAATCCCTGGCCCGTCTCACCAACAGTAGCCAGCCCAACTTCAACGCAGATGAGACGATTGCCATGATTGAGCACACAAACGAGATGGAGAAGCAGGCCAAGGAGGGAACAACGTACATGGACCTTTTCCAGGGCGTCGACCTTCGCCGCACCGAGATTGTCGTTGGCATCTGGACCGTCCAGACCCTGGGCGGCCAGAACCTCATGGGTTACTTCTCCTACTTCCTCGTGCAGGCCGGCATGGATGCCAGCAACTCGTTCTCCCTATCGATGGCCAACTCGGCTCTCGGAATGGTCGGTACGGCGGGATCGTGGTTCCTCATGTCCCGCTTTGGCCGTCGCAACATCCACTTCGGCGGGCTGTGCTGCCAGTTACTCCTCCTCATCATCACTGGCTGCTTGTCATTCTCCAACAGCAATTCTTCTGTCTGGGCCATTGGCTCCATGCTCATCGTCTTCACATTTGTATATGACTTTGCTGTCGGGCCCGTGACCTACTCTCTGGTCTCCGAGCTCTCGTCGACGCGTCTCAAGGCCAAGACCATTGTCCTGGCCCGCGCCGCCTACAACGCCAGCAACATCTTTGTCAATGTCATGACCAATTATCAGCTTTCATCAACTGCGTGGAACTGGGGTGCGCGGACCGCCTTCTTCTGGGCTGGGTCCTGTTTCCTATCCTGCGTCTGGGTTTACTTCCGTCTTCCTGAGCCCAAGGGCCGTACATATGCAGAACTCGACATGCTCTTTGAGCAGCGCGTCTCTGCCAGGAAGTTTGCTGAGACAAAGGTTGACCCGTTCACAGCCCATGCCACTGGAGGATCCAAGGTGACGGAGCTGAAGGATGTCGATAAGATCTAAAGTGTATATCGGTATAATGGTATCTGCTGAGTAGGGAACAATTGTTGTATGCGCTCGCGTCAATGTATGCTTCTGTGTATTAAGATGGCTGTTTCTCCTTCTTTGATCACTTTCATACTCCTAAGATACTCCATTATTTCTTGAATCTCTCAGTGGCTAAATTCGGGGCTGTCTGCTGAATGTGCTTCTCAATCAAGTCATCATAGACTCCTTCTCCTTCAGGTAACTTTCGAATGAGGTTTCGCAAATACGACAAGACATCTTCGGGTAGCGTGTCCATTGCTGCGTTGCGGTTCAAACTTGGGGAGTTTATGGGTATGCGAGCGAGGACATCAACAAGTGCCGATGCCACGTCAAACAGTTTCTCGGTCATGCCGACACCATGAACCTCGAGACTGGAGGGAAGAAGATCGCTAGTTGATAGCATCAGGTCCTTGGCCACGTCAATTGGGTACCGAAATGTTAGATTATGCTGGTACGAGTCCTCGACCAGGTACCCCAAATGGAGGCGGAGCTTCCAGATGATGATTCGCAGCCACAGCTGTGTCACCCTCAAGTTGGCCTTTTGCGTGTCATGCAGATCGAGCCTCAACGGGCTCAGGGCCAAGTTGACCCGGGACTCCACATTGTCGAGTGATTCAGGGGTGACGGATATGGAAATCACCTCGTGGTTAAACACGGCGACAAACGACGTGTCGATAGGACTAAACAAGGCTGCCAGGCTCCAGAACCCGGCGAGCTGCGGGTCCGTTGTATCGAGAGAGGGAGTCTCGGCTGTGATTTGCATTGTGATGGGCCGTCGATATCGAATCGCATGCGACCGCTCGGAGATGAGAAGCACCCAGAACAGTCTACCATGAATAAGCCGGTCCAGATTGTCGGTCGCGTTGTTAAGCTGGAATAGGAGAAGCAGTGTTGTGGCCTCGCGCAGGAATTGAAAGGCTCGGCTGTGGTGAGAGAGACCAGTTTCGCAGGCGTAGAGAAAGAAGGACGTGAGGCACGATTGAATAGTAACGGGCGTGTATCGAGGAAGTATTTGGTACACCGATACAAGCGCATCAAGAAGCATTTGCCCAAAGGCCTGGCCACCCTCGGGGATGAGCCCCTGGTTGAATAAATCTTCGGACCCGCCAGTCTGGAGAAGTACCTGGCCGCACATGGCAACCAGAACACACAGACTCTTCACTCTGCCCAAGTTTTCGATGGAGAGTGACGAAAACGCATCAGCCTTGAGACGGGATATGTATTCGGGTATCAGGATGGGTATCGTTGGATACAGCCTCTCGAAGAAGATAGCGGCACAGTGGTCGATAATGGTGACGGAGACCAGCTCCGACAATCGACGGTACGCAGACTGGAGATCCCCAGGAGATGCATCAGAGGTAACAGCCGTGGTGACGACCTGACATTGGTCTGCGACACCAGCGTCCGTGCACCGCCGGCAAGGCCGGTATTCGCTGCAACCCCTCCGCAACCTCTTGCACCGATCACAAGCCCTCGGCACTATGAACCTCTTCTTGGACGGCGATGACGAGATGTCATGGTTCTCCAGGTCCATGGGAGTGTCCACATTGATGGTAGCATACTGTGCAACGAGGGATCCTGGTGACGTTTCAGGCGAGGACTCGGCCCATGTGTTGTCGTTTGTTGACGCTGGCTGCTGCTGCCGTGGCGGCATCGACGTCATTGTCATAAGCACATGTCTAGAACTTGGAGTTTCTGCCTCTTGGATGGGTTGGGTCAGGAAGGAGAGGCGTATATGATGAGCGTCAATGTCTGGGGAGATAGATTGCCAAGTGCACGGTTTATGATGGTCAAGCCTTGAGCTGATGAAGATTTAATGAGGGGAAACCAATTCCGGCAAGAGCTCAGCTCCTCACAGTAGCGCCTTCCCTGGCCTCTACTTCCATGTTTCCCCGGCCCCACACCGCACTAATAAGGCTGAAGCTTCAATTAATATGGGCTCCCGTAACCTGTGCAATATGCATGTGCCCGTCATCATGCCACTCTTATATCCTCGTGTTGGTTCGGTTCAAGAGGAGCAATCTCTTTTCTTTTTACTGTTTAGAGGCCTCTTTCATGTAGCAGCATGTGTCTATGGATACTCCAATGGATGAAATCCCATCCTTAGACCCCCGTTCTATCTCAACCCTATCCAGTATACTTGAGCGAGTACATGCCACGCTCAATCGATGAGACAACAATGTACTCCGACTCAAAGTACGGGTAAACGCTCCAGGCACCGTGAAATGTTGCCTTCCCACCGACATCGTCATCCTCCGGGCGGACATCGAAGAAGCCAATCTCCTCGAACCCAGCACCGCTGGGGTCGCTGCCGATGGACGAAACGTTAACCATACGGAGGCCGGAGCCGTAGTTGGCCTGGTAGGAAATGCCATCAATGATGTATTGGTTGTGGTCGATGGAGACTTGGGGGCTCTTATAGACGCCACAGAACACCGGCGAGGTAAGGCCTGAAAATAGTGACACTGTCAGCAACGAATGATCTCCCCTTGTCTGGGACCTTGTCAACCCTTACTGCTCACGTCGACTACGTAGGTGGTAGTATGCTGGTCTGCAGCGGGGCCAGTCTGTTCTTGCTCGTCGAGCTCATCGTCAAGCAAGAGGTACTTGTGGTCACTAGTCAGCCAACCCTGGTGGGTGTAAGTGGCACCGTTATACGTGGTACGCGAAATCTGGCTGGGCTTTTCACGGTCATCAATGTTGACGATCGTGAGGGAGTCTTCGTTGTAGTTGAAACAAATCTCCTGGCCCTGGAATTCCTTGTGAGGACCCTGGTAGATAACGCACTGGGCGTCGTGGACATAACCATCGTCGGAGACACACCCGACATCTTCCGGGTTCTCTGGGTCGGAGACGTCAATCATCCAGAGGCCAGCGCGGCACTCCAGTGACCGGTCAGTGCCAACTGCAGCAATCAAGTTTGTCTCCTCGTTGGCGACAATGTTGTGGCTGCTGCCAAACCCGTCAAAGTGCGCCGTCAGGTCGCTGGAGCTGTAGGTTGGAGGGTCTTCAGGATCGGCCTCGAGCACCTTGTTCAGGTTGAATATCTGCAGGCCGTGGTCTTCAGCCTCGGAGCCGATGTAGGCAAAGTCTCCAATGACCTTGATGTCTCGCCAAGTCGAGGGCTCCGTGTGGGTCGGCAGACGTGCCAGGTACCTGAGGCTTCCATCCTTGAGCACCTCTACGAATGAAGTGCCGTCCGACTGGCCAAGAAGGGCAATCTCACGTCCGGTAGGAGACGTCCAGCCTGAATAATCGTCAGCCACCTTACGTATTCTGTCCCCTTTCTCCACCTGCATGACACTGAGAATATACCCCAAATATCGTTTCCCTCACGGGTCTCACTGCCAGTGTCTTGGTGACGAAGAAAGTCCTTGAGGTCGACGTTTCCGCACTTGTACTCGCCGGCCTTGCCATCCGTGCACGCGGTTGCTCCAATCTTCTCATAACGCCCAACGTCAAAAACACCGGCGGCGCGGTCTTTGGCCATCTTGTCCAGCTTGCGCTGGTGTAGAACGGGCATGGCCACAGCGTTGGGAGCACTACTGGCCTGCAGGGTGGAGGCGTCGAATTGTCCGGAGAAGATGCTTTGCCTGGCCATGGTTCCGCTGGCCATACTGACGAGGAAGAGGGATGCCTTCATCCTGGCTATTTCCTCTGTGGTATTGGTACGATACTTTATTCAAAGTGTATCTTAATCCGGGATTCAGACTAGCGATCTACGGAGGGAAGGAATGGGTCCTTATATGTCGATGAATACTGACATGTTGCTCAACGTCTCCTTGTCATCCCCGATAGCTACCGAAGTCTCCAGGGAGGCACATGCGAACAAATACCTACTTTCCCCAGCTCAGTGCCCAGTCACCATATCTAGACATCATTCGTATCATCTACCGAATAAGCGTGGGGCTGTGGGGATGCTGGACCGCGCCAGCTTCGGCTGCCACAAGCATCAGGAACGTTGCGCAATCGGTTCTGTGATGCGGAGCTATACTGTGCTACCATAGATGCAAAAGTTCATTCCACATTCTAGAAACCACTGAAATTCTCAAAGTATCAAGGTGTAGCAGCGCTAAACTCCGAATGACGGCTAGCATCCTCTCTCTTCTCTTCAGTAATATCACGACATTGATCTTGGCTGCATAGATGTGCAAGCAAGACAAGCGAATGGCGCCTGACAAGATGCCGTCATAGAGCGACTACATGTATACAAACACCCAGAGAAAGAGAGAGAGTGCCACCCAGAGCATGAGATTTACAATTCATGACTTATGGCGACGAAGTATTCCGGCCGGAGGTTGGCGGTAACAGAATGAACTGCGGGGCAGAGGGAAGATAAGCTTAATTCCACATCTATGCATGGCGAATCGCCATATTTGGAAAGGATCTTATGCAAATACTACATCCATAGTGCCATCGCGAATGGGGTCTGCCGTTTTCCAGGGACCTTTTGTTTAGTGTTCCCTCACCTCGATTTCCATCGGCATGGACATATTGATTCCTTCCCTATAGACACTAGCGTATGTAACTGCGTCTGGGAGATGTTGCAGCTAGATTCCAATAGATATGTTGCATTGGACCTTGGAGGAGACGGTTGGATGACCTAGCGAAAGCTACGACACAAGGGATTCCTCTGCGGCCAAGGCTCGGCATGCATGGGGGCCTCAACAGGGTTTACCTTTAAAAGCACGTTGGCCGTCGCATTAACTTCGTCATGCCCCTTGTCCTGCGCCCGCAGATCTACAATTAGGCCCCGGGACCGGTTCCGAGCGCTCGTGTAATAAAGTCAATCGAGGCGAGGCTCGAGGACACGGACAAGTTGTCGTTTTATTTCTTTCAGAAGGTTTTACATATTAATAATACCCAAAACTCTAGTTGCACAACCCGCATCTACGTTTATTCACTTTCGTGAACCTGGTGGTCCCTTACCTCGACTCTCAAGCCAGCACTCGCTGCCTGTCTGCCATCTCGGTGCAACGGACCATTGTTCTCGGACATGAGTAGGAATTTGACATGGCCTTGCTTCCTCCAAAGACTCACGGCATAGAAAACTCCCTCGTTGTTTCCCAGGAGATCATTCCTGACTTACGACTGGGCTTTAGACCCTGTCTGCCATTCGCACCAATGAGGTGTCCACTAATAGTTCAATCTGTAGCAGTGATAATGGTTTGGGCATATGCAGATTTCGCCGTTTCTTGTCTACCAATGGTCTCGATCGGGGTTGTAGAGTATCCTGTCATATGAGAAATCATTCTCCAAAAGAGCAATAAACAGGCCCGTGAGATCCACCATCATTTGAAATCTATGGCCGTGATTATCGGGTCCGAGACCAGGCAGGTCCGCAACCGGGCATCAATAACCTGAAGAAGACGTGGCCGTTATGAGCCGGTGCCCGGTTCAAGAGGGCATCATTCATTCCAGTGATATATCCCATTTTGCAGATGATGTGAGCTAATGTGACTCCAGGAATAACACTGCATTGTTCATATTGGTATTTGTAACGGTATTGCTCTAACAAAATAACATCAGTAAAGCCAACTCTGCCTTTGACGCCGCTCTATGCTTTTCCCCAATACTAAGCACGGCACGAACAGGGCATCATGGTATGATTGCCCTAGTAACTCGTCGGTGTTTCTCTTGAGCTGGTGGTATCCGGATCCATGATGGCATGACAGAAAAAGCAATCGGGTCGTGGTGCTCACGTCTGGCGTCTCGTCCTAGTGCTGTACCATGCATCTCGAAAGAGACGTGCGACGGGAGAGCTCTCAAATGGGATAGCACTCATTGCGGCGTCGTCTGTCTAAGCTAGCTACTAGACAGGTGCACCCTCACGGACAGAGAAGAGAGCAGTAGTTTCCCGGAAGAAAATAGGGAAGAGCACTTGGATGGGTTCGTACAGTGTTGTCGTATATAGTCGCAAGAGTATGCTACCAATCATATCCTTCGGGTCGATTCCCTTGCGATGACCGCCGTCGACGGCTTGCTTTCTTTCCAGAGAATCGCCAGTTATAGTTCACAGACCCGGATGTCTCCGCGAGTAGGGTAACTGCCCGTACCTAGAAGAGGGGAAACAGTCAGCCATCACCAACGCTGCCGCTACGCCATATACAAAAGGATAGCGCAGGGTGAGAGGTATGGGCTTTTTCAGTCTGTTTGTCCCTTGGTCCCAGTCTTGATACCATCAAGAACAGGACCCCACTGGCCACCGCTCCTGATCTGGGCCATCTCCTCAAACCGATCGCCAGCAATCTTACGAACGAGGAGCGTGTCCTTGGCTTTCTTCAGGAGCCTGCCGTCACCATTCGTCAGGTATTCTTCCAGCCAGGCCTCCTCGTCGGCTTCAAAGGGCAAGAAGGCAACTTCACTGAAAAAGTCTTGGCTCTTGCCTCCCAGTGCCACAGATAATAGACGCTGGAACAGGGTCTCACGTGTATGTTCAGGCTGAGTACGGGAGAATAGAAGGGCCTCGGTGATGTTTGTCCTCGCCATTGCGTCAAAGAGTAGCTGAAGAGCCGAGGATGAATTGAGGATAGGCCGAACCGTGTAGTAGTACGCGAGGGCCGTTGGGTCGTCGGCGTGACGGACGAGGGCTGTGAGAATATCGTCGGCAAAGTCGGGGATAAGAGAGGGGTGTGCAATGTACTCGAGGGATTTCTGTAGTCCACAGAGTTAGCGAAAAAAAAATATATAAATATAGATACAAATATAACTAAAAGGAAATTATAAGGCCGAGGGGGGCAACAAGACATACCGAGAACTCCTGATGATCCAGGTGCCACAAGCCCTTCATCAGGATTTGGTAGTTCCTCGGCATACCAGACGACGAGGAAAAGGCTTCCGAGGGGAGGTTGCGGGCATTGGACTCGTCAAAGTCGAGGAGAATGTAGTAGAGGATAGAGAACTTGTGATGAAGAGACATGGAGGCTTCGCAGATTTGGCGGTGGAGCTGTCGCAGGCCATTATCCGACTTGGGGGGATAAACCTTTCCTGTCAAATATCAAATATCGCGTCAGTATTTTGACCGATTCAACTCTTTCATCATAGCTTCTCGAGACGAACCCTTTGCGAACCCCAGCGCCTTTATGACGCGGTCGATGAAGAGGACACCGCCAAAGGTCTTGCGGTTGTCCTCAATGTCGGCCTGCAGCTCGCCGTCATACGGCAGCTGAGAGCCGGCAGGAAAGACCTGTTGGAAATCATGGTAGTCAAACATTTTTGTCTTTTCTTTTTCTTGGAGTTTTCCAGACTCAAAAGGGACTGATTTTAGATCGGCCAGTCCACAAGGTCGTGAAGTTGTGGCCTATAACCAAAAGTGAAGCTCTCCCCATGTGGGTTAGTTACATATCGTGATTTACATATCGCAGTGTCACGTGAATTCGCGGGGCCGCTGGTAGTCAGCCTTGTCTTGTTTACAGAGCACCGATTCGGACAAATACAAACAAATCCACACAACCGCGGGGGTCTCATCTCCTTTGTATTACACTTGCGACACCACGCCCATCGAGCCCATTTGCGCTCCATTTCTGGGGTTCTCCCTTCATTCTGATTTCGGGGCTTCTTCGAATCCCAATATTCGCTTCTTGAGCGGCTTCCGCTACCTACCAAGAAAAAAAAAAAAAAAAAACCAACAATGTCAAGATCAACACGGCGGACCACCCGGCGCACGGCTGTAGTTGACTCAGACGACGAGCTGTCGATGGCTTCGGTCACGCAGTTCAGCAACAATGACGAGGAGGACGAGCTTGCACCAGACACATCGGTCGCCTCAACATCGACAACAACTTCCAGGAGGACAACAAGGGGCGCGCGTAAGTCGTCAGCCCCCGCTCCCGCTGCGACAACACGAGCAAGAGGCCGTCCCAAGAAGACACCCACGCCCAAACCTCAGCCCAAGTACGAGGAGAGCGCAGACGAAGACGAGCCCGATGTCGCGGCGCGCAGGAGCTCGACCGCTAGCAGCGCTACCGTGGCCGCCGACGACGTTGACGAAGACGACCTTCTCGCCGATGTCACCGCCGACGCCACGGTCTTGAAGTTGGAAGACCAGGTTACCCAACTCCCCTCCATTGCTGTCCGAGCCAGCACCCCCAAGAAGCGCCAGAGTTCCGTGCCCAGTTCCTCCAAGACAAACGCCGTCCCTCCCACGCCTCAGACATCCCAGAAACGTCCTTTTCCCATGTCGACGCCCATGCTGGCCACGCCCCTGACCAACATGACCACCAGCAACCTGGATACAGTGAAGCGGAACGATGGCCAGACGACAATCCGCGCAAACAAGTTCAACACGAGCATCATGGACAAGCCCCTTGACATCATGCTCAAGTCACGCACAACCGCCATCCCCTTCATCGAGGAGACGCCACCCAAGTCGCGTACCGTCCTCTCGTACTTGGTTCTTGAAAACTTCAAGAGTTATGCCGGCCGCCAGGAGGTTGGCCCCTTCCACGCCTCGTTTACGTCGGTCGTCGGTCCCAACGGATCTGGCAAGTCCAACGTTATCGACTCTCTGCTATTTGTATTTGGCTTCAGGGCCAGCAAGATGCGTCAGGGCAAGATCTCGGCTCTTATCCACAACTCTGCCGGGCACCCCAACCTGCCGTACTGTGAGGTTGCCGTATACTTCAAGGAGGTCATGGACAGGGTATGCTTCTTCTGATCCAGGTCTATAAAGTACGATGTCTATTTACTAACTTTTGCATTCTCCGCTGCAGCCCGGAGGCGGATCTGATGACATCCCAGACTCCCAGCTTATCGTCTCGCGCAAGGCCTTCAAAAACAACACAAGCAAATACTACATCAACGGCAAGGAGTCCAACTTCACCCAGGTCACGACGCTCCTCCGTGATCGGGGTGTCGATCTCGACCACAAACGATTCCTAATCTTACAGGGTGAGGTCGAGTCGATCGCCCAAATGAAGCCCAAAGCCCCCAACGAGCACGACGACGGCCTTCTGGAGTACCTCGAGGACATCATCGGTACATCCAAGTACAAGTCTCCCATTGAGGAATCTGCGGCCGAGGTCGAGGCCTTAAACGAAGTATGCGCCGAGAAGAACGGCCGCGTGCAGCACGTCGAAAAGGAGAAGAATAGTCTCGAGGACAAAAAGGACAAGGCCACGGCCTTTATGCGCGACGAGAACGATCTGTTCCTGAAGCAGTCAGCGCTATACCAGCTCTATATTCACGAGTGCAAAGAAAACATCTCCGTTACCGAAGAAGCCATCAACCAGATGCAGGCTCAGCTCGACGTCGAGCTCGAGAAGCACCAGGGTGGCGAGCAGACCATCAAGGATCTCCAGAAACAATACGCCAAGGGCAACAAGAGCTTCGAAGTTCAGGAGAAGGAGACGCAGAGCCTGGTCAAGGAAATGTCCAAGTTTGAACACGAGCGCGTCAAGTTTGATGAGAAACGCAAGTTCCTCGACGACAAGAAGAAGAAGCTTGACAAGACAATAACAAATGCTGAAAAATTGACGGCCGAGGCCGATGAGACTATCGAGCAGTGCTCCGAGGAGCTTGATACGCGTACCAAGGAGCTCGTTGATCTCGAGGAGCAGGTCAAGACCGAAGAGGCCGAGCTCGCCAGCATCCGTGAGGAGCTCAAAGGCAAGACGCAGGAGTTCTCGGACCAGATTGCTACCAAGCAAAAGGCCCTCGAGCCCTGGACGGAGAAGATCAACCAGAAGCAGTCGGCCATTGCCGTTGCGGAAAGTGAGCTCAACATCCTACAGGAAAAGGCCAACGCCGGTGCTGTCGCCATCGAGGAGCTAAAAGGCAAGATTTCGTCCGCCCAGGAGCACAGAGTGGCGAAGCAGAAGGAGCTCAAGGCCTGCGAAGCCGAAAAGGCCGGACTTCTCCAGGAAGCCGAGAGGATGAAATCGGAGCTGAAGGTGCTGGTCGAGCAAGAGCCTAAGATGCGCAACAAGATCTCGAATGCCCGCCAAAAGGCCGACGAAGCCCGCTCTAACCTCGCCAGTACCCAGGCGAGGGGAACCGTCCTCACGGCCCTCATGCGCATGAAGGAATCTGGTCGCATCGACGGTTTCCACGGCCGTCTGGGAAGCTTGGGCACCATTGACTCGCGGTACGACGTGGCCATCTCTACGGCTTGTGCTGCTCTTGACAATTTCGTGACGGAGACTGTCGACGCCGGTCAGCAGTGCATCGAGCATCTCCGCAAGAACAACCTCGGCCGAGGCAACTTCATATGCCTGGACAAGATGCGATCGCGCGACCTGTCGGCCATCCAGACACCCGAAAATGCCCCGCGACTGTTTGACCTGGTCCAGGCCAAGGAAGACAAGTTCCGTCCAGCCTTTTACCACGCGCTGCAGGACACCCTTGTGGCCAGCGACCTGGCCCAGGCCAACCGCATCGCCTACGGCGCCAAGCGCTGGCGCGTGGTGACTCTGGCCGGGGAGCTGATCGACAAGTCGGGTACCATGTCTGGTGGTGGCGCGACTGCCAAGAAGGGACTCATGTCGTCGAAGCAGGTGGCCGACATCTCCAGGGAGCACGTCACACAGCTCGAGGAGGACCGGGACTCGTGGGAGGGCAAGTACCAGGAGTTCCAGGAGTACCAGAGGGAGTGCGAGACTCGTCTGCGCGAAATCAGTGACAAGGTCCCCCGCCTCGATACCGACATGCAAAAGATCACCCTCGAGCTCGAGAGCACCACGCGGAACTTGGGTGACCTCCAACGACGCGTTAAGGAAGTGAGCAGGGAGCATCAGCCCTCAGCGACAGACGACAGCCGAGCTGAGTCACTCAAAAAGGAGGTGACCAAGCTCAACAGGGAAATCGAGAAGCTCCACGGGGAGACGTCGAGTCTCGAGGCCGAGATAAAGGCGCTGCAAGACAAGATTATGGAGGTTGGAGGTGAGAAGCTGCGTGCCCAGCGTGCGAAGGTAGACAGCATCAAGGAGGAGATTTCCTCGAACCAGGAGGAGATCTCCAATGCCGAAGTCAGAAGGGCCAAAGCCGAGAAGCAAAAGGTCAAGCTCAGCAAGGATGTCGCCAAAGCCACCAAGGAGCTCAGCGCCGCAGAGCAGGATCTCGAGAGTCTCGACCACGACGTCAACCACCAGGGCGAGAAGGCTGACGAGCTGCGCACTCGCGTCGAGGAGGCCGAGGAGGCTCTTGCAGCTACCAAGAAGGAGCTCAAGGCGCTCAAGACCGACCTGGACGAGAAGATGTCTGAGCTCAATGAAACACGCGCAGTCGAGATTGAGATGCGCAACAAGCTCGAGGAGAACCAAAAGGCCCTCACCGAGAACCAGCGCCGTCTGCGCTACTGGCAGGACAAGCTGTCTAAGATTTCGCTGCACGATATCAATGAGTTGACGGGAGGCCAAGCGCAAAGGCGGAAGAAGTCTCCCAAGGCACAGCCCCAGCCTCGGAAGCAGAAGCAACAGTCGGACGAATCAGGCGAAGAGGGTATCGAGGACGAGGAGATGGAAGATGCCTCAACGGGCGACGCAGACTCTGACAAGGACGTCGAAATGGCCGATGCCCAGTCCGAGGAAGGACAGGAGAAGGAGGCGGGCGAAGCCGAGGACATGGAAGAGGGGGAGGACGGCGACGACGACGACCAGTCCATCGTCGACCCGCAGCAGCTCCCCGTCTACACACCTGACGAGCTAGCGGACATGAACAAAGACAAGCTCAAAGGTGAGATTGCCGCGCTGGAAGAGAAGACGCAAAACGTCAACATCGACCTAGCGGTGCTGGCCGAGTACCGCAAGCGGGTGGAAGAGTACGCTGCGCGATCTTCAGATCTCCAGGCAGCGATCGAGCAGCGTGACGCGGGCAAGAAGCGGTGCGACGACCTGCGCCGCCTTCGCCTCGAGGGCTTCATGGACGGCCTCAGCGTTATCTCGCTACGCCTCAAGGAGATGTACCAGCTCATCACCATGGGCGGAAACGCCGAGCTCGAGCTGGTGGACAGTCTGGACCCGTTCAGCGAGGGTATCCAGTTTAGCGTCATGCCGCCCAAGAAGAGCTGGAAGAACATAAGCAACCTTTCTGGTGGCGAGAAGACGCTGAGCAGTCTAGCCCTCGTGTTTGCGCTACACCACTACAAGCCTACGCCGCTCTATGTAATGGACGAGATTGACGCGGCTCTTGATTTCCGCAACGTGAGTATCCCCACGGTCCTACGTTTGGCATTCTCGACTCGGTTGCTTGTGTTGTTTCGATATCAGTATAAGGCTAACACAATTGCAGGTCTCCATTGTCGCCAACTACATCAAGGAGCGCACTAAAAACGCACAGTTCATCGTCATCTCCCTGCGCAACAACATGTTTGAGCTGGCAGCCCGTCTCGTGGGCGTCTATAAGGTCAACCACATGACCAAGAGTGTGACGATTGAGAACAATGATTACATCCAGCGTCCTGGACGGCCATCACAGTCTCAGCAGTCTCAGTCGTCGCAGCAGAGACCTGGGTCGAGCGCTAGTAGTGGCTTGACGACGACTTTGGCGATGAGATAATAAGGCGCTGTTGTCTTTCTGGGCAAGTGTAATGATGGCTGTTGCCTGTGCTCGTACATATGGGATTAACGAAGGGTTTTTTAATGGATGCATGGGTTACGTCTTGGGCGGTTTGATGAGTATCTTTTCTGATATCACGTTATTATTTATATCACTCTGTTCTTTTATCACTACCATTCACGAATTGCTACTGAGATGAAGGTCAATCCGCGCCATATGGCAAAGTAAGTTTTGTATTCTATATACACAAATAGTTATCTATTTACTCTTATGTTGATAACACTAAAAGAGTTAATTTCACGCGTTGTCAACCTTCTGTGCATACATATTGTGACGTTGATGTTTGTACAGAATACAAACTATGAGACGCAACACAGCAAGCACGATCAATAAGACTAATTCAACGTAGAATTGATATTATAAAGTCCTTCTTAACCCTAACCCATATACAACGCTGTATAAACGTCTCATGATTGAATGATGGCAGAGAATCGCTTCCAGTTGTTGTCGCAGGGTAGGTCAATTAGCTGAAAGCAGATTGGGACTTGGTGGACGACGCACCGTTTGTCGATTTCTTACTAGCAAAAGCCGTTAGGAGCATCATACTACTAGTAGTATTTGATAGACTTTACTGGACGGTATATGAAAGTCATCTTCCTTCATCAGTCTCATGATGATGAGGCGGCTTCAGTCTATAGCGATAATCACAAAAGCCCACGAATAAGGAACATTCATGGATAAAGAACTGCAGCTTGACAGACATTCTAGCACGGAAAGCTCTACGATGATAGGAGGGCGGAAAATATGAGCTGTGCAGAACTTTTTGTATTTTTTTCACTCACGCGCTGCCGGCGCGATGCAAGTAGACATGAAACCGAACCCCGTGACGTTTTTCCATCGTCAATCGTTACTAACCCTCGCACCATGCGCCAAGATAAACCGAGACACTTAAGCCTTAGGAGTGTTGGGGACAATCTTCTTTCCGTCCTTGTTGTAGCGAACGCGAGGGGGGGGAGCACGGTTGCGGCGGCCGACGACGGAACGGACACTGTTAGATGAAGAATGTCAGTATTACAAGCGAATGTTTTGTTGTGGTTGCTGCTAGTAGTGGTGCTGTTTTTGCCTCTGCTACGGCAAGTGCACTTGCAACTGCCTGCGAAGCGGCCAATGCAGCGACCATCATGCATCGGGGTCGCGGGATCGACGGGCACACCGGCAGAGCAGTTGCTCGATGACAAGGTGCCATGACAGTGACGGCTACCACAGCGCCCAGACGACACCCGACGATGAAGCTGACCCCGAGATTCGCAACTGGTTGGCAGAAGCAGTAGCCGAGACCGCAGAAGCAGTATGACCAGCAACAGCAGCAACGCACGAGGAAAAGGGGAGTGTGTCCAAAGTACGACCAAGGCTCTTCTAAAGCACATACGCCACCAAGGCGCAGTTGTCACACTCCCGTGAAAGACAACGTACCGGACAATCTTGCCGTGGATGGCACAAGAGACACAGTACTGCAGCTTCAGGTACATCTTGGGTACGGTGTACTCGGCGAAGACCGAGGCATCAGAGATGTCACCTGTGAATTGTGTTAGTATTTTGATTGTGTGTAAGTTGGGTGAGAGGAGTCACAGCCATAAGAGGCAGACAAGACAGGGAGAGAAAAACGTACGGATGGCAGCAGACTCGACCATGTTACGGATGGTGAAGCGCTTGATGGCCTTGTCCTTGGGGGTGCATCGCGAGCAGTTGCTGCAGCGGACGGGCTTGACGTGGCCGCGGCCCTTCTTGTTGCGGCCGCTGTGAGGAAATTGTTAGTATTCGCTGTAAATACAGTGTGAAAGACGTCGAGTCGATCGAGACGCTCGCTTTGCTTGTTGATGCTGCCACAGAACTGATGCTGCATAGGCATCTCTCAAGAGTCGGCGTACTCGCGACGACGAGGGAAAGGAAGGGGTTGAACCGTACTTGTTCTTTCTCTTCTTGACCATCTTGACGGTATCTGTGATTGATTGTGAGTAAGAGAAGGAAGAAAAGGAAAGAGAAGAAATTTTGAGGTCAGGACTCACTGGTTAGTATACTTGTCGGTGGTTGCAAGATGGAAAGAAGTTCGGGGCTCCGTGCATTCAAACTTCAATGCATCAATGAATTGGTGGGTCTCCACCAGGGCTGGATCCTGTAATTTTTTTTCTGTGGCAGCCACAAAATTGGTGTGCGGTAGTGGCTGGCGTGGATTTTCAGCGGGGTCACGGACCCACTGTACAGAGCCCTTGGGGTTCCCGGTGGGCTACTGAGAATCCCCTCTGAAAGTGCTACAGTGCCAGACAGTACGGGGCAGGGTGCTAATACAACCCTAGTCATGTGATGGAATGACAAAGCTGCCCTCCCCCCCACGCCACGCACCAAGGGCTATTGGGGCTTTCTGTGATTTCCAGACGACTAGCTGGGCCGTCTCCAGAACGAACTTTCTCTCACCAACCCGCAAACACATCTGAGGATTGCTTAGGACGGCAATAAAACTATTGTCGAGGTATGTCTGAAAGATGCTGCTGCCTTGGTCATTTCGATACGCACACCCCAACATGATTGCCGCCTCTCGCTGTCTTTCCGCCGGCGACACCATCGTCGTCGTCGAGGTGCCGTCCTGCGCCCATCTAACGACATGAAGACGGGAAAAAATATGAAGCATGTTTTTGCGCATGCGGAATTACAGCAGAAGCAAGGCTTCTACCTCTTTTCGCTCCCCCCCCCCCCTAATCCGCGTATCGTGTGATCCAAGGCAGACCTGACATGAGAGAAGGCACTGTTCCGAGAAACTAACTCTACCAGCTAGGCAAGATGCAGATCTTCGTCAAGACCCTCACGGGGAAGACTATCACCCTTGAGGTGGAGTCTTCCGACACCATTGACAACGTCAAGTCCAAGATCCAGGACAAGGAGGGCATCCCCCCGGACCAGCAGCGCCTGATCTTTGCTGGCAAGCAGCTCGAGGATGGCCGCACCCTGAGCGACTACAACATCCAGAAGGAGTCCACTCTCCACCTGGTCCTCCGTCTCCGTGGTGGTGGTAAGAAGCGCAAGAAGAAGGTCTACACCACCCCCAAGAAGATCAAGCACAAGCGCAAGAAGACCAAGCTGGCCGTCCTCAAGTACTACAAGGTCGGCTCTGACGGCAGCATTGAGCGTCTCCGCCGCGAGTGCCCCAGCGACACTGTATGTTCCATTATCCCCCTTCTGCCCACCATCGCTCTCTTCACAATCCCAATTCTTATTTACTGACAAACTACAATAGTGCGGTGCCGGTGTCTTCATGGCCTCCATGCCCGACCGCCAGTACTGCGGCCGCTGCCACCTCACCTACGTTTTCGACAAGCAGTAAATTTAAATTTGCTTTCACTGCATTGTTTGATTTCGGCACAACAAAAAATGGGTAAAACGGGGCGACACGGGTCATGACATATGAGTTCTTTTGATCTTTTTTTCCTTCACCTCATTACGAAACACCAGGGGAAAAAATCGGGTGAAGCTTGAAAGAGGAAAAGAGAATTCCTAGGCGTTGATGTAGCAGAAAAACAATATTTTGCATCGGGTCTGCTTGATGAAAATAAAAAATTTGTAAACAAATATTTTTGTGTGTTTATCTTGGTGCTGCCATGATACTAGTAGTGATATTTCCCTGTATTGCCATGTTTTCTCTACTGGCACTCTTATGACCCAATATCTGTGCTTCGCACACTCGTATCAATAATGGCCGGTCTGCTGTATTTCTGGGATAATACCCTATGCCAACGTTCCCCACTATTTCCAGGGCTCTACCGTTCTTCCCCTCTGGTGCTTGAGCCGGATGGCTGTCCACCCTGAACCGCTTGGAGACCTCGGAGCCAAGAATACTAGATATATATATATGTGTATACGAGTAGTTAATTATGAGCACCACTTTGGTAAATGAATTTCAGCTTCATTGTCTGTTAAATGAAGGTGGATAATGGACATGCAGAGTAAATTGCCTCAGAACGCCTAAGATCCTTCCATTTTCTCTCTCAAGAACGTCGTTTCCCATAAGAGCAACAAAAAGGAAGCCAACGACAGCAAAGGGTAGAAAAAGGATGACTTATAAAGAAAAAAACCATAACCATGAAAACTCCACAGGCCATTATGAACAGAATAAATGGAGAGGCGGAGAAGAAAAAAAACCCAAGAGAAAACCAAATGATATGATGATAAACAAGAAAAGAACAAGTGGACCAGCAGAAGGAAGAAGACAAGGAGATATGAGTTGCTCCATCATACTAGGCATCGCGTTGGCCCAGTTTGAGGCCGAGCCTGTGACCGTCCTCTAGTCATCGTCGGCAGACTTGGACTTCTTCTTCTTCTTCTTCTTCTCGCTGTCGTTATCCTCGCCCTTACGCTTCTTATCCTTCTTGTCCTTCTTGTCCTTCTTGTCCTTCTTATCCTTCTTCTCCTTCTTGGACTTGACCTCCTCTTCCTCATCCTCTGCCCCAGCCATTTCTTGGTCTTGGTCCGGGTCCTCCTCGTTGAGGTCGGCACCATCCTCTAGGGCCTCGATCTCAGCCTTTGAATATCCCGTTAGCTCATTTTTGCACTTCATGAGAACAAGAGAGATGAAATGTGTATTGTGTATGAAAACGGAGAGGGAAAAAAAGACATACCATCACATCTGTGTTCTTGGCGGGACGCTTTCCAGTGGCGTAAAACTCGAGACGGTCCTCGATCTGCTTCTTCAGGGCACGACCCCACTTGATGGAGGGCTCCTCGGCAAAGTAGTCGATACGGCAGGCGATACTGCACTTATTGGCGAGGTAGCGCGAGATGCGGCCTTTGTCACGCTGCGAGGCGCGGCCGATGAAGCTGCTGTGGAAGATGAGACCGTACTTGGGCGTGTTGGACTTGGCCTTGAGAGCGCGGAAGAGGGCCTTCTCGGCACCGAGGATCTGCAGCGTCGAGGCGGGCATTTTGGCCAGGTTGTTGAGGCCCTGGGCGGCTTCGATGAGGCGGGCGGACACCATGGTGCCGACGAGCATCTGCAGGTTGGGGGCGACAGTGTCGAGGGTCTTCTCGAGGTTGAGCGCCGTCGACTTGCGCAGCTCAAAGGCGCCGTTGAGAGGCTCGATGAGGGCATCAATCATGGCGTGGTCCTCGACGCTGATCTCGCGGCCCATGGACACCTTGGCGGCGTCAATGATGGCCTGGGCCTTGTCACCATCCTCGCCCAGGAGGCCGGCAAGCTCATGCAGGCGCTCGTCGTTGAGCGTCTTCTTGTCACCGATGGCCTTGACCAGCGTTGCGTACGTATAGTGGTCGGGCTCAATCTTGCTCAGCTCGGGGAAGTGCCATCCGTACCACTCGCGCAGGTGCATGTAGTTCTTGTTGTTCATCTTGTCCAACACTTCGATGGTCTTGATCGACTCGATGATGCTGCGGTCGTTCCTCTTCGGGTCGAACATGATCCTTCCACGGGAGTAAGCGTGGCCGAGACCGCGGCCAGCCTGGAGGAGGTCGGCCTGGTCCAGACCCTCGATGAGCTTGCCGGCGTGGACACGAATGCCGCGGAGCAGCTCAGCCACGACGTCGGAGGTATCGGCCGTCTTGCACACGACGCCGGGGAAGGCCGACTTGATGGCACCAGCTAGGTTCTTCTCTGAGACACCGAGGATGATCTGCGCCTTCTTGCCGCTAGTCTTGGGCAGGTTGATCTCGAGCACGTCCTTCAGGTAGTCAGGCATCTGACCCTCGGAAATCTCGTTGACGTTCTCTAGCGCCTCCTTCTGGCCACTGTTGGGGGGGGGGGGGGGAACACATCGTCAGCACCTTCCTTTTTTTTTTCATTGCAAAGAGGCTAGGAGACCGAGAAAGGAAGAGAATGAGGACGAAAAATAAAGATGGGAAGGAGCCATCGCAACTGACACACTGCCCCTCGACAACTTCTCCTCCTCTTCCTCCTACCTCTTCTCATCCCCCCCCCGGAAGACAGAAAAAAAACATACCGGAAGGGAGAAAAGTTCTGCAGCTTGATCATCTTGCCGAACTTGGCCAGATCGTTGGCCGACTCTTGGCCCTCCTTGGACTTGAGCCCCACGACATCAGCCTGATGCACCACCTTGAAGAGGGCGTAGCCCACGGGCGCCTCGAAGAGGGCGTAGTCGACTTCCGACATTTCGGTTGCTGCCTTTTCTCTAATTGGTATAGGTGTTTCGATTGGAAAGTTGATACCAATTGGTTGAGGTTGCGATGTGGAAGGGGGGATTGCGATCTGTTTTTTTTTTCGTGATGTTTTTTTTTTTCACGTCCACTTTGCTTAGAGATTTTTTTTTTTACACTCTTTCAACCGGCTAGAGCCTTGGTAAATTTCGGTTTAGCGCAGTGGCGTGCAGCACTAGACCTGATACGGTATTTGTGGAGTGCGTCACGTGCAAGGACCGACATAGAAGCTACACCGTCTTTGACATTGAGCAATCTCATCATAGAGTCCATCATCATTCGACCGAAAACAAGCTTTTCCAATTTTTTATATGTTACCGCTTCGATTTTTAACTGTCTTTAATCCATTTTGGTAAAAGTACAGTCGTATATGGAGCCTATCCTCGATTTCCATACATCTCAGTTTCCAGGGAACCCATTCCGCAGATTGTCATATGACGAGTTGGGATACTCGATACAGTTATCCTGCTTGAGCAAGCCACCAGGACCACCGAACCCGTTGACAACAATCGTGATGAGGCTCTCGTCACCCTGTTTGTCGGCACTGCTCTCCCACCACATGGCGCCTCCGAGCCCCTTTTCGCGGATATACTCCGTCTTGACGCTAGCCATGGCGGGCGTGTCGTACGTTACCAGTTTCCTTTGCTCAGCACTGAAGCAGTACGACGCCCCGGCATCCTTGTCGTGGACCTCTCGGAACCCCGGGAGCGGAAGCTTCTTGTAGTCGTGGACTCCCTGCTCCCATGTTCCTTCGCCGATGCCCTGGAAAGGTGTGCCTATGCCGTCTGTGTTCTCAAAGGCCCGGCCGTACAGAGGCATGCCGATCACCATCTTGTCTGGCCGGATACCCTGGCCAAGATAGTAGTCGACGGCGCCTGTGATTGAGAAGGGAGTCGCGGCAGGCTGCTTCTGGTTCGGGTACAGATTGGCCTGGTGCGCGCTCACCTGGTCCCACGACCCGGCAAAGTCGTAGGCCATGAGGTTCCAGAAGTCCAGGTACCGGTCCATGCCGCGAATGTCCATGTTGGTGTAGTTGGACGATCCGGCGGGGCACGCCACCGTCAGCTCAAAGTGATGACCGCCACGTCCCTGTCCGGCAGCGTCCAGCTCGGCCCGCACAGCCTCGAGGAGGGAGACAAAGTCGCTCGCCTCGCTGGGGTTCTGCGGGTACTCCCAGTCAATGTCGATTCCGTCGAAGCCAAACTTTTCGAGAAGGGCCACGGCCGACTTGGCAAATGCCGTGCGTCCCTGCGATGTGCTGGCCGGTGCCTTGAAGTTGGCGCTGTACGTCCATCCACCGATGGACAGGAGAACCTTGAGGTTGCGGTTGCGCCTCTTAAGGAGGTTAAGCTGCTTGAGGGATCCGTACATGTTGTTCCCCGTATCATTCCACGAGTCGCCCTCGTAATGAATTCCCGTGTCGGACCAGTCATCCGTCATGTAACTGTCGACACAAGTGGTGTTAGCCATGAATACTCGGTCCAGAGTAAACTCTCCCAGGAAGGAACCTCTTACACCTCGCCACTATCGGGCCGCACATTGGCAAAAGAGTAAAGAACATGGGTTAGTTTCTCAACCGGCAGATCCTGAGGAGTGTGCTTGCGTCCGTAGACGGCCCAGTTGACAAAGTAAGCTACCGTCCGGTAACCCTGCTGGGTGTGATGGCCACTGCCAGAGTCCGCCTTGTGCGAGTTCTTCTTCAAAAAGTCAAGCATGCTGGGCATAAGAAGTCCAGCAGAGACGGTGATGAAGATGACGGCCGAAGCCTTGGATCCCAGTGTCAAATGCGTATTTACGGTATTGTCGGAGCCTCGTACGTTACTCAGTGCAGTAACACGTACGACAAGTCGGAGTACACGTATTGTAGCGGCAGAATAAAGTAAAGAAAGCGGGGCAACTGTAGAAGAAGGAGGGGGAGGGAGAGATAGAAGTTGGGGAAGGAAAGGGTGCCCGAGATGAAAAGACGCTCTTTAAATGACGGTATTATGTACTCCGTGGAGGCCCAAGAGAATAATAATTAAAGAGAATTCACACAAAGAAGACTGGGCTAAGCTTGTTTTGATGCATTCGTCTGCACGTCGTTGCTTGAATGGCGATGCATGTCTGTGTTGTCGTCAGCTCCATCCGTCTCCGCCCCTCCAGTGGAGCAGACAGAGGCGTTATTGGCGTCATGTGGCGGTGCGAGGTGCTGGCATGTTGTGGCTGTGACGCTGTTGAAATGAGGCTGGGTCTCGCAGACAGGAGGGATGATATTATTAGCATCAATCACCATGTCGATATTACTATTCTCGCACTGTAAAAATGATATAAACCCATTATTCATTTGATTTCCATTATCTCTCGTAAATGCTATGCAGGAATATACCTGCTGTCTATGACGCTTGCTTGATGCCCTGCCCAACATGCCAAGACATGCTCGTATACATGGGGAGAAGAAAAGAGAAGTGGAGGGAAGAGAAAGAGGTGGAGAAAGAGATTGTTGGAAAAACAAACCTGGGTATGATCAATAGACATAGACAAAATCCTCATTTTCCAGATCCGTGGCATCGGAAAACGTCTTGTCCCCAGCTGCCTCGTTTTCGCCACTCCATACATCCTCCCTGTCTTCATCCGGCTCTCGCCTCGTGGCATCCACCATCCTAGCACTAGCAGCTGAATCAAGGCTTGTATCGATAGCAACGGCACTCTTACCGAGGGCGACTCTACGCCGAGCGTGGGAGTGGTTCAACCTGACTAGATACACCGACGTGATGGCGACGAGGGCGACGACGACCGCAAAGAGAGCAATGCTGGCACGAAGACCCCTCGTGTAGGACGGGGCCTCTTCCGGAGTGAAAAGCAGGGGTCCAATGATGTTGCCGGCCGAGGAACCGACGAAGACGAGGGCTGATGTACACTTGCGCTTCGTGTCGCCGGCCGTGTTTTGTGACGACCACGAGAAGATGAGAGGGGCTGGATCATCAATGGTCAGCCTGTTTTCTCATCTTCCTTCCCTTCGACTATCCCCCGATCCCTCCCTCATCACACACTGGACAAGCTTACTTATACCCGTAAACGTGGACAGACAAAAATATCCGGCCAAGAGGATACCCTTGTTGGCAGTGTCGTGTTCAAAGGCAAGGAGGACGCCCAGCCCGATAATGGGCGGTACGCAGAGAATGGCGATCATGGGCCCCTTGAGCTTCCACCGCATCGAGAGATACGTGCTAGCCGTCACGGAAAAGAAGTGAGAAAGGCCGACGGGAATGTTGAAGAGCATCGTCTGAAAAGGGTCCTCGACAAATGACTGGATGATCAGGGGTCCAAACGTAGAAAAGCTGTTGGACGGCACCGACGCGCACATCACAAGAGAGAACCACAGCCACGTCTTGACGTCGCAGAGCGCCTCTATAAAGTGAGAGCGTCGCCACTCGCGGGACATGACCCCCTGGCGGTTGTCTTGGAGGCGTCCAATAGCAAGGACCTTGTCGTCGTCCGAGAGGAAGCGGGCTTCGGTGGGCGAGTTGGGCATGCTAAAGAACATGACGGTAGCGACGACGACCGTAATGGCCCCAAAAAAGAGGAATATAACCTGGTAAGGCCGAAGTGACGAGTTAATCTTCGCCAGGCTGTAAGTGACGAGACTCCCAAACTGTAGACAGCGTCAGCGATAGCCAGCAGAGTACGTATCATAATGGTTGTGAAACTCACCACCCATGTGAGGCCGTTCATGCAGTACCACGATCCAACGCGAACAGTCTGCTCCCTCCTCCTCCACCACATCTGAGTTATGGCAACAAAGCTAGGTCCAACACTGGCCTCAAAGGCGCCGAGGAGGAATCTGGAGCCCAGAAGTGCCGGGAACACACTCGCCCAGGCCATGGTGGTCAGAGTGATCCCCCAGCAGAGCACCATGATACTAGTAAATGTCCCAATGGGAAGCTTGACGAGGGCCCAAGCAACGGGGAACTGCATGAGGAGCTGGGCAACGTAGACGATGCTGCCCAGCCACGAGAATTGGCTGCCGGTGAGATGAGTGTCGTCGATGAGCCCAAAAACTGAGGCGTACGACAACGTGGCCTTGTCCAGGGCGTGCAGGAAGTAGACGATCAGCATGATTGGCAGTAACGCGATGTCGATGCGCCGTAGGATACGAGCGCTGTCCTCTGGCGAAACGTGGATGCGCTGAGTTGGCGACCGGCCAAGCTTGATGAGTAGTAGAGCTGCTGCATCGCGATGGACAGCCGCGGATTCCCCTCTGCTGTTACTGCCGTCTTCGCAGACACAGTCGGGGCTTCCATCTTCGTCGTCGTCGCCGTCAAGCTCGCCCGGTAACGTTTGATAGCGCTGCTCGGGAGCAGATGAAGGCGAGAGCTGCCTGCTGAAAAGACGGGCCAGCGGCCCTAGCAGGAAACTGCGGAGTTCCATCTCAAGGACAGATGTGCATCTGAGCCTGCGCAAGAGGGTCCGGCCGAATCGTCATCTCAATAGAAAATGATGGATCGAATGAGCTGAGATACGGTGAGCGATTACGAGGGGAAAGAGTATGTATAATACCCTTTTGTCGATCATCGCCCGAGGCTTAGCGTCAGCGCGTCAGGAGGAATGAGAAACCAACCGTCTAACAAATGAGACAAGGCAACCACGGCAGGGGTGGGGATGAAGTATTCCCGTATACACGTTTCTCACTGCCGGAATACATACTCCCCTTCTCTTGCATTAGGGCTCGAAGATGCCCACTGCAAGTAATATACGGGATTACGTTACTCTTTGTCGATAGACTAGGCTTTCTCTGGGTGTCAGCGATAACGGCCCACGTGGAGACAACTCTCCGCGCGGAACACATAACAGGGAGAGTATACAAGCCGTACAGCGTATGGCAGTGTATGTCTATTCAGGCTTTTGGTCTATGATCTCTGTAAATATATGATCTCGTGTGTATCTCTATATCTGATATGTGGCATGTGTTGTTGTACGCGAGACCCAAGCGATAAAGTCTCGGCGTTGTTTCCTCTGTTGATGAAATGGTTTCTCACTCTCGTCTTGTCCTTGCGTATTATCCCGAGCTTCATCTTTGTTCTGAGTTGCCGCGGGATTGCATGAATAGCGGTTGCGCCTAAAGGTCGCGCCCAAAGCCGAGGACCGAATCAAGATGATGTATTTTCTTGCGATCAAGTACACGTCCCTGCGGTGTCCGTTGAGATGCTGTATCTTGACCTTGTCAGGATGAACTGCACGGGTATTCTATCTCCGGGATACCAGGTGTCCGAGCATCGCGTGTTGGTGTGTGATTATTAGGACCCAAATCCAAAGTTTCCGTTCGTGTGCTCGACTGGTTGCGTAGGTTTACGCGACGGTATCATATCGTTTCTCATATCGAGTCTTCTTCCGGAGACCCTTGGTATTCATCCATGTCTTATTCCACATCCTTGACTCTTTCAATCACCTCTGCCATGCTCAGAGTCTCAGCCTTGGGTTCCATCTCGGCGCGCCTGTTGAGCAACGCAAGGTAGGTCTGCCACCCGATGTTTACAGTGCTGTTGAAGATGCTGCGGTACTGTATGGGAACAAATGTGAAGCTGAAGCCATGGGCAAACGGCCAGAATTGGCACGAGCTGACAACGCTGGCGGGAACCGTCCTGACGATGCGGTCGATCGTCTCGGAGAGGGTGCGACCGGACAGCAGGGCCTGCATACCAAAGAAGTAAGAGTTGAAGACGGGCGCGAAGATGGCTTGATTGATGACAATCTTGACAACGAGTGAGAGGATGTGTGAGGAGTAGTTGAAGTGGTGCGACAGGAACGTGAACCTAGGACAGCACTGTTAGACGCCGTACAAGGAAGGACGGACAGCGTCGCAGGCAGACAGCAAGCGCCAGCCGTCTCCGGAATTTGACTTGCCAGGTGTAGTTTGGAATGGCGGACAGTCCTCCTATGAATATGTTGCGAGCGGTACGCTTGGAATCGATGGGGTCGTCGCTGCTGATGCTCTGCGCGCTGAGGTCGGCAAGGCAGTATATCACCAAGGCGCTGGCAAACTGCGTGCCCCACGGCCGTCGTCTGTGGGCTCTGCCGTATGCCGTCGCCGCCGTCGTGAGAGGGCCAAGGCGTTGCCAGAGCGGTAGCTGCAGCGGCGTCGGCGCATCAGACACCGGGACGTCCTCGCTGACGGGCCCGGACGATGGTTTCTCGGGCTTGGTCGACAGATGGCGGCGGAGAGGGACGGCCGGCAGCGGTCGTTGTCGGCTTCCTTGCTGTCGGACCACATAGCGCAGTGGCGGGGTGCCCGGGGAGAGGATGTAGTTACGCATCCCGACGAGAGTTCACCGGCCTACCACAGAGATAGTTTGCCGGGATAATATGTTTCGAAAGGAGAAGAGAGAGAGAGAGAGAGAAAATGGCTCTCCCGTGCAAAGGCGTCAGATTAGCCGCCGATTATCTTATCTCGTCGGGTGGACCTGGTGACGTGTTGGCACATGCACATGCGTAATACGTCGGAGATCAATTGTGGAAACGATCCCTGCGAAATGTATTAAAAAATAGCTTTTGTCCATATTGCGATTTATTGTCCCGTGAATTGGACTTGTCATGGCAAGTCCCCAATAACTACCGTGGGCTCTCTGCCATATATGTAATCTGCAGAGTTCAGGATGTAGTGACAGTGTCGGGCGGAAGATGAAGCCGAGGAGAATGGGTGCAGCGTTGAACTACTATGCTTTCGTATTGTTTCAGAGACAATGTGCCACTCGAAGTTACTCCTTTCCACATCTACAGGTTTCGCAACTCGTGGGATCGGTCCAAACGAAGATCGGACGTGTGTGACCTGGAATGGCGGATATGTATCTGTGGATCCCACCGGACCTTTGGCCGTCTTGCTCTGCAATCTCAGGGGAGACTATTATGATCGGGAGCTACCCGGAGCCGGTGATATCCATTGGTACGTCGCAGGATTATCTCGAGAGGAATCATGCAATCATAGAATCTCACCAACGTATGACGCGTGCTATAGAAGTTGGCTCAACTGGCATGGTCTCACAGAGGGTTATGTGCAATGATGGATTCAGGCTGTCGATGCTCTTGAAAAGAGAATATGTGTATGTGTGTTGACCATGTGCTTTGGGAGTTTGCAGGAGGTCGATGGAAAGAAACCCGCTGCAAAGTTTGTACCAGATAAGAAAAGAGCGCCGCTATGTTGTTCATGGAAAATGACAGAAGACAGAGGCAGAAACGAAGAAAAAGCAGTATACGAGTAATATGCAGTAACCCGTCACATCTCAGCCTCGTCCTCATCTATCAACCCAACACCGGAGTCGGGTCTCCTCCTGCTACTCCTCCTCGCCAACTTCCCCGACAAGAGCCGTTTCGGCTGCTGCTCATGTCCATGCTCCGCACCTCGTCCCTCCTTCTTGGCACCGGCCAGCTCCCGGTTCATAGCTTTGACCTGATCCAGCTGAGCCCTGACGTTCTCCAGAACAGTTCGGAGATCCGAGTTCTCCTCGCGCACGGCGTGGCTCTCGGCACGGAGGCGGTGAATCTCCCAGTGGGCGCTGCTCAGGGCCGTGTTGATGCGGCCAATCTCGCTGCGGAGTTCACCGATGCGGGCGTCGCGTAGGGCCAGGGCCTGCCCGTTGCGCTTGTTGACGTCGGCGAGCTGCTTCTTGCGCGAGGATTTGACAACGTCGAGCTCATCGCGCAGCTCAGAGGCGCTCTTTGTAGCGTCGGCGACGCGCTGTTCAAGGTCCATGATGAGGGCGTTCTGCTTTTGCTCTTGCTGTTCCGAAGAGGGGGTTTGCACTGAGGCGTCCTTGGAAGCGCTGTTCTTGGTGCGGAGTGCCTCTGCCTCCATCTTCTCGACCAGACGCTCTAGCTCGGAGATGTCACGCAGATAACTGTCGACAGCCCCCTTGAGACGGTCACTTCCAATCTCGAGCTGGTGGATCTGCGAGTCCTTCTCGCCAATAAGCCCAGTGGCCTTATCCAGGTCGCCCTTCAGCCTCTCGGCAAATGACACACGGTCATTCAGCTGGCGCCGCAGACTCAGCTCCTCGGCATGGTACTCGTCGATAGCATCCTCCTTCTCCTGGACCTTGCGGGCCAGGTCGCGCAGCTGGGCGAGCGCCAGGTCCAGAACCTTGGCGCCGTGGTGACTCAAGGGGAGGGAGCACTCGCCCGGGCTGAGGTACTCTAGCTCCAGCCTGGCCTGGCGGAACCCGAGAGATATGGTCCGCAACATTTCGGATGCGTCAGCTCCGGCGAAGCCGAGTGACGACACGGCCGTGGTCATGTCTGTGAGCAGGGCGTTCTTCTCGCCTATGCTCTGCACGAGCTCGACAACTTGCTTCTCGAAGGCGGCCGTGGGCGATGCGTCGGCGTCGGGGAGATCTTCCGTCTGGGGCATGTGCCGGCCCAGACGGTCCATCATTTGTTTGTATTCATCCAGGGTGGCTGCGAGGCGGCCCATCTCGCGTTGTAGAGATTCGAGCTCCAGTGCGCGAACCTGTACCTCGGGATCAGGAAGAGAAGCCTGCACTCCCATGCTGGCTACCATGGGTGCCAGTATAGGAGCGGGTGGCACATCCACGTGCCGTAGGCGAGAAGCACCGGTAGACGGTGTTTCGGGGATGGCCAACATCACGGGACTCGTAGCCGGTGGCGTGGGGAACGACTCTCTCGCCCTGCGCGACGGTGTGCTGACAATGATGTCCGTCGTGTCATTGAACCAGGTTGCCTCGTCGATGTCGTTGTGCCATGACGGCTGCTGCTGCTGCTGCTGTTGCTGCTGCTTCTGGGCCTTTTCAAGATCCCTCCTCAGAGAGTCAACTTGACTTTCCAGCTCCCAGATGCGCTCCGTATCAATGATAATGGTAGCGTTATTGAGCTCATAGATTTCGCGGTCTCGTTCGTCGAGCTGGGCCTGCAGCTTGGCAATTTCGCTCTTGGCCTGGGAGGTAGCCCGTCGGTGCCTAGCTTCGACCTTTGTGATGATGTCTCGCATAGCGCAGCGGCGCTCGCGACGCTCCACCCGGCCATCTCGCACGTGGCGAATGCAGTCCTGTTCGCTGTCGTGATCCCAGAAGCCACCTATGGTGGTGGTCTCGGGCATGGACACGCGTCGGGGGGCTGCTGCATCGGTGTTTCCAATGACAGAGCGTCGGAGCATCGGTGTCAATCCTGTTGATGCCATCGACGGGAGGAAGGCTGTGTCTGAAAAGCGAAGCTTCTTGCTGGTCTTTTTGGGTGTCTTGTAGACTGACGAGGGTTTCCTGGGAGCCGTTGTCTCTGTCTGGGTGGTTGGTGATGCCTCGCGTACGCCAAAGTTGCTGCGACGTGTGCGACGAAGCGCAATGGGCAGGTTGTCGGTTCCGTCTTCCATAATGCTGCTGCCAACGGATCGGATTGACTACGAGTACGAGTACAAGCGAAGTCGCGTGTTAACAGGAGGAAGAAGGGAAAGAATGAAAAAGCAGGGTTGTGGAACAGGAATCTTTCCAGTCTCATATATGCAAAGTAAACAAACGCAATAAAAACAATCGGGGCCTGCCTACTTGTGGACCGTACGCGCAGGTAGATCGCATTCACGACCCAACCGTGTTTTCTATGGGCAATAACACCATAACAAAAGCCCCATCGTGCATCTCAGAGTCCCTGGAGCCTTGGAGGGGCGCGGAATCCATCAATCTGCCCCGTAAGGAGGTTGTACTCTCGTTCTTCCCGCCATCCCCATGTTTACTTACTCCCCAAAATAGATTAGCGTACCCGCATTTGGTGCTCGGACCACTCTTCGTGCGCCCTTGGCTCCCTGCTGCCATTGGGAAGACGCAGGCCAATGGTTTTGTACGCGGTGGCCGTCTGGTGAGACCTCGCCGGTGTGAGGACGAATGTACGAGCAATGTATTATTGATTATGGGGCGAAACTTGAAGAGACACTAGTCAGTCGGGAGAGGAGTGCCAACAATATTTATTGTTTGTGGCCGTCCTGTGTCCGTGGCCTCGTAATGTGGTGTGATGATAACTAGCACTACTAGTATTACAAGTACACATTACATGCAGGCAGGTTGGCTTCGGATGATGCTACGGTGGCCGGCATGGGAAGAGAGTAAACAAGCGCTCCTTAGTGTGTGAGCCGTAAACTACATGTGTAGATCTCATGCCGTGTATTGCCCCCATTCTCCCCAGTTTAGGGGAAGCCCGATATCCAAATGAGCCTCGAGAACGTCTTCGACTGCTGTGAGGTTGAAATTTGGATCAATGTGGTCAAACAAGTCCTGTCCCGAGGCGGAGTCAATGGCGGAAAAGTCGACAAAGTTGTTCATGCCGGCAGCCATGTGCATGGCCATCGGGCCCGGAGCGGCAAGTTCCCCCCTCGGCCTCCATTGGGCTACACCCCCAGCGTCATTGTTATCCCGGCCTGTAGCAGCCTGTGCCGATCCTCTGGAACCGTCGCCGCTGGGAGGCAATGCTGCTGCCACTGATGGAGAGGCTTCCCTGGCAAGTGTCGTGGATGCCCTCTCCATCTCCTTGAGTATTCTCTCGCCCAGGTCGGCAACAACGTTTGCACTCCAAAAGTAGTCGCCAAACTCGCGCAGGATTTGACAGTTACGCCTGAAAGCCGTCATCGCCCGGGCGCGGAACATGGGGAGTCGGCTGTGGCGCATCTTTCGGTACTCGACGCTCAGTGCGAGGGAGACAGCATGCGGGACAAAGGGTACTGGACTGAGGCAGTCTCGCGGTACGGCACATGCTATACGCTCGGCAGACAGCGACCGGCGTGCGTTTGCCGACGGAGGTGGCAGCGTCGTTGCAGCCGGGAACGTTCCTGGCCGAGGCAGGCGGCATGAAAGGATGCTTACTGAGTGGTAGAATGTCTCGATGGTGGCTGGAAGGTTCTTATCAGTACAGATGACAGCAGAGAAGGTAGATTCTGGAGGGCACCGACCGATGAGGGAAGACGGCTCTCTCAGAGCGTCGGCTTCCACGATGAGGGCCTCGAGAACAGGGAGGTCAATGTAGGCAACCTTGGCCATGCTCGACGTCTCAGCACTGGGACCGGGACGGTAAAGATCAATCACCTGATCGAGCCACTGGCAGATGAGAAGAAAGAGCCGAAAGCACGGTGGGCGCTTCTTGATACAGGCATCTAGATTGGTGCCGATGTCCCGCTCATGAATGAGATATGGGCGTCCATACATGGCACCATTCATACGGTCCAGGGCCCAGACAGCACAGAATAGGTTCTCCAGGTCATCACTATTGGGCGCGTCGTACCGCAAGAGGTGCAGGCCTAGCGTCTGGATGTGTTGGATGGCCCTGCCACCGAGCTGGGCAGGTAGGTCGGACTCCTCGGCACAGGTCGGCTGCGTGTAGAGTGACAGCATTGTCAGCGAGCGGATATGCAGGACGCGATCTGCAATGATGCTCGTCTCCAGGATAGCCCTGACAGACGAGGAGAGCGCCTGGGAGAATTCAGGGGGGGTGAAAAGATCTGGGCCCTTGTTCTTGAGACGCAGGTATTGGGATCCGTCTGGATCTGTGCCGGCTGCAAGGGATACCAGCTGGCGGAGGAGGATTGTGACGGAATCATTGGGGTTCCCATCGAGAGCCTCGAGCGGGATGATGGGGAATATCGGATGGATCTTCTGGACGAAGATGTGCCTGAGCTTGGCAAAGTCTTCTTCCGGCGGGTAGCAGGTGAGACAGTGCTCCTTGACAAAGGGAAGCAGGAAATGGTCCATGATGGGTGGCGGACGTGATGTGATAAACTGCGAGGGGTGGCCAGCCGATGAGCCATTGACAGTAGAGGAAAGCCAGATGCCGACATCGCCTTTTTGAGCCATCTCACGCGTCGACGTAGCTTCCGTGGCATCGAAGAACATGCTCTCCGGGTTCAGGTCACTGACAAAGCGCGACCGCAGCTTAGCGGGTTCCTCGTTGAGCGTTGGCGTAGTAGATGGCGGTGCCGTTGACGGCGCAAATGGATCAGCATACGCGTTGGCGCTGGACCGGCGCGGCCCGGCGCCATTGGAGTGAGTAGGTCTGCCACCGCGGGCAGATGAAGGGGATCTAGCCCCAGTGCTTAGGCGAGTTAGTGCATGATGAATCCTGAAGCGAGGGATGACGGAGATACTTACGACATGTGGATAGATGGTGACCGAGTTCCCTGGTGACCATCGGCCGAAGCCTCATCTGGTATTTCCTGGCCGTGCGTACATCGTCTCTACAGGGCGTGCATGAGTCAACAATACGACCCATGATCATATTATAAGGGGGGCGGAGACGGCGGTTGGTCACCTTTTTACGGCGACACGATGTGCAGGCTTGTTGGACCTGCTTGCGCTTCACCGGGAGACCGCCACGGGTCGTGTCTACCTCGACAAACTTGACTTTGCGGCTGTTGTCCATGGCTCATGGTGTTCGGCACAGATACATGTTTGGAAAGGTTGGTCCTGAGGAGATAAAGATGGTGGCAGTATCGGAATCGGCTGCTGGATCAATCAAGTGACAGCCTCAAGATACGGAATGACAAGAGACATTTTTGTGGTGACGATGAGGTCTTGATCAGGTATGGACTATCACTTCTAGCAGCAGTAGTGCTAGGTTAGACAGGTTCAAAATGGAGTCATGGGACAGAAATCATAATAATAGTAACAATAATACGACGAAAGAGAGAAAAAAATAAAGGCTTATGTAATGAATTTTGTACACCGTGGGCGCGTGGGGAGGTGCGACGTCGGCATCCTTCCCTTGGTACCCCTCCCCCGTCAAGCATTGAAGTGCAAGGAAGCGGGCAGTGTATTATTTTGTGTAGCGTTGGAGCAGAGTGGGGAGATCAAAATAGAAGGAAACGAACGATGTTACCTAATACACCATCACCGTCATCATCAAAATGGGCATTGGTGCCTCCCGTCTCGTCAAACAATGGGTATCACCAACATAGCGGCCATTCTGCTACACTCTGACCTTTTGAAGGCCAGGTGAATCTGTTTTCCCCGTAATATCAATGATTACTTGCTATCCATGCCGCTCGGGGCTCGAGCCGCAATTGCTGGCTAATAGGACCTGATGAATCCTATGCTACCAGCCACTACCCAACGCTTCATGCTGTGGGTCATCATAAAGTTGGACGTGTGTTTGCCATCTTGTACAACTCGAAATGCGTTCCAGAATATGAGTGCGGCCCTTTTTGCCTCTGCCCTTGCTCCTTGCTTTGATCTTCTCTATCGTTCTGTCTCTGTATGTGCTGAGTGGATCATGGTGTCTGTAGCCATTGGACAGCCTCTAGATTTGAACGAGTGAGGTTGAATGAATGAAAGAATTGAATAGAATCGATTGTTCTCAGCGTCTTTTATGAATCGAACTATTCTTGTCATCTGTGGGTCAGTGTCATCAAGGCAACTCCTGCCAGCTGTCAGGTCTGAGATAGCATTTGCTGGCAGCTGCTCACGTCGTACTGAGCAGCTGCCCGCTGTTGCGAACCGCCTGGGGGAGGAAAAGAATAGCGGAAGAGAGAGAACAGGACAGTAGAAGTGAGGGAAAGAAAAAAGCAAAGGGGGGAGTAAATCATAAGGAGGAAAGGAGAGGAGAGGAGATACCTGCCATCGTTCACCTGCTCACCTTGTGCTCCCTTTTTTTCTCCCGTCCTTCATCCTTGTATCATTTTCTTATTTCCTTTCATATATTCAACACCCGCACCACCTTCTCTCCATCTCCTTCTCTCCTCGTTCTCGCCATATTCTCGCCAAACGTCCCGTTCATGCGAGCAACCGTATAAAGATCACAAAAGAGAAAGGATGGAGGAAGGTGACATGGGCGTAGGCCCTCTTCGACGGCCAGTACCACTGGGGAGCTATCCTCAGCACGAACACCTGTCTCACCCGTTCGGTACAGATAATCACATACAAAACCCCATGTGGGGTTCTGACCTGATAGACCTTCCCGAGCCCGTGGTGATGCCAGAGGCCGACGAGTGCGTCCCTCACTCGCAGCACCACTCGAACTCGTTCATGGCCCAGGACAGCCGGCTTGACGGCAAGATGGGAAGAATATCCGACAAGAGGGACCTTGGTCCGCCCATACCCACTGGGCTTGCCGCAACCTGTCGTCGCAAACGTTTCATCGTGCCGCTGGCCGTCTTTGTCACGCTTTTAGCCATCGGTGGCGTTCTTGGAGGCGTCCTAGGGACCATGGTATCGACGGGTGAATCTGATTCCACAGACCAGGCCAGTGCCGTGAGCAGCCGAAACAACACATCGTCCATCTTGCCATCTTCCAGAGTAGCACTCTCCATGGTGGGTAGCTCCATATCGAGCATTCGCACCATCCTGCTCCAGAATACCGACGGTGACCTTGTCTCTCTAGAGTGGCAGGGCGCCAGCAGCACCGCACGTCTCGTCACTGGCAGCTCCGCCAGAGCGGAGCCTGTAAAACCCTTGAACGGATCGCCCCTCGCCGCCGTCACGCACGGTGCCCAGGGGGATCTTCACTTGTTCTACATCGATGACACCCTCCGCTTTGCCCACGCCATCCGTCGCGCCAACGCAAGCGATGACGAACGTTGGGGGGTTGGGCCACTATCGACCTTGGCAGGCCAGAAAAAGGTCCAGTCTCGTCCGTCAGATAAAATGCGTCGGCTTTCCGTTGCCATTGTGACGATGAATTCCACAACATCGGAACCCGAGGACTACATCGTCGTCATGTTTCAAGTGAATCCCGGGACAGACATATTCTGTCTACTTTCGAGCTCGGACCCCGACAATACGGACAGCTGGGTAGTCACGTCGTTCTCCCTGGGGACCGAAAGGAAGGGGGTCACAATGCATCCAGACTCACCAGGTTTTGTTCTTGTCCCCATCACGAGAACATTTGGCTCCCAGAGCGAGACTTTTCCGGGCCTACGCATGTTTTGGGATCTTTCCGATGACCAGTACAAGACAACTCTTGGCGCCTTTGAGTGCACCTTTACCGACACTCAAACATTGGATCAGTGTCAGCTGGTTGCAACCGAGTGGGGAGGTTCGTTTACTCGTCTCCCACTGCAGTGTGGATATGGCACGAAAGCTAACATCAGGTGTGATTTTGACAGATGTAGAAGGGGAGCAAATCGTCCTAGACACCCCAAAGCCTCTCTTCTTGTCGGTTGTTCCATTGGGGACGAGCAGCTCCTCGATCGAGTTTGGCGACTATATCTTCCGGGTGCTCGACAGTGGCGGGCGGTTGGTCGAACTGCACGGTAACAGTTCTGAATGGACAGGTCATAATGCGTTCGCCGTGGTTGATGATGGCCTTCCCGAGGGAATCGAGGAGAATTTCACGGCCGTGGCATCAGCTGACGATGGGCTGCTCTATGCCGTGTCTGAGGGAAAGCTACTAGAGTTTGCACGTAGAGGGGAATGGTGGGAGAGCGACGGTGATGATGACGACCAGACCGGATGGAGGTTTCTCAGCATTGTCGACACGGACTTGTCAGACTCTTAGAACGTCGGTCTGGAGGAACAGGCAAGCGGATTTAGCGTGAACATCTTGTATCGGTTTCCTGGAGTGTTTAAAAGGGAGTTGAAAGCGGTGGCAACATTTCATAGCAGTTTCGAAGAAAAAAGTAGAGTTTGCAATGTCATTTGCGATTCAACAAGTTCAAGTGTTCCGCAAGATGCAGTATAATAGTACAAATTCCATGCCGAGAAGCCTCATTGAGATGCTCGGGGGATCAACGATGCTGGCGTGGAGTGATGCATGGTACATTGTCGCGAGGTATCATGATGCATATCGTCTGTTGGGTGATCTGGGTACGTGTCGGCGGGTATGATGGGACGATGATCGTATCGCGGTGCCAGTAGTACTATTGTAATGGATGCGTGGCAGAGGAAGCGTCCAATTGCCCACGCATCCCTTGCATCTTGGCCTTGGACGTTTTAGAGAACCAGCGCTATACTAAAGTGATGGGCCACCCGAAGCCGTGGTGGGTGATGGACGAATGAGTCGGTACAGGTATGGACCATGATGTAGATAGATATCTTATGGTCCATCCCGGGCAGTCGTCGGCGCCACTTATATCCATTCCCACGTCGTCTTCGACTCGGGGGCGAGGAGAGTAGAGAGTAGAGTCTCATTATAGACAAAAGGATAGACTTCACTTTTTCTTGGTCGTCTGCTCGGCTATGTCGGACGGTTTCCCACGAATCTGGTTGCGTATCTCGGCGCCAAAGTGCTTCAGAAACGAGGTGCGGGAGGAGTCGGGATCGGCTACGGGGTGGAGGGGGGGGGGGTTAAGAGGTGTGTCAGTCATGCATCTTTACGAGAGGAAGGACGTAGCATGTATGAACAAGATGAAGAGGCTAGGACGGGGATAAAACATACCCGTCGCTTCACCCTGGTAGAGTGGCTCGTTGGGATTCCTCCCGTACTGGCGATCGTGGATGGTGCGGTGGATACGGCCGACAGCACGGTGGAATCCCGGACGACGGAGGATGAGCTCGACAATGCGGTCTTCCATTGTTTGGATGGCCCTCAAGGCCCACCAGTGCCAGGCCATAGTTGCGTGGATGAGGAGACTGTGACGAGGTGGTTGATGGGAAGATGGATCGGTCGGGGTTGGAGAGTACTACAGGTTATCCGGGAATACATGGTAGGAATCTTAGTCAGGATTCATTCCTGACCTGACCACATAGCAGCCCATCATGTAATGATACTCCGTACTGCATGTACTATTACTACTACTACTACAGAAAACCCCACCCCCCCCCCCCCAACAAGCATTGAAGCTTTGTATATTACACACCTATGAGTTGCTCCATTTCTCCAATGAGCATTATCATTCAAGGAGTATCTAGTAATACAACAGTCGAAAAGCCGGGATTAACTAGGCAGTAGTAGAACCTCTTGAATACTGATCAAATATGGTAGGAAGAAACTGCTAGTGTTCATACGGGGAGTACAAGGGTATATGAAATTCCATAAGGATACTCCTTTCCCATAGAAATCTAAAAATGCTTCCATAATGGAAAAAAAAACATAGAGAAGAGGAACAGCAAGAAAAGACGACCGAAAGAAGATACAGAGGAAACAATAAGACAAAAGATGCAAAGAAGACGAACAGGAGGAAAAGAAGAACAATGTAATAAAAAAAAAGAAAACTCCCTAGCTCCCCTCCCCCCTTTGACCATATTTTTCGCCCTTCTCTTATAGCATACAACCGAGAATAATCGCAAGCACACAAGTCACCTAATACTCGTCTCCTCCCCATCTTTTTACTCGTTCACGTAGATCCCTATTCTCCGACTCGAGACCCCCCAATCGCGTCCTGGCCGCCTGTCTGTCTTGATTACGAGCCTCCCTCTCCATCTTGAGCTTGTATTCCATTTCTCGTAATCTAAGGAGCCAGCGGTTGTCGTTGTTGCCGCCACCGCCACCGCCGCTGGCTTCATTCTCATTGGTCGCGTGCACGGCTGCCAGGGTGGCCATCTCCGGTCCGTCCGTTCCGTGGCTGCTGCTCGTCTTGCGCGACATGATGGATGACGAGCGTCCGCCGTGTCCCGTTCGGTCTAGTGGTCCGCGTGGGATGAAGGGGGATGGAGAACCGCCGTCGTCGACACCCGGTGCTACTCCGAGCGTCGACGGCGAGGCGTAGGCTGCTGCCCGTGCGCGCGCGTCCTTCGCCGCCTTGAGCGTGGCGTGCTCAACCTTGAGCTGTCGGTACTTATCCTCCATTCTGAGCATCCGGCTGTGCAGCTCGGAGCTCGAGTTGTTCGATGCCACTGTGTTGCGCACCATGGTTTCGAGACGGTCCAGCTTCTTGGTCCGCACCTCCAGGTTGCTCTCGAGCGTCTGGTACTCGCGCGACAGCTCCCTATCTACTGCCTTGATTTTAGTCTGGAACGACCCGACAATTGTCTCAATCGCCTTGACGGCACCCAGCAGGTTCTTGGAGAACCCGGGCAGCCGCGTCGCCACCACCTCGAGCGACGGGAGGACCTGCCGGTCGATGATCGTGTTATTGTTGGCCCATTCGCGCCCGCACAGTCCGCTCAGCTTCTGCCACAGCGTCAGCAGCAGCTCGTTCCTCTCCGCCAGCTGCTCTCGTGATTGCTGCTCCAGTCTATAGAGCCGCTGCCTTTCCTGGTTCCGGACCGCCTCCAACTCCATGATACGTCCGTCTTGCGTGCTCGCCGTCCGCGAAAGGTGCTGGTGGTGCTTTTCAAATGCCTCAAACTGCGATTTAGTGTTGCGGTGGTTCAAACGCTCCTTGTCCAGAAGTTCTGACAGCTTGCGGCTCTCGAGGCCGTGTGACTCGAGCAGAGCGTCCCTCTGCTTGATGATGCGGTCCTTTTCAACCACAGACGCTCGTGTGGAGTCAAGCTCGCGAACGGTATCCTCAAGTTCGCGTTGCATCTTCGCAATAGACTGCAAATTAGAACGTTAGCCATCACCCCATGATTATCAAAGAGGAGGGGAAAATGGAGCAACAATGAAAAAACAAGTACATAAACACAAACAAGGGGGGGGGGGGTTGGGATTGACAAACCTTGAGCAATGACGACCTCGTCCCGTTGAGATCACCCAAAGCCTCGCGAAGGTTATTCTCGAGCTCAGTGAGCCTCTCCTTCCACTCTGCGGCCTCAACCTCCCTCGACGACAGACTCTTGCGCAGCCGGCGTGACTCATCCTTGGCCGTCGACGCCTCCTTGTTGAGCTGGTTCACAATTTGCTGGACGTCCTCCTTCTCCTTGTTGGCGACGGCCTCGCGCTGCTCACGCTCCGACGACAACCGTTGCTCCAGCTCCCTCGACCGGTCCTTCTCCTCGCGCAGGGACTGCTCCACGTTGGCCAGCGACGCCTCTAGGTCACCGATGCGGATCTTGTCGGCCTCCTGCTCCTCGCGCAGGAAGCCAATCTCGTCCTGTGCTGATTCATGCTGCACCGTCATCCGCTGGTTCTTCTCGTTGGCCTCACGCAGCTTGCTCTCCAGCTCTTCGAGCTCGCGGTTCGACGACTCCAGCTCCTGCTCCACCTCGCCGATGCGCCGTAGCTTGCGGAGCTGCTCGTCCTCGAGGCCGATCAGAGCATCGCTGAGCTTGCGCATCTCCTCTTGCAGCGCGTCAAAGTTCTCAGAACGGTCCGCCAGGTCTGCCTGCAACCGCTGCATCTCGTCGCCGCGCTGGTCCGCCTCGGCCTCGAGGGCATCGATTTCGTTCTGCGCCTCCTGTCGCAGTGCCTCGAATTCGTTTTCCATATCGGCCTGCTCCCGCAGTGCATCGTCCCTCTCTGACTGCAGCGCCACCAGGTCGTTCATAGCCGTCTGCAGGTCTTCCTGCAGCGACAGCACCTGCTCCTCGGCCTCGCGCTTGCCATTGACAGCTGTCTCAAAGTCTTCCATGCACGTCTCCAGCTCGCGCTGAAGCTCTTGGTTCTGGAGCTTGACCTCACTTATGTTGTCGCGCAGCTCGGCCAGCTTCGTCTCCAGCTCCTCACGCTCCCGCTCCGCCTCTTCCTCCTCGGCTGTCGTGCGAAGCGTGTGGGCGCTGCCGCGCGATCTTGACCTGCCATGCCCTCCTACCTGCGATGCCGACCGCTCAAGGATGCTGTCGGCAGCCGTCGAGGGCGCACCTCGGCCATGGCGTGCCGACATCTTGAGATCCTCAATCTCCTGGTACAAGCGCTCCTTCTCGCGGTTGCGCGATGTGAGCATCGATGTCTGGGCACCGACCTCGCGACGCAGCTCGGCATTTTCATGGCGCAGCTGCTCTGCCTCCCTACGCAGCTCGTCGACCAAGGTGCTGGCGGCACTGAGGTTGGCGTTGGAGCCGTTGTCCACCTCACCGGACAGGACCGAGAAGGGTCGGTTAGGCGACATGTTGCCGCGCTCACGCTGCTTCTTGGAGATGTTGTAAATGTTGGTGGTGTGGTGCAGGGCGCTACCACTGCCCGACACCTCGTGCTTGATCCGGAAGAGCTCCTCGCGCAGCCGTCTGTTGTCCTCGTCAGCCTGTTCCCTGCGCGCAGTCTCCTGCTCCAGCAGGTCCTTCCAGACGTCGGCCTCTTCCTGGCGTCCCACGCTCTCGCCGGCGCGATCTGCCGTCATAGATGACCGGAGCATATCACTCATCCGGCGCTTCTCAGCCTCGCTGTTGGTGTTGTCGGTGCGCAGGCGCTCAATCTCAGTAGCGTACTCCTCGACTCGCTCCCGCAAGAAGACGAGCTCCTCCTCCTTCTCCTGGGCCTCTTCGTCGTACATGCGAGCGGTCTGATCCGTTGATGAGGCACCGCTGCGAGCGGTGCTGGGCCGCTCGTCATCGTCCCTCTGCTGCCTCTCGAGCTCCTTGATCCTCCTCCGCAAGACCTTGTTGTCGCGCTGGAAGACAGCGAGGCCTGTCTTAAGGTCTACGTTCTCGGATATCATTTCCTTGATGCCCTCCTCCGACAGCTTGTCGAGACGGTCACTCAAGAACATTACTTTGAGCTTGAGGTCAAAATTCTCCTTTGATAGCCTTTCGATGGTGCTGCTCTGCTCCTTCAATGTCAGGCTCTTACCCGCTCGGCCGGTGGTGGTGCCAGATCCCGTGGTGGTGGCATAGCTAGAGCGGTTGTTGCGTGGCGTCTCTAGATTGTTCTCGAACTTATATTCCCTTGCCAGCGACTCTGGGACATGGACGTTCTTGACGTGCTGTGCGATGACGGTGTCGGTCGGTGCCGTGTTGAGATTCTCCCTGGACGGCTTGGGGGTTCTTGCCACATCTTCAAATAAGGGAGTTTGCTCTCGCGTAGGACTGGCCACCTCGGGCAGGGTCTCGAGCTGACCGAGCGAGTCGTCAAAGCCCGAGGCCACGCTGCCCATGCTCACGGTACGCGCCAGCATGTTGACGCTGCCGCTGGCGGGGCGCGACGAGGCGCCGAGGGCAGTAGGGACGGCACCACCAGATTGCAGAGCGTAGTCGGCACCGTGGCCGAGGGTGGTAACGTCGCTGCCGTCGTGGGATTCGGGGTTGGTGGTGAAGGAGGAGGTGGATGACCGCTGACTGCCGTATCTGCTGCGGAGGTACCTGGGCCGTTTCCCGCGGATAGTATTACTACCCGCGGTGCTGGCGCCGTCCTGGCGGTTCGGGTACGACTGGGACCACAACAGGCCCTCGTCGTCACCGCCTCCAGTGGAGTCGTCAAATCCGGGCCTAACCTCGTCTTCAACCTCGCTAAAGGATTCGACCGATGCGCTCTGATGAGAGGAGGATTTGATAAGGGGAGTATGCGCAGCAGCAGCCTTCGCTGGATCGCAGTCAGTTGTGCTGCTCTTATTATCGTTGTTGTTGTTGTCGTTGCTGCTAATGCTGCTGTTGTTGTTGTTGTTGCTGTTGTTGTTGGCGCCAGAAGCCATGCCCAGGGCCCGCGAGACGGTCCTGGCAGTGGCAGCAGCCGTAGGTGAAGAGTCAAGTCTCTCGACAATGTTGGTGGTCGATTCAGGCTCCTGGTCCTGAGGAGCGCGGTGAGTCTGCTGCATGTCTGCCTTATTGGGCGAGTCGAAGACGTACGTGTCGTCGGCCCCGCCCCCAGCACTATTAGAGACGGTCAGGATTGGCGAAAGAGTGGACAGGAAGCTAGACTCGACATCCTTGAAGTGCTCGCGTACAACATCCTCGGATACCGACTCGTCCGGGCCCCTGCTAGGATCCATAGGTGCAGCCTCAAAGGAGCTGCTGTCGATATGGCTCGTATCTGGGTGGTCGTCGGCGGTCGAGGCAGCTTCAGCAGTAGCGACACTATCATCATGATCTGGTTGGTCATCATGATGGATTTGCTGGTGGTACTGGTGCTGCTGATTCCGCTCCCGGGAAAACGATGCGTGGTCCATCATGCTCTCGCGGTCGGGGGGCGTCGTAGACATGGTGACAGTGGCAGCAGCGTCGAATGTCGTCGCCGTTGTGTGGACGTCTTCTGCCGATACACGTTGCGCGGTCATAGGCCGTAGCAAGGGGCTGCTGTCGGTACGGCCAAGGTCAAGATCATGGCTGGCCATGACGCATTTTGGCCCATGCCACGACTTCCTGTGTGAAATGAAAACAGTAAAGGGGGGAAGGGTATAAGCTTGTGTGTGATTCCTCCGTATGCTGGCAAGATGGCCACACTCGTAAGGGAGAGGAAAGGAGAGATTCCAAAAGCTCTAGAGGCCACTCCCAAGCTGTAGCTGTTTCCTCAATTTGTTGTTTTTCTTTTCCCGCTTGCCCCAAGCAACAACATTCACTACAAGGGCCCCTCCATACGAACTAGAGCCACTGAAGCGGGAGCCCTGGAGTAGTCCAATAGCGACTTTTTTACGGAAGCTCCAGGTGGTTCAGGGGATTATTACGGGCTGCTCTAGGGAGCACTGTTCTATCCGGACATACGCTAGAGCAGTTCGAGGCTGGAAAACAAGAAGGTAGAGCCCAGGTACCGACTCATACAATATGGCCCGTGAAAGTACATATAACGACTATGTAATCCCTAGCGTATGATCTTGCTGAGCTCCAGTCCCGCCTTCCACGTTGAAATCGCTTACCCTGTACTCGGATATTGAAAGAAGAACATGATGTTCCATGAAGATCCACTGTACCAGCTTCCTGGGTCAAATTATCTTCATCTATCATGTAGTTCCCGAATTTTATCGTTCCGTTGGTGGTTTGGTGCAGCGTCCTAAGAGTTTGGGTACTACTAATTGATTCTGAGTGCTCGTAACGTACTGCAAGTTTTGCCTTACCCCCAAGCCTTTTACTACATCAAGTCTTACGACCGATGACACCAAGCTGTCATGTCGACATAGGAATAAAACGTAGTAATGATAACGTTTATAAGCGTGGAACAGAATTGGAATGCGCAAAATGCGTGCATGGATACAAGAAGAGGGATTTGAAAGTACTATTAATATCGTAGCCGCAAGAGGCTGTCATAACATGATCCAAGCATGGATAATAGCGTGGACTCATGCAGTGGTATCTTAGTATTTACTAGTAATACTAAAGGACATGGAACAAAGAAAAGAATTGGGCCCATTCTTGCCCTCTAGTTGGAGTACTTGTCAGGAATGTCCTTGCTATAAGATTGTTAGTATGAGTCTCATAACGGATGCTTGAAGTACGTGGTGAGGTGGATAACGTGCCCAGTGGCCTTCTCAAACTGCTCACGGCCGAAGTCGGTGATCTTCTCCTGGGTATTACGGTCGATGTTGTAGCCGGACTTCTTGATACCAGCGGCAAAGGCTGGTGGAGGATATCAAGTCAGCATTTGACAGAGGAATGTGATGGGTGGATGTAGCTGTTGTTGTTGATAATGGTGTGCATACCCTTGTCGGCGTAGTCTTCCTGCTGGCCAGAGGAGCTAGAGCTCTTGGTGTCCTTGGACTCATCCTTGGAGCCGGAGCCACCGGAGACGGCATTCTTGATGAAATCCATTATGATATATGTTGAGGTAGTCTGTTTGTGTCGTTGGAGATGTTATAGTTGAAGAGGAAGGGAGAAGAGAAGAACAGAGGGAGAGGGGGTGACATGGCCCATTCTTATAACAAAACGGGGTTGGCCACCACTCTCACTTCACAAGGGCCAGCTAGGCAAGCTACGTCTTGTTATCCTCTGTGTCTACCGAGTAGCATTAAGTCTAGTTCCAAACTTGGCCTGGGTCGGCTATAGTCGACGACGACGCAACCCAATGAATTCTCCCTGCCCCTCCACTTATCCATCTCGAGACCCCCACCTGGATGGATGAGGGTCGAAAGCTGGATGGGAAAGGGTGACGCTAGATTGGCTAAGGGAACATGGCGCCATTCAAAGCACAGCCGTACGGTACTACAAGAATGTACTGTCATCATGCATTACCACAAGCATGCACTGCTAGCAATACAGCCTACAGACCACGGGTGAGTGTTATGACGGACCTACAGGGAGGTACTATTGCCCCTTCGTAGACTCGGCATAGTTCCAGCCCTCTTCATCGCTCTCACCCGTGCAGTAGTCATGTTGTATGATTTGATGAGCCGGGCTGAACGTACGTGGCAGGGGAACCACTCCAGCTGACCGGAGGACCTTGACATGCAAATGTCTATACTCGTTGATGAAGGCTAAGAAATTGGAGTAGACCAGTCTGCCCCTCTTCTTGACGTCTTGTTCGTCCTGAATACCCCCTAAGAGTTGCAAAGGTTATCGCTTGTTTCCCACGTCCTCACCCCGCCTTCCTCTGCCTTGGCTCCCGCTGCCTGTAGAGCAACCCTACGGAAACACTCAGTACGAGTATCCGTACTCGTATCGAACATGAAAAGGGCCGTTCCATTCCAAGTCAACTTACAAGTTATCCAACGCCAGTAGAAGTCCCAGCTAACGCCCTGGTCTAAAGTCAATGTGCCGACGACCGAGACGACGACACGCGGCCCCCTCCATGAGGTCATAACCAGCAACCCAGTGTGGGAATTTTCTTCACACCATCATCACTAGGAAAATCACATATCGAAACATGCACATCTCATACGTATATGCACGCCACGATCAGGAGAGATAAAAAAGCAATCAACAGGGGGCGTATTACGACGTTGTCGTAGCATTGCCGTGATAATCCAGGATCCTAGCGGAACGGCGCAAAACAACACGAGGGGTTCTACAGTTTTTCCGCGACCCTGTCCAGCTGAATGACTATGCACTAAACCGGATATGGGAAGACCAGGCTTCTCCCCTCCAAGGAGGTGACGTAGTGTTTCTTTTGTTGGAGATGGCAGTATGAGTGCGACGACAAGGGTTCAAACAAGATTCTACGAGTATGCAATGTTGATAATATATATATATATATATATGCGTGTATAAATAGATATAGGTCATGTATAATGCATTTGTATAGTGATGGTGTGATCAAATTGGGTATACTGTCATTTTGAACAAAATGAAAAACAAGGCAAACAAAAAAAAACATGAAGATAATAACATAAGAAAACAGGAGAATAAGGAAAGTAATGGAAATGGAAAGACATTAAAGGAAAGGACATGCTAGCTAGTAGGAAGCTCGTGGTGATTTCATAAACTTATACTCACCCCCGGCAGAGCTTCAACTCGTTATATCATCAATGTTGTGCCACAGCTCGGAAGTATCCAACATGGCCGGCGTCGTCGTCATCAGACTCGTTGGTATCAAATACATAATGCAGTTTGACAAAGGAAAAGGTCGAACGTGAAAGAAGGTCGACAGTTGGTGCAAAATAACACAGGACGACACAATCGTGGTGAGGTACAGCCTAGTCGCCGATTGTGACATAGTCGTCAAGAATTTATAAAGACTTGGTATGCCATAATCATGACCCATAATAGGAACGTTGTCCCTATCAGGGCCATGGCGAATACTAACTGCCATGATTGGCCTGCAAGCAGTTAGTTCCAACGCTCTCGGATCAAGACAGAGACAAGTGAGATGGAAAGAGAGCGAAAGGGCGAAAGAGAGAGAAAAGGGGAAAGTGAGAAAAGGCCAAGGAACCCACAAATATTCTTCTGTTGTAAATAGGCCAGAACCTCTATAGTCTGGCCCTGTGGATTCCTGCTGAAAACAGCAAGATTGCACGTGCTCGTAATGGACCCCGACGGCCCAAACAGGTCTATGCCGATGACGATTAAGCCCGTCAACCATAAGACGAATAGCACGAGGGCTCCTATCATGACAATGGGCGGTAACAATCGTCTGTGGGCTATAAGCCAGTACAGCCACAGAAGGAACAGAATCGTCAGGGAAGCAACTGTCAGCCAGAAGGAAAAGTACCTGCGACAATGTCTGTTAGTTGAACGCGTATGATTTCCATCTTGGGCAAAGATGGAAACATACCAAGGAATGGCGAGGAGCATCCGCTTCTGAGTCTGTAGAAAGATGGCAAAGACACCAAGAATCGTGCTCGAGGCGAGGAGCATGACAAAGATCCAGAGGTTGAGCTGGATGGGGGGCCAATTGTACGTGCGTACACGGCTAACGGCCCTGCCCCTGGTCGGGACTATGGAGCTGCTGAGATAACTTGAAGCCGCCATGATGGGCTGTGCTTATGTGTTCTTAGCACTCTGTTGTGTGTGTATGTTGTATGTGTCGATGGGGTGAGATCGGGTCCGCAGCCGGCTGGGTTTGTTGGTATGCCGGCCCCGCTCCTTCAATCCTGCAAGGTCGGCTTTCGTTTTCGTTTTCCCTTCCGTCGCTCTCCTAGCCACCGGGGCAGCTTTCAAAAGGCTCGTAGGCGCCTTTTGTCGGTTAGGAAAGAGAGGAGAGGGACTGGTATCGGCAGCAGAGGGATCGGCCTTTTTATCTTGTCAGATCGGACAAGCGGTCAAAGCTGCTTTCCTGTCAGGTACCCGTGGGAGAGGCGCCCAATAGGTGGACAACGGATTGCCACGTCAAGGGACAGTAGCTTTGCTGGGGGCCCGATGTACGGAGTAGGGTTTGCAGTCAATCACTGAGTTTGTCTTGCTGCAATGTCCACGTCGGAGAGGGTCAAAATGTTACACGTCGTCTCGTCCTTTCCTTGCGTGTATCCCTGCTGGCTAATAGGATCGAGAAGTCGTTGGGCGGCGTTGGGCGGTGGAGATGGCGAGCGGCGCAAACACTTGTCGGCGAAGAGAAGGGCCCACGAGACGAGGGCTGACCTGATTAATTCGCTTTGCTTTTTCCTCGGCCTATCAGAAAGGTATACAGCATACGACAAATCACGCAGGGACAAGAGAGACAGGAGAGATGAATTGTCACGGAGGGGGGATAAGCAATATGAGAGTACTTGATGCAATGAGAGAGCGATATCATGCCCCAGCCACCAGAAAAAACACACACACATACAGAGGAAGTGATATGGCAGAAGTGGTGCATTGACCTCACCGCCCGCATTAGTGGCGTGGCGCCGTTCAATGGGGGAGGTTGGGTCGGGGCGGTGCCTTCCTTGCTTTACTACTTGGTAGCCGCCGTACGGAGTACTATCATAGTATAATACGTCATGTAAGCCTGCGGACTGGCAGCCTCGGGCCTTTTCCATGGCAGCTTTATTAGCAGGCTTAATAAAAGGTCATCGATAATAGTGATAAGTACCGAGTATTGGACGTATATTGAAAGCTCACGATTGTGTAATCGTGCGTAATCAGGTGTAGTGTCCAGTGGCATACATGTACTCATACAGGCTCGTACTCGTACATATGTACGTACAATGGAAGGCACAGCGTTAGGATCCACCTTTCCGTACAGTAGGCACTGGAGAGCTCCTGCCCCCCACTTTGTTCCCCTCTTCTCCAACTCTGGCTTTACTCACATGGTTTGTTGGGCATTGCATCGTCTTTTATCATATTCTACAAGCACACTCGTGTTTGTTGCTGTCATTTCTTGGTTCCCGGTTCATTTACCCGTTTTCATTGATTTTATTACCGCCTTTCTGCTCGGGAGGGTGGGGTGTCTTGGTAGCGTACGCTTGCAATGTCCTGACTGGTATCTGTACAGTTAAGCGATCGCAGCCGTGGCAAACCCCACCATTGCAAGGCTGAAAACATCATGACGGATAAGGAGTATTAATGCTAGCACTCGATGTGATCAACGCCATGATACCAGATCACCACCCATGCCATACAAAATGAAAGCAGCTGTCTTGTAAAAAGTTACTCGTTTTGATTTTTTTTATTGCGTTTTCATTTGTACATTGTCATTACTCGTACTATCATTTACAGAAGCGTCTCACCCAGTGCACAACGCACAAGCGAGCAGCCCGCGCGGACAGTCTCTTGAACAGCCATCTCCTGATTGGCGGCCAGCCTGGGGTTGACCTCGACCAGGTCCATGGCTATAAGGTTACCGGTCTGGTGGACGCTTTCACAGATATAATCGCCTTCGCGCAGGGTCAGACCGCCACGGACGGGGGTTCCGGTGCTAGGAGCCCACTGGGGGTCGAGGGCGTCAATGTCAAAGGACAGGTGGATGGGGGTGTCGTCACCGATGTGGGCGAGGGCCATTTCAACGACGCGACCGATGCCATAGCTGTTCTCGTGTCAGCTTCCTTTTCTTCCCTTCCTTTTCCTTGTCTTCCACTTCTTTCCATCTCCTCTCCTATTGTGGTCTGTTTACTTGTTTTGTCCTGTCCTATCCTGCCAGGGGAGTGTGTGTACGTACCGGTCAACGTCGAACATGGAAAAAGCCTTGATGCCATGTTCGCGAAGAATCTTCTTCTCGGCAACGTCGACGTCGCGGAGACCGATGTAGACGAGCTTGCGGTGGTTGAGGAGCATGTTGTCCTTGATCCAGCCAAAGCATTCTTCGTTGTCGTCCTTGGCGAGACCGGTGGCGAAGGCGACGGGCATGCCGTGGACGTTTCCGGACTCACTAGCCTCGGGGGTGTTGATGTCGGCGTGGGCGTCGACCCATATGACGGCCGTCTCGAGACCTAGGCGCTCGCGGGTGGCCTGGGCGACACCAGTGACGGTGCCGATGCCGATGCTGTGATCACCGCCGAGGGTGAGCGTCATGCGGCCCTGGCGCGAGTGCTCATACGTTTGCTGGGAGATGCGGCGGGTGACGGCCGACACGGAGCGAGGGTTCTTCATGTTACGGTAGCGGGGGTCATCCTCGGGCGACTGGACTATCAGGTCCGAGTACGTATGCACCTGGTCATCGCCGTGAAGCTTGTAGCCCAGCTCGGAGCTGAGCTGGGTGAGAAGGCCGGCCTTGATTAGGAACTCGGGACCCTCGTCGACGCCAATTTTGCCCTATTGTTTTTGGAGGAGGGGGGGTCAGGTTAGAGCTAGCAAGATAGGTAATGAGGCTCTGAAGAATGCAAAGGAGTGAAAGAGGGACGAAGAGCTGTGTTTGTGGCCGTATATATACATACCTGACCTCCGGAGAAACCAACGGCCAGAACGCCCAAGTCCTCCTGGTTGGCGAGGAAGCGGTTGTGGATGGGGCTGGTAGTCATGACGGGCAGGGATTCTCTGGGTTTGTTTGCACGTGCAGGATGCGGCGCTAGCAGATCGGCAATAACGACAGAATAGCCAAGACGGGGGGGGGGGATGCGCAGGGTAGAATACAAGTAAAAAAAGGGGGGAAAAAGAGGTTTAGATATATAGGGAAGAAAGAGAAGAGGAAAAGAAGAAGGAGAGAAACTTTAGGATGGGAGGGGGGCGGGTGTTTTTATTTCTATCAGTATATCTGAATTGTTCTCTTTCCCCCCCCTCCCTCTTTTTACTAGGTAGAAAGAGAGAAAAGTAGTAACGGATCCGGACCAGGGGACCAAGACGCACGCGGTAGGGGAAATGGTAACAAAGTGGCATGGGAAAGGGTGGTAAGTGGTAGAATGGTTTCGCCCAAAGGGCTCGATCGTATTTCCATTACGGCGCAACTTCACTTAGGGGTATAGCGTATTCACAGAAGCATGAGCACGAAGCGAACGGGATGTACGGGTTGTACGAGTAGTAGTGTGTCCATCGCATATCGCATGGGCAGCGGCATCCGACTTACCGAGTAACATACTACAATAGGCGCGAGGGGCTCCTTTCCGTTGCGGCGCACCTTCACTTAGGGGTATAGCGTGTAGCGCATGGGCATTGGGGACTGCGTCAAATGCATCGGGTCACCTTCACTTAGGGGGATAGCCTGGAGAGAAGAGGGGGGAATTCAGAAAGAGGGGTTTTAGGGCTTATGGAGTAAATTGGACTGAGCCGAAGCTGGCCTTCGAGGGTTTTCTCCTTCAAGTTGATGATCGAATTAATACTACTAGTATTGTTATTATGATATAGCGAGAGATTGTCACGTCTCGGGGTGATGATGATAGAGCGTCAACTGACCATTGTGGTAGGACACCAGTCTAAGACCACCACCACACCTCAACCGCATCACAACCACCATCATCATAATCCTGATGGATAAGTACGGGACTCACGGGAGCGGCACTTGGATGCCAAGAATTCGAGCCGTACAAAACACTCAAAATAATTACCGGTATAGAGTAATATTACTATAGAGTCTACAGTTGCAGAGCAATACGGTCTAGTAACAATAGAACGCAGTAGCCAAGAAAACTAGACAATGCTACCACTGCACCAATCCTTGATCCATGATGCACGATGCACGCCTCTACGCCTCCAGTCTTCATAGTGATTGGCTTGGTAGTTTGTTCTAGAAAATCCAAACGTAATGATTCGTGTGGCTTACGTACTGACTCTCTCTCACACACTCTCTCTCTGTCTGCGCTCTTAGCGGCTTTCACTCTTAACAGCTGCAGGAGCTTGTATATGATTCCGTCGTTATAGTATTACGTATTATTCCCCGTACTTTGTACGGAGGCCGTCAGTAAATTCCGTACAGAGTTACAGTAATTGTACTACTGTATGTATAAGCACTGGTAGTACAACCAAGTTATAAACGGATAAACTATGTGCCGACAGTCCCTACGTCATAAGCTCGGGTTCTACAAGTTTGCCAGGGATTATTCTGCCGGAGGGGATTGATGCAGTACTAGTGCTACACTGCGTACGGAGTAATACACCAACTGCTGCAACAGGATGGTCGCTAGGACTCCCCCCCCTCCCTCCTCTTTTCCTGACCCGTAGTCTGCATTCTGCACATGCATGTGTTCCTACCTGATGCACTACCTGTTCGGATACGTGGTCAGTCGTCATGGCTGTGGCTGATGTTGGCCGTGGCGCGTCATATCACTTACTCCGTACAGACCTTGCAATAATACACGCGTCCATAGGTGCTAATATTTATAGGTGTCCTCGTAGGCGTTGTGAGCGATGCAGGTGCTATTGGTGTCACAGGTGTCTTACAGGTTGTGTCTATAGAGGGCTAGCCACTTGAGGTGTCCTGTATTCTTTCCCTTAAATTGCCTACTTATTTGCCTGTATTAGCTGGGAGCGCCCGAAAGAAGCTAATTGCGATCAACCCACATTCCTCTTTGCTACAACCACAATAGGTTGCATGAATCGAGTCATGTTTGTACAAGCAGTCGAAGACAGTTTTTACTGCAAGTTTTGTTCCATGTTTCCTCGAGTCCCTAACAGTCTTTTTTTTCTTTCTATCATATCTGACAAAGTTGTGTGATATCATTTGGTTTTGTCTTGGAAGTTGGCAGTAAAGGTCCAATCAGCACGTCATTCCTAAAGTGGATATTCCACTAGCAATGTAGTAGCATTACGGAGTAATATATAAAGAGAAAGCAGTTGGTATTACTTAGTATCGCTACCACATGCTCTAGGAAAGTCCCTTGCTTCCGGCAGCTAGTATTACTGTAATACTGTACATGTACTTACTAGTATCATCACTACTATACAATACCTTTATTACTACGACGTGACGCAGTATTACCATTGCACAACTCCACAAGTCCATTTACTCCATACTCCATATACTCCATACTCTATATTACTCGTCCATTAGCCTGTAGTTACTCTGGTCGTTCAATCTTATTTTCTCCTGTTACCTGCTTCTGTAACGCAGTACAGTACAGTACATATACTCTTGCGCTGCACTCTTACGCTATAATTATACTGCATGCTGTTGTCTTTCCATACTCTCTCTCCGTACTCTATACTAAAATCCCTCTGTCGATCCTTTACAATCCTCCATGCCCATTTCCCTCCGAGAGACAAGGAGACAGATTGACGGGCTGCCTCTTCTTTTCCCTTTCTTGTATCACTATCCTATACAAAGAATCAGCAGTTGTCGCGCTATAGTGGGGCTGGATAATAGGAGGTTAACAGGTGCGCGTGTATTGTGCATCTGCGGTGTACTTTACGAAGACATACCTATGCTACATACAGAATAGGAATAACTATGGCGGGCAGTCCTAGATGGGAGAATATATGATGATGAATGGATGATTCGAGGCTCAAGCAATACTTCTCAAATGTCAATAGCGAAGGGACAAATATATACCCTATCCGATTAGTGATGGGAGGCCACTGCATACGGTTCGGG